AAAAAAAAAAAAAGAATAAAAGAAGAATACAACACATATGGGCTGTACAAAGGGCGCAGATTTGATACTGTCAAACTTTGCTGTCAAACTTGGTCCAGTTAGCTAAGCGCCTGCTCGTGCCTTCGCAGAGCTCCTATTCAATAATAGGATGAAGTTGTGCCCCTGGCTAATTATTTCCTTGGCAAAGACCAGGCCTTTTCAGCTGAGCTCTTCACCTGCACAATTCCCCAATTAATTTTGGGTGCTCCACTAGCTGAGAACAAGCCACACAATTGCATTGTTTACTGCGATCCTCCGCACAAGTGAACCTTGCAAGTTGCAGGGATTAATTTCTTTTGCCACACAGCTTGCATGGCTCCCCTAGGAATACCCACTGATAGGACTGGACTATTGCTTCCTCGACATACGTATGAGTACTCTTAATAACCTGGTCTCGATAGTTCGTATCCACTGCCACAGCTCTTGCATGTTTGTTGGCCGTCGTTTAGAGTGGGGTGCTGGATACACTAGATGGGACACTTAAGACTGAGAATAAATAAATCTGGTACTTCCTCCCGCTGCCATGTGCTCCTTCAGGTTTGTCAGAATTTCTTTCACCTCGAATTCCTCGTTTGGTCAGCACTCTGTATCCCTCGGAACGAAGTCACTCTTTTTTATAAATTTTAAAAAAAGGCAGAAAGCCAACTTCAAGATGTATACTGCTAGGTGTCTCGTCCTTGCCAGTCTCCTGGCCGCATCTGCCAATGCTTATCCCGAATTCAACGAGAGGAGAGATTGCTCTCACAACAACTGTCTCCGTGCTGTAAGTCAAGGACAACTTATCGGGATGAAGGAAGAGTAGATGGAGTATCTGAAGCTAATAAGGGAATTTTAGGTCATCGCCAGCGCGGTCCCTGGGGGCAATGCGCGAGGCTCGGCTGACTGCTCCTCCTACTTCCGCAAGACTGTCACGCCCTCTGTAGGGTGAGTGCCTTATCTCTACCTCGATAAGAGAAAAAGCCTGGAGCCTGACAAAACGTTCTCCAGCACCGCGACCATTACCCTCACCAGTACCTTGAGTGGGGACCCCGTCTACAGCACCGCCATCGATGTCAGTGTTGTGCCCGTGACTGTAACAACAAGCGTGTGCACAGCGGCAGTAGTCAGCGTCGTCCCTCGCGCGGACGAGCGAGAGGTCACCGCTGAGGAGCTCAATGCTCCGCCGGTTCACCACGAGGCTCACCGGGCCCGTGGTGTGCGCGCCTGCCCGGCCAAACCTCCGGCCTCTTCCTCCACTAGCACGTCTTCTACTGCCGCTGCTACCACCACCACCACCAAGGCTACTACCACAGCTACCCCCGTCTCGGGAATTCCCACATACGCCTCAGCCTGCGGTGGCATTTCTGCCTACTCGTCCGCGTGCTCCTGCGATGGAATTCCCGAGTCTACAGTGACCCTTCCCCAGGTCACCAACACGGTCACCTCGTGGGCCAGCCAGACCGTTATCCCGACATCAGCCACGACCGTCGACGTCGTGTCCAGCTCGACTACCACTGTTACCATCGCCGCGCAGCCGACCATCATCGGCCCATCGTTTTACGTCCAAGATCCGGCGAATGGAAGAACTTGGGCTGCGGGGGGCGCCGGCCTCCAGATCATTGACTCGACTAATAGCCATGCACCCCTCACTATCAATGGATGCGGTAGAGTGGCATCGGCCGTTCTCACAAGCAACTACCTCGTTTCCGCTGAAACCGGCAGCGGTGACGCAGTTTCCTTCGTCTCGAATCCGTCCAGCGGATTCATTCACTGCACAGTCCAGAACCCGTCCGTCCCCTCTGGTTCTTTTACTTGCCAGAGCGAGAATGGTGTCGATACCGTCCTCAATTGGTGCCCCGGCGGGAACGACGTTATTCAACTCAGCTCGGCTCCCATGGCCGGCTGCCTGCAGCCCGCTTTCACTGTCATCCACACCTGAGCATGCCGATTGGCGGGTCATCGGGAAGTTGGTAAACGCAATTTGTTATATAAAATCACACAGCTTGTATAATATACATAAAAGGGCAATATACATACCTAATTACATTCATGTCGCACTTGTTGTTCTATCAGGACTCCAACCGTAATTACCGACAATGAAGGATCCCAGTGAAGTGATTGTCCGAGTGGGAGAAATATTATGGGTTTAAGTTGTCATGGCCACAGTTCTATGCAACCTGTACTCCATCGCCCCGGGATGATTCTCCGATTTGCGCGGTCATCTCCAATCCACTGCCTCGACATCTCTTTGGCCAAATCACACAACGCCCAGGTGTCAGGATTCCGGTCGTATCGAGTGTATCTTTCAACTTATGGCCGGACTTCTTGAGTGCAGTGTCATTCACCTGATCTTTGGATACCAGATGCGTCCTGCTTTCCCTTGACCCTGGGGCGAAGCATCATTATCTCAACAATTAAGTGTGTCTTCCGCAATCTGATGCAGAATGCGTAGAACAGATCGATTGCATACGATGCAAATTGCTACCGGAACTCACCTGATTTATACTAAGTTCCCTTAATCTAAACAATCAACTACAATATATAAAGAACCTAAATTTACTTTCTTTCTTCCTCTTTACCTTTATTCAAGAGTCCTGGGGTTATTAAAAGTTTTACTTTATGTTTAACAGCCTGGTTTAATACTTAAAAGTAATAAAAAAAAGTTAAAAAGTATATTATAACCTAACTAATAGTTATAACAATAGACCTACAGGGTAGGATCCGTTAGATTAGATTAACTATAAACTAAAGATTTAATAATAGCTATTTTAATTGTTAAAATATAATAGTATAGGGTAGCAATAATTTGGTTTAGAAGGGTTATATATTAATATATATATTTTTCTCTTAATCTTCTAATATAAACTAATTTAGAAATCCTCTTCCTTTTATCTTTATTTTCTGCTTATTAATAAAGAATGTAATAAAAAGTTTAATACCATTAGAAAGCTTAAATACAGGACTTTTTAATAGTATAATTTATTTTTTCTAATTCCTTTTACTTAATAAGTTATTAAATTGTCTTTATATAAGGTTTTAAACGCATTCCAATTATCGGACCGGCGGGCTGCCTTCCGGGGCCTTCCGGGGCCTTCTAGGATCCCTGTTACCTTCCTTTACAGACTGCAAATAGGTCAATTTGCTGATTTTTTCTGTTTTCCTTGCTGGGCTATGGAGTCGAATGCTTCGGAGAAGGCACGGAAGACCCCCTCTTTTGCGTCGAATGACTCCGCGTGGTCCTGCAGGAGCCCCTCTGTTGAGTCGGCGAGTGAGCCAGGTTGTCTCGGTCCGGTGTGGGGAGTCTCAGATGAGGAGGCAAATGCCATCGCAGCCGCCTGGGTTGGCAAGCGCAGGTTGAAGTTTACGATACAATTGTTAAGGGAAATGGTGTAAATCAGGCTAGGATTGATTACAGACTTTAAGATAGAAAGTGGTGTTCAGTCTGCCAAATCTGGGGGAGTGGCCGTCGCTTTTATTAGGTTTGGTACCGGCGGCTACACCAAAGCCGGAGCGGCCGCACGAGTAGGCTAATAGCTTGGGAAGCAAACCACTGGTACGTAGAGCTTCAAATTAGCTACTGTATATAGGAATTGGATAATGGAAACCTAATAATTACTAGTAGTTCGTAATTTGATTGTTCTTTATGTCCTTTCTTCTTTATACCAAGTGCACTGTATACAGGGGGGTTTCAAAATACTGGCCCCTTAGAGTTTTCATACTGGTCCCCAGCATTCCTCATTTACAACCACCAGGTCCGTGACAAGGAAACGACCAGTGAGCCTTGGACGCACGCGAAAATTGGAGCCGGTTGGAGTTTTTTCCAAAAATGGATGACTGCAGAAGAACGAGGGAAGAAAGGATGAGCCCAGGATCAATAGTAATATAAGAGCGTCCAATAAGGCGGGAACCGAGGCCTTGCGTTATCCATAATCACGCCAGCCCAAACCCAGAACGCGAAGGGACGTATAAGGGTGTCTTCTGTTGTATGGTGCATTTGGTTGCATTGGCAAGTGGCACACCTGAAATTCTATCACTGAGCCATTTGAGCCACTCAGGCGCCGAAGCGGCCATTGACTCGTCGTGGGTGAGGTTGTGATACACGCTCAGGTGAACGATGTTGCCTTTTTTGCAGGCGAAATCGTATGCTTTAATCGTAGCAGTGTAATTCACAATCTCATCGTCATGGGACTGTACAACAAGGAAATCTTTGTATCCTTTTCTCCCGGTCGCGGCGCCATACTGGTCTTGGAATTTGGTGTAAGCTTCATGAATCGTCTTATTCTGCTCAGGAGTAGGCTTCAATATGCCATGGTTCGGGAGGTCAAAGTTGAGGCCCGCATATGAATTGTCGCAGAGCCCAAGCGCATTCATCAGCGGGTAACGCTTCATGGCCTCTGGGGTTAAGACGGGTGGCTGTATGGAGAAATTCAGGGACTGGAAGATGTTCACAATCAGGGGGCCGAATCCATATCCCTCAGAAAGAGGAACGGCGGTCAGGAGATCATTCAGTCTCGCACTAGGAGCTACGGCAACTCCTCCCACGTATTCGCCACTCTGGTTAGAAGCAACACGGGGATTCTCCTCGAGACCCCATATGGCTCCAGCGCCTTGAGAATGACCGAGAGAAGCCCATTTAGTGGTGAAGACGTTTGGGAAAGCTTTGCGGGCGGCAACAACAGCGAAATATACGTCTTCTGAGTTAATGACCGGGTTTCCGTACTTGTGTGTGGTGTAGTTGTTGCCCAAGCCCGCGTAGTCTGTAGCAACCACGGCGAATCCGTGGGGTGGGAGAAGCTTCCAGCTGTCGTAATCGTACCCGTTATAAGAAGACGACGCGGCGCAAGCAGCGACAGTTCCGATAGTACCATGCGCATATGAAATAAGCGGTGTTTTGTTGGATGCCTCACTCAAATAGGGAAGAAGGATAAACCCAGTGGATGGGACTGGCTGTCCACCAACACCGACAGATGTATATTGGATGAACCATAACGAGCTGCCAGGGGTGATATCATACAGAGTGGAATTCTGTCGCTGAAGCTTCAACAAGTCTCCAGGTTTAGATTTAGTAAAGTTATCTGCGGTGGCGTAGAAGTCATAGTTGAAGGGAACATCTCCAAAGATCGGACGGTCCAATGCCTCGAATGTTTGTAGGTTCTCTAGGCAGGCCTTAGAAGAACAACCGTACGCATTACCTTGGGCCTGAGTGATGTTGAGGTCGTTTGGACGATTGGGCTGTTGCGCTTGAACGAGGGCAGCCAAAGAGGCCAGCAGAAGCCCCAAGGAATAGACAGTCATTATGTTGGACAACAGTGCGGGATGTATGTATTACTACGGTTGAAAATGGATTTATGAATTGGCAACAAAGTTATAGAATAGAGCAGCAAGAGCGCGTAACGATTCTTTATAAACGCACATGTATGTAAGCCATCGTCGACGGAATGTGGCCATGAGATTAGGGACCGTGGACTGGATTGTTACTAGCTCTATTTGATCGGCCACTGAAGGTTAATTCTTATTGTAGCATGGCGCGACACCGCACTTTTCCAAAACGGAAGACATTAACAAGGTGATGTTTCCCTAAGCGTAGGCACCCACTGATTAGAAAGTCTGTTTTGAACACGCGAAGGCTCTCCCAACGTCAATATTCACGGAACGTCAGATTGACGCTCCAACCTGACATCAATATGACTCAATGCGACTACCGGTAGGATTATAATTAGGGCTATCTGTATATCGTCCCTAAGCAAGCTAGTTTAGCGTTACCCCGCGGCTAGGAAGGTTGGGAGAATACTGTTATTGGTTCCTCTGCACTAGAAACAAGCTGAAAATGGCTGCCGGTTGAACCATCCACTCATGCACTTATGTGCAAATTGGCGACACCACCACGCCTTTCACTTTATACAAAACTGTGCGTATTAGAAACCCTCTAAAGTAAATGTAAGCTTAGGGTCGTCAGGGGTTTCATGTCTCTACTCTAATTGCACCCTAGACTAAGGCGATTTCGGTTTGCGGATAGTTGGCGTAGCCGCTATTTTTGCCTTTTGTTTCGCAGTTTCAATATTTTTTGTTAATTTTTATTGTATCAGACATGGAGGTCGGTAGATCTGAGAAGCTTTGGACCGAGATCTTGAGGCCATGCAGGGCTTTGGGGACAGATCAACATAGGGTTGACCAAGGTTGGTTCGTACATTGTGGAGTGCAGGTTCATGACACTGACCGTCAATTCATTTAGCTAAATCTGTTAAGGCGAGGACAGCGTGAGTTGTGAGCCCATCACAATCTCGATAGGTAGGAGGTCTTTAAAGAGCTGAGCAAGGGAAAAAAAAAGCCCCATGGAACTTTTCCTCTTTAAACACTCGGAAGGGTTTATCTTTCACCTGCGAAACATCACTTGACGCCCAATGGCTGGATGAAGCTGATGATAATGACAAAGTCAAGTGCCTTAGGTTCGACAGCGCCCCCCACATGTCGTTGGCGGGGAGCAAATGGGGTTAAACCGCAGCGAATAGCTGTCTTTCAAAGATGCCACAAGGAAATTTTCTGGCGCAAATGCAATATACTAATTGGCTGGGAGTGCCAGTATTGTGTCGCAGTCAGGAACCGTGTCGTCGCTCTCCCACACCTCCCAGAATGTGGTAGGTCAATTATAATAAACCACAGGTATTGCAAAAAGAATAAGGCATAATAAAACCCTAATGGTATTAATTATTACTATAGCTGCTTTATAATAATTAATAAAGCTTTTTAAAACTGCAGAATGCTACTTAACAATACTACAAGATATTATAAAAAAGGATAAGTTGCTTACTATAATAAAAAGGGGAATCCGGACTTTATATATTACTAGGCCTTGAGGACAAGACCTTCGGAAGAGGGGCATTGTATTACAAAACCAACTACATAAGATCCCCATGGTATATACCTCCGGTAATACATCGGATAAGGCAACCAATTAGATAAAGAAGGACTCTCTCTCAGTAATATACATACCTCTAGTGAGAAATGAGTGTAACTCTATAGGAGCATTTGTATCAGGTACTATAAGACTTATACTAGTGGTAGTTACAGAATGACTTACTATATAAGACCATTTATTATACTTATTAAATAAAAGTTTAGATAGTCAGTTGTTAATATAGCATTTATATAATAATTAGATTAGACTCTTATTTAAAGTTATCAGCTATATAACTAAGACCGCTTATAAGATCCCTTGCATCTCTCTGCCAACATAAACTTAACGTTAAGGTTTATCCCTTAGGAACAGCTATCCTATACTAGGTATAGGGATCAGAACGTTACACTAGCCCTTATAGCCCTGCCCCCTAAGATATAAATTAACAACACTTTTCCTTTTGTTTATTTAATACATAGCAAACGCCTGATTTAAACAGCAGCTCCTACCGTCCTATTGAACAGATGCGGCTTAATGCAACTAGCCTTACTTAGTGGACGTTAATAATAAAACAAACAAACAAACAACAAAAGGAGGATTAGGTCACTTAGCTTACTTTACATAACAAGCATCGAGAGGTGACATTTTAGCTGAAGTGAAAGGTCGGTAATAATTGTATGGATTAGGAAAAAGTATCTAAATGTAACCAAATATCCATTGTTTGTTAGTAGCCTCCGAGCTGCTGCTCAGCCATAGGCTGAAACTCGACTGTCGTAGGCTCATTTGTTATTCCCCTTTCAGCTGCAGCCTTCATAATGGCGACCGTTGCCGTGGCTCCGATTCGAGTCACGCCAAGAGACATAACATGTAGCAAGTCATCCAACGTCCGGACCCCTCCAGCTGCCTTGACCTGAATCTCTGGCTTCGAGTGTTTTCTCATCAATTTCAGGTGGTGGATGGTAGCTCCAGCGTACGTGTAGAGCCCGTTTGTTTGCTTAACAAAGCCGTATCCCGTGGAAGTTTTGACGAATGCGACGCCAATCTCGGAGCATATTTCGCAAAGTCGAATGATATGCTCGTCCTTGAGATAGTCGTTTTCGAAAATAACCTTGAGCGTAGCGCCATGCTTGATAACCGTTTCATTAACTTCCCGAATTTCGCGTGCAACATAATCCCAATCACCGCCTAAAGCCTTTCCAATGTTTATAACCATATCAATCTCACTGCCTCCTGCGGCGGCAGCACGATCTGCTTCAATCACCTTGACTTCGGTGGTGCTGTTGCCGTGCGGGAAGCCAATAACTGGGCACACTAGGACGCCCGATCCTTCAAGTTCCTGTTTGGCGAGAGGAATGAGGTATGGTTTGACACATGCCGTGGCGACGCCATACTCCTTGGCAATGGCGAGACCTTCGAGTATGTCCTCATCAGTCATTGTAGGGTGCAAGAGTGAGTGGTCGATCATCTTCGCCAATTGCTGCAAAGTCACGGTTATGGACTTTGTTGAAGTCATGTTTCCATCCACTTGAAAGTAGCTTTTTGAAGATATGATTGCGTTAAAATAATAATTCAAATGAAAGAGCTGAAGGAAGCCGATGGGAAAAGCTTCAAGTGCAGTTTGGCGGTCAGTACAGACAGACAATATATACCAATTTCTTGTCAATGCGAAGGTACGGATGGTCAGTTCCGCAGACCCACAATCACCAATCCTGCCCCGTTGGTGGCGTCTATTCCACCGGAGGACAACATGAGAGATATCAGTCTCCGGTGAAAATATTATTGTCGACGGATCAGAATTACTTTCCCTTGGTAGCCATTCGTTGGACTAGTGAGCACGGCGATGTTCCGAGGGCGAGTCTCGGGATCATACCCTTAAAAGGAAATTTGCCTTCTTTCTAAGGAATTACTTCCGGTGGGAAGACTTTCCTAAAAGGGTTTAGCTTCTTCTTTTCTTTTACTCCCAAGGCTCGCGTGTGAATTCCTACGTCATAATACCCTTTTTGTCCTCTTGAAACTCGAGAAAGGTACATTCGAGTCTAGCATTATAGCCAAGGAAACTCATTAGAACTTCGCGAATATTTGTGGTTGGATTATGGTCTTCCCAGGGAAGAACACTGCGGCCCAGAGCAATCAATTGCCACAATTGAAGAATAAGAGAGTTCAAAAAGTTCCCAGGGCCTGTCAGAGATGCCGGCGCCAGAAACTCAAGGCAAGCTACTCTGTTAACAAATCCCAACAGTAGACTAATTACTCCTTTTTAAAGTGTGATGTTAATCGTCCATGCACTCTGTGTGAACGGGCTGGGGTAGATTGCTCAGTTATGGAGGCCGATATTTGGAAGCCTGTGAGCCCAAACCAAATCATAGGCAAAGTTCGTAAACTCGATGGCGACGGTTCTATCCACCGGGATACAAAGCGGGCTTCTTACTCAGCTCAAGCCGTCGAAGAGAAAGCTATAACGACAACAGCAACAAAAGTCTCCTCTTCCGCACGCCATGAAGCTCGATGTATCTCCAGCGAAGCCAGCGAAGCCAGGGATGCAAGCCCCGCAGCCTTGCAGTCACCATGGGCTTCAAGCTCCGCGGCCATGACCTTTGTAAAAGAGGTAGGCTTTTAAGGGATAATTCTGCAGAATTGTAACTGAAGATATCCAAAGGCATTCGACCACCAGGACACGATAGCACCAGAAGGACGAGATGTTTCAGCTCTCTCTGCTACACACTGGACTCGGGAAGGCGCATCAGGCAGCACCTGGCCTAAACAAAGTCAAGCCCGCCTCAAAAAGCTTATTGCAGCTGAAAAAAAATTCATGATTTTACTCCCAGATATCAGAGCTGCTACGCTACTAGTCGAAAACTATTTTGATAAAATTCACTGGTTTGTACTAGTTTTCCACCAGAGAGAATTTAGAGATAAGTTTCAGCAGCTTTACGCCTCTGAGTGTCAAGAATTTGAAGAACACGGCTCTCGACTCGGGTACATCAGCGTGTTTCTCGCAGTTTGCGCCGTCAGTTTACAGTATACCAGTTCTGATCAAAAGCAGAAGCTAGCAGATGTCGGGGTCGAGCAACATGTGCTACAGGACGATATACTTGACGCTTTGAGGCTTAGACTTCTTGACATAGTATCACTAGGCTCCTTGGAATCGATTCAGACATGTGTACTGCTAGGGACTTTTTATCTCTATCATGGGCAACCAGAACTCGCTTGGCCAATTTGTGGTTGTGGTTTACGAATTGCTCAAGCTCTGAACATACATCGGCGATCATCGAGTGGCAGTTCCACCCCGGATTTGGATGATCCAATACAAAGAGCGCAAGAATCCAGGAAACGATGCTGGTGGGCTATATATGAAATCGAGACCTTCTGTTCGATGCTCTATGGTTTCCCGCTCAGCATCTCAGACAGGGATTGTGACACAAAGCCCTTGCACCCATATGCAGTAAGGTCGTTGGATTCTCTAGGAGATTCCATCTTTCGCCGTGCAGCTGGTGAACCAACTCTTCTTTCGTATAAATATTTCATGGTGCAGCTATCTATCATTGTCAAGTCGGCATTGGCTGATATTTATGGCTTGCATCGGCCTTCCGATGACTCCAAGAAACGAGATGACAAATATAGCTTGAACCGGCTCTTAGAAACGGTTACAAACTTGGATGCAAGACTACAAAAATGGTCTCAGAGCTTACCGGTACGGCTCCAGTTCAATGAAGCGACCAAAGATCCGACTTCTCGCTTGCATATTTCGTCAGATCGCTATTTCGAAGATCATCTCTTCCAGCTTCAGGCCCTTGCACTTAAGCTCGCATTCGAGAACGCCAGGATACTAATCTATCGGCCCTTGCTCTCGTACAGACGGATCGTTACTACTCACGCAACAAGAGACAGCTTTACAACACAGGATACGCAAGCAATAGATCCATTTCAAACATCGATACAGAAATGTCGAGATGCGGCCTTTCAAGTTTTGCTGCTTGGTTCATTTCCCATCTTTCAACAGGTCGCAGATACGTACGCTGTATCCTTTGTATCGCTACATCTCTTCACAGCGAGTATAACACTGTCTATCCTGACAGGCCTTGAACCGCTCAGTCGAGAGTCTCATGAATCAAAAATGGGCTTACGACGGCTGATGGAGATGCAATCCCGATTGAAGTCCAAAAGTATTATCGCAGAACAAGGGTTCAGAATACTGAAGACACTGATGTCTCTTATACTTGAGAAAGAGGCAAAGAAAATATTCAATTTCGAATCCACTGGTGTAGATGATCAGATATCACTCAACCCTCGAAATTTGTTGCCACACCCACGAAGCCCCCATCAAGAGGATCTACAGGTCGGTGACCAATTTATAGCCTCGCCCGTGGAAAAATCCAAAGACGCATTGACTGGCGCCGATCTACCGGAAGATTCACCCAGTTTCATAGAAAATGACAATATATTTCGCTTCGACATCTGCGAAGATCCGTCGATGATACAGGCGCTTTTCCAGCTCGAACAGGGTGAGAAATTTACCAATTACAATCCAGTCAAAAGTTTCATTAATTCCAACTGGTTTTAGGATTTGAAATAAACACAAATGTAAGCACTGAAATGGAGCTGAATGACATGGAATCCTCAATAGAGAGTTCGTTTGGGAGTCAGGACCCAGGGTGGATATGGAGTATCGACTCATATAAGTAAGCTGTAGTATTATTGTCATGAACCAACCACATAAGATCCCTCTAGTACATACCTCCGGGTAAACCACAGACAAGACAACCAATTAGGATAAAGGAAATATATTCTTAGTAAAATATATACCTATTTATAAGATAAGACTGTAACTCTAAGGAAGTATTTTTATTAAGTATAATGCAATTTATATAAGTAATAACTATAAAATAATTTACTAATATAAACCTAAAGAATTTATTTTAGGTTTATCCTTTAGGAATCTACCTTATATTAACTATCTAGTATATAGTTTGTTATATAGATTCTTATCTAACAACTAAACAATTGGAAATTATACAACTAGGACAGCGTTGACATAGTTTCCTGTCAACATAAACGAATATTGTCCCCCAGATCCTGTTACCTGCGTCTCGGTCCAGACACTCTGTGTGTTTCCAAGAGCATTGGTGCTGTATTTATCTGGAGCAGTTACAGTTTTCAAAGTTGCGACGCCCGTCTTCCCGGGAATTATCACTGTGATTGGTGTAGAAGCTGCACCATCATAGTTGACAATCTTAACGAAGTACGTTCCCGCATTATTCTTCGTCGCAGACCAGTATAGAGGCCCATATCCCACATTCCCAGAGACTGCGGCAGTCTCTGTGCCAACGTTGGTGAAGAAGAGTTTAGATACGTAGTAACTCATGGATCGGACAAGAGCGTTAGGAGTGTGTTTTATCATGGCGACGTTGTCTGGCTCGTCGTGCAGACTCTTGATTAGTGCGCCATGGCAAATTCCAACAATGACATCCGAATTCCTCTCCAAGCCTAGAAAATAAATAGCCTCGGATGTTGCCGATTGCAATGTTGGGTTGTCCAGCTGGTTTGGGTTAACGTGATCGGCGTCATAGATGGCCGCGTACTCACCCACCAGGACAGGCTGGTTGCGAGGGGCATGGTCGTAGCCCCCAAACTTGCTAACCATATCATCTACCGAGAGGTAATCATGGAGATCCTGAATGACGCCGGCAGGCATTGAGGGGTTAGTAAAATATCCGGACCAGATGGACGAAATAATCTTCATATTTGGGTACACGTTTTTGATAGCGTCGTGGAAAGCATTGAAGCGATAGCCTAGGCATGGTTACTCGCACATTTCTACAAATGTACATATACGCAAACCTACCGACATAGCTAGGAATACCGCCGTTGAGGAAATCTTCGTTGCCAATTTCGATGTAGTTGATTGTAAAAGGATTTGGGTAACCCAACGAAGCTCTAACGCTGCCCCAAGGTGACGTTGATGGACCCTAAAATATATTAGAAAAAAAGATTTGCGAGAAATATGGATGACAGAATATACTAATAGAAACTCTAGCTCGTTGAGAACATCGTCGACATATGGTCCTAAATCTGCTTCGGAGATGATCTCTCCATCAAGATACAGCCCGCCCCAAATAGCTAATATTGGTTCGAGATTCATGTCAATGCACCACTGCCGTTTCCTTTTGTCAGAGGTGGAAAGTTATCTTCCAATCAATAAGTGAAACTGACCTGCATCATTTCTAAAAGTCCGAGGCCGTCGGTATTGACGTAGCCCCATGTTCCCGGACGTCCAGGGCGGTTGATAATTGGACCAATGGTTTCGTTCCACTTCCATCTATACGGAGAAGCAATTCCTTCGAGGTTGTTCCCCCCTGGGAGGCGGAGAAATTTACCACCTAGTTCAACGAGGGCTTCGGCAAGGTCCATCCGGAGTCCGTTGTTGGAATTCTTGAACGTCTGCTGAAATACGCTAATCATTTGGAAACGCAGGCTTTGGCCCGTCGTGCTAGCACCATCGAAAGTAAGGTGGAAGGTATTTTTCTGATCGGGTGCGGAAAATTGCGTGGTAAAGGTTTGTGCATAAGGCACCCAGCCATTGGCCTCTGTTTGGTCAACTTGAAAGGTAGTGCTACCAAGCATGGAGTTCGTCGTATTGCTCCAGAAAGCGGCCAATATTTCTCCGTTGTAGTTGCCACGGAGGTAGAAACTAGCAGCATAGCGTGTGGCGGTTGTTATATTCATGCCTGCATATCCCTCGTTCCAAAAACCGGTTGCGCCAGTTGTCCCCTTGGCGACATCCACGCGCATCTGCCAAGGAAGAGCGCTACTTAACAATGGTGCTTCATTGTCGAGAGTTAGAGTATCAGACCCTCTTGTGTGCCAATACTGAAGAGTCTGATACGGGCCCTGGTTATTGAATACAGAAGTGCCTTGAAAGGCGCGATTCTGTATCAGTTCTGAGTACAGACCCCCATCGCCAGAGTGATAGACATCCTAAGAGTAATTAGTTTAGAGTCTTTCAGTTGGCCGATTTCTTTTACAAACCTCATAGAGAAGGCCGTACAAGATAGGACTAGTTGCATTGCCTTGCGCAGTGGATACGGTAAGGGTTACAGCGTGGGCTATGGATGCAAGTCCCAGCAAGGCTAATAGTCTAGACGCTTTGTAGAGCATGATGATGGTTGGTTGTTAAAGAATGCTAAACAATATGTCTCCATGGCGTTATATATAGCTCGACTTATTACGGAATACAATGGTACCCAACTATACAACTACTAGGAAGTTGCTTAGCGGGATGCAATCGAATTCCTTCGGCCAATTTAGATGCTTGTTTGGTAGCGTACTCAATGCTTCTCGGGAATTGAACAACTCCGCGCTGCTCACCAAGGACAGGGCTGGCCTTCACTCTCGGTGCAGCTCCAGCCGAGGGAGTGTATACCTAGCCCTGGATGTCGCCCTAGACTCAGTGGGGCACGTCATATCCTAGCTTCGGTGGCTTCAAGTCCCAGCGCCGGATCTGCCGATTCGGCATTTATAATTTGCTCCTACGTACGGATTACTTAGCACAATTATTTGGGATGAGCCTTCTCTACGGATTTTCAACCTAACAACGTGCTAAAGAAGGTGACGGTTCTCATGGTCCTTGTATTATATAGTATTAGGCAACAGTTATCTTGGGATCCCATAAGGATGTACATTATCTCACTCACAACGCCAAACGGATTCGTGCTGTACGTGATAAATATCTCTTCTGCGTGTAGTGAGAAGAAGCTTATAATTAAAGAGGCTGTTAATAATAATACTGCAGCATCTTGGGAACTCTCTGCATACTTAGACTGGATTAGAGAGCCCCAGGGCTTACGTCTTCAAATTTGATTGCCATTAATAAGCCTGGGTGGATATAGGAGTACGCGTGGTAACACGTCTCCTTTTTAAAGATGCCGCCCAGGTTATGGCCGTCATGAGCGGTGTTTAGTAAATTGAATCATTTGCAGCTATTTTGAGTGGGAGCCTTCATGTGATCACTTTAGAGCTATGAGAAATGGTAAATTGTAAAGTTGATGATAAAAACGGTAATTTTTCTTTTGGAATGCGAGCTGATTGAACAGGTGGGATCAAGGGGATTGCTCTACAAATTGATCTACGCTTTGCGGTTATTGTAATAGCTAAGCTAGCCGACTGTGTGGGCGTGCACCTTTACTCTATCGTTCCTGTGGCTGAGTTTGTCTCAATGGTATCTGCGGAAGATTTGACACTGTCATTCTTCCATAGCTCCCCGAAATACGATCCTGGAGTCTCAATCAACGCTTGTGGAGTACCCGACTCAACTAGCCTACCCCCATCTAGGACAATCACACGATCAGAGTAGTCCACAACCGTTTGCAGGCGATGTGACACTGCAATTACGGTGTAGTTCTCGAACTCAGCCTTGATAATCTCTTGTAGGCGTCGATCCGTGTCGTGGTCGATGCTACTGCTCACCTCATCCAACAAGAGCACGCCTCCATCTTTTCCTTGTCTAGCATTTGAACCCTTGATCCTTTTCCGTAAGATGGCGCGTCCGAGACAGAACAATTGCCTCTCACCCATGCTAAGGTCATCGGCCTTCATACAAGCGTCTAGCCCTGCTCGGCTATTTACAAACTTGGCAAGGCCAACTACCTCAAGGACGGACAGACATGCGGCCTCTGTGGCTTCGGAACGCGGATCAATGTTCATTTTGATGGTATTTCCATCAGGTAAGAATATGGCTTCCTGGGATAAGGCTATAATTCTCTGTCGAAGCATACCACGTTTGATCTGGGAGAGCGGAACATGGTCTATCGTTAATATCCCCGACGGATTATTGAGTGGGTCGAGGAGACGCAGGAGAAGTAGCATTAGAGTAGATTTACCACTTCCAGTACGGCCACATACGGCGATCTTTTGTCTTGCTGGAATGCTCAGGCTCAAATCATGCAAGACCAAGTCCACAGGGGGCTGAGATGACACGGGCGGTGAGACGGAGCTCGCAACCCTTGAAACGTACGAGGCAGATACGTGCTTCAACTCGACGGCTCCACTAGTTGGCCAAGATGGAGGAGGCTCGAGGTCATCGGTTACCCTGTCTTCGGGCGTTACCGTGGCCGAGAACGTCCTCAAACGACTTACAGCCCCTATACAGGTTTCCAGGTCTGTGTAATTTTGCACAAGCTCGGAGAGAGAAGAGCCAAAAGACAGCAGACTGACCAAGCTCGTTCCTGCCAGGCCCACATTGGAGCCAAGCTGTGTGGCCAACGAGACAAGCAGAAGAGCCAAGCCAGCAACTATAAGTTGCATGGCCACACGGAGCCACTGTTGAATCATGGCCAGCAAGTAAGCTGGTTGTTGAGATTTGTCAAGCAGGTTATCGTTATGATCAATGTCGTAAGTGGTCCACCTAAATGCACGGACGGTGGCAAGTCCTTTTGTGGTGTCGAGGAAATGGGTGCTGTAGAAGGTTAGCTGCCAAAATTACTAGTAGAGTAACCGTAGGTTCTAGTGCCACACTTACTAGAGAGGGCTTTTAGCTTCTAGGTCGAGAAGCCGCATTTGCCTCGATGTTTTGAGATAGAAACGCTGCACGATGTACAGTGTCGCAAACAAAAATGGGAATACGATGGCAAGATATGGGGCGGCAGTTGCAATGACAATCACCATTCCAAAAGCTTCAGTCGCGGTAAGGGCAACAGAGAAGAAAGCAAATAGCAGGTCGCCATCGATCAAAGTTAGATCTTGGGAGAAATGATTGGTAATGACACCAACGTCAGTAGTCGTGAGATACCTCAACGGAGCTGTGACAACGGTATTCAAGGCTGCCTTGTGCAAGGCAGCTCCAGCGTAGGTAGTCATGGAGATGAAGATCTCAATTGCGCTAAGGATCCATGAGACAAGGAACATGGACTGGAGCAATGCGTAGATTCCAATGTAGAAACCTCGCTCATGACCAAAGGAATCTTGAGACCAGTAGTTCAACCAGATGACACCAAAATTGGAACTGAATCCGTGAATGATGGCCCAGATAGCCAAGGACATTGCTGAGAACGGACGCACGCTTTTGAACCAATGTTTGTACACAGCCCAGTCTCCAGACCCGCGAGCTGAGTTGTCTGGTGATCCTGTATCTGAGCTTGGTGACACGGTAACAGAATCTTCTGGAAGGCTTGGCTCTAGACTACTTGATTTTGAAGCGCTCTTCTCTGAGGCCGACGTTTCCTGGACTGTGGTGACAGTCATCTTGATGCCAAGCTTTTGAACGTACTCGTTGCTTTCTATAAGCCGCTCGAAAGGGCCTTGTTCAACCTTTGTCCCGTTGTCTCCAAGGACAATAACATGATCTGCCGCTGGCAGATGACCCACAGAGTGGGTGCAGAGCACTGCAGTAATGCCATTTCTTCTAACGAAACCGTCGGATCCAAAGACGCGTTGGAATATTATCGAAGCCGTGCTTGTATCGAGTCCGCTCAATACATCATCAAAGATGAGAGTCTCAGCCTCGGAGTATAGCGCTCTGGCTATGGCTACACGCTGCTTCTGACCTCCACTCAAAGTGGAGCCACTGCTTCCCATCATGGTGTCACTACCACGTTCGAGGGTGAGGATATCAACGTCAAGGAGCGTAGCCGCAATAATTTCGTCAAATTTCTTTTGACTGAAGTTGGAGCGACCAATAATGTTGTGTTTGAGGGTTTCGTTATAGAGAAAGGGTTCTTGTTGACAGTAGCCGATCCTGCTTCTGCGGGGCAGAAAAACAGAGACCTTGCCAGAATGAACAGGAGTCTCGCCCAGCAGAACCTTGCATAACGTCGACTTGCCTGAAGCAATGGGACCAATGACAATAGTCAATGCCTTCAGCGGAACTTCGCAGCTCATATTGGTCAAAACTGATTTATCGACTGCCCATCCAAAAGTTCCATCTTCAATCTTGAAGGCCAAGCTGCTTTGCTTTTCCTCGTGTGAGCGATCCGCACTCTCTTCTATGCCCGGTTCAGATACCCAAGAACGAAAATCAACCCTTGGATCCGAAATGAGAAAGCTTCGGATGCGCCCAATACAGGTGAAAGCCGCAATTACCATTGGAATATTGTTAAAAATGATTGTGAATGGTAGCGTGATCAGAATGATGTACGAGTAGGATGTGAAGATACCCGACACGCTCAATCGGGAATCAGCGGTAAAAGCAAAAGTTATGAGTGGCGAGAAGGCTGAAGGCACGGCGCCAAGTGCAATGGTACAGATAACAAGCCAACGAAAGCGTAGGCCAGTACGAATCTCCCTTTCTCGAAGGCTCTGAATAATGGAGCCCATAACTTCTGCAAGGCCTGAAATCTTGTACGACTTCATCTTGGCGACTGCTGTAGCAGTTGCGCTGACACGCTTCTCAATCTCTGTCATCCAAGACCCTAGGCGCTTATCAATAGGCTTGCCCAGTGCCGTCGTCAATACACAGCAGACGGCGATAACAACAATAGGTGAGACAAATGCAACTCCAACTTGGCGCTGCAGAAGAAAGCAACCAATGGCTACCTGCGAAGTTATTGCCCACATTTCATGGATTACTCGAAAGCCAGCTACGACACGATCAAGGTCAGTGCTCATGAGGGTGATGGCTGTATCCGCTTTGCCAGCGCCCAGGCTAATTTCGGTGGTCTTTCGAAAAATAGCAGTGTGGAGAGTGGAGCGAAGCATGTAGACAAATCTTTGGTTGTAGTACTGGTACACTCCGGAGGAGATTGCAATGCCGGCGTAGATGAGCAGAGAAGCTATAATGAGGCCGTATCCGTGATTTTTATTGCGCAAATCCTCTGGCGTCCCCAAAAATTCCAGCATGCTGTCAATAAAGAATGGCTGGCAGAGCTTCAAAGCGAGTAGAAGCAGGCGGGGTAGAATCGGGTACAGAAAGGGGCCAAGCATTGCCCAGCATATGCTCTTTAGGGGGATCAATTCCAAGCTTTGTTGATCAGTTGCAGCTTCAAGCTGGCCGATAGACGTGAGCTTGTTGTGAAGTTGTCTTGCTTTCATGCTGGCATCGAGGGGATACAAGTCGTCAGTTGAGATTGTCCCGCGATACCCACGGAAAAGCAGCGAGTTGAGCCATGAGAAGACACCAATGCCGAAAATTCCACTCGTGACTTCTGGACTGTGTTTGGGTTCCTGGTTGCCCTTCAATTTTGACTTTGGGATGGCCTCCAAGAAAAAGTTGACGGTTTTAATGGCGACGGCGAGCGTGAAGACAATGGAAAGAGTTCTGTGGTGCGAGAGCCAGATTGTACGGGCTTGTACGATGTCAAAGAGCAGTGTGGAAAATAGATAGGACTCTAAAAGAATAGAGGGTTTCAGGGATCGAGAATGTTCGAGATAGGACAGTCCGATGCCAAGTATTGAAGCTAGCAAGGTGATGATGGCTGCTCCTAGCGAGAGGGAATAGGCAGCAGTTTCGGGATGCTTGGCTAGAACTACTAGGACTGCGATCTGAGTGGCGGAAAAGCCAGAAAACAGGATCTATGTAGATGTTAACGCGTCTTACTGGTAGCCCTCGCATTTACTCTGACTTTTAACTCACGACTTTAACGTTGCGGAGTAAGATGTTGGCTGTCATGTGTGGTTGTCGCGACAGATTGACTAGACGAATCGCAGCGAGTATCGCAAAGCAGGCGCTGGGCAAGATGGACAGCATGGTTTTTTCAAAGGTGATGGTAAAATCAAAGTTGCCTCTACAGCCCTTGACGACTGGCCCAAAGGCGTCGTCATTTGCGCAGACAGAAACACTCATGGCGTTGAGCATGGACGATACTCAGTGCAAAGGAAGCAAACACAGAATCCAAGTCGGATAGCAAACTGTGAAAGGCTAAGTGGTAGCCAGGTTCACGCTGGCTTTCCAATTGACTGCATTTGCTAACTTCACCGCCATCGGAACCAAAAGTCCCTGGTTTAAATTAGCAAGAAGGGATGAACCGCAGCCCAAGCAGCAAGTCGGCGAGGATTTGCTGTTAGCGTGTTTGCTCGTGGTTTTGTCATGAAGCCAGCCAACCAACTGGTCAATCAGCCGGGGTCCCTCCTGACGACGGAAAATGGCATGTTTGCGGGCGGGATCCACCGTTTATAGTATAATATTAGCGGACTCCACAGAGACTTGTGGAGATCCGCAGCAAGGGCCAGCGTCAGACGAGCCGTCCCCATCCTTGTCCCCCATACGTGTGTACCGCACATACGTTCACCCCTCAACGACAGGGGTGCAGCTAAGAGCTCTGCCGTTGGCCAGCCCTCGCCTGTCGACTGAATAATCCCAAGTCTCTTGGTCTGTCTGCTCGGTGGCCCTGCACGCACTATTCGAGACGTCTGACTGAGGTCTCGTATGTTCGGTGCTTGATAACAACTAAAGTAACTGATCCGGCACCACACCATGAGCCATATCCTCCCATGAACGCGAACATCTTGCGTGACTACGTCTTATATTCTTTCTTCACCGGCTTAATAGCTACACGAAGCTGAATCAATACTCTTACATTCTATATCTATTTGAAAATTTATCTCTGCCATGACACTCCGCGGTTCTCATCGTCAGTCAAAGCTGTACTGGCAAAATGCTCTGGCTGACTTCAATGCCGCGACATTTCCGCATCTCAAATTGCCCGATCAGAACCCCAAGGCCAATGATATATTCACCTACCATATATCTACACATACTCACCTGAAAATGCCCCCCAATGCCACCATTCCTGTCTTAATCTGGGCGTCATGGGGGTTGGTTATTGGATGCCTGACCAACTCGGACGACGTCATCTTTGGCGTTGCAGTATCTGGAGAAAATGCTTCCATTGATGGCACAAATAGTCTTGTCGAACAGGGAACAGCTGTTGCTCCCGTGAGGATAAACCTGAATCGTAATTCCACTATCGCAGACTATTTGAACCGCATTTATAAACAGGGCCGTGAAATGGCTCCCTTTGAGCACATAGGACTTGACAACATCGCCAACGTATCGCCAGATAGTCGCCAAGCTTCCGAGTTTCAAAGTCTTCTTATCATTCAAACGCGAGAAACTGGAAACCTCCAACTGCCATTGACTGGCTGGACGGGCCAGTCGCTCCTGCTACATATCCTTCACGATGCCGAATCAATCTCGATCAGTGCCACCTTTGACGCTACTGTCGTCGAGCCCTGGGTAGTTGAAGGAGCTTTGAAACAATTCGCGTCTCTTTTCCAGCAACTCCAGCAGTCTAGTGCTACTACAACACTGGCTGACCTTGAGTTGGTAACGCGCGATGATTTGGAAACAATATGGAGCTGGAATGGTAACACCTTACCATCTATAGATCTTTGCATCCATACTATTATCGAACAACATGCTCGCGATCAGCCAGAAGTAGTCTCTGTGCAAGCATGGGATGGACAGTTGACTTACAGCGAGTTGAATAAGCTATCTTCGGTTCTTGCCCACCGATTAGTGGAACTAGGCATCGGGCCTAATCAGCTGATCCCTTTGTGTTTCGAAAAGTCTATGTGGACAATAATTGCATTGCTTGGTGTTCTTAAAGCAGGCAGTGGATTTGTGCTCCTCGACCCTTCCCTCCCTCAAGAGCGATTGCGCACTATAGCTCATCAAACACACTCCAACTTTATACTCTCTTCCATATCTTCCCATTCTGTCAGCATGCAATTACTCGATAGAGTCATTGTAATTAATTCAGAATTCTTTGTCAACATATCTAGCGGGCCGCTGTTTGTACCGGAGCCAGACCCAGCCTCTGTCATGTATGTCGTATTCATATCCGGCAGCACAGGCACACCTAAAGGAGCCATAATCAGCCACAGAAACTTCTCCTCAGCCATGGCATATCAACTGGGGTACTATAAGGTCGCCGATCAGATGAGGATGTTTGACTTTGCCTCTTATAGTTTCGTTGTTTCAATTGCAAATTTATTCATTGCCCTTACTGCGGGTGGCTGCATTTGTATCCCTAGCGAGCATGATAAGAGAAATAGACTGGGAGAGAGTATTGTATCACTGCGTGCTAATGTTATCCACCTTACTCCTTCGGCCTCGAGACTTATCACCCCAGACTTAGTTCCTAAAGTAGAGCTTGTCATATTCTCTGGCGAAGGCCTTCATGCTGAAGATATAAAAGTCTGGTGGGGGAAAGTACGGGTGATGAATGTTTTAGGGCTCTCAGAATGCGCACCTAGAAGTGTGCTCAATGTTGATGCCCAATCACCAGAGCAGGCGACACGAATTGGGAAAGGTATAGGGCAAGTGACATGGGTGGTCGATCCTGAGGATCATAATCGTCTGATGCCGATTGGCGCCGTTGGAGAATTACTTCTAGAAGGCCCCCTTGTTGGACTTGGCTATTTAAACGACGAAGGGAGAACCGCACAGTCTTTTATCCATAGCACTCGATGGCTGGTTGAAGGCTGTCCGTCCAAACGCTCTGGAAGACAGGGACGGCTGTATAAGACAGGCGATCTCGTTCGCTATAATCAGGACGGCAGCCTATCTTATGTAGCCAGAAAGGACGCGCAAGTAAAACTCCGCGGTCAACGTGTCGAGCTTGGAGAAGTGGAGTATCAAATCAAGGAGGCCCTTGCGAATGTTGAGAAAGTGGTGGTTGATGTTATCAGTCCTCAGCGGGAAAAGGCCAGTAATCCTATCCTCGCAGCATTCACTCAACCAAATGGATTACCGTCCGTTTCAGCTACGAGTGACCTATATAAGGCGACAATATTTTCTGTTACACCACACAACGAAGAACGTTTAGCAAGATATCTTCCTTCCTACATGATACCCACACTGTTTTTCACCATGTCTAAACTACCCACCACACCAACTGGGAAGATAGATAGAAGGAAATTGCGAGCACTCGGCAGCTCTTTCTCTCTCCAGGAATTGGCAGATTTGCGAACTACAAGTCTATTTCCTAAGCGAAAGCCGAGCACTAAATTGGAGCAACAAATCCAATCACTTTGGAGTCAGTTGCTTAATCTCAAGCTCTCGAGCATCGGCTTGAACGATACTTTTGTGCAGCTTGGGGGCGATTCTCTCGGAGCCATGAAACTTGTCAGCGAAGCTCGAGAAATTGGTCTGGCTTTATCTGTTGCGGATGTTCTAGGCTCTTTGTCAACTCTAGAAGAATGGCAAGCAAAGTGCAACAAGTGTCTCTCCACAGTCCAGTTGCTATCTCTGCTTTCCAGCTTTTACCGCAAGGATCTGATCTACAACTGCTATCCGATGATATGCAGCGACGGTATGGGATTCAAAAAGAAGCCATTGCAGATATATACCCGTGTACGCCGCTCCAGGAAGGGCTTTTTTCACTTTCAGTAACGCAGGGTGACTACGTTGCCCAACGCATTCTGAGATTGGCATCAGACATTGACCTTAATCGGTTCCGTACAGCCTGGGAAACGGTATTTGAGGGGTTTGAGGTCCTGCGCACGAGAATCATAGCGCCGAATGATGGACGGCTCCTTCAAGTAGTCATAAATCAGCCCGTTTCATTTGTCACAGCCACTGGGCTTGAACAATACTTAGAAGCAGACAAAGCTCACCAAATGTCTCCAGGCTTGCCGCTTATACGTTTTGCTCTGGTGAAAGACGAAATTGGGCTGTACAAACATTTTGTATTGACAGTCCACCATGCACTTTACGACGGATGGTCTATGCGTCTTATACTTGATTCAGTTGAAAAGGTTTATCATGGCTGGAATCTGAATTCACACCCTAGATTCAACGGCTTTATTGATTATGTATATCAACAGAATGCAGAGTTGGTCAAATCATACTGGCTAGGTTTCTTAGACGGCTATAACGGGACGCCGTTTCCTCCGATGGCTCCAACGGTATCCCAGTCTTCAATAGATACAAGGTTTCGATGGGGCATTTCAGTTCCCAATATGGTAAAGCTCAAGGTTACCATGTCTTCGCTAATCCGGGCTGCATGGGCCTTGACTGTTGGTCGTTGGGTCGATGCCAACGATATTGTATTTGGTGTTCTGCTCTCCGGACGAAATGCGCCAATACCTGATATTGAGAAAATGGCTGCCCCGACTATTGCTACTGTTCCAGTGAGAGTCCAGTGGGACGAACATTCCATGATTGTAGACTATCTGCAGACAGTGCAGAAGCAAGCTATTGAAATGATTCCATTCGAACAATCCGGGCTAAGGACTATTGCTAAATTAGGTGGCGGTTGTCGGCGAGCCTGCGAGTTTCAGACTCTCTTGCTTGTCCAACCAGACATCAGTCCCATAGAAGAGACTCTGGGCGAGTGGAATTTGAACGAATATCAGGAACTCAATACATATGCTCTCACAGTAGAAGTGAAGCTCAGTCCAGGCGGCATTACAGTGCATGCAGGATTTGACTGCAGAATAATAGAAGCTCAGCGAGTCCAAAATCTTGTTCAATCATTTCAATCTGTCTTGCACCAGCTGAGCATAGCGACTCCGTCTGAGAGTATATCGAACGTCGACATCATGACAACTCAAGATATAGAGAGAATATGGAATTGGAACAATAGTCTGCCGAAAGCAATAGACGGCTGTATTCACACTTTGATTGCAGATCAAGCCCTTACTTGTCCGACTTCGCTTGCTGTCCACGCTTGGGATGCTACTTTGTCATATGAGAAACTAGATCGCCTCTCCTCTATATTGGCATGGCGGCTACAAGAATGTGGCTTATCATCTGGCGATATCGTTCCACTCTGCTTTGAGAAGTCGGCGTGGATTATTGTATTGCTACTAGCCGTAATTAAGGCAGGCGGTACATTCGTTCTTCTCGACAACGCACTTCCTGAGCAGCGGCTCCAGGTCATTGTGCAGCAAGTTAATGCTCGTATGATCCTCTCATCTATAGATTGCCATAACCTGAGCCAACAACTCGCTAAAATGGTCATCTCTGTGTCGGCAAATCTCTTCTCCGATCTGGAAAATCAGCCAAAACGACAGCTGAGTAGCCCAACGCCAGACTCAATTTTGTATGTCGCATTTACATCTGGCAGCACTGGAGTGCCCAGGGGAGCACAGGTCAGCCATAGAAACTTTGCTTCTGCCATACATCATCAGACAAAACAGTTCGCCTACGATAAGAGTTGGCGGGTTTTCGATTTTGCTTCATATAGCTTCGACATGTCTATCTTTGCTATTCTCTACACACTCGCCGCTGGCGCTTGCCTTTGCATCCCCAACGATGAAGATCGAAAGAGTGACTTGCCAAACTCCATCAACAACATGCAGGCCGATTCTATCATTCTTACTCCTTCGGTACTAAGGACTCTACACCCAACACAAGTATCTTGCCTCAAGTCAATCATGTCCATTGGAGAACCCATGTGTAGAGATGATGTGACTCCATGGGTAGATGCTGGTATAAAGCTTGTCAATGCTTATGGCCCAGCAGAATGCACTCCGGTCAGTACAATCAACAGCAATGTAGGCGATGGCGAAGGGAATCCACATATTGGCCGTGGGCTGGGGCATATCACTTGGGTTGTAGATACCGAGGATCACAATCGCCTGGTACCAATTGGCAAAGTCGGTGAGCTGCTTCTAGAAGGGCCGCTTGTTGGCTGCGGGTATCTAGGAAACCCAGAGAAGTCACAGGCTGTCTTCATAGAAGACCCATCCTGGCTGTTGGTGGGGTCCAAGAAACGCCCAGGAAGACACGGACGTTTATACAAGACGGGAGATCTTGTCAGCTATAATAATGATGGTACCCTAAACTACATCAGTCGAAAAGATAACCAGGTCAAAATCCGCGGCCAGCGAGTTGAGCTTGGAGAAGTCGAGCATCACGTCAAAGAGTGCGTAGCTGATGCTGTCCAGGTCGCAGCAGAGATTATACCGAGCGGCGAGCCCAATACAAAGCCAGTACTAGTCGCATTTGTCACTAAAACCAGTATAAATACAAAACCCAGTTCACCGACGGTGGAGACAACAAATGGTCTCGAGCCTGACGTCGAGAAAGCTCTCATAGAACGCTTACCGTCATATATGATCCCAGTGGCAATTTTCCAGCTTGAAGAAATGCCTATGACAGCCACTGAAAAGACTGATCGCAAGAAACTCCGTATTATCGGATCGGAGCTTTTGGCAAGACAGGTGGTAGAACGGCGGACAAATTTACCAAAATCCAAACAGCAGCCGTCCACTCCAATAGAAGTTCAGCTACGACGTATATGGTCACGGGTTCTCAACATCAATGAGATAGATATTGGTATTGATGATAGTTTTTTACAGCTTGGTGGCGATTCCATCACCGCGATGCAAGTTTCTTCTCTAGCTCGGGCTGTTGACATCAACATTAGTAGCGCAGACGTCCTGCGTGTCAAGACCATATCGACGCTGTCGGCAGTTTTGACTGTTGCCAGTCCTCTTGCAAGTCATGTTGTCCATTCATCTAAATATGGAGGCAAGAATTTTCCGTTAAGCCCCATGCAGAACCTCTACATGCATCTCCAACCGTCTCCAAATGCACCTTATGATCAAAACTTCTTCCTTCGTTTGAAGACAAAAATACCACACGCTATCATTGCAACAGCAATTGAAGTTTTGGCTAAAAAACATAGCATACTGCGTGCGCGGTTCTTTCAGGACAATGAAGAAACATGGCAACAGACAATCAGCCAAGACATCTCTGGGTCAATTTACATATGTACCAAGCAGGCAAATGAAGCTGTCGCTGATGCCATAGCTCAGTGTCGCGACCGCCTTGACATTATAAAAGGGCCAATGGTTGCTGCCTGTATTATCGATGAAGATGAAAATCAAGATTTATTTCTCTCGATACACCATCTTGTGGTTGACTTGGTGTCTTGGATAGTGCTGTTGCGCGATCTAGAGTCCATTCTGACATCCAAGGTAAATGTAGCCTCCGCATCGCTGGACTTTCAGACATGGGTATCGCTACAAGAGGAGTATACTGCGGCGAGCTTGAAAATACAAGCATCTGGCCTAGGCAAATTAAAGACAGAGTATCTCGAATACTGGGGAATGGACTCCCTCTCAAACAAGTCCGACAGCATCCTCACCAGGACTTTTGCACTCAATACGCTAGCAACCTCTGCCATTCTGGGTTACTGTAATAATGCATTCGGAACACGACCAGTAGAGCTCATGATGGCAGCAATCATTCACTCGTTTGGATCAACATTTACAGCTCGCCAGAGTCCGACAGTGATAAATGAGGGCCATGGCCGTGAGCCATGGAACAGTGCCATGGATATCTCAGACACGGTTGGTTGGTTTACAACGATGTCTCCCGTGAAGGTGGCTAGTGACGTCAATTACAGTCTGGAAGATGTAATACGATTAACAAAAGATTCGATGCGCAGGCAACCACAGAACGGATGGGAAAATTTCACATCTCTCTGCAAAGATGGCCCTGGAGCCGCTGAATTTGCTAATCAGTTTCCAGTGGAGATTTTATTTAACTATGTTGGAATTTATCAACAACTTGAGCATGGCGACACATTCTTTGAAAAGCTTCAGTTGCCCCGTGGCTGTGATCCCCTTGCTCGTCTGGAGGTTCAAAGATTTGCCCTGTTCGATATTGGTGCACGAGTAGAGAAAGGGTCGCTTATAGTGTCGGTTGCTTACGATAAATATATGAACCATCAAGGCAAGATTTGCGACTGGGTCAACATCTTACATGACACGATGACAAATATGTCGAGCGAGCTGCTTACAATAAACCCTTGTTGGACACTTACAGATTTCCCACTGACTTTCAAAACGTACGACGAGATTCATGAATTCTCCCAGTATCAACTGAACCGACTTGGTGTCAAACACAGCGACGTTGAGGATATCTTTCCATGTTCCCCTCTTCAGCAGGGTGTGTTAGCAGCCTGCGCTCGAGATGCAAGAAACTACAGAGCCAAATTTGCTGTTGAAGTAAGAATAGGGCCTGGGGAAAGAACACTAGACATTTCAAAACTTGAAATGGCGTGGAAAGAAGTGGTCCGTAGATATGCACTGTTGCGATCACTTCTAATCAACAAAGCTGGTAAACGGAGGTACGCATTCCATGTTGTGCTCAAGGATCCATTGCCCTCCATTTCTCGTATATCAAAGCTGGACTCAACTGCTCAGTGGATGCTTCAGCATGAGATAAGTGAGACTTATGGGCATGAAGAATTGCAGCACCATCTTGTCATACACGAGATCGACGCCAAGACCGCCTATTTAGAGCTTCACATTAGTCACGCCATCATGGATGGTTTCTCACTGCAAGTTCTGTGGAAAAATCTGCAGGAAGCCTACAATATCTCTCAGAGTCCAACAGGTTCTTACAAATATTTTGTGGAGTATCTGGATTCGCAGCCCAGAGATGCCGCTACTGAGTTCTGGTCTCGGCGTCTCCAAAACATTGAGCCCTGCATCTTGCCAGCTTCAGTAGTTGGCCAAAATTCAACCACTTTTGAAAATATCCAGGTTCCCATTGAATCAAATGCGGTTATAAAAAGCTTTTGCAGCACGTCAGAGATTACAACTGCCACATTGATCCGGGTTGCGTGGGCCCTGGTTCTGAGACTGTACACTGGCAGTCTATCGCCCTGCTTCGGCAATATCAATTCTGGAAGAGATGTTGCCATTCCACACGTTGATAAGATTTTCGGCCCTCTTATCAGTATGGCACCATGCCTGATTTCTCTTGAAAACTCAGCATCGGTGCTCAAGGTCTTGAAGGCCGCTCAGCAAGATTATCTTGACAGTCTGCCATACCAACATCTTCCTCTGAGGGAGATTCACCACATGCTGGGTCTTAGAAAGAAGGCGCTTTTCAACAGTATCGTAAGTTTTCAGAGATCATGGATCGAAGAAGATCTAAACGGCTTGTCGGTGCATCATCTCGATGCCTTCGATCCAAATGAGGTGTAGCATCTATTTCAACTACTCGAGTAAACCGCTAACCCCAAGTCTCAGTATGATATTACCGTGCGCGTAAGCGATGGACCCGCCAGGACTGTGGTGAAGTTGACTTTCCGGCCGACTTTCCTTGGTCTCGATGAGAAGCGAGAGATAGCTCGTATTTTTGGAAAGGCGATCAGCGCAATTGTTGCTAATCCTTTACGCAGGATTGAGGATATTGAGTTTTGATCTTTCGTACTGTTTCTATCTGGGCGTTTGTTCTACTGAATATTTTATGTTGAATGCATATACGTTTATCTACTTACTTTAAAAACACACATCATATCACTGGGCATTTATGATTACTAATTTCCGTACCTGGGTACTTATGTACTTATGTACCATACGAACAAGCCTGCATCTTCCTTAAGAGGTACCTCGTGCTGGTCATCATTCTTGTCAGCTACCTACTAATGGACCTTCCAATCCACCCATAAACGGGACGCCTAAAGACACCCCCAGCGCCTAACATTGCACACACTCCCATAACCCCTCGAGCGTTTTTCAGCGGATACGCTCCAGCTTGCGCCGGCCGGTAGGTATTTAATCCACCGTGTCATCCCCAAGGTGCATCTAGTAGTCGTCTGATTCAAAACATAAAGCACACCACCAACACTGCTCTCAAGAAACAAACCAGGCTGCGCTCTCATTGTTAAGATGAATGTCCATGCCCCCTTCCCAGTTACAGTCCATCCCTACCGCTCCGGCTATGCAGCCTACGAATCAGGCCCGACCGGGCGCAAGAATGCCATCGTCTTCATTGGGGGTTTAGGAGACGGGCCACATTCTGTACAGTATCTCCGGACAGTTTCAAAGCATCTCGAAGAGGCCAAGAATCTGAGTTATTCCCTCTTTGAGTTTCTAAGAAGCTCCTTTTCAGGGTTCGGTACTGGGTCTCTCGCTGATGATGTTGCCGACATCACTACGCTTGTCAAGTATTTGAGAGATATTGGAAAGGACAAAGTCGTGCTTTTTGGCCAACTCAACTGGCTGTCAGGTATATTCTGAAATTTCATTCTATCAACAGGGTATCGGGAGTGATGATTGATGGTCATATAGGATTGTGTGGAATACGCAAATTACGCCAAGCATAACAGCAACCCTGTCGACGGCTTCATTTTGCAAGCACCAATCTCTGACCGCGAGGCATTTAAGCTTGAGTTCCCAGATACAGATAAAAGCGTACAAGTTGCTGAACAGATGATTACAGCCGGTAAAGCAGACCACATTGCTCCCAGAGAGGTCATCCCACCATCGCTGGGCCCTGCAGTTTCAGCGTACAGGCTAAGATCATTGCTGGCAAAAGGGTTCGTGGCTGGAATCATAATAGGTCCACAATATATTATAGCCTTTTTACTAATAGTTCATGTTGTAGGGGCGATGAGGATTTTTTTTCTTCTGACCTTGACGATGCCATTGTCAAGAAAATATGGGGCCGCTTCGATAAGCCTGTCCTGGTGCTACATTCAGAAAAGGATGAAAATGTACCACACAATGTGGACCAAAGAAAGTTGAACAAGCTTTACCAGCAGGCAGGGGCTCAAATTAGCTCTCTATCAGATTTGATACCAAATACCGGCCACACTGTTCGACGAGACTCGGCTCGTGAATGGTTGGGGGAGAGGGTTATTAAATTCTTGGAGACACTGGCTTGAACACTGAGAAGAGAAGTCAAACTAAGTTAAATGGCACTAGTCTCAAATCTGAGACCAAGCGCGCACAAATCAACTACCAACTCTATACTTTGTACCATCATGCCCGACCTAATCACTACATTCAAAGGCCATTGAAAGTGCGGTATAAATATCTGTACAAGACGTACCACGATAGAGAATGGTAGGCCTCTTTGCAATTATTAAGCATATAGCACATAACTAAGTAAGAGGAGCTCGGGCGTCAACTACATGTAAGAGTCTTAGCCCGCTGAGTTTTATTTTCGTTGTGGCGACATTAAGAAATTTTACTATATGCCCCATCGGACAGTTAACATCAACCCTTACCGTGAATCACCAAGCATCTCTTAGCTCCGGTAATTGACACAGACTATGGCAGGAATAACTTCTTCCAAATATAAACGATTAACGGTAATATGGCCATGGCCGAGGCTAAGGAGTATATTATGCAACCCATCAATGCTGGGACGTTGTAAACTTGTTAAACACACCTTATCTACAGAAGTGCAGGCTATTTCACTTCATTATTTCCGTTTAGTGGATGCGCAGGTATTGTCTGTTGTTCCATTTCTATCCTTTCCCTCCAATAAATATTGCCTCATTTCGGCTTTAGTACTCAATATTCCTGTAATATCCCAAAGCAAAATCATATAAGATATTTTGACTTGCTGCATATGAATCCGCTAGCATTTCAGCAAGCAAGCAGGGTGGCTAGTTCCAATCATATACTAGTGTCTTCGATACTTACATAGGTAGGCACATATATGAGGTAAAAAGTCAGCCGCTGCTATATCGATAACCGAGCCGATATAAGGTAGTAACACCCAGTTTGATCCCACACGAGATCAAGTTAGTTTCAGATTCTATTCTGTAACAATGCCAACACCCACTTTAAAACGGTGCAACCATTCTGAGTTATCCGCTACCGTCTGATTCCATGGGTCATCGCTGAAAGTCATTTAGTAAGGCAGAAGGGTTATGGAATGGGGTGATCACTTACTCATCATACATCAAGAACCGAGCATGATGTTGAATCTCTTTGTCGGACGGTATATGGCAATTTGGGTTATTTGGAGACATGATAGAAGTCACCCAGCGGCCCAGCTCCCGGCCCAACCACTTGTAAAAATTGGGATCATGGAGCCTATAAGATCCCATTTGAAGGCCATCAGCTTGAGTTAAAGGGAACGATCTTCTGCTTGCTTCTGAAACGGGATTGGCCGCTACTCCAGAACTTAACCGCCTGCGGGTGAAGAGTTCTTCGTCCAGTAACGGCGCCTTGGATGGAATAAATGACTGGGATGATGACAGCATGATGGCCCCGGAACTCATCGGCATCTGTCCATGCCAAGCCAAGCATGGTTCATTGAGCAAAGGTTTATTATTTGGCCCAATTCCATTGATAGCCTCTTCTTTAAATATTCTGAGAGCGTCAAACTCGTTAGTATCAATATATGGGGGGTCCAGAATTGCACCAGATGCAGTCCATGAGGTCCGATGCCCGATCAAAGCCGGAAATGTAGGCGAGCTACTACTTTGAGCGGCGGGAAGATACGCACGTCGCCTAAAGTGGCTGAGCCAGTCAGTCGAGGAAGATTGAAGTAGCGCCATAAACCACGTGTACACAAAATCAGATAAGGACAGGTTTAAGCTGTGTTGCATTTGTATGAGTATTTTACAAGCCTCGACTTGCAATATTGCATTGGATATGGCGCTTTGATTGACCATAGCCTCGGTAAGAACGAAATTATGAAGTTGCGCTTCAAGAGAACATTCTTCAAATAGTGTTTTCTTTCCCCTAATCTCTAGTGTTCGAAGCCTTCCCTCAGATGGTGTTCGTATAGGAAGAAACTGCGCTTGAGTAGTAATAATCTCGTTCGACAGGACTAGGTCACGCAGCCATGAGGGTTTGGTGTCTATTTCTAACGATGATATCTCGGAGGCAAAAATAATGCGGCAAGCTTCGAGTTGCATGGCGTCATTACCAGGAATCTGCCCAGTCTTTTCTTGATGAGTTTCAACAAAGCATGAGAGCTCTACGACGAGTAGTTCGTATGCAGTACGAGGGGATTCTGGTGAAATATCACTTGCTTCGAACGGAAACGGACTATTTCTCTCTTCACCTAGAAGATCTATATCACAATCAGCTTACATCAAAGTCTGGAGTGAACTAAAGAATTTCCTACAAGGTGGAATTGCGTTTTCAAGTGTATCTGTGATGGCGTCTTCAAAACCCCAGTCACCCGTCCAATTATCCATAGTCTTGCCCATTTTAAAATGGTCAGCTAAATGCTCAACTCGGTCATTCCACGAGTCCAGATGGGCCCCACAAAATCCACAACGGGATCGAATTATTGTAGTGGACGTTTTCCAGCCCTCCGTGATCGCGTCTATCAGTTTCGACTTGTGTACGAGGTGTAAATGTTGTTTAAGATGGTCTTTCCTATTAAATCTTCGTTCTTGGCAAGAATTCGGGTTATGGCCACTTATATGGCTATCGTTTGGCTCCGAAATACCGCAGAAGACACACACTAGCTGGCCAGTTTCGCTGTCGATGGCGCGCGGTCCGTCTGGAGAGCATAGCCACCGCTCAAGAGGTATGTGAAGAGTCTTTTCATGCCGCTGCCAGTCGTATTTAGTTTTGAATGATTCGGCACAGAAGGTACATTGGAATGGATGCTGTTTGTTGCGCATAAGAGATCTCCTCGGCCTTGGCAGTAGCCTTCGTCTTCGACGACGTGACCTGCTACGCACTAGAGCTGCGCCCCCCGTGAAAGAGTCGCTGGAGCCATAGGAGTATATGGAAGCAAGTGAACTACCACTAGATGTCCCATAGCTATTGTCTGACGTCTCGTTGATAGACCGACCGGACCCATCGTCTATAGATTTCGACAGCGGCCAACCTTGGTACTCATATCAGCGTGTATTCTTGTCCGTTATATCGGCCAAGGGACCACTTACTTCGTGACGATTTAGCACTTTTGACTGCTTTGGCAATAGCAGTGACTGTTGCAGGCTCACTCTCCGGGGGGGAGTCAACCCAGCGTTCAAGAGGTCCCATAGTATGGTGATTACGCCTTGTCTGGACTGTAGGTGTATCAGGTCGTTTGGGCATATCTATCGATACTATATCGAAATTGATTTCAGCTGTTGCCTTCCGGGAAGATTTGATGCTTTGGTGCATCTTTTCTCGCCGCCTAGTATTAGCGAGCCAGTTTTTTATCTGCGTTTTAGATAGACCAGTCTGATGTTGTAGTGTTTCTGTTTCTTCTTTACTTGGATACGGATAGCTATAGTGGTCCTCAAACCACTTTATTAATAATTTGGATGATTCTCTAGAGAAACGCGTGCCTATCTTCGGGGGATTCGTGGTGTTGAGATTAGATTGGCCAAAATCTGACGCTGCAGATTGGGTATACGATTCCCAATACGCCTTAGGGAGTAGCGATAGAGAAGTAAAATTTTCTTGAGAAATATTTCCATCGGCTATGACAGATTTGCTCTGACTTGATGGAGGATAAAGGACGCAAGAGCTGGTACTCAATGGAGCTACGGTGTGAGGTGTATATGGCGCTGCGGATGCCATATTTCCCAAACCCCAGGAGTCATCATCAAAGTTATCGTCAAATTCATACTGATGTCCAGTTACTGAATCATAAGGCTGCTCCAAAAATTGTGTGCTTAAATTTTGGGCTGAAATGCTGCGCTGCGTGATGTCGTCTTCTTGGAGGGGCGGTTGATCTCGTTGCCTAGAAATTGGAGAGGTGTCGGGATCTGGGGCGTCACAAGGCTGGATAATTTCATTCTGAGCTCCCGCCATGTTCTTCAGACTGCAGAAAACTGAGGGCATGTGTCAAACGACGGTATACATGGCATAAATGGCGATCATCTAATGCGACAGAACGAGGAATTGGAAATTCTAGGGCTAGGACGACGGACGGGACGTGGCGTTCGCCGCTTCGGATTCATGAATAATCCATCAAGGCCCACTTTGTCATCAAGGCCCACTTATTATTATACCTGTTAGGGAGGGGTTGAAAAAGGGCCTAGTAAAAGTCCTAAATATATAGATTCTTCCCAGTAACACGCCTAAGGAGTAATAGCTGTTGAAAGCTATTTTCAAAAAATGAAAATTTACATATTACAAATATTATAAAAAGTAAACAAAAAGTTATAAACTTTATAATAAGCAGCAATATCCGCAAGTTGAGTAAAAATCGATGCTTTTTAAAATATGAGGCAAATAAGCAGCCTAGCCCATTCATAGTTAAATGCTCCATATTATCCTGCCTAGGTTTCGAAAACATATTAAATAATTATCGAAGCATTGCTCTCACCTGCGCGAGCATTATATTCCAGTTTCTTTTAATCTCCCTCAGCTGCCGTACAGCATAAACTCTTCCAGAACCCTACCGGGGGTATTATAAAAATAATATACTGCTAGAAATTAAGAAGAGGGTGTAGGGTAGAAGCACTATAAGAAACCCGCAATGTAATTCATTATCAAAGTATACAACAGAAAATTGTTTTTTATTAGTTATATAACTATTACATTAGCTATACTATTGGAAATAAAGCTGTATTTTATAAGAGAACATCAGCCCTCTGAGCAGCCCGATAGAATTCATGCCGTGCTCCACTCGGTTGTTTAGTTAGTTGCTAGCATGCAACAGAAACCTAGAGAAATTCGCTAATTGCTATATTATAGATTAGGCTGCATGTCAAACTACATCCTAGTAATAGTGGGTTTGTGTCGAATATCACGCCTTCTACATACAAGTATAATAGGCGCCAATGTCAACAATAAAGCGACTGATGCTAGTAATGTGCTTGCCCACTGAATACCTAAACGTAAATACATCGGTTTCGCAGCCAGAGGTAGAAATGCCGCAAAGAGATTCTCCCCAAATGCCACGGCTGCGATGGCGCTCGCGGCACAAGTTGCGTACTCATCGGTAACGTATATGGTAACTGCATGCACAACTACAGTAATTGCAAACCCAGTAAGACTCAATCCTATCGCAGGAACAATCCAGTCCGACTGGAAAATGCCCCAACCGTACATGAAAAGCCCACCGGCTAGAGCAATAGCCGTGCTTGGAATTGAAAGGTACAAGATAGACTCGGGGAATGGCGCTCCCGCTGTCCCCTTGTTGGAGGCTGCACTACGGGTGTAGACCTTGTTTTGTACCAAACAGGCTGCGAACCCTAAAAGCTGCCCAACCCCTATGCTGACTTGCACAATACCACCACTGGTCTCGGACCAGCCATAAACGTCCGTAAAGACAAGTGGTACCGACTGAGTCGAAATAAAAATAAGACCGAATGTGAATGAAGACCAGGTGGTCATGGATATGATAGTCGGTTCCATGGTAAGAAGTACTGCACTGCGGGAAATTGTTTGCGCGAGAACCCGCGCCGGAGATTCCTTTATCTCATCCTGATCGGCTAATATGCTAGCCTTATAGAGACGACTACGGATAACGGAACCTCGATTCTCTCTCATGAACATAATGACAAGGGGGGTAGAGGCGCCGCAGATGATGAGTTGAATCCAGATGATCCTGTAAGTAATCAGCAACACACCCAGCATCATTTCCTAAGGCTCAACTTACCAGCGCCATCCCAGCGGCTCCCCAATAGCGCCCAATACAGGACCCATTGTAACACCCAAAAGAAGCGAAATTACGTATACAGTCAAGGGCAACGCGCGCTCGGAGTGAAATGGGAACATGTTAGCAGCAATGCCATCAGCCGCATTCTGCAGTGTACCGCCAAAAACACCGGCAAACACACGACAGACCACAAGGGTTGTAAAGTTTTCGGCTAGAGCTTGTGGTATGAGGAAGATGCAAAAGAGAATGAAGTAGGTCTAAAGTATTAGCATTGAGATAAATATCGGCATAACAGGGTCAAGCATACCACATATCCGGCCCTCACACCATATGTGTCCATCAAAGGTAACGTGACCAAAGGGCCTACTGCCGCTGCGGCATTCCATGCTGTTGAAGAAAAAAAGCTGACATCCAGCGCGCCACCACTTGACAAATGAAACTTCGATGAAATGGTGTTCGAAGCGGTCGTGATGGAGGTGGCATTAAGTCCAACAATAAATGTAACCCAGCATGCTATACCCATCGTTGCCCATTTTTGCCACAACCGCCAATTGAATGGATTGGAGGGATGCTGGTTCCAATCAATCGCATGATTGGTCGTAAGCTGGGTTGAAGCCAACTGTGATGGAGTGCCCGACTCTGGCTGTGAAGACTTTTCCTGGCCCATGACTTTTGAGCTGAGGAGAAGAGACAAGAGTCTCTCAGCCTCTAGGTTAGGGAAGGGTGTTTGTTGACGGCCGGTCCTATTAAAATCCGGCTATAGAGGCGTTTGGTAGCATCACTCGAGCGACCTTATACTAGGTCTTGTATCTGGAAGAAAAACATAGGCGGCGTTTAAGCTTTTAGTCGAAAAAAAAAAAAAAAAAAAAGCCGTAGACATTTATTCCGATGCTGAGATTGATGAAAGGGATTAACTGCAGTTCGCCACATTTGCAACTAGAATCACCTGGTGGCCGCGGATGTGTAGGGCCCACGCCGTTAACGTTGCGCAATAGAGGTGGCCCCGCCAGTTGTTGTAAGACGCGCCTTATGTACGCCACGGCGGAAGACAGTGGGGCGGAAGACAGTGGGGCGTCACGGCAAAGAAGAAGGCCGCATGATCCAACATTTGTGACATTACAGGCAGTGTGGAAGGGTCGGTTACAGTATACATACCAATGTGTCGCCGCACGCATATCCAAAACCAGCCACCGTATTCGTATTCTAACCAATCATATAACATAGTGAAATCTCTCTCATTTTGTGGAAGGTTCGAAATGGTGAAGCCTACTACTAATCTCATTTAGCATTGTTGTCGCAGGCTTGAGGCATGCTGCAAACCGACGCATGATCATCACTTTCAGAGGAGCCAAATAAAACTGGCTGCATCCCGAGCGTATATTATGAAGCACAAGCTCCAATGCAGGCAATAGTTTAATTAGAATGCATCAAAATACATCAAGATATAAAATAATAAGCAAGAGCTTTATGCTTGATGTATTTCCTCCTTTTTGTACTTTTTTCTGAACTTTGCTTAACAACTAATATTCTTTTCTCAAACAACTACGGAGCCTGTGCTGCAGTTTCTCCAGCAAGACGGCCAAATGTTAAACAACGGAGGGCACTGCTGCAAAAGGGGGGGGGGGGATCTACGAGGATTGTTAGAATTTGGTTCTAAATGTGGGCAGGGCAAGTAAGAATAGTAGTAGGAAGCTGTAACTAATCAATCCCGCTGTGTTCGATCGAGACCGATCTACTCTTCCGGGTTGTTAGTAAGCTATATATTGCCCTCTTGAGGAAAGATTTCAAGGTTTTAGCTTAAGTAAAAACCGCTGAGCTCACCGGCACAATCCACTCCTATATTTCACAGGTTAGCATGCAACATGATATAGACTTAAATGCAAACCTTTATTAAAAAAAAAAAAAAAAGTCGCAGCACATGTATGCATTATAGAAAGGAAGCCCTCTCACCTGAAATAGACTCGCCGTCACGGAAAGCACTCGCGACGCAAGGTCGACCTTGAGTCCGAAAGTGAAAATAGCCTTTGCGGTCAGTGGGTAGCTAAAACAATTGTTAGTCAGAAAAGTCTTCTATAGAGCGACTGACATTTTGTATGATACATACCCAAAGAATGGAGGCACTTTAATCGCGGCAGCCTAGTTGCTCTTGTTGGGGACCAGACCAGTCGTGCTTTTGCCATCGAGAATCACGGGGTTAAACTTTGTCGTTTATCCTACAGGTGTGTGGGTATTACGATTTATTTCAAGACTGCGCAGATATCACTTACGATGCATTGTATTCATCCACAGGCTTTTCCTGCTTTTGTGGATTGAGGCCAAGTTTTTCCCTAAGGTCCTCAATTGTGTCTCCTTTCTCTAGATCAGGGTCCGTAGTATTATACACCCAGCCCGGTCGGAATCGGTTCATGATAGTAGCATAGGTGATACTGGAAGTGCCGTTAGTAATACAGGCTCATCGAGAGTACAGCTTACCCTTCTCATAAGTATGCCATCTGATCCTGCTCTAAAATTGACATTAGTAGAGGTCATCCAAATTCAGGCATGCGCATCGCTTACCTCGCCATGTCTCATATGCAGTTAATACCTCGCAAGTAGCAAAAAGACTGCGTATGTCAGTATCGGTGTACCAAAAACCTAGATCCGCACATACGGTCGGCCGCCTTCAACGTACAATCTTGTAGAACGCTTTGGGAGGGTACATCAGCTTCTTCTCTCATCTACTGCAATTGCTCGAAAACATACTCGTTAACAACGATACCAAAGCTATGGTCCCAAATAGTCGCCTCTGGTTTCGGGGATCGGGTATCGACAAGCTCGTACTGCCGAAACTTAGCAGCCTTGGGCTGGAGTTCACAGAGAGGCACTCACATGTAGGCAATGGAAAGAGCCAGCTGTTGCAGCACCAACTTCCAAGCCGATCTTTAGGCCAAAGCCAGTATTGTATTTTTGGCCAGGGGCAACTAGCCCAAGCTGCTCTGCTCTGGGTTTGATGTATCGTCCCATCCTTGGCAAGAGTTATTTACATGTCGTATAAACTTGCGTTGTTTACACTCACATTTCACGATTACCTTCGAAACCACCACAGGCTAGCATGACTTGCTTTCCAAATACCCGAGTGAACTATCCATCTTTTTTCCGAACTTTGAATCCCCAAATGGTGCCACTTTCGTGAGTCAAGAGCTGTTCGACATTTGTTTCCCACATAATGGTCACATTGGGGAACGATCGAATATGTTCCAGCAACTTGGGGATGATGGCATACCCGCCACCCTGAATACTTACATCTGCGTTACTGAAGTGCTGGTCTAATCACCTTTCAACATTCGCTTAATGTCAAATAAATAAGACGTAAAGTTTGGAATCCAAGGTAGACGTTTTTTCCCATGGTGCTGCAACTTTACTCCATCACATAGCGTCAATCGTGTACGAATATATATATATATATAAAAGTTTGCTCACGATCAAGAAGATATTGGACCGTATAGGGAACTTCAATCTCCAATTTCCTACAGTACGCCTGGTCGACAAGCCCGTTTCTATGACAATTAGAGGAGGTCATTTAGCTTGGTTGGCAAACTCTGGTGCTTCATACCTGCTTGCGGCGCATCTTTCTCCATCTTTACCTACTTCAATCAGGGCGACTTTGGCATTCTTGCCCATTTTCCTCGCATTTTCGAGAAAATCCAGAGTCGTCATCGAACCCTGATCATCATCCATAAGCATTTGAGCCACGCTTTCTTTGCCTCTGATCCTAGCTCTAGCAGACTCACAGTAAAGCCAGAGTCAACCACAATAAGGCCATATTATGTTGAATGGCATCTTAGTCTTGTCAAACCCTGATGGGTGGATGCCATAGTAGGTACATATCATTCCTTTTGGCTTAGAATAGTTTGTAGAGCCTGGTAGATACTTGGAGGCAAGGAGAGAAGTAGCAAAAGAAACAATGTTCTATGTTATATATAGCGCCAGATTCTATCCCGTCTGTGCCTACGTCCCCATCTATGCCGGAGACTTTTTCATACCAGCTACAATTCATACTCATAAGAAAACATCCACTCAGGAAATACGGGGTAATCTCTAATTCGTGGTCGTTATCAGGGCGCGCAGCGTACTTCACTGGGATGTTAAAGCGGGACTGGAGTAAAAACTCATCAAGCAAGTTTCTTCCCAGCACGGTGGCTGCGGATTGTTTTTCGGGCCGTCGCCACCATGACCGTGAGCGGAAAACCTACGGTCTTGTGCTTCCCCGGGTTTAAACTACATCTACGGGGAGATAGGCTAGGATGTGGAGTTTGATGCCCATGCGGTCAATCATGCAGGGATATCTGCCAACCGTCCGTCCACGCATCTTTTTATACTCCTCTTCGGCTCGGATATAACTGCTATCTTTGCGCATCGCATCGAGCTGAGTCCATCCGCATATTTCTAATACATGGCGTTAAATTGCAATTTCACGTTAAACAAAGACCGCTGATGTGCTTTATGTGTTAGCCACGCTCTTTTATGTTGCATGCGGATTACAGTGCTGAATAGAAATTACAAGGGGTGTATATCTCTGTTCGGAGTCTCCTTGCCCTCATCCAGTCAGCAAGTGCCTGACTAGGTAATCTCTTTTCGTGCGGCCGCTGGACCTCGGCCTTTATTAAATTCTAATTAAAGTGGCGAGAGAGTTAGCAAGTCATCCTAATAAAGTAAAATATATTAAGGCTGCTGATTACCATCGTTAAAGTAAACATTCTAAGATAAATCGCTTAAGTCAGTCTTAGGCATATATCACAGGCTAAGAGAAATATATATATATTTGCGCCTGTGTCATACCTAATGCAACCAGTCAACTATGGTCCTGAGTGCCTCTGCACCTGTATATGGTGCTATAGCAGAAGGACAACAACCAAAGTCACTCTTCTAATATTTTTTCTGCCTTTAAATTTCATATGCTTAGGAATCTAGTGAAAACGTTTCTATGAGTGTTAAATGCCTGTTTAGCTGCAAAGGGTTATGCATACTCGGCAATTTAGGAATTAGATTAGCAGCAGCTTTGGCCTTGTAATATTATTGGTTTACTACCGCCTCCACCGATATTTTTGAGCCAAACATATCTGGGATACGGTGTGTGGCGCTCGAGAGGGATGCCACTAACCCTTAAAATTTCCTATTGTAGTATATGGCACGCATAAAGAGCTAGCCGCAGCTAGAAGATTTCTGTCACTTCGCATCTACCGAATCGACCGAAAGTTTCATCGGCGACCTACATAGCGCAATGACCCGTCAGGCTAGCAGTTCTGTACGACACCGTTTACTATAACAGGTATACCTCTCTGGACACTATTCATGGATATTTTACAAAACCGAAATAATACGCAAGCTTCGCGCTATACTTCCTTTAAGATGGGAACCCTTAAAAAAAAGGGGGAAAAGGGGGGGGGGGGGGTCATTGTCGTGCTGATCTTCACAAAATATCCTTTTTAGCCCAATTGCTTTTCTCAATTTTATTAATGGGCTTACCTTTTTATTAGACACTTTTTTGAACACATCTTTTAAATTTAAAGGCCATAGGTTGTAGGGAGGGCTGATAGGTTAAATTTCTATGCTAGGAATAGCAGCTAGTTACACGCCCTGCAGCTCTATCAATTCCATTTACGAACGAGTACACCACATGCTGTAACATAGTAGCATGCCGTCCTTGTCAAACAGCTCTGCTTTACGCTTAGTTATCCAGGAACTGGTTGATTAGGCTCGAAAATTGACCCGCGTACTCGTTCAGGAACCCATGTCCCACATCCGGGTACAAGTGGAAATGAGCATCGGCGTTGCTCAACCTCTTGAACATAACCCAGCTGTTGACAGTTGGGATGATAATGTCATTATCGCCATTTGCGACAAGCACGGGGATCTTAATCTCATGCAGGCGGTCATATGAACCTTCTGACGCATATTCACGGTTTGTCCAGCGAAGAACTGCCTCAATTTGCGCCTTCGTGCCCTCAGATCCCACATAGTCAGACCTGTTTGAGCGAGCAGTTGTCATACGATTCCACCACTTGTCGCCTAGGGTCTGCTTCCCAGGTGTCAAAGAGTAAAATGTTTCTAAAAAGCCACCGCGCTCCTCCTCATCATTGGAGGCCGCAGCTAGACGCCCAGTTGCGGCCGGATCGCCACTCTCAACGCCTTCGCCGGCGCTCGGTCCAGTTCCCGCAAGGATAAGCTTGCGAACAAGAGTTGGGTAGTTAAGAGCCACCATTTGAGCTGCAAAACCTCCCATAGAGAAGCCAAACAGGTCAATCTGCGGGATGCCTAATGCCTTTACAACAAGGCGCACATTATCAGCCCATTTAGCATAAGTACCTGGGACTGTGCCGTTGCTCTTTCCAACGCCGGAATTATCCAGTAGGATGACTTCACGACTAGTTGAGATAGGATCAAGCAACTGAGGATCCCAGTGGTCAAAAGTGCCTCTAAAATGCTGAAGAAACACAAGAGGGATAGTGTTTTTGGCTGCTGAGCCGAACCGGAGATAGGCAAAACAAATACCATTGACCTCAATAAACTGAGGCTCAGCAGTTGCGTAAGATACCATACTGTAGGATGCTGATTTATATAAAAATTGATAAATAATATCAGGAAATAAAGATTTGATAGATAAACTTGAGTGTATGGGAAAACTGAGAGCAAAACGTTGGGGAGGTTCGCTGTCTTATATACACCAGCTTTCTAGGGACGCTCTGTTTAAACAATGTACAAGACTTATGCCGTGATATGTGCTCCTGTTTGATTGGCAGAGCCTTTTTCACCATATTACAACGCTTACCAACCGGACTCAGGCTAACAATGACAAAACCGCAGGGCCATGCAGCTTTGGCGTTTGCACGAGCAGTAGCGGCGTAATTCATTTTAACGCTAGTAGTGAGACAATCTAGCTATCCCACTTGATGGCCATTGCGACGAGTAAACCCAGGGTCCTCCCTATCCCAGCCCCGTCAAAGTTTGCTCAATCTGTGTATTATTAATCTTGGAGCGAAAGTTGCAACTACATTTGTCGCTTCTTATTTTAGGTTGTGCGGCGTTATTGTAAATAAATGAATAGTATGACCAATGTGACAAAATTTGTAATAGTAAAACAACGACAGGTACTGTTGAATAATCTTCCCTTTTGGAATCGTTTATATCAACGAGTTACCAAACCAGCAAGCGACTCGCATTACTCGTGCACCTAACTTGGAGTTGAAGCCACAATCCGCCGGCTATGCTTACGGCATACCTAACGAATAGGGCTTAGCATTGCGTTAACTAACCGGCAGGGCGGCTGCTAAATGAACATTTCCTAATTAACATTGCCTAATCTAGCTGATGCTCTACATAGACCAATTTTAAGAGGAAGCAGGTATGAGATCTCAGGCAAACCTTGAAGAAGCAGTAGGTGTCTGCTAGCTGCATTTTAGCGGAGTGCGCGACATCTCTAATCGAGATCTAAAGCGTTATAATCACTACATAGGTACTGTATTTCCCCATTGGTACTGCCAATCTAGTTCGGTAAACATGGCATTAATCCAGAACTCCACACTGGCAAATACAACTTAACGTGGTAGGGCATCACGGCGCTTCTCCATTGGTTTTCGTTGTTGGAAAATTTAATCGTTTCTCAAGAGAAAAAACCTTTCTTCAAACCAATTAATTTGTCATCTCATATGAACCCTTTGCCACAGTTTCGTTCAGCAAAGTACTAACAGACTTTAGGACATAGCGCATATTAAGAAGAGAGGGGCTCCCGATAGCTCTAATAAAACGTAGTGCCAGTGAGCATTCACAATACTTCTATGATTTACTATAAAAGAGCTTAGAACCAGCACCTAAAAGTTCATTTTAATTTAACAATCTTTCGATTACCAAGTTGGAAAAGAAATTGGTAACGACCGAGGATTACCTGAGTCTCTACCGATCTACTGTTTGAGAACTAAGTTCTTATTACACTGGCTTCTATACTATATCTTGGAGCGTCTGGGCAGATTGTAGGTGAGTTTGGGTACCAGGCACAGAGAGTTGTTCTAACCTAGCGCAGGATCCTTTATTACACATTTCCGGGAGAAATACCCTGAGGTTTCAATTACGTTTTATCTTCGTCGGCTTGAGTTGGATGGAGCCTGCGCGATCTCGGAAACACTATTGTTGTCCATGGAACCTTCGATCAGCTTCATGAAATTGAGAAGCTAGCGTCGTCTCATTCTCAGGTTTTCAACTTTGCGAGTTCAATGAATCATTTGGTGACGGATGCTATTCTTCGAGGCGTACGCACTCGTAAGTCTCAGACGGGCACGACATCAGTTGTGTATCATCTTAGTGGCGCTGGCAAATTTGTCGATACCAACGAGTCTGGGGGTTTTATAGCAACGGATCATCCCTTTGATGACGCGAACCCAGAGGATATTCGTACTATCACTGCGGCAAATCTACCAAATGCGGTGACAAGCTACTAATTGCAGCGGCTAATAAAGGAGAGGCAAAGGTGTATTTCATTTGCCCTAGTGGCACTTCGGTATTCGGGGTTGTTCATATTGATCTATAACTCCGGGCAACGCTTATCTTGTAATCCGACTTAAGTAACCCTAATCTAACCTATCTAATGTTGTGACATACTTATACTTAAGCTTATACTAAAGGATAAGTAAGAAAACAAATAGTTACTATCTTAGAATTGAATTGTAATACTGTTGGTCAATAGTAGAATTGAGGGATTAGTAAAAGCATCTCTTGAAAGTTGCAGCTGTTTGGCGAGGCCCTATGGTGCTTGCTTGCCTTATCGTATTACTTGGATTACTTGGATTGCCGCGACTTATTAGTGAAATTAAAGAACCTATTACGTTAAAATCCAGCTATTGCTGCTCCCAAAATACAGACAAGCTATGATCGATTCCCATGGGGTTCTTTATGATGATAATAAGACATTGGGATTTCATATCCATAACCATCCGCAACGACAGCTTCTAATGTACAACACTAGTGCTATATTACAGTGGATAAATACAGTAATTTCAACAATATACACATTGTATAAACACTAACGTATTTTTGTCTAGTGCTTATGCAAGTGCTGTGTGAATAGCAAGGTTTATGTTTCCTAGCCCTTGCCCATGGCTAATGACTCATACAATGAGTTCCTTTTAGCATGCCGAAGTTGCTAAATACATACGAGTCCCGAAAGTGGCCTTACATGAGAAAGCCTCCTTCTTTTCCTTCCTCATACTATCATTTTATTCGAGATTCTACTTTAAGCCCGAGATGGCGTCACTTGCTAAATTTCATCTTGCTGAGGTAAGTTAAAAACTCCTATTGCGAGGTCTTACAAGCTAAATTGGGAAAAATCAGTGGATCCACGAGAATTCTGAGCATGCGAAATACAATATTGCAGGCAGTGCCGCTCCGAGCTTGACACTGCGCGAGCTGATATCACTGTCTGGCAGCCCGAGTGAAACTGAAGCTGCGCTCAAGTTTGATGAACTACCTTTGGGCTTGGGCACCAATCAAGGTTCTCTGGAGCTACGGACAAGGCTCGCAGCATTGTACAATGAAAAGATTCAGCCTGAGAACTTCTTGACGACACCAGGGGCAACAGGCGCCAACCTCATTGTCTTTCAGAGTTTTCTCAGGCCGGGTGATCATGTGATCTGCATGTATCCTACATACACACAGCTATCGAATTTGTCTAAAAGCATTGGGTGTGATGTTTCTCTATGGAGACTTGACCCCAACAATGAATGGTGCCTCGATATGGCTGAGCTTCGTGTTCTTATTAGGCCCTCCACTACTAAAATGATTATACTAAACAACCCTAATAATCCCACCGGCTCTGTGCTTGACGCCAAAGCCCAGCTTGAAATATTGGAAATTGCACAGCAACACGGCGTCATAGTAGTTGCTGATGAAATCTTCCGACCACTATACCACAACCGAATAACAATCCCATCATTCGTGGAGCATGAGTATACCAAAGTCATTACAACTAGCTCAATGAGTAAAGCATGGGGCATGTCCGGCGTCAGAATTGGATGGATCGTTTGCCGTGACCAGGATCTCACGGATCTTATGTCAAGCACGAAGCAATACATCGCTCAAGCCACAAGCAATATTGACGAGGCAATTGCAACAGAGTGCTTGAGCCTTCGTTGTCGGCCAGCGATCTTAAAACGACATCTTGAGTATGCACAACAGAACTTGGAGCTTTTAGAAGCCTTTGTTAAGAAGAATAGCGACATGTGTACCTGGATACGGCCTACTGCAGGAGGGACAGCATTTGTGAAGTATCATACTATAAGCGGGGATGCCATTGATGACGTCCAATTCTGCCAAGACCTCCTGAAGGATTATGGGGTCCTGCTCAGTCCTGGGAGTATCTGTTTTGGTGAGGAAACACCAGCCAACTGGCAGGGATACGCACGAATGCATATCACAGTGTCCCCGGAAAACATGCAGAAAGCCCTTCTAAAGATTAGTACTCTCCTGGGCGAGAAGCGCAAAACAGCAAAGTATTCCTAGAAATGGGATTGCGCGATGGAGATGCTCTCGAATGTGCTACAATAACGATATCTCTATCACATGCATTGCATTGTTATTATTATAACGCTTTGCATGCATTTTCAAGTCTAACTACCCTCTTGAACAGCTATCTGTGTAGCTTTATGTGAATGGTCCAATGAACATAGCAGCCCAAGCAATTTCCTCTTCTGTATTGATATCGTTACTTATCCTATCAAGTTAATATAAAAATATCTCAAACATAGAAATTCCTCTTCAGGATTCTGTTTTTAGCATTTAAACAAATAGGAAAAGGAAAGAAAAAATAAAAGTTTATATAAAGACTATTCTACCTAGGTATGTACTATACTGCTATGGTCTTTTTGGCTCCAGAAAATACCCACTGTCTTGCCTTTACTTTTTTAATTCGCGCTGGTGTCTACCAGATTTGGCTCGTTGCCGCTATACGGGATCCATTCGGGTCTTTAAAAGTGGTCGTGTTCTCACAAATCTTCTCGCAAATTGGTCCCAATCTTGACCCCACTCCAGTTGCTGCGCCGCCCACTAAGGTGCATCTGTTTCATCGACGATCCCTAACTGGACAAGAATGTCGCGGGGAGCGGGTTTCTACCTCATAAACGACAAGGTTGCTTTTTAGGTGTTGTATGCCTGTTCATTTTTGACCTTTATCAGCCACACTGGCTTTGTACGGATTGAGCTTGATTTAGCGCAACGATGGATTACATCAGAGGATGTACAGTGCTAGGATTGGATCCCACAACCACTTCGAGAAATCGGCATTTCAACACTCATAGTTCCCCACATCTTGAATTCTTCTATTGAGGGCTCTTGGCAGAACATCGATATTACACTTAGTTGCTGCGAAGTACTGTTAAGGATGACTAAACATAAAGAGTTCATGGGTTGAAACTGAATGAGTTGTAAGCTGCATGATATTGAATAGGCAAATTTAACGTATCCCATGAGCAAGTTCCATCTGCTTTGACCTTAAATAACCCTAGGCTATCTCTACAAATGGCGCAATTGTTTGCAATATGAACTATTCAAATCCATAGCTCTAAATAGAGAGCCTTGTAAGAGTAGCAGCTCAAATCTGCCATCTCTGTCAGTGTTGGATGCTAAGGAAGATGTTATATGTTTGTATTGTACTATGTACGCGTTCAAGTATAAACATGAAGTGCAAGATATATACTAACGACCGTCTGTGTCAATGGTTTAGCGAGTCAATCTTTTTTGTTCGCATGGTCTCTGTCATCTTGTGCCAGAGTGCCTTTTAGCGCTACTCTCAGCATTACTGGCAAGATGACCACCAGACACTGCTGACAACGCACTTGTAAGGCGACTGGCATTGAGTAGGGCCAGTGTACCCTTCACCTCCACATTGACCCCATTGCGGTACACTACCCCCGCTACCCCCAGTTGGGCTGGTGGAACTGCCACTAGTAGAAGTAGTCTTGGATGCGCCAGTAGAAGTAGTAGCTGGAGGGCTTGAGCCAGATGCGGCGAGATCACTGACAACCTGGTCCAGGAAACCGGAATTTTCATATAGCTGGGACATATCCCACATCATAATACCGGCAAAGCTTGAGTATTGCTTGGTGAATGAGATGACCGCAGAAAGTTGCGTTCCGGACACGTATCCACTGGCAGCACCAGTGTTGGCGGCGATACCAAGCAGAATCTTTACATTAGGGTTCTTGCTAACAGTATGCGCCCAGTTGTCCCAGACATCAAAGTTGTAGTTCCACTGGGTCGTTGCTCCTGGGACATAGCTGCTGACTCCGCATCCGTTGTTGTAATATTGGATCATAATGAAGTCGAAGGATACCGTACCATTTAGGGCAGGGTTGTCAGCGTAATCGGGGTAGACGCATTGTGGTGCAGCAGACAGGTAGAACTTTCTGTTCGCAGATGATGCAGAGGCGTCCATTAAACTCCGCAATTCAGTGGCAAAAGTGGCCAAGTTATTGACACCAGACTCAAAGTCGAAATCAACGCCGTCAACCACTGCGGAGCCAAATGGGCGATCTACATTGCTGTTTGGATTGACAGGACCAAACATGTTCCAAACTGTCTGGGCCGCAGATGTAGCAGCACTAGCGGACGAGAAACCGCCCTGGCTATAAGATCCGCCTCCTAGTGAGATCAGGATTGTCTTGCCATATGTTTGCTGACATGTAATGATGTCCTCCCTAAAGAAGATCTAAGCATCGAACACTGCAGAATTCATGGGTACAACCTACTCTATCTGGGGGCAATTAAGCGCGTTAGCATTATCAGCGAAGGCAGTGCAATTATTGCCTGCATTGGCGAAGTTCGTAATGACTGGGCTGATGCCATTCATGAAACCAATCGGGATGATCTGTAAGAGGTCAGCTAGGCTACCGAGTCACATCAAAGATTTCGGTAATACCCACATCTATTTCAGCGTCTAGAAAAATCGTTAGTTTGCCATAAATTAGTCCGAGTTGATTTGGAACTCACTGGCACAGTAGGTAGACAAGCGTAGCTGAGAGTTTGCTTGATTTGCCGAGTTTTGACCTGGACACGATGTATTAATTCGAAGCCCAAGTCTTGAAATCATTAACTTAGCTCACCCCAGTACACAGCAATGTTTTGCGTCGAGCTAGCGTTGAAGCCGGCACGTGCCGATGGCAGAGCGGCCAGCAAGGCTCCTAGATAAGCCAATGAGTGAACCATGCTGATAATGTTGGCCGACGTAATTTGTTAGGGTAGCAAATATATGTCCGTCAAACTGTAAATTGCTACTTCCTTAAGGCTCATATATAGTCAACTTAAAAAATAAAAAAAATCCAAAACTAATAACGTAGATTGCAGGGTAGTATTGAAGAACTGTAACCGCTTCAGGCTTTACTTCACAAGGATAGGCGGGGCAACAAGTGCCACGTTTCGAAACAGCATCCCACGATATCAGCACAACGTTGTATCCGGGGAAGACGTCGATAGCTAGGATAGAGGCTCTCAGCAAGGAGGGGCCCAAAGCAAGTTTATACCGAACACTATCATTATCATGTGGCAACATGTTGCATACCAGGTGACTTAAGTGGTCAAGTGATGCAGGCCAGACGATGGCTGGAGTGAGGGCGAGGGGAATGAGTCCCAGCCACAGATTCAGAGACGTGTGCCATAGCTTAACAGCTACAATAGCAACTATCTACTGCTGATTGGCATGCTGGTGAGACGAAAAGCCCCAAGGTATAATGCTTGCAGATGTGGTCGCATGCTTGATCAGATACAGTCCAGGTGCGGTGGATTTGCTCGGTAGACGGCCTAGCTGGGTTACAATTTGCTGGCCGATTGTGATACTGTAACGTGGGAGCTTTGAGTCACGTTTAGGCTATATCACTCCCGATATAATCTATTAATTCATGTAGTAATTTGTGCCTTCGAGTCCCGAGGGCCATATGCCTAATCATGGCGCCAGGCATTTGCCAACTGCCTATATTGGCAATGTTAAGCAGCAAGGGGGGGTCAATAGTCCGTCGACTGACCAATTATGTCAGGTGGTACCTGCGCTACGGCTTTGTAATTGCCTAATTGGTGCTACTAGCACTGGACATAAAACCCTAGGCTCTGCAGTAGCTGTGACCTCTGATTGCAGTGAACGTGATGGGCGCTTATTCTTGTTTGCTCAAATGTATGCAACGATCCAGTTGAACAGAGTGCTGCAGCTAGTGTTAGAAACATAGAGTAGCTGGCTATCCATCCGAAGCCTAAGTTGATGGCTCTAAAGAATTCCCTTTTATAGGTGTTGAACGGAGGGGTAGGCTTGGCGCACGCCAAAGTAGGCTACCGCTCTTTGAGATTTTCGTCTATGGCCTTATTTATAGCCCCCCGTTTTCTTCGCTTATCTTGAAGTCAAAGCAACCCTATGGTCGCTATTACAATGCGATACGCGAGAAGTGTACTGTATTTATCTGTATTTATGGGAACTTGATCAGGGCGGCAAGCAGAACGTGTAGTAATAGCCCAGCCCAGTGCCGACGTTTCAACTAGTACACGTAAATTTTACTTAATAGCCACGGCGGGTTTGCTGTACTACCTGAACAACAAAATCAGAATTGTCTTAAACGCCAATCTTGGCACTTGGAAAAGATGTCTCTATTGATACAATGAGGATTTTACTTACATGCAAGCCTGTATCCCAAATGTCAGCTAACGATATCGGATTCGTTGGTAATGAAACACATTTAAGTATGCCATACGTAAACCCAAAAAACGTCGCCAACTAATGCAAATATAAAGAGCTAGGAGAAGATTATACACTCTTCTTGCTAGATAACTAAGTATAAACAACCTCTCGCAAGTGTAACTAAATAAGCGAAAGCCTTCACTTCGCCGTTCTTCCCTTGCGATAGTCGATACGGCCATTCAATTGTGGTGCTGCCATTGCCTACCAAAGCAGAAGATGGTAACCATATATTCAATCAGTGAGAATAGCACTCCTCCAAGTTAAAGCATCACTTTGAATCAAACTTCCAGTTTATCGTTTTGAACGTTTTGTTAAGTAGCGTTTGTATGTCATACTAGTGTTGTTAGAAATTTTTGGGTCTAAAGAGGTGGATTCACATGAATTGATTGTACCGCCTGATTACAGTTCTATATAATATAGCTAGGTCCTAAATTTAGGTGCGCAATTTTCACAGCATTCAGTTGTAGAGAGTAATTGCCCAGTTTAAGTTGCATCATCATAGCGGAATACCGTCCCCAAGTTGTCTTCAATATCATCGAAAAGTAAGTTGCTCGAACTCTTTGTGTTGAAAACGGTCGTGTGATCGCTGCTTTATTGGTCTTTTCTTTATGCTACTACTGATACTGACTTGAGTTAATTTGGTTTAAATTGACTAGTACATTAATTTCACAGGAGCAGGTAGCAAACAGATTTCCGATGGACTCTCCCGAGGTGGAGACTATCTGACCCAATAAATTGAAGACAATGACGTGGAGGAAGACATTTGACGCATCTTCAGAGATTCAACAGTGAATTATTACGCCTACTGTGACTGGGTACCCCTACCTTGATCGACCGACTATTATAGCAGTAGATGGCAGAGCTGGCAAATATGTAGGCAGCAACAGCTCCTCAGTAGATGAGCCTTATGATTTCAGGGTGCTAAAATGCAACATGCAAGCCAATAGTATGAATGGACAAATTTCACTATCTTGCGTGCACGTGTCAGCCTCCTTGCAAAAACAGCAGGAATTGAGAGCGTGGTATACAAAACCTACGAAGTCACAGCTTGATAGTTCTTCTTCAAGAAGATGAGACTAAAAGATGAGAAAAGATGAGCGATTATTGTAAACCATATTGTTGTCTGAATGAAATGTCTCCTTAGCCAAGCTTTCTGCACAGATTGGACATTTAGACTTCGCATTGCTCAGCATAAATGGTGCGCAAATGCTAGCTAGAAACGGACACGATTTACTCCGGACATTTTAGAAGACTATTCTCTTCTGAAGGCACCCATTTCGCACCAATATCAGCGTTAGCCTCGATGAATTCTACGATGTAGTGGGGGGATTAGTATCTCAGACCGATACAGATCTTGGTCATTCCGGGTTGAGGGAGTTTAGGGAAGAGGAAATGATATGCTCAAGATTATGTCTGCTCAATTAGTTCAATACATGACCGAAGAGTATTAGTATTTTGTCGTACTACAATTTGCCAGTCTTTCCCTGAATCTTGCTCTCTATTCCACGTTCTCAGTATTGCTTACTTTTCATATCATTACTTTCCTAGAAAATGTCTTAACTAAATACCCTCTACCCAATTATAACAGTGGAAGGTAAACGTTGACTAGCCATGGTATAATGATTTCCTCGTGGGATCCAACTTTTACTACAACATTCATAATATGATAAAGTTCTAGTTGCTGCAACTCTGTTTGGATGGCAGTTTCTGGCTGTCCAAAGAATCAAGGATTACCTATTTAATGGTGATCTTCTATCTCTATTCAGCTTAATCTATTTTAAGAATGAAAAGAGAATCTCTTGTTGAGTCCCCAGGGGCCTTTCTTCGTGACGGGTTCATCGCCCAGGATTGTCACGGTCTCGATTTGCACATTCGCTTGATACCAGAATTTTCCATCGGCCCTGAATTCCTTACCATCCCAGGAGAAGCTCATGTCTGAAAACCGTCCCTCCAGACTTTCTCCGTCATCTAAAATGAGGGAGCCAGACGCTTTGCCGTCAAGGCCAGGAGCGACAATTATGTTGAAATTATGCTCCCGTAGGGCGGTCGTTGAATTAGCCCCATCGGTACGCATAGGGATGATACTGCCTCCGCGAATATATACTGGCAAGTCGGTGTAAGCTACATTATTAAGAGTAACTTGTTGTCCATTGCCGCGAACCGGCTTGAACGTCCAAAAGTCGTAGAATATTTCGTCTGGGAGGTAGATGGTAACGCTCTGAGCATCATCGTCAATAACGGGAGAAACGAGAATGGAATCACCGAAAAAGTACTGAGTCTGGATACCGAAGGTATTGGCGTCGTTGGGGTATGTGAAGAACATTGGATTTACAATCGGGGAACCCGTGGTACTAGACCGGTACATGGCAGTATAGATGTAATCCAGCAACCGATACCGAGCAGCAATAGCCTTCTTAGCAGCCTCAGTAACAGACGCCCAAAGGTAAAACTCTTGATTGGGCGCGGAAATATCCGCGTGGTTACGATAGAATGGTTGAAAGGCGCCTAGTAGCGCCCATCGGGCACACATATTCTCCTGAGCATTGCCGTTGAAACCGCAGACATCAGATCCGACCATAGGCATCTGGTGGACAGCGGCAAAGGCGAGCATTTGCGAGATGGAGAAGCGATAGTCATCCCAAGCGGAATAGTTGTCGCCAAACCAATGGGCAACCTTGTTTCCAGCGCCAGCAAAGGTCGATCGTGTGAGAACAAAAGGCCGCTTGCCGGGGCGGCGAGCAAGCATGCTAACCCGGCTATGGGCAGCCATCAAAAGGCCGTTTAGGTTATGCGTATCGTATTGGACAGTGCCATCGTAATTGGTGATGTTAGTGTAAACAGTACCAGCACTCAAGTCGCCGACGTGATTCTTGATTCGATAAGGCGGAGTGAAGAGGTTACGGCCCGGCAGCCCCTTCATAGTACCTCGACTCTCAGCCTCCCGCCGTCCTCGGACCCGGAATGAGCTCGGCTGGAAATCACTGGGAAATCCCGGTATCGGCCTGCCCGTGTTCGGCCGAGGCGGGTGGGACGGTGGTGGAGGTGTATTGGTATCGTGAGCAAGCTGAGCCGGGTCGCAGTTGACGTCACCACAAAAATTTGAAATTTCGTTCATATCGTTCCATACTCCATCGATATCAAGGCCTGTGTTGGGATCAAAGAAGCGTTTGAACTCGTCAGTCCACCAGTCCTGGGTGTTGGGGTTGAACCAGTCAGGCCAAACAACTTCGCCGGCCCACTGGACGCCTCGGTAGTAGGAGCCATCAGCCGCCTTGAGGAAAACGCCCTTCTCAGCACCACGGGCAAATGTCCCGTAGTCTCCCTTTCGATGAATGCCGGGATCAACCATCATGACAAATTTTTGTCCCCTATCATGGAGGGTATGGACAAGCTCGCGCATCTTTGGAATGGGGAAGCGATCCGGGTCGGTGGTGAAATCCTGTCGGAGGTCCATGTAGTCAATATCAGACCATAAGACATCGAGGGGGATGCCGGCAGTAGAATAGTTGCCGACGACTTCGGCCAATTCGTTGACGTCCCAATATCCGTATTTGCATTGCATGAAGCCAAAGCTCCAGTAAGGGACCATGGCCGGCAGTCCGACAACCTCGGCATACTGCTTGCTCACCTCTGTGGGCGAGGGACCAGCGAGGAAGTAGAAGTCAAGGACGCCACCGATAGTGTTATACTCGAGGTATTGGCCACCTGATTCTGTCTGGTTGATGACGATGTTCATGCCATTCGAGTTTCTTAGAAATACGCCATGGCTATGACCACTATTCCGATGCTCGAGATAGATGGGATGGCTTCCGTAGAGGTTGGACATCCTTGGGACGTAGGGAGACTCAGCATTCCAGAAGGTCCTGATGTAGTTATTGGTTTGGAGGCGAAACGTGTCAGTGTGCTCTCCCAAGCCGTAGAGGTTCGGGTTCTGAGGCAATTGAGTTCGCAGCCGAACGTACTGCGACTGGAAGATAAGCTGTGATCCAGAGGTGTTGAATAGGACGTCTCCAGAGTCGGATCGTGAGACTGCGAAAGAAAATGGGCTCGTTGTATAGGTGAACTTTAGGGCGGCTTGCCTAGGATCACCCCTATTATTAGGCGGCGAGGGTAAGACCGATTCAGGAATCTGATACACTTGGCGATTCGCATCATAGATCTTGACATGCAAACGACTATCTAGATGCGAGTTAGACTCTGATAGATAGATCAATTTACGTTGGTAATGACAGCTCACCTCCCTGGTACTCGACCTGGAGCTTCAGACTTTTGAGATCATCTCCATAGATATTGCAAGGGGAGCCAATTAGTGTGAGGTCTGCAACTAGTCCATTGGATGAGTGCGACACATGAGAAGCAGAATATCCGAGGCAATCCTCGATGGTTGAACCGTGCACCGTGGACGCGATGGCCCCGATGACGATTGACGTCCACGCCTTTTTCATTCTGAGAGCTATGCTTGCTGGTGAGGAGGGCCGTATCAGAAAAGCCATTGCATGCCATTCTGGTCATATTTATATCCTTGCTCTTCCATGTTAGACTTTATCGTCTCCTCATGAGGAGCCTAGAAGTCGGTAATAGCTCACGGACAACCTCCGATTGTGGGACCCCATTCTGGGCAGCTACCTTGTACGCGAGGTCGTTGGGTGTCCATCTCGAATCTATAGCAAAGCATTTGTGCGCCAGTAGAAACGTGACTGGCGTATGGGGCAATGTAGAATTGTTGATTCATGCAACATGGTAGGTACAAAAGGGCCGTTGATCAGAATTGCATGGTTTCCAAGCAGCATGGAGTGTCTCCCCGTGGGGGATCAGCCAGGGGCACAGGCAACCAAAATGTGACATAAATCGGCCGGTTGCGGGGTAAAACGGTACATGATAGATGGGCGGCACTTAGATGCAACCATGAGGTTCCCTAGACTTGCCAAGGCAGAGGGCCATATGAAGACCGGGATGATGCCGAGCTTCACGTGAAAAGCCAGTTGCTTAATGGGAGATGCTCATCATCGTCTTTAGAGCGATTGTGATGATATGATTGATGGATGAGGCAGGTCTCAACCAAGTAAGAGAGTCTATACCTTCACATCTGAGTATTGTCGAGCAACATCCGCCCAGTATCCAGCAGTGCAGAACAGACACTGCCCCGAGTATGCCGGGCGCTTGGCATGACGTGAGGTTAAGCTCAAATTTTCTGGGTACAGATGCGTTAGCGAGAACCGGGGAGTCGCGCATGAGCAGAAGCTGTCAGAGCTAAACAAGACTATTCTCGCGCGCTTCGCTATTGGAAAAAAACGCGAGGAAATCCTGCCGAAACCAACGTAGGGATACTTGGACCAATGCAGAGGTTCATGTCTGTAGGATTAGATCAGCGCTGAATATACGTAATGAATTTTCGTAGCAATGCTCAGTACGGAGCGCGGTAACAAGTCATATACTCCACAGATAATATTCTCTATGTTTTCGATTCAACTTCATTTGCTAAAAACGTTCCTGTATAAGCATGCTTCTAGAGCAGCAAATGTGGCTTTCAGTTTTCCCTTCTTTAGGGCCGGGCCGTTTGACATGTGGATGTTGTTGCTTCTCCACTTGACCCCCGCGGAGAGAGCATTTTAAGCAGTTTAAGGTTGTAATTCTTATATGCGGCTCCACTAAGGTTACGTTCGGTCTCTCTACACCAGGATCGCCATTAGCTCTGCGCCTATTATGTCACCGAATAGCCGCTTGCAGTTTCTTGGGAGATTTCTATAGTTTTTAGCGCAGGGGCTGCGGGCGTACGCCAATTTCCAATGTCTATCGCTCTTACTGAGTCTTTATCTCCGGAAGATATCCGAATAACCCACAGTTAGTTTCGGGCCGTTTTGATCGTGCTTTTGTATGTATGTACGATAATTCTTCTAGTCACACTGTACAAGTCCTCTTCAGAGTTGGTCAAAAGTGTTGCAGTATGAGCAGATCCATTTCATCCTTATGTGGCCCTATGAAGCACTTACGCTTAAAGAAGTCTAGCATCATCAAATATCGTATGACGTTCTGGGAGAGTTATGTAGCCCAGTCCAAGATAGCCTGCCTTATATTTTTAGTGAGAGGGCGCCTGCAGAGAGAAGTAGCAATATGAGACTTGATCGAGTTTATGAAGTAATAACAGCTAATTCATGGTTCAAAAGTTGCTTTTAATAGTGTAGCTATTTAGGGGAGGTTGAATTCAATAACTGGGCCGCACGACAAATGATTACGCCAATGTAGGTGTGTGACGAGTTGCACATTTTGGGCATTATCACAGACTTTGGGTTAATTTAATTAGCTGTGATGTCTTGAAACCTGGCAATAGGCTAGAGGCCCATATTACGTACAATGGCACAGATTGGCTGTATCTTGATCACTACAAAGCAAGATCAATCAGGTCGACTCTACGCAAGGCTACATAACTGCATGTATGCGCGAGGGCTGCGGGCATTAAGATTTAAATTGGCTCTATCAGTGCCTTAGGATACAAATCTTTGCAATTATATCATCAGAAATACCGTAATTAGAGGAACGGGTCCAGATTATTCCTAACTTAAGTAGATGCGGACGTTGTTCGACAAAAACACTGGCTATAAAAGCTTAATGATGTACGCTAGCATCTATCACTATGCCATAGTATCGCGAGTGCATTACTATGCAATCTTTGATTTCAACAGTAGGGACCGAAATTCTAGAAGAAAGAAATTGATACGGTACATAAAGATATTGTTGAGAAGTCACGTCGTCCCACCTGTATTTATCAAGCCCATCTGTTTGCTCAAACAGCTTTTCCCTTTTCCATAGTCGCACACACACACGCACACACACATGCACACACACACCGAATAAATCATCAAGTTCACCAATTTCTGGACGTCCTTGATAGATGTCTAAATAAATAATGTCTTCACCCTACTTTGGCCATTCCCACTATGCAACATGAGGGTTAAATAACCACTCATTTACAAACACACAAGCGCACGCGCACATGCACAAAAATGATTATTTCTAGAGCATTTCTACCATGAGTGTGTTGTACATCACAATTATAACTGTAGACACGTCCTCCAAACTAACAAATGGTATAAAGACTACACTAGTACCCTCTCAAATTAAGTACCAACTACATGAAGAGTTTAATATCTGTCTCATCTCCCATGAGAATCTGTTGAGCGCCGGGTCAGTAATTCTTGTTTCATTTTCGTTCCGCATAAGGATCGCCCTATATGACAACATTCACTGCAAATAATTGTATAAAAAATCTTCACTCATTTGAAAGCACAAGGCCCCTTATCCACCGCCTCCGTGAACGAAAGTCGTAGTACGGTTCGAGGTAAAAATACATCATGAGCCCAGGTGGATTACCTTGGCTCATACTGTTTCGCTGTCTCCTGACTCGCAGAGGCTGGCTTAGCTTTCTTATAGAGAGTATATCGTTATACCGGGGGACGATCTTTTGCGCGACCTGTATCGCAACTTTTGCCTAGCGCAGCTTGCAGGCAACTTGCAAGCCGCTTTCACTAGCTACATTTTTCAGGTCGGCATGTCTCAACATGTATGAACCACCTCCACCTCGTCCAAAAAAGACTAATATTTGTCGCTCCCGTACTGGGTGCAAAGTGTGCAGGCAGAGGCGGAAAAAGGTGTGCTGAGAAATTGATTATAATTCGAGTCGTCAATGTCAAGGCTGACGGCTCAATAGTGCGATGAGCGGAAACCTTGCGGCCTCTGTATGAGGCTTGGAGTAGCCTGTGAGCAGATCTTCCCAGCGTTCGAGTTTCGCAGCGTCTTAGGCCCGCCAAGGTCTCACAAGGCTAAAGTGTGGCCATTCACTTCAATGTATCAGCCGTCGAATAAATCTGTTGCTGTTATAAAGAATTCACCGAAGCATTGGCGACGCTCGCCTGGAAGAATGGATGGATGCGTTGACACCATTTTCGACCCGGACAGTTTGTTGAATGCAAACACGACCCCGCAATCGGACCCCAGCTTATCTTGTGCTCCCGAGACTCACAAAAGAGTCCGGGAAGTCTATTCTAACTCCGACCTTTTCGAGGAGCCGCTGGGCTTGGAGATTACCAATGGGATATCTGTTAGCTTAACCTCATCTCTCTTGCCAGCGCCGAGAACTAGTGACGCAGTCATATTCTACATGAATATTTGGAAGGTTCATTGTTTGCCAGCTTTAAATGTGGTGTTCGAATCTATAGTGACTGTTCACAGTCAATCGTCACTCATAACGGACACCATGGCCACCCTTGCAGCCAGTCGCCTGAGTCGGAAACTGCCGCAAAGGCGATTGTTCAAGTCAACTGACTCACCAGGGCTCGGTTTCAGACCAGATTCTGGCCATGAATGCTTAAGCAGTGAGCTATACGGCTCTGCCCTGCGCAAAATGTGCTGCTGGAGCACTGAAAATTTCGACTTGAACCCAATGCTGGCTTTTGTCGCGCTGGTCCTGTTCTGCTATGTGGAATCCTCAATGGGTTACTTCGAAGGATTTTACATCCATTCCCAAGGAGTAGAAAATCTCCTGAAGAAGTCTGCTGACCTTATCTTTCCCCACGGCGCTGGCCTTCTTGCAGCTTGGGTAGAAGTCAAGATGCAAAATTGGTGGCGTCGGGCGTATTTTGGGGTTCCTGAGTTCTTTCAGGACCACTTCAATCCGTTACTTTGTCCAGAAATACAATTCATCTCAAACACTGAGAGTGGTCGCACGGCTACTGTTCTTTGGATTCTTTGCGAATCCCATCGTCTCAACACTGCCGCTCTCATTGCGTGCTGAGCAAGACAAGAAAACAGCAGTCAGATAACGGGAGAAAATACAGTCACAAAACTTTTAAATAATGCCACTCCAGCGACGAATAAACAATTTATATTCAGTGAGTTTTTGGCCAACATGAAGATTTATTCCGAGAAGCTGCAGGAATGGCGCGCTTCACTCCCAGATTTGGCAGAGATCGGGGAAATTCCAAACCGTCTCAAACGTCTCGACTTAAAAAGTCTTGACAATGAAGCTATATATTTCCCATGTCACAAATTGGCCATGAACATGGCTTATTACGTGATGGCCCGCGTCATGCACTGCGCCGGACCGCTACGGACCTTTGCTAGGGAGTCTGTCCATGATATTCATGATTTATATGAGGAAATAGAGGCTTGGATCCTCATCATGCTGCGCATCGCTGCTGGAATCAGCTGGGAGGACTGCATTTGTCTCAACGCTTACACCATCGGATTTTCGGGGCTATTATTCGCATGTGCCCTTTCTTCTCGAAATCTCGAAACCGGACTTTGGATCCAGGAGTGGTTGGAAAAGCGTTTAGAGCAGGGAGGGATTGAAGAGGGTAACTTCCCTGTCTTTCAAATTCTAGATGCAGTACGACTCATCAATCGCGAACGCAAAAATGGTCTGGATGTGGTTGCGTTGTTCCAAACAGTAGATGATGGAGGCGGTAGCGGTAAGTTTGGCTCATATTCCAGCCAATCTATCCGGTCGATGTTGGTTTACGGAAGGTGTAGAAGTACAGGAGAGCTGGGCTCATACCACGTCTCAACAGGGGGTTTGATTGCTCCCGGATAATTTTTTTTCCCTAGGTGTTATTAGGGACACTACGACGTAATTTCTATAGTATACCATGATAAACATCAAGATCACTCGCACAACTTTGTCAGTAAGAGTTATTCCGACTACAGTTCTCAATAGGCGCACTCACGAGCGGTGTTGGGAGCTAAGCTAGGCCCTCCTTTTTCTGGATAATTTGCTGTTGCGGCCGTTTTCCTTAGCGGCCATTTCGCCTTGAAAATTCCCTCTGTAATTGTGCTATTGAAGTTTTTTTTAATTGGTTCTTGGCAATTTACCATCCATGCCGTGACTGTTTCTGGATACTATGGAATTGTTAATACATTCGCAGCTCCCCCACTTCATTATATCCCAAGACCGCCGCGACATAGACGCATTACCAATCCGAAAATTTACCATCATGACGTTCTCTTGCTTTCTGAAATATGCCGAACTTCGGATCGAGCTTGCTGTTTATAGTGCACCGGAACGCGATGTCGGGATATATGTCGGGCAGTAAACCCATATTGTTTCGTAAGATTTCGAACGCTTGCCGCATTTGGTGCACGAGAGCGCAGCCGAAGTGGGCAAGTTGGAAGACCCGGAACAAATATTGGGTCCAGTGTAGAATGGGGGTTGAGATGACGCTCAAACTTTTCCTTTGTGCACGAGAGAGCGCCAGTATGCATTTTTCCATCTTGTATGGGCCAATTTATTCGGCGGTTCTCCCACTACATATAAGAGTTCGTAGATATTATATAAAAACACCACTTAAACACTACTAGAATTTTTTTTTGTTCTTTCTTTTTTTTTAGGAAGCTAATGGAGCGTAGCTCCTAAGATGCCCCTTACACAAGAGATGTCCTTCTGACCTTGAGTCAAACGAAATCAACGCGTTGTCAGAAGTACACCTTAATTGAGTACAATACGATAAAATCGCAAACGTCTCTCAAAAAGGTCTGCGTATCTACTAACGATGTGTCTACTCTTCGCTGAGGCCATTACACGCCGGCTATCATCGCCAATGGCGCTGTATTTACATCAGGCGTATTCGGCCCTGATCTTACCACCAAGAAAATAGTTCGTGGCACGGTTATTGATCGACTGTACATCATTTGAACCTGTCCAACCTCCCCCGCCTAAGCCCAATGCACCGCGCAGAACCAGATTATGAGGAATGTTGAGCCTATCCTCAAATAAGCCGACTCCAGCCTGGAGAGGGTAGCTGAAGTCACGGTATTTTTGACGAACATCATCGATGCTGATAAGTCGTCTCTCGGTCACAAAACTTACTAAAGAGGACTAAACCCTACAAGGGCGTAAGTTTCAAAATAGGCTCTGATATTACATATACTCAAACTATTACTGTTTAAGCTGTGTTGCTGTAAAGGAACTGCCTAATGATCCACATATTGAGGTTAAGTGTATTGCAGTAGTTATGCGCAGTTGACTGATTTCTGGCTGCGGTGCGAACATTACTGTCCCATCTTGCTAAAACCCATCAAAGATAGAACTAGCTAGATGATTGTAGATAGTGTATATAATAATGATGTGTTTTATTAGTTCCATGTGAAAAATCTGAATTATCTAGCTATCGACGTTTCCCACCAGCTCGCCCGTTCCCAAACATCAACTACCCGCTCACCATGTTCCGACGAATCTACTACGTAATACCAACCGTATAAGGCTCCCGTAATACAAGCATGATTCGGATAGATGCGAACAATCTGGCCTACCTAAAGCGGTATGGGTTGCTGAGAATCTCCATCGCCATGCCCATTAATGACTCCCCATGACACAACGCAGTGTTCCTGGCTCACGCGCTTCACAATCAGCCGGCGATCAGGATTACTCGTATTAGAGGAGTAGTCATTGCGATCGATAATGCCCCACCCATCATATGCTGCACAAGGTTCACGTCCTAGGCCCAGTACTCCAACCGCAAGTAAAGCTTCGGGTTGCTGACGCTCGCTGTCGTTGTAGACGCTACAAACCTCTGCCATGACAGATATGGCTATCTCATCCTCATAGTCCCCTAAGTCAGCTCGGGAATGGGTAGAGAGCTGTTGCACATCAAGGAGGGAATATACACCGGCGTGGAGTTCGAGTTTGGTGCGAAATCCGCAGTGTCTGTCAGTCACTACCTTGTGCAAGGTCCGTCGTAGAGACTTGGCGTCCTCTGATAACGCGCTCTTAGCCCCAACCAAGTTCTCTATGGAAGTTACCTGCAGCGATGCTCCGATACTGATAGTTATTTCCTTATCGCTATAGAACAAACTCGAGTTTTTCTCGAGCGCATCAAGACAACCACGAAGCTCGCCTTCGAGATGGGCCATTGCTTGCTCGGTGGTTGAGCCATTGTAGCTCAGGCTGCTGTGAGAGTAAAGACCAATGAAGTTTATTTTGCCCAGGCTGTCAAGGTTCATCAGTTTGGAAATTAAGTCGTCCTTGTTGAGACCGGAAGGAGGTAAGCCGGCTCGGTGGTAGCCTGTATCGACCTTCAAGTAGACCCCGGCTGGAAAAGAAGCTTGGTCTGCAAATCGAGCTACATGGTTCAGCTGGGATGTATGATCGATCATGACAGAAATGGCACCTTGGCCCAGCTGCCGGCCGATAGCTGCCAGGCGATCAACCTGGGAAGGTGGCAGGGGAATACCATAAAGGATGTTCACTTGGCGGCCATTTTCTATAAATTCATGCAGCAGTGGCTGTAGATATTCGATTTCAGCAATAGTTGATGCAACGAGTAGAGCTTCTGTTTTGGCTTCCCCAACTTGCAGACGAACCCCTTCCAGAGTCTTCAGTCCAAAGTCAGTGTTTGAAGTCTGGGATACTAGAAGAGGAAGGGTTGCATGAACCTTGTGTGTCTTGACGTGTGCCCGAAAGCCTACGCCTAAGTACTCTACAGCATCAAGGAGAGACTTGCAGTGTCGATGCATTTGGCCCTGTCAAGTATCAAGGCCGGTTTTGGCAGTTGAGTGATCATTTTTGCGACATAGTGTTGTCGAAAATCGCCCGCGGTTTGTAATATCACATGTGCTGATCCCATTATGAAAAATTATAAATTGACTGTTGAGTGAGCTTAGCTATGGGCGTACTCCCGTGCGCTTCTTATAGACTGAATCTTCAGTCCCTTCCGCTACCATGCCTGAGTGCGGGATACAAAACCATTGACCAAATAGAGTGCGCGGGTGCGACGTTGTGCAGCTTCGCGGTGTGTTCAAATAATGCCGCTATTCCCAATGAGGTGTGCGGCTGCGACGAGTTGATGACTAGAGTTGGCATCAGTGGAGCACTAGGTATCGTCCCCGTGCAAAGAAGAGGCATACATAAGCCACATGAACCACGCCTTAGGCTTAGAAAACCATGTTCACTATGGAGCATAGGGTCTTATATCTATAGTTGGTCCGCTCCTACGAGTGTATGGCAGTTGACAGACTCTCAATCTTTCCCAGAATCTGCCGATGCTCGTCATACGTGACAAGCTGTCTATCATCATGACGTCCCCATCGCCAATCTGGCAACCAAAAGCAATTATTTTCGACCTCCTTACGGCCCTGTTAGACTCTTGGAGTCTTTGGGATGCGTGTACAACTTCTATAGCTGCTGCAGAGGGCCGACTTTGGCGGGCACGCTATCTGGAACTGACCTTCGACACTGGCGCATACGTCCCATATGAACAGCTCGTTCACAAAGCCGCAAAGGATGTTGGCTTGCCTGACTCGGCTCCCAGGACGTTATTGGAAAACCGGGACAAACTTCAACCATGGCCCGAGGTTGCCCACGTCTTAGAGCAGCTGAAGTTTCAGGGTTATAAGCTTGGCGTAGTAACCAATTGTTCGCAGCATCTGGGGACTATTGCCGCCGGTATAGTCGGAAGTTTTGACTCAGTCGTCACCGCAGAGGAGAGTGGCTTTTACAACCCTGCTAGGCAAGCTTATCAGGCCATCTTGGCAGCCATGGGTGTTCAGACTCAAGACGCATTGTTTGTTGCAGGTAGTGCAGGAGATGTTGAAGGCGCAACAAATGCCGGCATGAAAGTCGTCTGGCATAACAAGATTGGGCTGCCAAGACAGGGCCAATCGGTTCCACTTAAGGAGGCTACAAGTCTGTATAATGCTTTATTGGACTTTATGTAAATTTTTCTTAGAACTATGCACTAAAAATACAATTTCGAAGTATCATCTCGGGCTATGTTTCTTTCCATTAAAGTGACCTCAAGTCTAGCATTGCAGAGCTCTAATACGAGCCAATGACCTGCGGGTCAGCCCCAACGATAACAATCTCAGACATTGTTTGTTATAAATCTTGATGAAAAGACCGACTCATTTCAGGAACCTAAGGCAGAATTAGATCAACAATTGTTGCCCTTCTTAAATTTATGTGAAATCGTTGGCCTTTTAGTGTAACTCTCCAAAATGAAAGTACGTAAATAAGGAAATGTTTAATAAATAGGATTTCTGAGTGTGTTTTGAAGACTTCAATGCTACTTCAGTATAATAATTTGCCTTAACGCCTTACGAAAAACGAAAATATGTCCTGTGGAATCTTTCTATTCACGTATGCGTTTCCACAGGCTCGGAAAGCAGTCGCGATCCCTTCCTTCAGTTAGATACCTCGATTGTGAAAGACATATGTGTAAAGCGTCGATTTCCTCATTAGGCCTCTTCATAAGCCTACCATTAAACAAAGCATAAATTATTTATCATTATTGCAAGGAAACCCTAACTCCCAGACTCGTGCTCTGATGCTAGAAATGTGCTACTGTGCAGTATCTTCGATGACGACGTTTCAAGTTAGAGTTGACTTTGAGTATCACAGTTATACTGCCTCTTTCAAAACAGTAGTTGAAAAGGCGTTGACCTATTTTTAGGTGCTTCAAATATATAACCCTCGGGTTTTCCAGGCATTTGTTATTTCCTTACCTAACGTATTAAATAAAGGGATAGCTTATCCGGTATCCAAGCAGGCGTATTTTATATTTAAAAAAAAAAAGCAGGGCTTGTGCAGTGGGGTGTCAAAAGTCTAGGTTCCTATACTTTTAGCTACTATATTACAGGGCTTTCTAGTATAATATAGCACTTATCCGCTGTATTATAGCACTTATCCGCTATATTACAGCACTTATTTACTGCATGACAACACTTGTCTGCCATATTACAGTGCTTATCCACAAGGCCTCTCTACTATAATACAAGGCTTTCTACTATAATATGGACTTATCTACTATAATATAGCACCTATTTACTATAATATAGCGCTTATCCGCTCCGCTATAGTATACTATTCATTTACTATATTATAATGTTTATTAATATATTTCAGAAGACATAAGCCTAGAGGCTATTGTTAAGAGCTTCGATACAAGGATGCAGCTGAATATCAAGGATCAAGACATAGAATGACCTCTTTAGAACTACATGAGCGTCATATCTATACAGAAAGAGCCATTTCTTTGATTCGATATAAAACGTGGAATCTGACTGCTTCGTGATATTATACATCCTTGCTGGAAACCAGCAGAGATTAAAGAGAAAGAAGGACCATTAACTAAGCTACTAGATGATGCAGATGATACATACTTGTCCCTTTGCTGGCCGATATCCCCACACATGAGTCGTTTACTCTTGGAAATTACACCACGAGTAGTTACCAAGCTGCGCCTTCTTCTATTGAACCCAGCCTGTTGTGGTTGCTCGAGGAAGAAATGCCTTTGACTCCTGGATTTGCGGATTTGCGGTTTAAATTATCTCTTAGTCTACTAGAATCCAAGTAAGCACTTGGGATCGATTGTAAACTCCGCCGCTAGCGTTGGGTCTTTTTAACACTTATAAATAGGGGGACGCTATTTCATTTGCGTTCTCAGAGCTGTGCGTGCGTCTCTAGGTAGAAGTATTAGAATGCTATTGGCTGAGTTTTTAAATCTACTCCTCAATATATAGATAGAACTAATAACGATATGTTTTGATACAGAACGCATTGTGCGCTCGATTTCCCGCACCTGGGAGCTTTCATTGTCGTTGCCACCCAAATTCAATGAGTGGCTGTTCGATGAGGGCTTGATGCACTGGCAGCACCAATCCCTCTTGGTTGCGAGCCGCTACACCTCGGTTATGACATAGATTACCTAATTATTCTGCTTGCTTTTTTACAATCCTAAACACCTAAACATCCGGACTGCAAAAATAAAATGTTGTAGTTAGTTACGTCATGTAGATTAACCTGGAGCTTCTTCGCTACGCTAATATCTATACCTATTAGAGTAATTGGTGTAAATACATAATGCGTATGCCTTAATTGAGGTATACCCCAGTTCCTTATCTGAGGGGTGTTTTATTTTTATTATTGAATACAGTTGTATAAAGCAGTTAAGCTAAAGAATATTTAATCTTCAATAGCAAGCTTGTATTAGTTAATAAAACGAAACATCTTGATATAAGTAATAGCCTTTAGTAAGAAAGAATTTGCATAAGGTATGAATTATTTATTAAAGTATCTATTATAAAAGATTTAAATGTGTTTTATTTGTTAATATATATATATATATATTTTAAAAGCTATAAGCTATAATGGTATATTAAAGAAATTAATTGAATTCTATTTTATAGTTTTGTTAAAATTAATATTAAAAAGTAGTAAAATATATCTATTATATAATTTGCTTTAAATATAATACTAGAATTAACAATAGTATTAGTATTAGTAAATATATAATATATATAAATATTTTTTATAATTCTTACTGAATTTAATTTTATTTATAATACTATTAAATATAATATAATATATTTTTATATATTACCTGGTAAATCTATTTTAATTAGTAGTTGCCTTTTAGTCCTTGTTTGAACTTTATTTAATATGTATAGTTAGTGTTAAGTAAAAAAATCAGTTTAGGAAAATTATATACAAGAGACAATAATATACAACCTGGTAGAGGCTATTGTGGAACCCTAGGAAGCTTTGCGTGTAGAATTTTACGTAAATGTCTAACTATAATATCGGCCTATTGCAAGGTAGTTATTGCGGTAATGATCGGAGGAATACGTATTGTTACCAGGTGTCAATTCCGCCCACCTTAAATAAAGCTACCTGCTTAGATATAAAAGACCTCCCTGTAAAAACCCTTGTCAAGTCTCTAGTCAGCACCTAGTTGTATATTATGGCAACTAGTTAACTCGAACACTAAGTAATTTTGCTCTGACGATCTGGTCCAGCTGTCACGGTAAACCCTTTATAGGTAGTAGATGTTTCGGCGAAATTTAGTGCTACAAATGTATTCAGTAGCCGAATCCTTGTGCCGGGGGCCGCAGAATAACACACCGTTACATTTACATATACATGAACTATTTCGTTATTAGTCAAATATCATCATAGTTATGAGTAATTTCTTATCGTCCCTTCTACAAAATTACCCTAACGCGCGAGCGTCCCGATCTGATTTGTAGAATATTGCGCTAATGCCCCACCCTTGTAAGAGTATCTACCGGCGAGTCGTGAATATCGTTTCACCAAATGGCAACGATTTACAAAAGTACCTATGCCTTGGTTGTTTCTATTCAGCAGATACGTAACAAATGTCACCGTGACTTTTGGCTCCTAGACTGATTTTCAGGGGCAGGGCATACAACCTTGAAGACCCAAGTCATGTATAGTAGAGCTTCTATATAAATAGTTATTGATTCCTGAGTTCATCTACATTGCAGCGCCTACCTACTCTTTAAATTGGCTATAAACTACTACCCTATATTTATTTGCTATCCACACAAACATGGCTTTTAAAGTTATTATCATTGGGGGCGGCCCGGTTGGGCTTTTCCTTGCCAACGGCTTACAAGCCTCTGGGATAGACTATGTGCTTTTTGAGAAGCGAAGTACTATACCTCCTTCCACTGCCTTTGGCATCTTTCTTTGGCCACAGGTCACTAGAATGATGCATCAGTTAGGCCTTCTCGATAGTCTAAGAAAGGTCTCTCATCCAATGACTGGCATGATTCATAGCATGCCTACGGGAGAGCTTCTCAGCTCGGACACAAATTTTTCTAAAAGCTATAAGACGTAAGTTGACGCTGACATAGTATTCTTGTAGTAACCTTCTTAGCTAAAGCTTTTTCTATGCAGTCATGGCTATCCTGTAGTTGTTACAGATCGTGGCAGTCTTGCCCAAGTGCTTCTTAGTGGGATTGACAAGCCTGAAGAGCGTATACATACGGGAAAGCAGCTCACCAACGTTATAACACGCCCAGATAGGGTAACTGTGGAGTTTGCTGATGGCACAAGCTTTGAAGGATCCATTGTCATTGGCGCAGACGGGATTTGGAGTACAGTTCGTAACCAAATCAGTCAATACGCACCTGATGGTTTATTTCTTGATAACCCATATCAGGCCTCGTACCAAGGTGTTTTTGGTAGAGCACCCTTACTTGAAGGCATTACCTCAGGACAGGGTATTGAAGTTCATGGTGATGGGTGGCTGATTCAAGCATTCCCATCTCAAAAAGAAACGCACCTATTCATTTATAAAAGCATTAAAACAACTAATGAAAGAGTCCCCTTCTCGCCGAATGTGCCAGAAGAGTTAATCGCAGAGTTTGCCAATGTTCGATTAACGGACAATGTCACCTTCAAAGATTTATGGAATCAGCGTTTTGCTCAAGGGACGGCTAACTTTGAAGAGGGTGTTGTAGAAATGTGGCATTGGGATCGAATTGCTCTTATTGGGGACGCTGTACTTAAGGTACGATTGAAAAACTCTGGCCTTCTTTCTATAGCAACGTGTTAAAATGCTAACTACATACAGATCTCACCAAAACAAGGTGTTGCTGCCAATGTTGGCATGGAGTCAGCCGCCTGTCTCACCAACAAGCTTGCAGCTCTCCTGCAAAATAACCCAAAGCCCACTACGCAGGAGGTCTCCAAAGTGTTCAGCGCATATCAATGCGAGCTAGAAGGGAAAGTTAGCACATGGCAGCGACTATCTCGCTTCAACCTTGACTCGGCTGTGAGTAAGAACGGACCTCGACTCGAAGCCATGGGTGCCGTAGCTGCCCGCGTACCTGCTATTGTTTCCAGGTCATTCAAATTTGAAAGGGTCCCTTTCGCAGACCAGAATGCGGCTGACATGCCGTGGGTACACTAGAAAGGATTGATCAATGGGGGTGTGCAGAAGCGTCACTTTGTTATTGCAGGAGTTTTGAGCTCGATAGATCGCTAGACAATCTTTTACAATAAAAGCCATAGTTTTTCCCTTCAACGTCTTATTAATTCCTGTACAAGTAGCTAAGGCGATATATGAGACAGGAGAGTTCAACTAGTATAATGTGCTATTAGTATTTATGGCGTTATTTGCTGTCGGCACTATAATCTATAGCGTAGCATTACCAGTTATCGGCATTACCAGTTATCGGCAGTAACCTGTCCAAGGTTAGCAAATGAAGATAGAGGCTGTGGATCAAGCCTTTCCTATCGACTATAGGAGCCATTTATTATAGAGCTGACAAACAGTTGCCTTTTAAGTACTAGAAATGTTTCAAACCAGCTACAATCCCCGATCAGGTAATATTCTGATCGAGAATTGCGGTTGTTTTTGGGCCCTATGTAAGGGTATTATTTAATATTGAGGTGGAGCGTCATACGGATAATGTCCGATGCTCGATGAGTAGTCAGAAATCACAGATCGGTATTCCACGCTACAATCTCCTCTGCCGCGTAAAGCCTTGGCGCTAGGGTTCTTGCAGCACCCTAGTGTGAGGCAATTGTTTCCCCATATTAACAACTGTGATCCCGTACTTCGTTCAATGGCATAATGGGGACTATTGTAAAACGGGACTCCTTGGGTAGAGTGCCCTTGACGTGTGCGTCTACCTATATCTTCTTATCTCACTCCCTGGTCTGGTTTGAACATGCCTGGATACGCACAGGCGGTTGTTCAGTCTAGCCTAGTTTTATCCTGGTTGGAGGTTCGGAGAGGTGGTGGGGTGGATATTTGGTCCATATTGGGATATATAGTAGAGTTGTGCTATTTGTATAATATTAATGTATTATTCATACAATACTTACATGACTTATGATCTTGAAATGGCTAATTTTATATAGTTTAATACAGGGTATATATAAATTCTAAATACTATATCAATTTACAGTAATATAGTAAATGTATTTACTGAGTATAATTTAATACTTACGTTTATTTATCTATATAATACAATAGAGTTGTTAATGGAAGTTAATATTTAAATTTGGGATGTAAATTGGGGTTAGTAGTTGAAACTAGTATATACGAGAATAATAAATTGTAAAAAGTAATTAAAAGTAACAGAAGCTTCTGTTATAAATATTATAATATAAATTATATTATAAAACTTTTTATTATAAACCAACTATATAAAATCCCTCTAGTATATACCTCCGGGTAAACCATAGACAAGACAGCCAATTAGAATAAAGGAAATATATTTTTAATAAAATATATACCTCTTATAAAATAAAACTATAACTCTAAGAAAGCATTTTTATTAAGTATAATATAACTTATATAAGTAATAACTATAGAATAACTTACTATATAAAACTATTTAATATATTTATTAAATATAGCTTAAATAGTTAGTTATTAATATAGCATTTATATAATAACTAAATTAGACCTTTATTTAAAGTTATTAGCTATATAACTAAGACCGCTTATAAAATCCTTTGTATCTCTCTGCTAATATAAACCTAATGTTAAAGGTTTATCCTTTAAAAACTAGTTACCTTATACTAGGTATAGGATTAAAATATTATACATTAATAACTTTTGTTTAAAAAGATACTTTAGATTTTTTAAGCAATTAAACCACTATATCTTAAAACAACACCAAAAGCTAACTTACTCTAGAAGAAACTCTTTTCTTTACCTAAGATAATAATAAGAATATTACTATAGAAGGAACCCTTAATTAAAAAAATATAAATAGTAATAAAGCCGCTAAGTTAATAAAAAATATATATAAGTTAAATAAGATTTTTATAAATAAACTTAATAATAAAAAGTCTATTAAAAAGGATATAAAAGCATTTATTAAACAACAACCTCTACCTATATTTAATAGCAAGACTAGTAAACTTTATTTCTTTTAAACTTAACTTAAGGCTTATTTTAAAGATTTTAAAACTACCTTTAATATAGAATATAAAAAGACTTTCTTTATAGCCTCTTGCCTTAAAGGAACTGCTTTTAAATAGTTTTGCTCTATATAAAACGCTTACCTTAATAACCTAAACAGACCCCTATTAACTTAAATTTAAAAAGTTTTTAATAGCTTTAAACAATTTAAAAAAAAACTTACTAAGGCATTTAAAGACATTAAAGAAATCTAAATAGCTAAAAATAAACTTATAAATATTTATTAAAAAGGGAAATGCTTTAATTATATTATAAAATTTAAAAACTTAGCCTTTAAAGTTAAATAAAGACAGCCTGCTTTTATTAAATAATTTTATAATAGACTTAAAAAAAGCATTAAAGAAAAAGTTTATAATAAAGATTAAACTAAATATAACTTTATTTCTTTTATAAAAGAATATATTAAAGCTAATAACTTACTTTATAAACTTAATATAGGAAACCAAGGCTTTAGTAAAGAATAGTTAAACTAAAGTAAGAAATAATAAAAACCAATTACTAAAGATAATAATAGTATAGCTAGACCTATAGACTTTAATATAATATAAAAAAAGAAAAAGAAATTTAAATATTATAATTATAAGAAATTAAACTATATGGCTAAAAACTGCAAATCCTTAAAAAAGAAATAATCTATAATTCCTAAACCAAAAGTAATATATATTATAGACAAAGGCAATAAGATTATTTATTTATTAAAACAATTAAGATCTTTTAAAAATAATAGTAACTATAACTTTTATAAGTTTATATTTAAACTCTTAGATTACTCCTAGATAATAAATATAAAAGCAAATAATAAAATCCTTAATTAACAACCTATCTCTTAAGTTAACTTTATAAACCTAGTAAACCTAGTTAAAGGCATTGCCCTAGAAAATAATAAAGATAATAAATAATGCAATTATAAATATTACTTTAAAAAAACTTAAGATATTATATAATATTATAAAAATTTTACCCCTAAAATTATAACGCTTAATTTATTTTAATACAACATTATAGATAAAGTAAATGCAGATATAAAATACTCCTTAATAATACTATATGCCTATTAAAATAATCTATAAAAGCAAACTTTAAAAATATAGTACATTATTAAGGCTATTACTATTAATTAAGCACTTATCTAAGGCCTTAATTATAGAAAATTAACTAAAGAATATAACTACATTAACCCAGTATATCTACTATATTATTAAATTAGCTAAACTAACTATATTACTTATAAATGCATAAAATACTTTAAATAAAAGGCTAAAAAAAATATTTTTTTAGTATATATCCTTTAATGTATAATACTAAAACTATATAATAATTTATACTACTTTATATAAAAAGCTACTTAATAATACTAATCCCTTAAGACAGTTATCTTAAAACCCTTTAAATATTTAAATAAAATAAGCCTTTTTAAATACATTAATTAATTCTATAAAGTATATAAATTAAGAAAATTATAAAATTAGCATAAGTAAAAAAAAATTAAAAAAGTAAAGCTAAATTACTAATAAAAAGAATTTAAAGACTATAATAAAATAGAATGTTTATAATATATAGATAAAAAGATTAAAAACTAGCATTATTTAAAAAACTATTAAAGTCTTCTGCAGAAGGGCAGTAAAAGGACTTACAATACTTAAACATTATTAATTTAAAATATAATAGTAAAGAAAAAGAAAAGTACCTTAATAAAAGAATTATTTTAATAGTATTATTAGACAGGAATTTACTTAATGTCTTAATAAATAGTGGGTTAGGAAGTAACTATATATCTGCTATAACTGCAATATACCTGCAGTTACTAGTATATAAGAAAAAAAAACTATATTAACTTTTCTATGCTAAAGAATAGACCTTTAAGTATAATAAAGAATAGATAAAGCAATAGACTAATCCCCTGCTGCTATAAATTAGCAATTATATTATAAATATAATATATAATATAGCTAATATTCTAAAATATAACTTTATTTTAAGAATACCCTGGTTATATAAATATAAACCTAATATAAAATAGAGAACAGGCTAAATCTATTGGTGTAATAATGGAAGTGCTTTAAATAGAACTAATGCAGAAATATTAGAAGAGGAACTAGGTCGCCAGAAGCCTAAGGTTTTCCCCAGCCCTTTAGATATCTTTCTTTAATATTATTAAAAAAAGGAAAAAATAAAATAAATTTATATATAAAAGTATATTGCTATCTTACACTAAAAACTAATAAAATTTAATAAAAAACTATATAAATTAAAAATAAAGGAACTTACTCTAGAAGAATAATTAACACTAATGCTAAAATAATATTAAAAATATTAAAAACTCTTTAATAACTAATTAAAAAAAAAATTACTACTGCACTTAAAATAAAATCATAAGATAGTATTAAAAGAAGGAGAATTACTAAAATTCTATAAAATATATAACTTAAGTAAAAAAAAACTAAAAATACTTAAAGAATAAATTAAAATATAACTATAAAAAGAATATATCTATATATTAAAATTATTAGTTAAATACTTTATTATCTTCATTCTAAAAAAAAACAGTAAACTTTAATTAATTATTAACTATTATAAATTAAATTAAATTACTATTAAAGATAAAACCCCTTTACTATTAATCTTATAAATTAAAAATAGATTATATAGGAAAAAGTAATTTATAACTCTTAACCTTACAGAAGCTTACAAGCTTATATAAATAAAAGAAAAAAATAAATAAAAGACAGCGTTTACTATAAGATATAGGTTATATAAATATATAGTTATACTACAGAGGCTTACTAATATACCTACATCCTTTTAAAAAAGAATAAACTATATATTAAAACTATACTTAAATAATTTTATAATAGCTTACATTAATAACATTCTTATCTTCTTAAAGACCCTTAAAGAATATAAAAAATATATCTATTTTATACTATAAAAACTTAAAGAAGTAAAACTCTTTATTAACCTTAAAAAATATATTTTTCATTCTTAATAAATAAAATTTCTTAAATATATTATTACCCTAGAAGAAATCTATATAAACTTTAAAAAAGTTACTGTAATTAAAAAATAGCCAATGCCTATAATGCTTAAAGAAATACAAGCATTCCTTAAATTTATTAACTATTACTAGAAATTTATTAAGAACTTTATATAAAAAGCTACTTTATTAATAAATATAATAAAAAAAGGTATTTCTTTTAAGTAAAAGGAAGAATAGCAGAAAGCCCTTAAGGAACTTAAAACAGCAATAACATTAAAACCTATTCTTGCTATATTTAACCCAGAAAAACCCATTACAATTAAAACCAATGCATTAGTATTTATAATAAAAAGAGTATTAAATTAACCTAAAGAAAACAGCAAGTTATAACCTATTATATTTTTCTTATATAAACTCTATAGACTAGCAATATAATACACTATATATAATAAAAAAATATTAGCCATTATTAAAGCACTTAAAGAATAAAGATATTACTGCTATAAAAGCAAGCATAAGGTTATAATCTTTATAGACTATAAAAACCTTACTTACTTTATTACTATATAAAAACTATTAAGCTAATAAGTTAAATACTTTAAATTCCTTTTATAATTTAACTTTAAACTTATTTATTATAAAAAATCAGAAAATAAATAAGCTAATGCATTAAGTAAAAGAGTTAATTATAAGCAAGAAGTACTTAAATATATAGTATAAGTACTGTAATTTAATAATAACAGTAATATTAAATAAATATAAATTTATGCAATATTTAAAGTTCTAGAAAGCAACCCTATGCTTAAAAAGATTAAAGAATTTATTAGAAATTAGGAAAATAAATAATACTTAGAAAATATTACTATAGACTTAAAATACCCTAAATAATATAGAAAAATTTAAATACCTAAAGAACTATAAAGAAAAATAGTTAAATATATTTATAAACACCTGCTGTATAAATATAAGGGTATAATAAAAATATATAATTAAGTTTTAATATACTATAATATTAAAAAGCTTAGAGAATATATAAAGTATATTATATTATACTATAATATATGCTAATAAATAAAAGACAAAAGACATAAACCTTATAAAAAACTATAATTATTACCTATTGTAGAACGACCTTAGGAATCAGTTACTTTTAACTATATTACTAACCTACCTTTATTAAAAGAACCATTTATAGGTATATAATATAACAGTATTTTTATAGTAATTTACTAACTTATAAAGCAAGCCTACTTTTTACTATATAAAAAGTTATATTTATTAAAAGACCTTGCTTATACCTATATAAAAATAATTGCCGCTAATTATAAATTATTTAAAGAAATTATCTTAAATTAAAGACAAACATTTGCTTTTAAATTTTAGCAAGAACTTATAGCTAAATTAAAAATAAACTATAAACTCAGCACTATATATTACCCTCAGATAGATAAATAAACCAAATATATAAATTAAGTTATTAAAGCTTACCTATAAGCTTATATTAATTTTATATAAGATAATTAAGTTAAAAAACTACCAGTAGTTTAATTATACTACAACAATATACCATTAAAATCTACAAAAATAATACCTTTTTATATAAATTATAAATTTATACTTAAAGCATTTAGACCACTATAAAATAAACCTAACTTAAAAAAAGCATAACTATAAGCTAAATTAATAATTAATCTATATAAAGAAATATATATATAGCTTAAATTTATTAGTAAATGCATAAAGAAATATATAAATAAAGATAAAATTATAAAATTAATTCTTTAGAAGGGAGATATAGTCTACCTACTGCAATACTTATAAAGCTATAAACTACTAAACATTAAGATAAACAGGCCAAGTAATAAACTTAACATTAAAAAAATAAAACCCTATAAAATTTTAAAATAAATTAAAGAAGTTAACTATAAGCTAGCTTTACTAGATATAATAAAAATACAAAACCCAGTTTTTTATATATTACAACTTAAAAAAGCATAGATTAATAAAGAAACTAAAAGGCCTATTTTAAATAAAATTATTATAGAAAATTAAAAGGAAGAATATAAAATTAAAAACATTATTGCTATATGCTAAAATTTTAAAACCCAGAACATTAAATACCTTATTAAATAAAAAGGATACTTAAAACTTAAGAACTTATAAAAGCCTGCTAAATATTTTAGCTCTTAGGCATTAATAAAGAAATTTCTCTAGACACTGGGCCTAAATCAGCAAACACTACATTCCAATTAATTATATTAACACTGCTATTAAACTATACATCCACCACTGCCTCTAACTTAATATACTTTAAATTATCTAATTTATTAAAAGACTAAGCCTTATAATAAAGCATCTGCTTACCCCATACATTAACCTATTAACGCTACTCTTAAAGATATAATAATTATATAAAACTCTTATTTATTTATTAAAACAATAACATTAACTATTATTAATACTTTATTAATTTCTATTACTGCTTAAGAAGTTTATATTTAGTCTAACGCTTAGCAGCATTTAAATACTCCTTTTTAGCTGCTAAATATTATACTAAAAAAATAAATTAATAAAACATACACTTATTAAAAACCAAAAAAACGCTCACCCACAGCCAAAGAAATGCCATTTCCATTATACATCCAACCTCTATAAATACATTTTAAACACTTATTATACCCTATTGCTATCTTATAAAGCAAGCTATAGGATTTATAAAAAGAATAAGGCATAACAAAGACCCCAATAGTTTTAATAACTATTATTGCTGCTTTATAATAATTAGTCAAGCTTTTAAAAACTAAAGAATATTATTTAAATACACTATAAGGCATTATAAAAAAATACAGTTACTTACTACTAAAGAAAGGGAAAACAGAACCTTATATAGTCTTAGGCCTTAAGGATAAGATTAATAAAAGGGAGGTATTATATTATAAACCAACTACATAAGATCCCTTTAATATATACCTCTAGGTAAACCATAAATAAAACAGCTAATTAAAATAAAGAAAATGTATTTTTAGTAAGATATATACCTCTTATAAGATAAAACTGCAACTCTAAAGAAGCATTTTTATTAAGTATAATATAACTTATATAAGTAATAACTATAGAATAACTTACTATATAAAACTATTTAATATGCTTATTAAATATAGCTTAGATAGTCAGTTATTAATATAGCATTTATATAATAACTAGATTAGACCTTTATTTAAAGTTATTAGCTATATAACTAAGACTGCTTATAAAATCCCTTGCATCTCTCTGCCAACATAAACCCAACGTTAGAGGTTTATCCCTTAGGAACTAGTTACCCTATACCAGGTATAGGATCAGAATGTCATACTTTTATTCTTAAAAGAAATACTATGTATATATAGTAAAAGAATAAGTATATATACATATATATATATATGTATATTAAAAATATATAATAAATTTATTTATTTAAAGACATCTATTAATATATAGTTAATATAAAGACTATAAAAGTATTATTATATATATAAAATGGAAATAATTTTTTTAGTTTTATTTTATAAATAAAATATTACCTGCTGGTAGTTATTTACTTTTACTTTTTAGTATTATCTAGACTTACCGCTTCTTGCTGAAACTCCAAACTAACTGATCGACATAAGGGTATGCTTGTAGCCGGGAAGCAAGTTCCGAGTGTCGATCACTATCTCCTAATGCACTCACCCTAGTTTATTATATCTCGATTTCGAGTTTAGTTTTCATAAGCACTAGTATACCTTAGTCTTTTTTAGGATATGTACCCGAGCTATGTACCTGAGCTTCTTTTGAGCGGAACCGGGCCGTACCGGAAATTAACACTATCGGAAACCAAATAGCGACAAAGACCGATTGTCGGCCTTTTTCCGTCGTCTAGAATCTGACGTGTCGAAACTCCTAGAGATTTTTTTTCTTCCTTCTTTACCATGGTGCTCTTAACATTTTCTTTTATTTGTTAAATGCACTTTGAACTGAATTTTCCCACGAGGCAACGTTTCTTACCACTGCCGACAGAAAGAAATACAGCGGGATCCTTTTTGGATGCAAGCCAAATTCTGTGAAAGGAACGATTAACTCCACGTGCTGAATTCGATCCGTCACCATTGCTCTGTTTGGAACATCATGATGGATGTCAAACACTCTCATCCGGATGGAGTCGATACCAGCAGCACCAACATCACAGACAAAGACTCAACTTTCTTACATAGCGGGACAAGACCTGCGGGGACTGAACCCTCTGGGGTACTACAGAATAATGGCGCAACTATAGAAGTGGAAAAGACTTCTCAGCCGGACCAAGCCAATTTGTTGGCAACGCGCCCAAATGGGGGATGGAAGGCCTGGTTACAGGTTGCTTGTGGCTTTTTTCTTTACTTCAATACCTATGGTACGGCAGCCGTAGCATCCAAAATTATTATCCGCCTTCGTGCGTTAAAGGTTGCTGACTGACACTCGATCGATAGGTCTCATCAATACCTTTGGAATTTACCAGAATTACTATACGACTGAATTTGGATTTGATCCCTCCCGCGCCTCTCTTATTGGCGGAATACAGACGTTCCTTCTTTTCTTTGCTAGCGGCGCTGCGGGCCCTTTATACGATGCAGGCTATACAAGCTTTCTCGTTCTAGCAGGGGCAATTTTTATTGTTTTAGGGACTATGATGCAGAGTCTTTGCATACATTATTGGCAGTTTATCCTGGCCCAATCCTTATGCATTGGGCTTGGGGGCGGCTTAATATCGGCCTTAACGCCTACTGTTCTATCAACTTACTTTACATCTTTATATCCCTTAACTGTAGGAATCGCGGGTTCGGGAACCGGAATCGGCGGGTTAGTTGACATTTTGTTTTCCTGGAAAAATACTATAGTGCTAACATATTTATACTCAGTATTATCCTACCGATTGTGTTCCGTGAACTTCAACCTAAGATTGGGTTTCCATGGACTGTTCGCGTTATTGGTTTCATACTTCTTGCTACACTTCTGCTCCCAGTATTTTTCCTCCGACCCCGCATGATTCCTGGTACTGGCCGCCGCAAAATTATTGACACGACAGCCTTCACCGACTGGCCACTTGTTACCTTGTTGATTGGAAATTTCATCTATCTACTTGGAGGTTTTACGCCTTTCTTTTATGTTCAAGTATTCGCAGTTGAAAACAACATCGCAGACGCAAATCTCAGCTTCTATATTATTGCAGTTATGAATGCGACATCGGCACTGGGGCGCGTCCTGCCTAACTTCCTTAGCCCATACACGGGTCCCTTTAATATGCTTATTATAACAAGTGTTTTAACGTTTGTTTTTGCATTTGCTTTTGAGGGTGTGCAGAGCCTTGCTTCGCTTATTATTGTAAGTATGGGATTTGGAGGTGCTACTGGCTTATTCTTTGCACTACAGCCAGTGGTAGTGATTGGACTTTGTCCTAACCCCAAGCTTATTGGAACGCGAGTGGGAATGGCGTTTTGCTTCTTGTCATTTTCAGTACTTGCAAGTAACCCTATCGCTGGTGCTATCCAGCCCGCCGGTGGTTACTCAGGGGTGTGGATTTGGACTGGAGTTACTACTGGTGTTGGCACTGCTTTAATGTTTGCAGCGCGCCTAATGAAGACAAACGGTGCTCTAATAACGAAAGTATAAAATTTGTGTATACCTTTGATGTTTTCCTTGCACCAGCTTTGCTTATGCTGCAATTTAATATTATAACTTAGGTTATACCAACCAATATATATATATATCTAAATAATACAAAAGTATGCTATTATTTGCATTATTGCTTAATATATAATTAATATAGAATATATAATATAAAATTAAATATTAGGTATATTTATTATTATATATTATTTTTATTATATATATATCCTTTAATTTACTTACTTTAATTTTTTTCCCAGTATATATACTAACTGTAGTAGAAAGTATGCCTTGAAAATAAATTAATATTATTATATTATTAATTTAAACTATTAAAAAGCACATGTATATAAAATATAAAACTTATCACCCACAGGTGTTATAGATTCGGGCTTTGCCCAATGTTAGAGAACATTGGCCTTATATAGCTAGTTAAATAGATTAATAAGCGATTTCATTAATACATACAGTAGGTCAGCAAAAGTCAAGATAACTCTATAGTATACCCCCCCAAAAAAAAACAAATATAAATAAAAAATAAATACTATATATAACCAAAAATAAAAAAATAAAAAAATATTATAATAATTTTATATATTAAAATCCATAAAACCTTTTTTATTTATATTTATATATAATATATTACTTATAAACACTAACTTAAAATTTCCAGTTTATATATATTATTATATATACTGTATATAGCAGGCTTATACTAGAGCTATAATAACAAATACAGTGCCAGTACTATAGTAAATTTTGTTTTCTTTATAATATATTTTTTAATAAATATTATAAAAAGAAAAATAGAATAAAAAGTATATTACTATACTATTTAACTATTAAAGATTATATATTTAAGATATTATCTTATTTAGTTAAATTTTATAAGATATATAAAAGAGTATTAAGTATAGATTTTCTTAGGCATTGGGTGGTGCACTGTGGGGCTTGTCGTTACTTCTGCATCCCCACTGTATCCTCTTGCATAATGCAACTGGATAGCGCCCTAGAAGGCGCTAAAGGCCGTTGCGCTAGCTATCGCTTATCCCCCCTTGGGTTCAGCCCTTTACAACAGGCTAGAGGTGCAGCAATAGTTGCAATTATCCTTTTCGGTAATTTTATTATAGCGGAGGGACGCTAAAGTATAGCGCAGATGGGCTATTTTATAGTGGATAGTGTCAAACAAAATGCCTTAATTATTTATTCATGCCCTGTTTTCTTAGGAGCTACATTGCTTTCGCGAATGCTTGATAAGCCGTTTCTGTTATTCACTACTGATATATAGAATAGTAAGATTTTAATATCTCAATCCCTGTAATAAGTAACCCTATTCAATTAAATATTTAAGTAGCATTAACCCCAAGATCTCTACATGCATCCACCATAACACGACTCCTACGTTGCTTTAATTCGTAAACCTTTGAATCTTGGCTTGAGCTTACCTGCACTCTCCAAACTTTTTTTTTTAACCTTTACCCTTAACATCCATTATCTTTACCTCGAAATGCCCGCAATCGTTGGCCTTAAGAAGAGCTTTGCTTCTATCCCGTGGTGTTCAGAACTTCTCAACAACCCCGACGTTGAAGCGTGCATTCCTCCTTGCCGAGCTAGCAGGAAGGATATTACATATGAGCTCTGGGAAGGCACTTTAAACACTTCAAATACCATCCCAGAGTTCCTTGCTCTTTATACAAAGACAGAGGAGCACAATTCTCGCATCCACAATATCAAGCTCCTCGCTAATTTAAACAATGGATTAGACGGGTTTCCTGGCGTTTGCCATGGAGGAATGGTCGCCACGTTACTGGATGAGTCCATGGTGTCACTCATTCTAATAAATGTCGGTCGCGGGGCACTTGTTTGCCCTTGGTACGGTACTGTCTCGCTTAATATATTGTTTCAGAAGCCTGTCAAGACGCCGGCCACAGTGGTAGTCGCAGTAAAACTGGACAAGGTGGAGGGACGCAAGCTGTGTATCACCGCTTGTCTGCAGGACGGGTCGGGGAAAGCACTTGCGAAAGCGAGTGCTGTATTTGTTGGTTTGGATGGAAAACTATAAAAGTCTTAAGTTCTAATATATAAGCATCAAGAGTAATACATTTCAAACCACAATCTCGTAGCTTCTATACAGTCTTAAGCATAGAAAGCATACAATTATGGCATTAGAAAGACATCAATTGTACTAAAATAAGTGAGTGAGACTATGAAATTCTATATACAACTGACAGAATAATATATGTGCAAATAGAAAAGTGTCTCTACAACCTGGGTCCTTCTCTGGCACGGCGTTTTCTCTCTAGATCCATAAGAACACGTCGCAGGATTTTTCCAGAAGGGCTCTTTGGTACCTCATTAACAAATTCAATGCCACCTTTTAGCCACTTGTGCGAAGCCTTATGATTCTGCACATAAAGCGAGATCTGGCGTGCCAGCTCTTCATCGTCCACGGACCCTACACCCGATGGTTTCTTTACGATAAAGGCCTTGGGCCGCTCGCCAGCGGATTCATCCGGGACGGGAATGACAGCGCAGTCCTGGACCGCAACATGTGTGAGCAGGTGTGCTTCTAGCTCTGCAGGCGGAACTTGGAATCCCTATTTCACGTCAGTTTAAAGACGACCCCAGCTTCATTTATAAGAGACACCTAAAAAGCTTCGGATAAATGCACTCACCTTAACCTTGATCAGCTCCTTTATTCGGTCGACAATGACTATATGCTCGTTCCCGGACGGTCCTTTGCGAATCACAACCTCATCGCCAGTCTTAATCCACCTCCCGTCATCGTCCCAGACGAAGGTTTCTTCGTCAGCTCTCCCATTGCCCAGGTAGCCCGGGATAATCGAGGGGCTCTGCACAAAGAGCTCTCCTGGCGTCTCATAAGTGAATATTTCTTTGCCGTCGGAGCCAATGACCTTGGCACGGATACCAGGGAGCAGAGAGCCGGAGGAACCAAGGTAGATGTCATGTTCGCTGGTAGTGCAAATTAATGTAGCAGTTTCAGTCATGCCTGGTAAATGAGCTTTGGTCAATTTTCGTGTGCTATCTTATAATATAGGCTCATAGATTCAGTAGTTTACCGTAACCTTGTCCAAGGTGCCAATTGGGATACATCTTGAGCAGCTGTTCTGCGGTTTCTGCGTAAAGAGGAGCACCGCCCGTATGTATGCTTGCCACACTAGAGAGATCATGCTTGAGGCAGTTGTCCCGATTCCAGAGCATCTGTATGATGATCGGCGGTGCCTAGCAGCTACATCAGCATATATTTTAGCTAGCATGCGGATGACAATATTTGTTTAGGAGTTTTCATCGGCCAAGACAGGTTTCGCGTGGGCATGATACGTACCACATATAGACGCCGTATCTTAAAGCGCTGAATAGCATCGAGAAAAGTGTCGATTGTGAACTTGGGAAGCACAATGAGCTCATCACCCTGGTATGTCGCGCAAAGTGCAACAGTGACGAGGCCATAAATGTGGCTCATGGGTAGCAGCCCGAGGGTGACTTGGGTGCCAAACTTGAAATGACTTCTAGCACCTTTTTCGTATGTGGCTGTTGCTAACACGTTTGCAATGACATTGTAATGGGATATGACGCATGCTTTCTTTTTTTTTTTAAAAAAAAAAAGAGGGGGAAAAAAGTCAAAAGTAGAACTTTACACAATCAGTGGCATCAAATTTGACTTACAGGCAAACCAGACGTTCCGCTGGACATACAGATAAAAGCCGCTCGCCGTGCTCCTTCTCCTTTAGGCCAGTTCAATGCCTCCAGGTCAGGTAACTCTTCGCCAATAGACACTAGTTTCTCAAGGCTGATATGGGACGTGGTGTTCACGACCCCGGGGAAGTCCATAATGAATATCTTGTCGTGGGTAATACCACATTGCTCTGCAGCCTTCTTTGCGGTACTCAAAAGCGGAACGCAGGTGAAGATGGCTGTAGCACCAGTCTTTTTGAGCTGATATTCAAGCTCAGACGGCGAATGAGATGCGCTTGCTGGAGTTACAATGCCTCCAATTCGATGAATCCCCAAAATTAGTGGTATGTAATCGATCTATGTTATTTCAGGACTCTTGGTTAGCTATAGTGATTGATGAAACCTTGAAGTCGACACCATAAGGATATCCATACCGTGTTTGGCGAGAATATTGCAATCACTTTGTCTAATGACAAGCCTTTGTTTGGTTCAACTTTGAGAACCTGGGCAAGGCCTCGTGCGAGGAAGTTGATTCTCTGTGGCGCCTGGGTAACTGTGAAGCTCTTTCCCGTGAGGCCGCATGTAAAAGGACTTCGCGATGTCGCTGCTGGCCGTCTGCCATGCTTGCTGGACCAGATAAACTCCCCAATAGTAATATTATTAGGAGGTTCTTGAGTATAACGTTTATTAGCCAGGATCAATATAGAAGAGACATGGAGGAGTACCAAATGGGAGATCAGGCACCCAAGCTGGAGCACTAAACATTGTAGCTTGTAAATTGGAACGCAATGAAGTTGTATTGTTACTCTAAGACTAGATTCAAGAGAAACACCGATTGACTCTTTTAAATTCGCTAGGAATACAGCACCCATGCCTTAGAGGATACCATTCTACATTCCACACGTATAGAATGAGATTAGCGGGAGAACGGTAACTAAGCAAATAGTGGGAATGGTAGTCCGTATACAGATACAAAGTACAGGGGATAAATCTTCGGATCAATAAATACAATGACTGATACAATATGTTACACTCCGTATGTGCAATGCATCTAAACTCAATTAATTAATGGTTAGGTGTTGTGCTAAAGTAATTAAGCGACAGACTTTTAGCGCTATCATATCCAAACAGCGGTGCCTGGTTTAATATATCCAACCCTGTATAGCCCATATCAGGATTATATTACTCCGTACTTCTTCGGAGTTTTAATCCCAACAAAATCGGTGATTTCTTAGCTAGAGTTAGTACATAATCCATTTTATTAGTAATATGCATTTATTAATAAAGTCCATTGCGATTGAGACTGTTTAATTCTAAGACACGGATAATGCATTGTTTTCTTTATCTCAACGTGGCAAATACATTCAACCTCATTATTACTTATAGGTGCCCTTTTATTACTTACCAAATACCTTAAAAACTATTATTACTTCTCTAATAGTCCTATTGTCATAAAAAAAATAGATCAAATGAATACCCACAGTGTTAATTCCTAGTCTAAACAAGCTGAAAATGCCTAGAAGACATTTCAGTCTGAGAACCCCTGTCTACTTACGATTTTGTCGGATTTATATTATTTGACCAATTCAAGTGAATCTTTTGTCCAAATTGCAATATCGCACCCTTGTGCACATCCATTATTAAGCCCTCTTGTACTATATAGGATTTGCATATATCAGTCGTACTAATAGTAATGTAGATATGTACGTGACTCTTTTTTAAGAGCGGTCCAATAAGACAACTTTAGCCCCCAGAAATTGGTTCCAAATAGCGTTTACAAAAATTTTACAGTGCACTGCAGGGTTATAATCAATTGGGGCTACAATAACTGTAAAATATATATACAGGGGAGAATTGCTAGAACTTAACCATGAGCTTAATTAAATTACCTTACATTTTCTATTAGTAACTAATTCTCTTTTTTTCTATTTAGTTACTAGGTTTGTTTTCAAGCAGAATATACATGGGCCCAAGATAAATAGTCAAATAACTCCTCTGGATATTGTTACAAAGGTAACGTAGGTTCCTAGCTACAAGGGTATGTACAGCAAAAAAAAAAAAAAAAAAAAAAAAACAAAAAACACCGATACACTTGCTAAAAAAGAATTAGAACTCCCAAGCCCCCCTTTCCCCCCCACGCCCCCAACTAACTCTTTTATATAAAATTACTTCTAGCATTATAAAACTATTAAGAAAGGAAAACACTCTGGAGCTAGACTAAAATAGTAACTGATCTTTATGCTAAATGCACCACCAAACCCTTTAAAATATAGCTACCATGGCCTATGTTACATAGGCTTTTAGCTAAAGGAGCAGGCGCGGTAACTTATAGATTGCTTACTAGTACTAGGGATTTGGACACAATGCAAAGCCGTACTGTAAGTAGAAATACAAAAGTCCAAGGTGCAAGGATACTTTACAAGGTGTTGAATACTTATGCCCTTCTTTCTGAAAGCCTTCAAGACCTTTTTTTTTTTTACAATCAAGACGAAAAGACTATCAAGATTTAAAAACCAACAGACAACACCAATCCTTATAGTAGTATTCCCATAATGTCAATTAACCCCTCCCCCAACTTTCTTCTACACATGTAAAATATAGCAAATGCAGGCGGCTTTTATTGTCTCTTTACTTAAATATAGCTTTTGTATAACTAGCTAAGTCAATGGACATTAGGTACTTACCTGAATGAATAAACAAGCAAGTTAGTAAGCTTAAGAAAACTAATAAATCGAGCTTGTTCTTGTCCTTGTTAACGGAAACGGATAGTTTTGTTTAAACTAAAGGAAAGCGAAAAAGTACTAATAACCTTGGTTACTATATTAAACCCTGGCTTTTCCATTTCAAGGATACACAGTAAAATAAAAAATTAGCAAATGGTAATACTAAGGAGAAAAAGAGATTGCATTTTCCAAATAGAATGAGGTATTAAAAATGCAACACCGAGTCTCGGCTTCTTGCTCTTTTGCCGAGTTGATAGGGTAATATCTTAATTAAGTGGCCATGGCTACAAGTATTAGTTTAGAGTTAGTGTAGGAAAGTAAGGATATTTACCTGTAATAGGGCAGTAGTCTCTCAAGTCTCTGAGCATGCGGCTTATTGTTAGCAGGGATATGATTTGGGCTGCTGACATGCAGTTTTGCTGTACTAGGCAGCGAGTATAACCCTGGACCCTGCAGAGAGAGAATTGAATAGGTATTAGTCGATAATAATTACGTTTTCGCATGCCTTGATAGGAAGATCAAGCTCTATTAGGCTATTAAAGAACTTATTCTTGCATCAGAGAATACTTACGCCAATTATAATGAGACCGAGTACCGATCTCCACTTCCCTTGACCCCTACCGATAAATGTTTTAGTACCTCACTATGATCCAGTTGGGAATTAGATAGCTTATTTTATTGGATGAGTAAGCGGCGCATTGGTTTATAAGGTTACATTACGGCGAAACACGCCAGTACATTATCTAATATGTGTAAGATATAACTTGCATTAGACACTAGCTGCTCAGCTCTCTTTCCTAATGTCTATTTTTCCAGAAAATATTTGTGCTGAAGGATCAGGAACATCCGTTAGTGCTGACTCTGACCCCATCCCGGTTGCAAGTTCCAGGTCCCGGATTCAAGACCTTTATCTAGATGCCAAGGGTTTGATACCGTCACCAGCGTCTGTGCTGTTAAACTGAGCGGCAGGCTGTTTATCTTTCTGTCTTCCGGGCCGTTTATCCAAAGACCGCTAACTGTTACAAGTTTGGGTACCAGGGTCAGGGTTATTAGAGTAGTTTTCAGCTCCTGCTTTATAGTTTTGTTACTACTACTACCTAGTGCAAGGGCTAGGCAGTAAATTAGTAAGTAACAATATAAAGGAAATTATCGAAATATATTCTTGTATTCAATTAGTAAAATAGATAGGTAGATATTGTTACTTTTTCTTTTATTTAGTATTATTTGTTTTCTTCGGCCTATTACCCAAATTAAGTTAGCTTTATTCAAGGTACTGAATAACAGGAAACTATCTAGTAGTTAATTTTTTTCGTTTCGTTATCTTTGACCTGTCAATAAAACACATAGTTAGCAATATACGGCCTTGAAACTGCACCAGAACATGCCAACCATCACCACGAACAATAACAACAAGAACAATAACGACAACAACAGTAGCAACAGTAGCAACGACAACAAGATGGCACCTCTGCAAGGAGCAATTGGCGCAATAGATGCCGCGCCCGGTGTAAGTCGAGTACCAGCGGTTTAATAGCAAGTGCACTTCTACTAGGACGATTCTGAGTGCAGACTTAGGTTTCTTTCTACACGCCTCGACAAGAGCCAGCTGCGGGCACTGCCAAAGATGAAGATTGTCCGAGCTTGTTCAAGCCAATCAATATTGGAGGAATGACCATTCACAATCGTATTGTTGTGTCTCCAATGTGCCAGTACGAATTCCAATTAAATTAACCCGCAATATACCAATGATGTATGCGACTAACTCTGAGCAATGCAGATACTCATCTCCGGATGGTTTCGCTACCCAATGGCATAAATCACTGATCAACAGCTTTTCTGCACGCGGCCCAGGCCTAATTTTCATGGAAGCCCACTCTGTTAGCCCTTATGGCCGCATCACACCCTCGGACGCTGGTCTTTGGAGCGACGCACACATTGAGCCTCTGGCCGAGATCGTCGAGTTCGCCCATAGTCAAGGTGTCAAGATTGGCATACAGCTTCAGCACGCCGGAAGAAAGGCGAGCCGACTCTCGCCATGGTTGGAAATGACAAAGGTTTCGAAAGGCAAGGTAGGGGCATCAGATATCTTTAGCAGATAAAACACGACACTAATTCATTTCAGGATTTTGGATGGCCTAATGAGGTCATCAGCTGCAGCCCGGTGCCATTCAGCCCTGATACCTGTCTACCTAGGGAAATGACCAAGGCCGATATTGAATCTCTGAAGAAGGACTGGGTAGCGGCTGCGAAGAGGGCTCTCAAGGCTGGTTTTGATGTAAGCAACTGAACTATTGCTCCTATTGTTTGAGATATCGCTTTCTAACTTTCTACAGACAATTCTTTTTCAGGCAGCCTTCGGTTTCCTTCTCCACAGTTTCTTGTCTCCGGCTGCCAATCAGCGCCAGGACAACTATGGTGGTTCTTTTGAGAACAGAATTCGTCTCCTAATTGAGATAGTGGATTTGATAAAGGCTGAGGTCCCCGCCGGCTTCCCTATCGGAGTCCGCATGCCTGCAACTGACCACCTGGAGTATGACGAGTCGATGCCGCAGTGGAATTTGGAGCAATCCACCAAGCTTGCCAAAATTCTTGCAGAGCACGGAGTCGACTATATTGATGTCTCAAGCGGCGCTCTCGACCGTCGCCAAAAAATGAAATACGGGAAGGGTTACCAGGTTCACCTGGCTAAGCAGATAAAGAAGGCACTGGCAGGCACTAGCGTCATTGTTGGAGTCAGCGGCAGCGTTATAACGGGACAACAGGCTCAGGATATCCTGGACACATCGGCCGCAGACGTTGTTGTTTCGGGGCGAGCCTTTGTAAAAAACCCAAACCTGGTCTGGCAGTGGGCTGACGAGCTAGGTGTCGATATCCATGTTGCAAGCCAATGTAAGTAAGACCCTGGGAGGTATATTGGATCCCATGTCGGACTTTTAACTAATGATGTCTATAGTTGGTTGGGGATTTGGTAAGGCTCGGGGCCTTCCGTCCAAACCAAAGCCAAACCCAAAATCTAAGATATAGTTGTGCATATGTGAAATATCAGCATGCTAGAGAATATTATTCGAGATAGCTTCAGTATAGATTAATAACCTTCGCTTACTATTGCAGTTACAATTTTCGTTTCAAAAAAAAAACGAAATAAATAAACCTGTCCAGCTTGTGGAAATCATCGATAGTCGTAAAACTGGCTATAAGAGACATTGTATAGAAAATATAAGTTAAATAACTTCTTATTTAATACTTATTTTATAAGCCAAAAGATTCCAATTTGCTGGGTATCTTACAGATTTCCGGGCCAATAGTAGAGGGTAAAGATTTACAGTCTCTTACTGAAAGTAGAGCCTTCACTATTGATATAACTAAATCGATAACTACAAATGGGTACGATGTCTCCTGTAATAGTGGAAGATTACTCCACCAATCTGCTAGATAGAAGCTTCAACGGATAAGAAACAATTAGACTAAGATTTAGGTTCCTAGATAATGACTTGTACAAATAGTTGTCTATAGTTTAAAGCGCTTACGACCAGAAGAAATCTTGTCAAACTCGGCCTGTGGAAGTCCCGTGACTAGGCTGTTGACACCGGCAAATACTTCGGCGATATTTTGCCGCTCCATTGCTTCCACTTCAGATTTATTAATGAGCTTCTTAATCTGTATCAAGCTTTCTCCCACAAGTTGATCGCCCAGCTTCTCTTCAATCTCGTCGAATACAAGCCGATGAAACTTGTCCTCTTCGCCTTGGCTACAGGGGAAGATCTTGTTAACAAAGCCCGCAGCTAGGAGTTCATCTGATGTGATCTTTTTGCACATGAGTAGCGCCTCTTTCGCCTTTCCTACTCCTAGTCGCTGAACTAGGGCTCGCGAGGCGCCGCCCTCAGTGACGAGGCCAAGAGATGCGAATGGCATGAAAAGAATTGTGTCTGGGATGCAGTACACAAAATCTGCAAACGCTGTAAGGGATGCAGATAGTCCAATGACAGGTCCGTTGAGGGCTACAACCAAGACCTTTGGGTGGGTGGCGAAAGCATCGGTAATGTTGATATTGAATGCAAGAAAGTGCTGAAGCCAGTGTAGCCGTATCTTGTCCTCTCCCTTGGGCAAGGGGGGGTTACTGCCAACGTCGAAGCCACTGCTGGAAGTGAGTATTAATTTCACAAGTAAATGAGACCGTGCCTGTACTTACGCAGAGAAATAACGCCCCTTTGCGGTGATTACGGTAACGAACACTTCATCATGAGTGGCTATTTCTCTCATGCGGCTGGCTAGTTCGAAATATTGCTGCTGGCTTAGTACATTGAGCTTTTTGGAATTATTAATAGAGACAACCGCAATGCGTCCGCGGTAGTCAACGTCTATAATCGAGGAAGTCATTGTAATATACGAAGAAATGAATACTAAATGATAAAAACAAAAAAGCGCAAGCTTCGACTAGTCCTAATTATAGAAAAGAAACTACTGTCTTTTATAGAAAAAAAAGTTACTGGTACAGTAGATTAGTTTGGTTACTAGTTAGAGATCGTAAATACGTAAGTAAGACCAAATAGTTGCAAACGAATTTAAAATTAACACTACAAACATTTTCGATTACTATATACCATTCGGCTAGCTGGAATAAATTCTCTTTCAGGCCCCTTGCACTTGTTATAAGTAGTATATATAGCCAGTATATTATTGCTTATTAAAATATTACCTTCGTATAGTAGTATATCGTAATATAGAATATTAGTTATACAAGGGGGTTGTATAATCTAGGATATATAACTTTTTACAAGCCTTGAAAAAACACTGTATTATTAAGCGTACTCTTGTATCGGGCCGATTGGATAAATTTTTGTTTTTTACTTTAACTGAAACTTAATCAAGGAAAAGATTAGGTACAGTATCGGCGATTTATTTATTTGCATAATGCAACATAGATAAAAAAATGTATTTGACCCTTGTTAAAGTACAAATTCAGTCTAACTATATTTAGTAGTTTATAGTATAAGAATAGTTTTTTTTTTTTTTTTCGAAGTATTCATATGTTATAATAAATATATATTATAAAATAATTGTATGTTAAATAATATATTAATATCTCAGTGTTATAGCATTCCCAGCCGGGCTTGGGCAGCACCCAGATCCCCCCTGTTAAGTACATTACTGCTGGATAGTACATTTTAAGATAATGCAAAGCGCAAGCCACACTTGCAGTGTTGCACCATAGCGAGGCACTGGTACTCCAACAGCGCGGCCTTCATCCGGTGCTGGATTCCGCTCAGGCTGCACACCCTCCAGTGGTGTATTTCAATACTTTTATTTTATCGACTGATCGTGCACAGAGAAGCGAAGTCGTTATTGCTCGTGTTATGACCAACGGAGATCTATTGGAAATCTCATCGGGCGAAGTCATTGCTCTAGCAATTACTGAACAATATATTTATACTACATTTTTTAATATATATTGACTCCAATGCAGCTTGGCCTACCCTTGTATGCTACGAAAATAGTGTCAATATCTCCAAAACCGCAAACAAAGTCAACATGAGTATAAGGTCTTAGCAAAACCAAGTACTGCTGCTTGTTATAACAAGGGTCAGTGTCTGGATCGACTCGGCCGTACATGATTCCAATTTGGGAGTGTAAATCCTTTTGTGACTGAAGATATTCTCACACACGCCTTTGGAAAGTATAGGTGTGATGTCGTGTAGCTCCACAGAGTTTCTCGATGAGGCGTGTATAAGCAACACCTCAAGGTCACTTTCTGATTATTTCAGAGTGATTAGAGAAAAAACGGAACAAATTGATTCCCAACCTGTGCTGAGAGATTTTTTATTCCCCATATCCCCAGCAAAGATCAATAGTCTCCAGCTGCCGGTGCTACGTAATTGACTATGTAGTGATGCGTAGTTCAAAGTTTGGCATGCGATAACCAACAGATATCGGAAAGAAGCCTACATCTCTCAGACTATTATATACACTACAAGACGCAGATCTCTTACTACAATCAATAAGGTTCAGTAGCAAATAGCTACACTAAATCCCCGATAGAAAAGAGTGCTCCCCGTCGATCAATTTGTCAAAGTTGAGTAAGCCTGCCATATCTAAGTGATTGAAGATACGTTGAAATGCCACACATACTCTGCGAAATGCTCAGCTAATCTGTCGCAGAACATCGCGGCGATTTCAATAAGTCTTTTCGCGATAGGCAGTCTCTCTTTGGCGTATGTTTGCAGAAGAGCTGGGTCGTGGCCCTTGAGGACACAGGCAATCTTCTACCCTAAACTATAAGCATCTTGCATACTTGTATTCATGACTATTCTGGATTTTGGGGAATGGAATTGGACAGCGTCGATGCATAAAAACATGCGATTTCTTACAGAGGCTCGCTCGGCTAGGTTAAGATTTATGCTCCCTTCTTTCGAAGCAAGCGGCACGAGGATTCTTGCAGCATGTGAGATATTAACAGACGCATGAGTGCTATCTATGTTGAGGCCATGCAGATGATCCAGTTGCACATATATCCCAACACGAATGTCTTCACGTGGAGTTACCATTAAGTTGCCATATTTCTGGGTTTCGGCAATATATTGACTTCGAATGTCGGCTGTAATAATTAGTTTAGCCTATCTCTGAGATTATGGATATCAAAGTTAGCTTACGGAAGTTGGTAATAGGCACAAAATCGATGACACCCCATCGCGAGTGGCCAATATGAAAGTGAGGCGGAAAATCGAGTTGCTGGCGAAGCTATGAGCACCATCACAGCCAACACTGTACTTTGCGCGGCATCGCCATTTGCCCAAATAACCAGATTAAACATCCAAGGTTAGTTTATGTTCCATATCGTTACACCCATGGACAGTTTCGTCCATTATAGTTGACTTTATCCCACTTAGCTTAGCCGGCTCAGATTTCCACATTATTTCAATTCAAGGATAGTCAGACTACATATTATTTCTTTTCTACATGGCCTTAATGTAGTATAGCACTTAAGAAGCGAGAAACGTCCTGATTGCTATTAAATCTCCGCGTTTGCCGACGCAGCTTACCCCTAGGAGAATTGCTAACCAACGTTAATGTGAATATAATAAATTAGATGGACTTGTTACTTACCCACACTCTTAGCTCAATCGTTTATTTGCTTGGGCCCACAACAGTGCCGCAAGATTGAAGCTATCGAGAATCTCCCACGTCTGTGGGTCAATCCCGTCGGCATCTCTACATACTTTAGAACCCTTCTTGATGTCGACAATATGAGTCGAGACACCAGTTCAAGCCACCCATGTACCCAACATTAGTCTTGCCAACATAGTCAGCTGTTACTGGTCTCTTCGCCGGCTGGTATTGCTCACCCTGCAAGCCCGGCGATGATAATGCAGAGAGACGTCAACGTCTCTATGATAGTCTTCGGAGTTCATACTTAAGATAACCTTCTTCTTGATAGTTGGATTCTGGAGTAGATTGAAGAAAGAACACATTTTAAATATCTTTTGAAGGTGTATCGCCCGTGTACGCCAATGCTGCAATCCTTATTGACGCGCCGGGTACATATATAGCGGTCCTTGACGTCTTGACACAAGTCTTGACAAATGGGCGAGCAGTCTCTGGGGCTAATACACGTTCAGACAAGTTGACTGGTTTATTCTGCTATCTGCAAGACGCGTTCCCAGGCGATGCCTTAATTCCTCTCGTCACCACCGATGTCTCTCTCTCTCATGATACAATTTATATGTGTTTCACTCATAGATATCGAAAGTGACGATCGTGACAGGTCAGCTGACAGCAGCGCATCTCAATCCCTTACACCCGTGCAGATGCCAAGAGTGTAGGCTGTAGGGGATGGCGGTCAGCCGTGGATATTGACTGGATGGACTTTGATCCAGAACTCGACTTGTTGGCTGTAATGCAATTTTACGTGCATGATGACACTGCGGGCGACCTTTGTCATGGCCAATGACGTACATCATCGATCCACAAAGTAGAAAACTACCTAGTTGACCAGCAACCAAGTACCGAGACATTATGAATAAGATGTAGCTTAGCGAGCAAAAATCCACGTCATTCGAGTCGAGATATTCACGCTCCTACATCCAAGGTTCAGACTATACCAGGTGTTTAAATGATATGCCACTGAAAGATGCGAGAGTACTGTTTTGGTGATGCTCATATGAGTAAATGATAGATGTCTAGTATATCCTAGCAGTACTACAGAAACTTTTTTGGTTTGTCTAAGTCGACTAACTTTCTTGCGCTGTAAAGTAGTATCTCTTGCACTTGTTAGCTAAATCTTAGAACTATACACTACTGCTCCTGTGACCTCCGGAAGCAGCGTCCTTGTCAATAACGGGTTAAAGCCTGAAGCCTCCAAAACCACCACGAACAAGACGGCTTGCTGGTCTTCACACTTGTGATGCTTATGGAAGAGCAAGCTCAGGGGTGTTAATAGGCAAAGATAGCGACAAAGAGTTTACCGCAAAGTAGCCCACAACACTAACGACACACACAATAGGGACTTTTAGCCTCAACAACAATTTTTATGGGGGAAATCTACCTATCTGGCTATGCTATAGCAGGGCATACTGCTTCGTAAATTCATCAAACAACTTCTTCAACGCGAGCGCGTCGAGCGGATCTGTGTTGTCATCCTCGTCCATCGCCATCAGCATAAAATGGATATCGAAGCTCAAGGCCAGTATATATCCTAATGTTGCTTCTGCAAGAACCTGCTCGCATGTGTCATTGTCGCCTGTGATTTCGTTCCACTTCTTCGCATAGTCTTGGCAAAATTGTTTCTTTTCTTCGTCGGTATAAGGCTTGCAGTCGACAATCTTGCTCACCTCGTTGGTCCACTTGAACATCTTCTGAAACCAGTGTCCACCGATATCGAACGCTCTGTAATTTCGAAAGACAAACTCAAAGTCAATGAGGGCAATTTTGCTCTCGCCTCTCTTTACATCATCTTTCAAGAGTACGTTTCCAAATTGCACATCGTGAATGCACCACCCTTCTTTGGCCCCCATTGACGCCAAACGGTCAACAATCTCTCGAAGTTTAGAGGTAAAGTCATAGTCCACCAACTCATCGATATCGACACCGCCTTCTCTAGCCAAGCTCTTGAGCTTTGCCATCTTGTGATACTTATTCAGCCCCCGAATAACAGCCTCTCGATAGGAGTCGACTGACTTCTTGAGTAAAAATGGTGCCTCCAAGGCGTGAAACGTTGCAAAAGCTTTTGCAATGTCGGCTCGAATGGTCTCGTCCTCAACATCTTCCGGCTCTAGTGTGCGGCTATCGATGAGCTCATCGATTCTACCCCGTACGCCATTATTAGTCTGGAAGAAGCCAATCATCTTGGGCCCGAAGCTCGTCTTGCCAAATTGCTGAACCAGAGCAGCTTCTGCATCTTTTGACGGTGCTAAGTGTTCAAAGACCTCGACACCTGTTGCTTCATCCTCGTGTAATTTAATGAAAACCTTGGAGGGTTCTAGTCGTGATTCAGTGGCAAGCTGGGTTGGTCGTTCAACAAAGTAATGTGCGCACATTTGCCCAACATCATGCCTCACAACCAGGTAGTCTGGATCGATAGTTGCCCATTCTGAGAGGAAGGTGCTGACAATATCTTTGAGCACGGACTTGGTCGGTTTCACATCCTTTGTAATAGTAACCGGGACTTGGACGCAGGCGATCATACTTGCAGTATGTTGTTGCCTGGTGAGATGTACTTGAAAAAGATGACTGGAAAAGGCATTGAGGGGTAAAAACTTGAGCTAGTCTACGAAATGCATGTCATGTCGGTGACATGCCAACAGGTACTAGTATTTACCAACCGAGTCGCGCTGACGGGTTACCAGCAGTGTATTTTCCGTCCTGGCTGTCCTGGTTTCATTGCCGTACTCTACAGAATCTGCGGGGTACAGCCGGAAACCTAACAGGTACAAGTCGACAAATAGCCGTCACCTTATTTCTAGATTAACCAAGACCCATGTACCCGTCGCCAGAAATTGACACTCTATTCTATCGTCACAAACTTTGTTTTAATGAAACATTTTTAAAGCGAGTTTTTCAACCTATCCCTCAGGAGGTTGCTTTCTCGGTACCAGTTAGTAACGGTGAGCTGAGAACGTTTCGCTCACCTCCTGCCGTCGACATCGTCTGTATTCTCTGTAGCTTAACGCGAGGCCTAAATTATGCAAAGAGTTAAATTAGCTTTAGGCGCCGGCTGGCTTCTGTGGCGCTTCCGCCAACAAGCTCAGCTGGTGTGAATCCACGTACTTGTACACTCGTCCCCTTAGCGCTGTGCCAAGAATACCTGTAGTCAATGGTGTGACTCCCCTTCAGGACACAATGTAGGTATACCAAATGGGGTAGTATATAAGATGCTTAACTCGATCCCGACAACGGCCAGCCTGGCTGGGGCCACCAAAGGATCCCGTCGGGAAGCCACATCGTCTTAATTCGAAGTTAAGATCACCTCTCGAAACATTTAACTCAATCTCTTCCTGCTACGAAGCTAGCCACATTTCAATAAAGCTTGTTGCAGTGTAAGTGGCTGGTGCGGTTCGGCCCGGCGGTATTTCGTGAAAGCTTATCAATGTCTTGTCTCATCTTTATCCAGCACAACGGGTATACTTAGGCAGCCATTCCAGCATTAGCTGTGTATTTAAACTTTGTGTCTAGATTTTCGTTTAATGTTGTTAAATTAGAATGACATAAAAGGTTTCAGCAATGTGTAGACAAATCTGGCCTGTATAAAGGCTAACTATCCAAGTACTGCAATAGGGCGAAGCTGATAAAGAACAAATAGGTTACTTTGCCCATCCACACGACTAAATTCTGACTCTTCCCAAAGATATGCACCTACTCAAACGAGAATAACGAGAAAACACAAGAAGATTTTATCATGAACATCATTAAACTTCTCTCCAGCTTCCGACGGCTCCGGCCTCATACTCACAGTTATCTCCTTCGGCTGCCAATCGAAATTATGTTAGAAATACTCAATCTCCTCCCTCCATACTGCTTACTGGTCGTATACCAGACCTGTCGACCGCTACGCGCCATTATTCATCAGAACTTCCTTTCTGGGAGGGGGGAGATGCTGGCTACACTCGAAGATAAGCTGCGCTATCTAACCTGCCTCGCCAGATCCCTCCCTGATCAATGGGTTTGTGCCAAATGCTGCAAACTTCATAAAACTTACTGGTTAGATGTGCCAGCATACTACATATATACTCCAGAATGCGAAAAGGGTACCATATTGCCCAATCGTGAAGACATTTCGAATCGCAATACGTACGCCCTTCATATGCCAGCGCACAGGCACGTCCAACTCACTCTTAAGTATATTCGATTAGGGAGGTTAAGCTGGAAACATCAGAAACGTCTTCAAAAACTTCTCAAACCACATTACTTCCCGGTTAAAGAGAAGTTTTACACCATTGAAAATAAGGGCATCTTAGAACATTGGTCATATTATCCCAAGGTCATAGAGGGAAGATATATATACTTATCTATCCAGACTTACCTTGAGGGTCAGAATAAAATATCACGACAGTATCTAAAATGGGGAGACATATGCCATCATATAGGTGGATATAAAGAGAGCATTGAAATAGCTATCGACATGGCATTCTCAGTAGAAAATACTCGGCTTTTCTTTTGCTGCAGTTCTTGTAGAACAGATTTCTCTATACAAGCCTCGCCGGAGCGTGTGACTATATACACATGGCAAGATTTAGGACCAGAAGGAACAGTAGTTGATCCAGAATGGGAGTCGATGCTATGCGATCTCACAAGAGTCTGTCACCAGCCTGGAAGCATTCGGGATCTATATGACCAGCTTGAAAACAACGAGGATTATTGGGTATTTTAAATTATTGTTAATGTTTAATAAAATTGCAAGATATTCTTACATTGAAAGCCTCATATTCCTACCGTGTTCTTAACGTGTCCCATTGATAGCTAGGTTGGTTCTAATAGAGGCTGTATTCAATCTTCTGATATCCCGATACGCGCCAATTCTCGTCGTGCAATTAAATTCATTCTTTTACGCTGTCATTATTTGCTTTGCAACAGCTTTTATTGTTACTATCAAAGTCGAGCTAGGATCCGTTGTCGTTGTTGTCGCTGACATATTGACGCTGTTGGGGGAGATCATCTGGGTCTCGAATCAAATCGACAGGTGTCAAAGAGGCGGCTCTGGTCGACGGCCTAGTTGGATGCCATCAGGCTGCTCGATCCTATGCTCCAGCTGCATTATGTATTACGCGACGATGGTCACATGCAAATTCTTGACTTCAGTCTCCAGCCAGTCTAGCGGAGAGAGAGAGAGAGAGAGAGAGAAGAACGTAAAATTGGTCATATAAAAGAATGCGATAGTTGAAGGGCCAGTAATTAAGAAGGGCAGGAGCGAAGCACCACGGCCGCATGACAACAAACGTCTCAAGTCACAATCCACTGGCTTCCGTGAGGTCTTATGGCTCTTCAGTATGCTTCTCCACCTCGTACAGCCGCGTCCCTTTACTTGATGGGATCTGCAACTTCAGACATTGACGATCTTTGAGAGCAGCACCAGCAGCACCAGCAGTATTGATAAGGCGGCTGAGATGCTAAATACCCTTTCCCTTTTTTTCCCTCTCTATTGCCGCTATAAACTCTATTACATTCAATACCTAACTTGTCAACAGCCACAGCCACAATAATAAGCTTTCTAGAGCCTTCGCGGGAGAACACCTCCACAAGCAAAGGAGCATCTCGCTGATAACAAGAATAATTGAGAGGAATACCAAGCCACTTTTACGCCTCAGATAATCCATAACTATACATAGGTACTATGTATGAAAATGAAAGCCAGTGATATTGGAGGTATTTATACTGCTTGATGCCCTGAGCCTACCTTGGTTTCTTTCTTTCTTCTTTAGGTCCAGAGACAACGTCTTACGTTCTTTTTTTCTTCTATTTTTTAAAACAAAAAATGGCTGTCGTTAATTGGCTCGCCCTTGCGGTGAGCATTTTTGCTCTCTTTAAGGTAGATATTAAAGAATTATTTACCGGCTATGAAACCGGGAGTCTCTCTTTCAAGAGAGCGAAGATAAGAAGAGGATTCGGGAGTTGGAGGACTTCAACAGGGGGATGGTGGAGTTCAAGAAGATGTTGGAGGAGGACTTAAAGAGGGAGACAGCGACGAGAGAGAGGGAGGTGGGCGAGCTGCGGCAGCACCTGCTGGCTGTCGTGAGCATGCAGATTAAGAGTCTACGTGCCCGGGCCGACGGCTCCCAGACAGCATAGTCCCTTCTCTGTCTGCTCCTTTTTTTTTTTTTTTTTTTTTTTTTTGCTTAACTTAGCGCTTCAGGAGCGTTGGTTTTTTTTTTTTTTTTTCCAATCTTTTCAGCGGTGTTTTTTGTTTTTGTCATTCTTTTCAGCGTTGATTCGTCATTCTTTTCAGCGGCGACTCGTCATTCCTGACAGCAGTGGTCGGTCATGGACTCTTCTCAGTGGCGGTCTAAAATCGTGTTGCCCGCCCAAAGCGTTCAAAGCGGTGAGCAAAGCTGCTGCGCCAATCAAATTCACCTTGTTTGATCGAAGCCGCCTTGTTTGATCCTAGTCAGCCGGCTTGATCAAGGTCAAAGGACCGTTCGAGGCCACCCATCTAGTAGGCAGGCAGGCAGGCAGGCAGGCAGGCAAGATACCTTTACTTCTATTTATCTATTTCTTTCCCACCTTCGGCAGCAAAACTTTTTTGGGGATGTGCATGCCACAAGCAGCAAAACGGTAAAACATCCGCAGAGGCATGTTCTTCCATATCTTGTTTTATCTTTTTATTCTTCTTGTGTATCTAGATTAAGCTAACCACATACATGGCAATGCTAGCTCGCTGTTCTCGTCGCCCTGCTTCGAGGGGCTTCTTGTTGTCGGCGCCCCCATGGTTCATCGATGTCGGTGCCGGCTCCCTCTCTACCGATCTCACGTCTCGCTGGTTTGCCGGTCCAGTCCGAAGACGTCAGGGTGATTATACGGAAATTGATGAAGCATGAGGGCTATTATGAAGGGGAGGCAGGTTGAAGATATGATCTTTGAGATGAAAGACGGCAATGCTGAAGCTGTGAGGTCGAGTGCTACGAAACATCAAAGACTTCGAAAAGACGAGATTTAATAAAATACAATGTATATTCGGAATCCTCGTTCTTTAGAGGCCATTGGCTGCTCTGCCTTTCGCCATACTGTCCTGGATCTTTTTAACTGCACCTCTCTTTTCCATCGCTTTAATCCATGACGTATAGTTTGGATACTTATCTAATTCCGAATCTCGGCTGAGCTCCTTGAGTAATCCTTTGCCTACCGAAGCCCACGTAATAAATGAAAGGTCGGCATACGTAAGACTGTTTCCGACAAGCCATCCCGTACCATTTGTCTCTAGGGCACGGTCCAAGACCCCTGTAACTCGAAGTATCTCGTCGACGTAGCGGTCAATAGCTGATTGAAGTTTCTCTGCGTGGAAACGAGCAAACCAAGTAGCTTGGCCAAAATAGGGACCTTGACCTTTGGGTGTATTAAACAATAACCAATCAGTATGGAACACAAGAGATTCAATACATTCAGCAAACGTACCAGATATCTGAAATGCCAACCATTGCTGTGCTAAATGCTTTTCGGGTGCGGTTTCGAACGATATTTTACTGTCATCGTCGTACTGTTCTACCAGATACAAGATAATTGCACCTGACTTTTCGCAATATTTAGTCTAATAGCAGCTAATTAAAGTGTCAAACAGATGAAAATGAGTTTGAACTCACTTCCCATAGCGTGATGCCAGTGTTTGGATCTTTGATTGTAGGCAAGCGCCCATTGGGATTCAGTTTGACGTAATGCTCTTCTTTCACTTGGGAAAATTCTAGCTGGTGAATTATATACGGCAGCTTAAGTTCCTCAAGAATGAGACATACTTTCCTGTAGAATATCATAAGCTCTCTAGTTCCTTTTTTCTTTCTTTTTTATTTTTTTTTTTTTTTTAAAAAAAAAAAAAAAAAAAAAAAAAAAGAACATCGTTATTCTTTACGTACCATGGATTCGGTGCACCCCAATGCCCCCAAACTTCAATGGGCTGGAGAACCATGGTGAGTTTAATACGCTGGATTCGAACTTGACCCAAAGGAAGAAATAGACTAGAATGAAAGGTGAATTGATAGAATCATCATGAATGAAGCTATTGGAAAGTTTGGCTATGACCGTCCTTTTATGGTTACCCAGTTCGAGATCTGGAAAGAGTACCGCCGCTGTAGACTCCTAATTCCATAACCGACGACAGGTGGGTCATAGAGTGTGCCTGCAGTTGACCACCGTTTCCTGGCATTCTGCAAATGAAAAGCCTAGACTTCACGGTGAAAATATCTCGAGCCAAAGTGGCTTGCGAGAATTCTAGCGCTGCACCCACCATTGTCATGGGTTACAGGTGGACACCCAAGCAAAGCAATCCTGCCCTATTATAGCTTTGCGAAAACACTAGCGCGTATGGCCCCATAGCTGTGATTAGAAACACGTCGTTAGGTATGTGTATGCATCTATCTCCGCTCATTCTCTGATCTTCTACTTTCTTTATACATCATTCAACCGCAAGCAAAACAGGGTCCAGCTGAAGCTCCAATCAAGTTTAATTAGGCTACGGATTGTGAGCCTTTCTTTTTCTCCTGAAGTTATCCAAGCGGAGTGATTTACGCATGCGTTTTCCGTCACAATGGTCAATCCAGGTCACGCCAGTAAAGGATGCACCACCTGCAAATTGAGGCGGATTCGATGCGACTATGGCCGCCCATTTTGCTTGCATTGCATCAAGTCTAAACGGATTTGCCTGGCCTACAATGTCCGGAAGAAACAAACGATGATGTCTCACGAAAACATTGATTATGACAATGTCGCTCCAAACATACATCCTCCAGCTGCTACGTCCCAGTTGACTGTATCATACCCTCTATCACGCCCAAATCATTTAAGGGCAAATTACGGCGCGTCCCAATCAAATATTGGCTTCTATCCCTATAGACTAGTCTCTACCTACGGCGGAAAAGGTATCCATCGACTCGTCTGGGACGACTGTGATAATGAATCAGTAGCTGGCAGAGAACATCTTGCCATGGCAATATGGTCTATCCTAGAGACATTAAATAAATCCTTTCACTCACTTCGGCGGCCTATTCAAACTATAGAGGCGCGAAAAGACTTACTTAAAAAGTACGGCTCCGCTACACGGCAGCTCAGAGAGGCTCTTACTCTTTGGCCATCTTCATCGGTCTTATTAATTCCAATTTTCCATTTCTCCCTATATGAAGTAGGTCATATTTCATCAGTGGTATAAACAACAATTTTCTCACCATCCAATATAGATGATCGTCAACCTAAATTCGGAAGACAGAACTTGGCAGACCCATCTTAGTGGCCTGTTAATTATACTCCAACGAATACCGTACAACACTACAAAATTTACCTTGACTAAAGCAATAGAGATTACAGATTTAGTAACTGATGTTAATAAAGCCCTGGTATCATCAACTACAGGCGGCCTAGAAAGAGCGTCCTTGCTGTTGGATATTGTTGAGCTTCAGCTTCGTGAGTTGGTTACCGAGATGGATGCTATTGCGAGCAATTCACCACCGCCTCTGCGAAAACTGGACATAAAGAAGCTGCAAGTGTCGATTAAGCGTATTTGCAATCAATTAGATCTATTTCCGACCGTGGTTCGCGATAGCATCCGTTCCACAACGGCTCCAATTAGCCTAGGCAACCAGCCGGATAAAGGGTGTCAAAATATTCTTACAAATGGTAAGCTTAAAAAAGATTTGTAATATTCTCATTTAATTTATTGGTTCTGACAACTTAATAGACTTGGTTGTGATGCAATGGGTAGTGTTTTATACCCTGCAAATCATGACATCTGCAGTGCTTCTGAAGATTGGTAGCTTCCTCTACTCAGATGCGACTTATCGCTGCAAAAGAGAATTCGCAGTATTATCTCATATCATACAAGGAGCGGCTGAGGGGATATGCTCTATTACCACTTCCTATATTGGGTTGAGCACCCAGACAGCGTCATATCGCCTTGCAATGCCACATATAAAAACGACGCAAGCTCTAATTTTCATATGGCCTTTGTTTTGTGTCTCTAAAGCTCCTGGCCTGATAGATCTGCAAAGGAATTGGGCTAGAGAAGTACTCTGGGCTATTGGAGAACAATGCTCGATCCCTAAAGCAATGGCATTAGTAAGCTGGCCTTCAATCAAACAATTGGTGCCTCTCTTTACTCTTGAAGGGACTCTGATTTAGCTACTTAGGCATGTTCAAGCGGAGAAAATATCGGGCAATCCGACATCTTAGCAGGGATACTGCTTGTTAGCCTCTCACTCATCTTACCAAATCCCATGTTCATTTAGGGAGGTAGCGCGACTACATTCCTATTGCTAAAAGCCATTTCAAAATCACATCAGCATGGTATTTCGTCGGCTACATCGCAGTATAGACTATCAACTGGCCTTGTCTAGCTATCAAATAAGCATCAATAGAATCTGATTGTAGCTGGTCGTTTGGTAGTTCGCATTTACGAGACTGTTATTAGAGATGCTTACAATCTGTCCCTTACCGCTGTTCCTTGTACAAGTATAGGCCTACAGCGAAACTTGATAAACTAATCTATCTGTTAAAAATTGAGATACCGCATTCGATAATGCTGGTCTATAAAGAAAATATTGTGAGACATAGCGTCGGACTAGCAACTACATGTAGAGAGAGAGAGAATGTGTGCTTGAGAGACAAATTATATTGTCCAAGAGAAATCAAATGCTATTTTGACTAACATGTTTCATTATCTCTATTAGTCCCTGTTTGCATGCATTTTCTTCTTGACTTTATTTCCCTAGCTATGCCTTAGCTTGACTTGAGCTCAGCCTCTTTCCTCACGCGGACAGCATTAATCATGACCTTGTTCGCCATGAACGAAGGCATAAGCGTTAAACCAGCCTGCTGCAGTGCATGTGCCCAGTATCCAGTTACAACCACGTGCCCGTGGCCAGCTCGATCCAGCGCGGCTCGAGCCATAATATCAGCCGATGGCGTGAAAAACGATGGAGCCTCTTTGTTGTGTGATACACTTGTAACATTACCAACACGGATGCCGAGGCATTCGATGTCTGCTCGTCCCAGTAATGCAATTTCTAGGTTTATCACACGCGTTAAAGTCATTAGAAACTGTTTGCTCGCACTATAGGAAGCAAGCAACGGGAAGCCTGCGTCAGCCATAGAGCTGATGTTCATTATCAACGCAGGTGAGCTTTGAGCTAGATGTGGGAGTAGGACGCGAATCAGATGCAGAGGAAACAATACATTGACACTGACATTACCAGTGATACGGGATTCGGAACTGTCGTCCAACGAGAGGTAGACGGGATTCGTGGGGCCGCCGCCCGCGTTGTTGATTAGGACTGTGAGATGCAAATCTTGAAGCGCGTCTTTGATAGCATCGAAACTTAGCGAGTGCTGTGACGGAGTTTCTCCTGCCTGGAGGCAATTCACGCATTGTACAGTGCTAGCGTCCGCAATAAGAGTCCGAAATGCTCTTCCTGGATGTCTCTTTTGCAGCTCAGACTTGGCTACGTCAAGTTTCGCTTGATTGCGACCGTGAAGGACCACATTGAAGCCCTGTAGCGAGAGCTCGTCGGCAAGAGCGCGACCAATTCCATCTGACGCGCCCGTCACCAGCGCCCACGGAGGGCGGCCATCGGCTGAAACATGGGCATATCGCTGGAGGTTTGAGGGGAGGAGATGGACCACGATGGCGGAAGCCGCTTTAATAGCGAGAGCGGCAACAGCGATTGCGCCAATGGAAGCAAAGATTTCAGAGGAGTGCATGTTGGGTAATCAAGCGAAAAAGTGACTGGACATGTAAGGCGAAGTGCATAATAGTAGATGTAAACACGCAAGCAAATATGTATTTATGCCGAGCATCAAAGTTACGACGCTGATGGTTAAATCACACAGTTGAGCTCTCAGTATTGTATGTTTACTACATGTAGGTAGTACAAGTCGACAATTATTAGCGGGGTAAGCTGATATGACGTGTTGAAAGCTACATGTATATGTTTCTTTAGCAGGAGCAGATGCTTGCACGAGGAGAACACCAAGAGCTAACCGCGTGATAGGCTGGTTCAAAGCACCATGAACGAGTAATATAACCGCTTTTCTTCATCCCATCTCAAAAAATCATAAATTAAGATTCGTAACATTAATAGGATATCTGAGCAATGATTCTGAGAGAAATGAGCCTTAATAATGTTTATAAGAAACAATTTTTTCCTAGACTATATTCAATTTTACCTTCGCGTCGGAGAATTACACTTGTAACTGTGGCTGTAGACAAGAAACTACCACACTGGATGTAGTATCTTAGTTCACTTGCTTTACACGGCGTTCAAGGCTTTGGTTTATTAATATCAATTCCCACGTACACGACATATCTTCGGGTATTCACACTAGCATACAAAGGTAATGACTGGTATTTCCCTATTCCTAGCCCATAATTGGACTCAAAAAAAAATCATTTCATTAACACATTATTCCCCTTTCACACCTAAAACCATGTGTCAGGGCCGAAGTAGCCCTTCGCAGGTAATTCGGTGAGCAGACTCTGGCGGCCAGCGCCACCATCAATCGTGGCTCCAAGCACCTTAGTACCCCACCAGCTAATTGTTTTGGGGTGGTATTGCACAGCAAAGAAGACGATAATACCTGAAAACGCGACCCCGCCAGTGAGTGCGGCGGCTAAGACATAATTGTACTTCTCCCACCAGGCTGTCTTGTATCTTTTCAGATAGTACATGAAAGCGAAGGAGAAATAAAGGCCACCAGTGAAGTAGGTGAGATTGAGAGGCGCCCATAAAAGCATTCCGTTAAGTACAAGGGATGGATGTACGTGCTTCAACCATGAAATAGGCGTAAATACAATCAGGTTGATAGGCTTGAAAATGATGGCAGGCAACGCAGCTCTGAATCCCTCGCGGACGTAGGAACCAAAGCGCTTAAGGCCCCACCAAAGGAGGGCGAGCAGGAAGCCAAAGAGGAATGTGTATTTAATGGTCGGATAGATCTGGCTAAAAATTCTCTTGGGACCGATTGCACCCTGTGAAATTGTCAGTACATTGATATGAGGTGAGTTCTAGGACAGCGGCGCCTTACCCAGACAACAGACGACGAGAAATATACTTGCGATCCGTTCTCACAATTGAAATTGGAGACCTGGCCCGGAGTGCAAATGCCCGCAATATCATTGTCAGCAAATTGGACAACTGCGTATGCGACAAGCGCAGTAATAATGGCGCTCAATACTTGGCCACGATACATAGCGCGTGGGGGGACCTTGGCATAGAAGCCCATCTTCTGGTCCGAAATATAATTATCTGCTTGCCCATTGATGTTGTACCCAAACGCCTTGACAAACATCAAGGCCTCGGGGTGACCAGGTAAAGCGTAACCGACAATCAACTCCGTGACAACGTTTAACCCTTCAGTTGTGCCAGAGATTGAATAGAGGTAGGACATTGGAATGAGGAACACCAGATTCAATCCAATCACAAAGAAGACAGTCCAAACAGGCGTATTGAGCTGGGGCCAGTGGGCTACAATGATAATTGCAAAGATGAACGCAACGAGTGCAATAATCAAGAACCACCAATCCGGTACTTCGGGATAATTACGCATGAGTTTTGTCAGTGGGTCATCGAATCCGTCATATATTGATGTGTCGTCGTTTAGTATATCATACAGATGTCGACCGGCTTCACGTACATTGCCTCTGGCAAGCGACGCGACTGCATTTTTTGTACCAACAAAGGTTTTTCTTATCGAATCGATAGCGGCTCTTGCCGTAGACTTGTAGGCTTTGAGAAGTGGTCGCCAAGCATCAAGTAATATGAATACCATCGTAAGGGGGTAGAAAGCAAAGAATGCGCCATAGATGAGCAAATTTCCCGCGCTATAGAAAGCGGGGGAGTACTCCTTGTAAGCAGTTTCATTGAGGAAACCGTCATTGGGATTGACAACTCTCGTAATATTATATGATTGACCAGTATTATCAAAGATGCCGGATGAATTGATAGGGAGATATGCCGACCAATTTGTGTTGGACCAATACAATGCAATAATGATCAGCCCACCCACAACTGTACCCAGGAACTGTTGAAAGTATGCAAAGAATGGGTAAGCAAGAGGAAGTGAATATGTGGAAATCACATTCCAGTCGAAAGTCGAAATGGGATTGAATCCAAGCCCATTTGTAGAACCAGTAATTATGTTCAAGTTGAAATTGTTTGGTGAGATCCATGTCATCCAGGCAAAATAACTGAGAGCCGGGAAAATGAAGTCTGGAAGCCAAAAATAAATAAACATGCCGCCGAAGAAAATAAAGAAGAACTTGTAACGCGATAGCCGCCAGCCATGAATTACTTCCACTTTTTCAGGGACCAACAATGCTCTGTTCAGTGCCACTGTAGGAAGAATATTGGGCCATATGGCCTCCGCCGGATAAACGACAAAGCGACGGAGCAAGCCGGAGAATCCCAAGCCCATGAGTTGCGTAGAAAGAAGCAACAGAATGCCATATCCAGGAGTAAGCCATTTGTCCTTGTAGTAAACGGTCTGAGTCTGGATATTCCAGAAGCAATAGGCCGATGTCAGTCCAACATCAATGATGATAGTGGAAAGCATCTGTTCTTTGTACGACCATGGGCCTGGGTTGAGCGAGATCCTCTGACCACGAATTGTGAAACCCCAGTCTGGCAAAACGAGGGCAAGTAATAAGCCGCATGGGTATAGAAGGATTTGCGCAACGGCAGATGTCAGCGTGATTGATGGAAAACGCGAATTAAACAATGAATTGGTGAATTGGGCGAGAACCGCCCATATATAGCCAAGCAAGTGGGCACGAATAGTCTCGCATGGAATATTGACATCGTCTGTCGGTGTCGTAATAGCGCGCACCTCGGGGTATGGTGAATAGAACTTGTTGATTGCCGCCTCGGTTTTTAACTCCAGCTCCCACTCTTCAGGATCCTGTCCGTCGGAGGGTCCCTCAGTCAAAGTTGCAAGCTTCTCGCGCTGACTATTGGAGAAGTTATAGTCGTACTCGTGATCTTTGAGAAGTTTTTGAATAATCTCTTTGCTCTCTTCGACAGTCAACGTTTCGATCTTGTCCATGACATATTCAATGTCATCCAACGGTGCCGTGCCAGTAACCCTATCACCAAGCTTTTCAGCAAGATCATGTACGGCATCGTCGACATCGTGGACCGTGCTAGGGAAAGCTGTCTTTTCATCAAGAGGCCGTTCAGGCGAGGAATTATCCCTATCGACAGAGTTGTCGACGTAGTCTTCTTGTGGAGCCATGATGCCTTGCTCTCTAGCTGTATAACTAAAGACGTTATGAGTGGCAAGCCTCGCCGCAGAGAGGTGAGGCAGCTCTGAGACGAGAAGTCGTATGGCGCGTGGATATACCTAACAAAGCTCTTGATGAGCGGCTGAACCAACCCTATTATTATAATAATTCGAGCACAGGTACTACAGCATAACTCTCATTAGCCGCATGCGGTCTGCATCTAGAGGTTACATCCAATCTCCTCAGACTAGACCCAACGCCAAAGACGAGGTGCTCACAGTATGGCTTCCTTATCTCTAAGCGATACATTGACACGGATACTCCCTATCATCGCGACTCACTTCCCCTGAGGGTTGTGTGTTGTAGCACCCCATGTCTTAGCCTTGCTGAGAACTTTTGCACTGCAAGCTCGTGATCTAGGCTCGGACCTGTATCATTGAAAAGTGGAGTTGAGCGTTCGGAATCGGCACCCTCTCCAACTTGTGGGGGCTACAATCCAACACCATAATGCCGGGAAACGGCACGTTCAAGGTCAGCTCTGTTGCATTAACAAGACCGCTCTGGATCACGGCCCAACGAGACAAAAGTGCGGCGCCATAGCGTGCTACAAAAGGGCAGCAAGAGAGTAGAATAAGCAGGTCGCCGGTCGAACGACGCGGGGAATATCCGAATTAGGCATAGTGACATGGCGATAGCTAGCAGGGTTTGAGAGGATGTGGTATTGGAGGGTGATCATTGTGATCATCAAAAGTTCATCTGGGGTGCAGACCAAAACTACTCCATCCGCTGGTTATATCTTATCTTGGTCCCAGAAAATACCTCAAAGGATATCGTGCAATACCATGCTGTAGTATGATGAAATTGTTATGCTACCTTAAAACTCGGGTTTTACCGTCGCCATCAATACCCTCTAAAGCTACTCGGGCGCATGATGCAGTAACATGTATGATAGTAGGTATTACTATTATAATACCATGGATTAATTCCAGCTGTAAAGATGCAAAGGTCTGATTCCTAAAATCATTTGCTGCCCTTGACCTAGAGGTATAAAACTAGTGGTTCGTGTTGCACTGGCTTCCATCCGTAGTGCGACGCTGCTGACGCTGTACCTTCTCATCTCGTCTGTCTTCCATGGGCCCTTGTGTACTGTATGCCTTGAAGCGCTGAGAACAAGTCCTCAGCCATTCTTTTTATTCTTTTTATTTTTATTTTTTTTATTAAAAAAAAATGCGGATATCGCATTTTCATGGCCCTGTCTTGCTCCAAAGTAGCTTCACAGTCATTATCCACTCTCAGCTATCTCTCCATCTCTCTCGTTCAATTATCGGAAATCCGCCAACTGCAGTAGAGTAGATTGCTTTAATCCCCACCCGGTCACTCGTCCTAATGAGATACTGCCTCCAAGAATGCCACTGAATGCCGTACTATCCGGTAACAGGCACCAAAAATGCTTGTGAAAATTTCTTCTTGAATCAATATACATACATATATATATGTATATTACATTGCACGAAATTAAGTAGTAATAGAAAGGTTGTCAAGAATAGGAATTTTTTTTTTAAAAAAAAAAATAATAATAATAAAAAAGTGGCAGTAAATCTCCTAAATTAAAGTGCTTGGCAGGTGAAGTCATGGCGATCGCCCAGAGATGAAAAGATTTGGCGGGACCTTGGCGTGTCCACAACGCTTCGCAACTCCGCATCTGCGTGTCAAATAAATTTAGAATCCGATAGCATTGCTACTATGTAGGTAGTGGTACCTACTAGTAGTAGTAGTAGTATCTGTTGATATCTATGTAACCAACCCAAATGGCGACAGTCGTGGTTGGTCACACGCTCTCTCTCAAAATCTGTCTTGCCCGTCCTCTCCATAACTGCCAAGACTGCCTATATAAGTAGCGGGCCGTGGCCACCAAACAAACGTTCCTGGCTCGCTGGATTTTAGCTCCCGGTGGCGTGATAGCTGGCGCTTGAAGGGGTCTTTTTGAAGCTACCTAATGGACAAAGCCGCCAAGATTTAAGCGGCCGCATCGCTATCTTTAGCTAAGACGGCCATGGGTGTTTCAATTCAGCAGCTATGATTGAGAATGGAATGACTACGATAATTCTTATCTATCAAGGAGGGCAATCCATTACAAGCTCTATCGCCCGTGTACTAAAGTCTAGCGGTTTTCCAAAGCGATCAGTGCACAATTAACCCTGACGCAGGCTTTGGATGAGACAAGCTCAGCAGCAACGGTTGGTATGACGCCCATGCTAATAGGTATAACGTAACACAGGCCCGAGACTGTCAGTGCATGGAGCAGGATCGGTCCTCATCGGCGATTAGGACGGCGCCTGTAGAGTTGCGATGTATTGATCAAGAGCCTTGTGCCAACCCATCTCTACGCATGCTGACGCAGTTTCAATCTTGGTGACCATTGGAAGGGACGCTAAAGCACGTATCCGATGGATGCATGTCAGTGGGTGTTGGTAGGGCACGCAATCGATATTTTGCTCTTCAAATTGTGTCCATAAATCAATAGTACTTGATTTATGATGTACTTTTTCTTCCGCATGAGGGGAAACGATTCACCCACAACGGCCATCCGTGCCGCTATCAGCCACGCGGAATCAAAAGTGCCGTCTGGGACTAATGTCAGGAATATTGATTGGTTCCGGTTCGAGAATGCAAGCCCCAGCAGCGAGGATCGTTTGATAGTTTGGCGGGGCTACTGCCGGATTTGTTCTTGTCCCAGATCAAGGCCAGTGCTAATGAACCGCGGTAGCGCCTGAAGGGCAAGGGGCTGAAGCTCTTACAGTAATTATCCATTGTATCTATACGGTCTCTACGGCTGCATTGAAAAGAAAGGGTTGGCTGGGCTATCATGCTGCGTTTTACTTCTCCGAATTATTTCCTGTGTTTGCTATTCCTCGCCGCGCCACCCGCTTTATCTCTTGACTTGGGATGGAACTTTTGCTCGGATGAATGGATGGGCGGCGCCGTAGATGGCTCCTTCGTAGCTTTTTGGATTTCTAGAGATCATTTGCAATGACACCAAAACGCATTAACATCGTGCGAGGAACAAACGAATCGAGCGGAATTTTCCATCGGCCTGATCTGTGCCGCAAGAGAGTATCTGGGTTGGAGAAGGATTGAAATATAGGCCACGCATCTGGTGAGCTGCTAGAGTGCCGGGTTCTGCCGCGTTATCAATTTCTAATAACATTGATTCATCTGCAAATACTTACGAGCTCCTGCTTGCATGACAATTTCGCCGTTTCACGTCTTAGGAACGTTAACTAGGATGAATGGAAAATGCGATATTGGACTTTCAAAGCGACCAGTGCAAATATACGTGTATTCTTTGCAATATTGACATGAAAGGATAGGTTTTTAACTGTAGCTGAGCCACAGCGATCATACTCGCACCATTGTCGCTCATAGACTGTGCCGACACGTTACAATTCGCTCATCGCCCATAGAAACTATAAGGAAAGTTATTGCTTTGAGAGAAAGGATTCAATCCAGAAGTGAGTAAGTCGTCACAAAAGGAAAAATTAGGTGAAACGGCATACCTATATACTGCCCTACCTGAAGGTACTAGGCACATATAACAGCGCCGGATATATACTTTCCCGCCACTGCCGTGCTGTTATTATAAGAAAGAGTTTGTATGAAAGGTGGCTAAAAACAGGAAAAGCAGACTAAAGTAATACGAAAGAATTTTCTGCTGCTAGCATAATAATATTATTCTGATTAGTCTATTGCTCGTGAGATTTTATTGGCTACCTAATAAATGTGATATTCAAAGGGAAAATGATAGCACTCCGCATTAGTACTAGTTTCCCATGGTATTGGTATTAAGCTGCTGATGATATAGCGTATCCGTCAAGACTAAACTACCTACTCAATTTATAAAAGACTCTAAATATTGACGGACTCTATTTCACGTCTCTAGGATGTTTGCAATTAAAGTCACAACTTGGCAAGTCTGCGCCTGTCAGTCCATTGGGAGAAAAAAAAGGGGGACAAAAATCACCACAAGCCTCATAACCCTATCGGCTGTTTTGCATAGTTGACCGTATGTTCCATATCTTCGTCAGCGAAGTCATCTTGGCATTGATGATATCTAATCCGGGGGTCGCACTAAGCTACAATTGCTCAACCCTTGCGCATCTTAGCTAATTCGGTCCGATGGCAAAGACAGTCGGAGTTTATAAATATAAATGTTAATCTAGTGGCAGAGGAAACGGTTCAAGATTTTCATACCTAATGCCTGAGAGATCTTGATTCCAGTCAAGATACAATGGCGTTATTAACTCTGTCCAATAGTGTCTTTGGCTCTATAATAAAGTCGTTTATATTGTTACCACTTCTTGCCATTCTTCTTGTCAGTATCACGCAACTCTCGGACCCAGCTGCCTGCTATACTGATAGGTAAATGGACATTGTAGGGCTTGGCTTATGCATTTTGCATTACGATCTATAATCTCTTTTTTCATCCTCTTCGTGAATACCCTGGACCATGGCTCTGGGCAGCCTCAGACATTCCATATTCTTTGGTATCAATAAGTGGCAACGCCCATAAGATAATGCTTCAAATTCACATCAAATATGGACCAGTCGTGCGTGTTGGTCCCAACACAGTGTTTTACAGTCATCCAGATGCCTCCAAAGAAATTCGTGGTCACCGTAAAGGCAATCGGGTAGAGCATCTGAAAGATCCCCATCTACACTCTGGTAATCAAAGCAATGCTATCGGTGCAAGCCGAGAGAATCACGTTCGGTACAGACGCAGCTTGGCTTATGGATTTTCGCACCAGGCCATGCTTGATCAAGAGCCAATCATCAATAAGTACGTTGATACGTTATTAACGGAGCTTAAAACGCAGTGCGCAAACCAAGAAAAAGTCGATGTTGTCAGGTGGTACAATTATACAACATTTGATATCATTGGGGATTTGGCTTTCGGTGAACCCTTCTACTGTCTCGAGAAATCAGATTATCATCCATGGGTCGCACTTATCTTTTCTGGCGTTAAGAATTTGTCATTTATATCGGTGTGCTCGAAATACGGAACGCTTGGTATGATACTGGCATTACTTTTTGTTCCGAAAGATTTACCAGCAAAAGGTAGAGAACATCGAAGGTTATCTGTTGAAAAAACGCGTAGGAGACTCGACTCGGGATCAAGCCGACCGGATTTTATGACAGCATTGACGACGACTCGAGGGTCTACAGAAGTAACTCTACATTAGGGAGATATAAGCGGATATGCGTAGAATACTAATATTTTTATAGGAATTAACATTCGAAGAGTTAGTATCAAACGCTAGCCTGCTTATCGCTGCTGGTTCAGAGACAACTGCCACGGCCTTGTCGGCAACAACCTACTATCTTGGGCTCTATCCAGAAACCTTTCGGAAGCTGGCTGATGAAATTCGTTCATCGTTTCGGTCGGAGAAGGATATAAAACTAACTAGCGTTCAGCACCTCAATTATTTGAAAGCCGTGATTGACGAGGCGATGAGGTTATTTCCCGCGGCGCCTGGCACGCAGCCTCGCATTATTTCGCCTGGTGGCGACGTAATTGTTGGCAGATACGTCCCAGCCGGTGTAAGTTGTATAGCTTTTGTGTGATATATGGTGAATTTTTTTTAGTTTTATGGTTGTAACGTATGGCTTTGCAGACTATCGTTGGAGTATGGCAATGGGTGAATCATCATAATCCCGCGCATTTTTGTGACGCCGAATCTTTTATTCCGGAACGATGGTTTGGCGATGCACGCTTCGAAAACGACAAAAGAGACGCGTTTATGCCATTTTCTGTTGGCCCGCGAAACTGTATTGGACACAAGTAAGCAGAGCTGGTTCCAAAACTTTATTGCGGAAACTAACTATACCGAAGCCTTGCGTACGCAGAGATGAGATTGATTCTTGCAAAAGTCGTTTGGAATTTTGATATAGACCTGGCAGAAGAGAGCATTGGATGGGATGTAAAAAGTAAAGTCTACATGTTGTGGGAGAAAGGTCCCATATATGTGCAACTTACAAAGCGAAAGGGGATTTAAAAAAAAGAAATGGCAAAGAACACCGTAGCCTGTGAAATTTCCAATATAGAAGGACATAGACAGCTTTTGGTATTAGTTAAAGATTAAATGATCCAATTTCACGTTCATGACCAGTTTTGTGTTCAAATTCTCGCCAATCCTGTTTCGTCGTATACATTTAAAATGGCCATATATCAACTCTTTCTCTACTTTAAAATAGTAAAACAGCAATTCAAATGCCATTGTAGCTAAATGTGCTATCCTTGAGATAATGTCTTCGGGTACTTAAAAAAAAAAAGTTGTCTGCCGAGTCAATCTGACTTCGCTCCGAAGCCTCCGCAAGGTCGAGGCGATTATATCTTAAAGTAGTCTTGGGAAATTGGTTCGGTACCAAGTCAATGAACCGCAAAAGACCTATCTTCAGAGGAGAATTTACATCTTACTATTATAAGATCCACTAAAAGTATAAGTGGTATGTATAAGTGGTATGTATAAGTGTGGTAAGATATGTCCGCTGTTGGCCCCCATAATTATACCATCCGCGGATATCCGTATTCCAGTCTCAAGGGTAAGTAATCTAGTTCCATTCCGAGGGACGAAATAGCCATCAACCCACCCCTCCATGGCGATGGCCGTAATGTTGTACGTATTTGTTCCAATCAGAGCATTGATTCTTGCAAAGTCACCGTGGCTGAGAATTTAGAGTCAATCAGCCAAACATCCTGCGCAGGCAGTGTCATAGTTTAGAAAATCATACTCTGGAGAATATGGCGGCTGTTAAATTATTGGTTTTGGTAAATTTCATGAAATATCACTGGCTAATACCTTGCTTGGTCTTGGCAATGGACCTTGGTTCTGGCTAGCACTAAGGAACGCGTCTGCTCCAAGTGAGTAGTATGCTTGTCAAAATTGGCGTTATATACTAGCTGAGAGATTTAATATGGCAATATATACCACTTAAGACTTCATTTCTACTTGCTTGCCGGAGACATCAAGATGGAAAATTCCCGGTAGTATCGGCGAGCTACGGCCGTGTTGATGACCTCGAGCACTAAATAGACATCCATGCTCTTGGCTAGTTGTACTATGTAGATATCCATCTTAGATCTCGATCTATGGAAAGAAATAATGGCACTATTATGTTAATTCTGGCTGCTAGAGGAAGTTGTGTAGCTTAATGACCCTAGTATTTCACCATATAGAGTAGCTGAAGCTCTAGAAACGGATCCCCGAAGCCGTGTTGCATCTGTGTTGGGGCTATGGGGGGCCGAAATAAACTTTCTAACAAAACTGTTGATTGGCATATAAGTAGGATAGTCATGGTACGCTTTATATTTTAGGTCGTGCGGGCTGTGATTACAAATGGGTACATTTATGATGAAGGTAAGATGGCATGCGTTAATAGGTACTCATAGGTATACGAATAGCTAACTGATGGGGTAAATTGTAAATTTCGGGTGAAACTCTATAACTATTCAAACTTTTGAAGAGATAAAACTAAGCAATTTGGAAATTACTATTACTAAGATATTTCTTAAGATGTTTCAAACTGTGTCTATCGGCCCCTTCTTCGCACCTAAAATAAATGCTTGGCTTTGGCGCTGTTGACGATTCCGGAGATACTGCTCGGTGGAACTGCTCTATAGGCCATCCGTTAAACTTTTATTGTGAATCGAATGTAGGTAAACTAACACTATAATCCCTTTCACTCTTAGCACAGTGCGTGCGACAATATATTGGGCAGCATGAGGTCTTTATAGATATCTAAGTTCAGCCAGATGAAACTTGCATACAGCAGTCCTCTTTAGCCACACCAAATAAAAAGATTTGTCCAAAATGATTAATTTCGAACCTCAAGCTTGCCTAAGCCTCCGAGATTCTCTGCTATAGTATTTACATCAAGCAGCTGAGCTTGTCCCTGCCTGGTGTATTTGGATGCTGCAACGGATTACGAGGCTACTGGAGTAAGCCGAGGTACTCGATGTATTTCTAAATACCCACATCTCCGCGACATACATTCCCATAGTTGCCACATTTAGTATGCCCAAATCACCCGATTACCTCTTGACCGTTATCTATACAATCCAAAGTACTATATTGGGCCTCGAATGGGAACTAATTTCGCCATAAGTGCCCTTCTAAGCAGTTCATCAAGTCCATTCACGGAATTGGGCTCATGATCTAAATGCTAGTAACATTCTATTTGAATGAAGTTGTAACAATATAAGCTACAATTTACCTAGCAACTATGGCATTTTGTCAGTTTGTTGCAGAGAGCGTATCGATCGATATTGCCCCGCGGTACCTCTAGTCGTGAAATTGGAAAAAGTCAGTTAAATCAGCCGAGGCATCATAGGATGGACAGATAATTATATATAGAATTACGCCATATCAGAGAAGCAGCGCGGTACATTTGCGTTTTGTAGGATTTTGCGCCAATTGTTGTAAAGCTCGACCTTGCTTGATTAGAAGATGTTATAACTTGAGTTAGTATAGCCTTTTCTCTCGGTCTTTCATTTCTTTTAAAAAACAACATACAATGAAGTGAAGCTTTCACAACCCTTAAGATGCGAGCGAGAGAAAATTACACAATCATCCACTCCCTCCCCGAAGTAGTCCCAAGTCTCCTGTATTAAGCACAGTGTTATCTTAAAAGTAGGTATCATATACTATTATTACATTTGCGACTATTCATTCATATCCATATTTTATTGTCTCTGTTAAAAGAAAGTTTTCATGTAAGAATGGGCGATAGTGCATGTTGAAAAAAAATTTTCAACTTTAGCTAGGCTATTGTGTGATGTCGAGACCTTGGATCAAACGAAGTTGGATATTAGCCATGGTGGCTTTTTTCCTAATTACACCGTCCCTAATTCAATCAGTCGTAAGTAAAACACACAATAGTGAGACTTTGCTAACCGCTGACATATATGCAATGACATAAATATAACAAACAAAGGTTGCAGATGTACCGTATCAGCGCGAAATATAGTACAACTAACTACCAGAGCATATACTATTATCATCAAATCATAGGAAGGATACCTGCTACGAATCCCACATGAAATGCCGAATACTTTAACTTTAGTTACAAGTTATAGCTAGATATAGCAACTCGATTTCCATAAGATGATGCTAGTTGCAGGCGAAATATATAATAAGGCGTGTGTGACAGCTCGTTCCTGGATTCGGATGAGTATATGGATTATTGCATTTACCATTTAAGGAACTTGATCGGCAATGGCGTGCCGGAATCATTCAGTAATCCACCGTATTTGACGTCTTTGACCTTCCATTAAAGCAACAGTCATGAAACGCGCAACTCAACTTCCATGAACGAGGATACAAGTAATTTAACGAATGTCTCCTTAGCGTGGCTTAGCGTAACTCCAATGCTTGCCCGCGGCCTAAAATGGCAGGACAGCTTCTATAGAGTGCTTATATCAGACTGCACTAGTCCCAGTCGGTAAAGACCAAATTCCAAGGGACTCGCGATGTTTCGGGCCGCTGTTTTGAAGCACACGGCTAATCGGCGTTCATGCAATTGTTTGTCTATCTGTGGCTTCAATTTTTTTTAAAGGAGTCTATGAGGTCTTATTGTGTATATAACGGACAAATGCCCTGTGTGTGGGAAGCTTTAGTTCTATCGAACAGCAGTCTTTACTTGCCGCAAGCACTCCTTCGAAACGTTTTGTCTTTTCAGCTACTCTTTACATTCTTTTTCACAAAAGATTTCCTAGCTTCAACACAATCCTTTGCAATCAGGAACTATTCGTCTGTATCCACCGCAACAATGAAGAATCAAATGCTTTCATCCATTGGCCTATTCGCCGCATCTGCTGTCGCTCAAACTGTTTTGAACAGCGGATCGGGCTTTGGAACCCTTTACTACGACGTTTCGGATGTAAATGGCTGTCAAGATGACTTTTCTCTCCAAAACGAGGGATTTGTCGAATGTAACTTCTTCACTGGTCTCTCGTTAGACCAGATGAACACCGACTACGTTGTTGCCATGAACTACACCCTGCTGGCCGGTGATTTGGCCAAGTATTGCGGAAAGAAAGTTATTGTCACCAGCAATGGTGTCCAATCTAACCTCCCACTGTTTATCGGTGATGGTTGTGCACGATGCGCTGGTGGCCCCAGCACCAACACCGCTTGGAACCCTAACGGCGCTCCAGGGTTGGATTTCAGTTACACGGTTGCTCAAGAGCTGAACAGCAACGCATGCTTTGCTGGCCACTTTGACATTACTTGGGAAATCGTTGACGAGACCCTTTACAACTTCGATACCAACGCACCAGGTCAGCCTACCGGTCCCGTAAACCAGCGCCGCTCGGTCAACAAGCGATCCGAGAGAGGGAGCCGTCGTCGTCTTTAGATTATAAACAACACGCAGTCTGAAACTTAGCTGCTATTTTACTGTTGTATCTCCCGTTGCTTCCTTTCTATATGCGAATATATAAAAACGGCTTGTACATAAAATTCTTGTATATATGTACGAATTTTGTATATATCTCCAGGCACTATTGTCGAAACTTTCGTGCCGATAGCTTTATTACCTGAATATATGACGAACATTATCTATAGTAAATAATTTAATACGCGGTGTCTTCATTATTATTTGTATTCAATAATTCATGAACAAAGTCTTACAGACATGATATCAAGCCCATACATAAACTGCGTCTTTCATTAGTCGCCAAATTTCAACGAATTGCTTAACAGTCGGCCATTCTACGCGCTAGTAGATAGCAATGTACACCAAAAGCATTTGGCCATTTATTATGACAGTATTCGCCTTTGTCATTAGCTACAACTAGAGTAACAACGCAGTCTTCCCATCCTAAAAAGACTTTCAAGTTGACAAATTTTCTCTACCGCTATTTCTTCTTTTTCTTCGTTTCTTTCTTTCTTTCTTTCTTTTTGTTTTTCATGGGTTTACATCATCTACTTATGAGAGGCTGAGGAAATACGTCAACATTTCAGGGTAGTTCGGTGTTCCAAGACCCGTTACAGGATCCCAGCCAGTAACAGCTGAGAATCCAGTGTTGCCACAAGCACTGGCAGCACTATCGCCGTTTGGTCCGCCTTTGGCTTGATTGCCAACCGTGATGTCGTTAAACATAGATGGGTTACTGTAGAGTGCAGGGTTTACAAAACCGACAGGACTCTTGCCAGCAGTAATACGCTCTTCATTTATGCGGGTCAAAATGGCAGCAAACAGAGGAGCGGACATCGAGGTACCGCCTTCAAGCACTTGTTCACCCTCATTAACGACAACGCCGTTGTCACCCACAGCGGAGACATCAGGGTAGCCACGACCGGCTTTATTGTAGATGCCTCCAGTGGTAGGGATCACACCACCTGATGTGTTGTAGGACGCATAAGTAGGGTTGTGGCTGGCAAAGTATCTGAACAAAAATTAGTTTAAAGTCTCAAATGGAATATAATAAGGCTATTGTAACTTACGAGGCTACAGCGCTGGCTTGGTAGCTTGGCGTTGTCCAGATGTTGCTGAAGCCACCGCCAGATGAGAATGATGTAACGGCGGTCTCTGCATCACCAGGCACTTTCCCAGATGGAAGGGTGGTGGCACCGACCGAGGTAACGTAAGGGCAACTGGCGGGTTCGCCGGGAGTGAAAATGTTGTGTTTGCTTCCAAGACAAGCACCAGAACGGCGTGCAACACCGTCATCGCCGCTGGCAAAAACGATGCTTGTACCCTGAAGACCGAGCTTCATGAACTCATCACATTGACGCTGTGAATCTAGTTAGCAAACATATTTCTTGAGAACTTAATTTAATAGTAAATAGTAAATTGCTGACCTCGAGATAGTAAGTGGGATAATCAGCCTCTGCGGTACCGTAAGAGAAGGAAATAACATTTGTGGGTTTAAAAGTTCCGCACATCTCGTTCCGAGTCGTGCCGTCCACGGTAGGGTCATCTCCAGTCTCGCCGTCATCGGAGAAAGTGCAATAACTTCCGTCGATGGCGTCGAGGAACGTGTTAAAGATATCATCATTCTTTACAGCAGCTTGGTAGAGAACGGTGGTCTGAGGATATATAATAGGGATAGCAATCTCAAAATCCAAGTCGGACTCTCCACCCGCGTTTCCAACACTCGTAGGAGCAGTTGCACCATCGATCGCGTCAACTTTTGGTCCGGTGTTAGAAGGAATGTTGGTGGCAAAAGCTTTCCAGAAAGAGGTGAGATCTTGCTGGGCATATGTATCTTCGGTTTCAAAGATACCCAATGCGTTGGTAGAGATGGCTGAAGTTCCAGCCGTGATATTGTACATCGATTTGATGCATTGTGGGGTAATTGCAGTACCACACGAGGACGTAGCAACTAAATTCGCAAATTTGTTAATAAGTGTGCTGCTGATACCACTTTTACTCGAAAGGTAAAAGATTTCAGACTCACGAGGATTTGCAGCCAAAAGCTGAGCAATATGAGCAGGTAATTTCTTGGAAGGCTGGCGAATCGATTTGTGTTCACGCTTCTCCGCGTTGGAGGTCCTCTTCACAGGAGCAAAAACTACACCAGGAGTGATAAAATCAATGTGTTGGGAGATCTCATTCGGTAGTGAGTACTCGTCTGTACCAATATGAACATCCCTGGCCTCGAAGTGGTCGTAAGTGCTGTATGAAGTTTTAAGTAGTGACTCAAGCTGCCCAGATGTCGTGACAAAGTCGAGCCATCCTTTGCTCTTAGAGGAAGTAATTGAGCTGGCTGGGACGCCAGATTTGACCAACCAGGCCTTTACAGTGCTGATGGAGTCTTCGCTAGGAGCAAAAAGCTCGACTACTTGATCACTCGAGTAGTGCTTGCCGTAATTCGCGGAATCTGGATGCGACCTAGTATTGCCATGAGATATGTTTTCGTGGTTCATGATATAGTTAGAGAGATGCTTACACGTCTAGTAGATAATCCATTCCCTTGTCCAGATTGTTTTGCTTCAAGGCAATGCGGACGGGGACTTGGGTGCTCGGGCTGAGCGCCTCTCGTTTAATCCATCGAGGGTTGTTGGTATCTCGTTTTTCATGGATTACTTGGGATCCAGTTGGTACTGCAATAGCCCCAGCCAAAAGGCTGTTGAGAACAACTAGGCTGATCTTCATGTTGCTTCTGTGAGCCTTTCCAAACACTTTCTTCTTATTGAACACCACTGAGTCGATAGCAGATATTTCTTGGCTTTGTACGGAGAAGGCTTGGTTTATATAGATGTTGATTGACTTATAAAAATATCTATTTGCTCCCTACCCGAAATGCTTGGTCTAGATGTCGAGAGGGGTTGATTATAGCTTTTGGATCACCTTCCCGATTTCTGAGTAATGCGCTCACCACTGAGATATCTTTTCTCAAAAGTTCTGGGCAAGATTAACCCTGCTCCTTGGAAGGTAGCCCTTTTTGGGCAAACTTGGCGAGCCCATGGCCATGAACTTCGGAGGAAAAAAATGGGGAGTGACATCGCGTTTGACGAATTTCTAATTATTAGACGGCAGCAATTGCTACTCTAGTTCATAAATTGTGTTACGAACTCCTTCCTGATTTAGCGTACTTGACACAGTCTGAATGGAGACACAAAAAACAAGCATAACAACTAAGTTACTAGCTTTTCCTTTAAATACGAAAACCACCAAGGTCTTCTTGCACCTCCACGCTATCTTTTCCTTCGCCCCAGGAATTTCACGCCAACTACTTTCACAACCGCGCATATTATAGGTCGCTATGCGTCTTTAAAGTCTTTTAAAGTCATTTATTAATTGAATATACGTAATAAGCTTGATTTCTCCTTCTATTGTTTATCAGACCAGGCTGGGCCATTCGAGCGGATCATGCGTGTCGACCTGTCTGTGGCATCATCTTCCCGGACAAGGATGCTAACGGAGGCAAATGTCAGATCGGGAAGGTATCCGGATAATCGGAAGCTCAAGCTTCTACATCCACCTCCAATGTTACTACTGCTCTCAGCGATCGGTCGAATATATGCACTCTGAGCCCGCGCCGGACGAATCTTCATTGGCAGTTTTAACGTAGAAGTACACGACGGTTATGCTAGCTAGCTCCATACTAACAATGCGCGGATATTGATCATTTTTTTTTTTAAACAGAAAACCATTTTCTATACATATCTTTTTATCATAATATTTACAGCTTGCTCCCTAAGCCAATAGTTCATTTACACGATAGATGTATACTGAATAGGGCCTTCGCGGTCAATCAAGTTTCCGAGTCGAACCCGCTACGACTGCGGGGCAGTAGATAGTAGTAATATCTGACAGCGGCCCCAGGATCGCTGTCGTTGTTCTCAAACAATACGGTGGAGCGAGAGAAAATACGAGTTTGGCGGAATACCGTATTCCCTCGCAAGACTCCGTAGTGATTGCCCCCAAAATTAACCAAATTAACCAATGGGGCCGGTTTATCCCGTAGTTATACTACGGAGTAAGAAAAACCGAAATCCACTGCCGAGTTTTGTAAGGGAATACGGCAGTAGCATTTTGTATCCGGTACTTCGTACTCACCTCTACAATCCCTGCCATGCATATATGCATAGATGAGGCAACATACAAGGAAAGCATGAAAGAAAAAAAGTTCCATGAGCGGCACAGAAGCCTTGCATATAATAGAAGTCGCATAGATAAGCGTGTTGATATTGAGACTAATGCTAGATTAGTAAATAAAGATACCAAGATAAGAAAATTGTGGGTGTGGCTAATTGTTTACTTGTATACAACAAAGCGGTTATGTTCCCAGATAGGTCGGCCGCAGAGTCCATGCTATTTTCATCGAGATAGTGGCTGGGGTTTGCACATATACTGTTTTAGAAGCACGCCAATACCGCTCCAAGCCATTAAATAGGTATTATCTTCTCCACTATGCTGATTTAGAACGGGTATAAATATTATACAAAGCTACACGAACAGAAAACAAGCCGTGCGCGAGTAGCATGACTCTTTTTAGGAGGGGGTGTGGAAGCCTGTTTCCTAGGGCGGGCGTTATCTTTGGTATGTAGTAGTATCGCGCTCCCCGCAGTTACATTGCTAGTAGGGAAGCACTTATCATGCTTGAGCTTCCATCTTTATCGAGTGATTTCTGCTGGTGTCACACCCCGAATTTTTGCATAGCTGTTAGTTTGAGACGGCAATCGGTTTTACAGGATGCGCGGGGCAAACATACTTGAGCCGAGCCCCGTTGCCTCACCTGCTGGCCAAACGCCGACGGCGCTTCATACCAATACTTTTGTGCCAATAGCTCTGCAATTTCCAGAGAATTGCCGATAGAGATGGGGAATGAAACATTGATAGAGAGGCTAAGCGGTTACTCCAAGGATGGTGCAGCCGGATCTATTGCTACAGCTCATATTCGCAAAGGAACTTAAACCCCAGATGGTTTTAAAATCGTAAATGCAGTTCGTCAGATGAGCAAACTTCGCATGAGATAAATGTTACTATAATCTAGAGAATGATAGTATGAAGGGTAAAAATGCTTCATTTGTTGGTCCATTATATATATATCTAGGTCGATGGAGGGAAGGGAGCTCAGACGGTATAGAGGGTATATCTTGATAGCTAACTACGCAGAAATTATCATCAAATAGTAATACCATATCCCTTGGTTATCAGACAGTGTGTGACTAGTTTACAAGCCATATTTTATGCAACTATTTAATATTATATCGTCAAGTACTCTGACCCTACTCAATGAGGGGATAAATATACTGTGCCCGTCTTGAAGAGGAAACATCCAGATATACAGCAGCTCATGCTAAATGTTAGGGGCGTTGTACATATATAAGAAGCGATCCAAAAGATACCACAGATTATGAAGAACACGAATTAAGCAAATACGGCTACCAGCATATAATACTGCTTCACATGATAGTATACACGCGGTGATCTCATCTAAGATATAATCTGCCATGATGGCACAAAACAATACTATGTTTATCAAGCGTATGCAAGTCTGATGTCTAACTTATCCTTCATACTAACAGCATAATCATGGATAAAAATTCTCAAACAACGGTGGCGTATTTCAACCACTTCTCGTCTTTTTGCAGCAGAGCCATCTCATTCTCCAGAAGGTTAATCTGTAATTCTAAACCTCCAGGATACTGACAAGAGGAGCTATCCTTTAAATCCATTGATCTCCTTCCATAGGTTGGGAGGGTACATATATAAGAAGGGCTCACTGGGCTGTCCATCAAAAACCGCATGGTGCAGAATTGACCAATACCCAAGTCCAAATCTTCAGTGCTCAGGTAAAGATGCTCCCAAGAATTAAATATGACATCATACCCGAGAAGATTCATAGGTGGACCAATACCAAACTTTTGCAGTTGCTCTCCCACTAATAAGCTGGCCACCTGCAAATTGAGACCCGTCCCATCGAGTCTCTTTGCTTCCTGTACTTCTTCAATTGCTCTCGAAATAAAATCTTCTTCTTTGAAATTTGAAAGCGGCTGCATAGCGAATATTCCCGCGACGGCATTCCCAAAATAGTCCGTTGGGAGTGGAGGCTCCAAACGTTTGCGCATACACATGATTATCGCCGCTTTGCTCATTGTAGATGCTAATTCAGTTTCCGGCGTAATTCGGATGCGAATAATGCTGCGCCACAGCAGGATGAGAATTGACTCATAAATGGTTGGGGTCAGGGAGGAGGTTTCCCCTACGGCAGACCTTAATTCTTTAATTTTATGTGCTGGGATCCAGAAAACTTTTGATACTGCTTCTGATGATGTTTGAATCCATTTGTTTGGTGACCGGTTTGATGGCTGAGAATTATCGTATAGTGCTCTTAACTTTTGGGCAGCATGCTCACTCCCTTCCAGTTCTGTTCGGCTAAGCACGGTCTTATCATGAATAGCAAATGTAGGTATCAATCCATTTTCATGCTCAAAATCGGCAACTGCTCCAAGCCTAGCCTGACGAAACCAACGTTTAACAAATCCACTGGCCCCATAGGCATCGCAAATTCGATGATCAAATGCGAGCAAAAGGACGAAGCCGCCATAAACAAAAGTTAGTTGAATGGCCAGATTTGGTGGTCCATCTGGCCAATTCATTAAGTCTTCTTTCTCAAGTCCTACTCCGAACACCCCAGTGGTAATAGTTTCCAAAGGGAACTTTCCGTTGCGGTGAAGATTTCCAAACTCAATATCTGGCCTATTTATGACTTTCAATTGGATAGCAGAAGATTCTTCTACCCTTATATATGAAGGTCTCCCATCGGCGGGCTTAATAACACGGCCCAGCAGCTGTGGATAAGTAAAGGTTTCCGGATTGAGTTCTTGGATTTGCAGTTTTAAGCTTTCTTGGAGTCTTCGTATAAGATTTTTGCCGTCTTTAGATGTGGACGAGATATTTTCGTCCATAGCATAGATGAATGCTTTGCGAATGAATCGTGCCGGAATCTGACGATCACATTCTGATAAAGGATATTCGGCGCTGAAAGTGGATTCGGGGCGGATTCGATAGATTTGTGGCTCCATTTTGTAAGTTCAAAAATGCATAATGATAAATAAAAAATGGCCGCTTCCACGTTGATACATTATTCGGGCGGGCGGTTTATTATATGTTTTCATGATCATTGTTAAACTCTAGAAGAGTCAATTAGCGCTGACGCTATACCCACGCGGTGTCAGTATTTAGGTAAATGTTGTCTGGAAACATATTGCTTGTGTTGATTTACATTTCTAGCGCTTATGTCATAAATTTTATCCCTTAAATGGCTGTGAGCTAATATTGTTTAGCTTGATGAGAGAGTTTTTAGAACACCTGGCTGTTATGTTTTTGCTTGGACAGTTATGAGACCAATTCATACTGTTTGGGTGGATATTACCTAAGCTTCGGCGGAGATTTCTGCCATATTTACTTGGTTTGAATAGCATTACGAGTCCTTAGGTTATAACGTAAGATAATTTAGATGCTATTATTATTATTTGTACATTTCATTATGCCTCAATCTCTTCTATCCACCTAAAATAGCACAAATAGTTGTCAGCTAGAGTAAGAACTTTAAGAGAGTTGGCATTCGGTTATAGTTCAGAAATCATAGGTTAACGGGCGACGGTTCTGGAACTTTATTCTTCCAAATGATATGATAATGGAAAATTGCCCACCACATACCTATACTCAAATTGAATGCTGCAAACGCCAAGACCTGACATGGATATTTCGAGACACAATGTAACCTTTTATTAGTACAGGATTTTTAAACTTCACTTACTTCCCTACGTATTTCTTTTTCCCAAGCGCCGACTACTCTGCCTTGAAGAGGTATTAAAATTGTATTCGTGCAAGACTCGGTCCATGTGTTATCAGGGCTTATTTCTTTCCTAATTTTGCCTGTAAATACTCAAATGGCAAAGATATCGATCATTAAAATAGTTTCTAGGGACATTTTCTTTGCGATCATACTACAGCTAAACAAGAACTTAACCCTTCTGCTAATAGTTCCATATATGCGTGTGTGCATGAGTTCGTGCATGCATGCATGTAGTTGGATAGCCAAATCTATATTCAATTATATGTAAGTTCTTGGAAGAAATAGCCTAAAACTAGAATATTTTCTATGCTGTGACAAAGCGTTCTATCGCAAATTTAGATGGACTGGGCCAGGGGGAGTAATTTCTTAAAGTTCGGTACCCCAAATCCTGTTGTAGGGTCCCATCCCTTGGTCGCATTCCAATGTGCCCCTGGGATGAAGCCAGCCTGTCCAGAAGTTAGTTTAGCCATGAAAGCCTTTGGCATCAAGATGTATACGTACTCCAGGTGGAGGGGGTCCTGTCTGAGAGTTATTTCCACCACAACCGCTAGACTGACCGGATGTTATATCCGTAAAGCCGCCCTTATATGCATATTGATAAATTAGGGGATTCAAAAACCCGAGCGCGGGCTTGCCTTTGTAAAGGCGTGCATCGTTCAAGAGTGCAGCAATGCTAGCCACGACGGGTGCAGATGCAGAAGTACCTCCATTAGGACCAAGTTCTCCGCCGATAATCACTGGATAACTATATCTTACTTAGCCTCTATGGATGGTCTTAACATGGCAAAACTTACTCGGGGTTGAGACTGAGTGCTGCAACATCAGGAAAGCCGCGCCCCAAGAAATTGGCGAAACGTCCATAATATGCCTTTGTCTCAGTGCTGACATATCGCTCGAGATATGTTCTAACTGCTTCTTCTTGATACCATGGCCTCGGAAAATAGTTGCTAAAACCCCCGGATGAAAGCTCCCAAGCGATTTCATGATCAAGGTGTTGAGTTCCACCGACAGTAGTAAGATAAGGACACGAAGCCTATATTTTTTGGGAAAAAAGGATGGGAGAGGGGTCAATTAGTTTCCTTGAAGAGAACGCACGGTTTGGGGTATAACACATACCGGGAACATAGGATTAAACTGAGGAGTGGTACTGTTCGAAGCGACGCAAGACATTCCAACACCTGTGTCGCCCGATGATGCGAGAATAGATATACCACGAAGGCCCATTAACCCAATTTGATTGCATACTCGAACGGCATATGATTCTGATACTGTCTGTTCCTCGTCACCGTATGAGTTGGTAATCACTTGTGGAAGTTCTTCGTTGGTCTTGGACATGAGAAATTCATAGAATTCCAGCCACGGCTCGTTTTGAACAGGATCTCCGATCGGTAAAGCAGGATCAGGAATATATGGCGGGATTCCGGCAACAACAAACTCTGTGATAGGAAGAGGATGCGTAAAGCTCACAATGGTTTGGACGTCCAGATTAGCCTCGCTGTCGTTTTTGTTGGCAGGTGGCTGAACGTCAGTTGCACCGTTGATTAAAAAGACGGAAATGTTTTGCTTGGGAAGGCCATAGTGCTTCTCATATAGTGCAAGATCTGAAAAACTTGAAGTTTCGTTCAGGAATGAGCCAAATCCAATCCTGCTGCCGGATTTTGCAGAAGGAGTATACCCATCAAGACCGTATTTCGCTCTGAGGCAGTCTGGGTGAAAGATTTGGTATGTTTCGTTCTTGTGAATGATAGTTTGATTGCAGCCAGATGGCTTTTGTGGATTATTCAGATGTTTTGCTCTAGCAACGGAAGCCACATTCTGAGACTTCAAAGCTCTCATAGCTTTGGTGGTGCCAAAATATGTTGTCGGAGAGATGAGATCAACATGGCCGACTAGTTCTTCTGGGATCGAGTATTGAAGAGTACGCAGCTTTTCAGTTCCAGTAGAATCACTGTAGGTCTTGAAGTCTGTGGTAAGCATTGCATTTGCGGTAGAGACAGTAGTTTGAAACCAAATGCTGCCACCTTGCCTGGTGTAGCTCGCCACACCGTGAGACTTAAGCCAGGACTCTACGGCTGTGTAGGTGGCATTGCTTGGGGCGAAGATTTCATTAATTTCTTTAATGTCCAAGTACTTCCCGTAGTCGGGTGAGTCGGGCGTGGATACGGCTGCGAGTCTCCATTCCAATTCATGAATATTCTGTTGCGCGAGGGCGATCTGCAAGACAATCGATGATGAAGGGTGTGGGATTGAGGCTGACTTCCACCCATGAGGCACTTGATTAATACTTTCCACAAGCACGGCAGCAGAGGATTGCACGGCCGCAAAACAAAGAAGGCTGGCGAGCCGAAGAGCTGTCAGTTTAGCCATTTTAAGTGCAGGGCGCGATAATGAAGTCGAAAGGAAAGGAGGCAGCTCACCTCCAGGCCATCTATCGCATACTTATACCTACAGGTGTACTAGGAGGTACTTGCTATGTACTTCAACTTCAGTTGAAAATAATGTTATTTAAAGACTTAATGTACTGTACAGTACATACGGTACAGTATGTATGTAACTCTTCGCTCGATGATGCAATGTTATTATGGCTGATCAGTGCTCGTAAACCACTGGATACCAGAGTGAACGGACGCACACGCTAATACATACATGTAAAAGTCAGGTAAAAAGAGTAAAGATACCCTCGCGGACCTAACAGAAGGTCTGTGGTCTATTTCAATCCCTGATGGAAGCTTAAGCAATATATCAATTGTTACTAGTCAGGCGTTAACAGCCCATAGTTTGTGAAAGAGCGTGCCGTTCCAAGCCGCAAAACGAACAATACAATAATATCTGCAAATATGCAGCGCTGTTGATATGGCATTTCTAGCAAATTCCCGGTAGTTTATGATGTGAATCAGGATGTAGTTGCGGTACAGGTTGGCGGCCCAGTAGTAAAAAAAACAGTCAATGACCATGTGAATTAGTAAAATCCATCGGACCAACAATCCGCGCATATCTCACAAAATATCGTGTTCTTGGCCTACAGCAGTCTCCCTCTTTTCCATTTGATAGATAGATTCCGCGGTGCGCAAAGTGCAGGCAAGTTCAATTCGGTTATCTGTCCTTATCATCGGTGTTACTTTGCTAGGGCAACGGGTCGGTTAGCACCCTCCATGATTCTGAGGGACGAGAAGAACGTCAGCTAGAATAAGGATCTGATACGCTAAGACGGAACGCAAACACGACATGTGTGGTATGTATGTATCACTACCAATGCTGATAGTACTTAGTAGTAGTAGTAGTAGCTGTAGCTGTAGCGCAGCGGAGAGTTATTGGAGGTATATCAGTTTCATCCAGTTACATACATACATAACCTCTGATCAGTTTAACCTCAGGAATTTTGTACTGTAACTGCCGTCGGATGGACAAACAAACCCGGGAACCTTTCTGATTGTCGACCAACTTTGTCACAAAAGCCTTTGCCAACATAAGTATGTCACCAACGGCAGACCTCGCAAGGGGGGAATCGCCAATATCGATGTAGATCTGTTATTGATGGGGGTGGGGCGCAAAGGATGCTAATCCTTTTACCGGGTTGAATACGTATTGTAAAATATACATAGCGCGAGGTCATAGCAGCTGAGCACTTGTAGCAATTTTATATCCAGTCAGTGCAGAGATTATGCTTAATTTTCCCAACAGTCAAATACAGTATGTACATACATACATACAGTGCTGTAATTACTAGCAGCAAACTCGTGCTTCCTCCTTTCCTGCTTGTCACCACACGGTCGCTAATCGGTTGTCCCTGAATTGGCTAGTCTAAGCCCACAACATCACTAGCACGAAGCCTCCATATTCGTAGATCGTCAGTGCGACGAGGAATTCCCTCCAATGCAAATTACACGCGTCCGGAATACTGTAATGACAAGGCATAATGAAGGGAAAATATTTTATAAAGAGAATAAGGCAAAATAAGAATCGTATTACCAGCAAAGTTCTTCTCCTAAAAGTCAGCGGTGCGTTTTAAGTCACACCCAACTCATCCAACCACGACGGACACCCGGTGATTATTCGTAGAGATATTAGTAGCTATACTGACAACAGCTTTAACACCGCCAACTTATTGGATAGTCGGCAAAGTTCTCGAAGCAGAATGCTTCGCATTTCTTACTGAGCACTGCACACCAATGTGTCTGGTACTTAATCCCGATATATTGAAGAACCGGTACTCGGAGGTCTCCGATATGTGCTCCGCCAAATGTGAGAAATTGGACCGCATACTGTTGGGACACTACTCTGCAGTAGTACTAGTAATAGCAAATCTGGGCGTGGGACTGACAGCATCTCCACTCAATCCGATTCACTAGCACAGTTTGAACCACAGTTTAAAAGGCGCCATGTAGAGCCTTCCAAATTCAACGCACGACAATACGCTTGGGCCAACATGTGCAACGACAAACTTCATCAGTTTCTTCAGGCTCTCCCCAAATGTGAGCATCATGTTCACATAGAGGGCACTATCTCTCCAGAGTTATTTTTCAGTATTGCTTCTAAAAACAGCGTATCATTACCGTCAGATGACCCGGCTTTTAGTAGCCCGGCAGCTTTACAAGCGCGTTATCAAAATTTCTCTTCTCTCGACGATTTCTTGCATTACTATTTCATTGGATTTTCCGCACTCATCAATGCTTCGGATTTTGAAGCGCTGACATATGATTATCTCGCTCTTGCGTATTCACAGAATGTATACCATTGCGAGATATTCTTTGATCCGCAAGCCCATATCTCGCGCAATGTGTCATACCATACCGTTATCGCTGGGATGAATGCCGCAAAGGCAAGAGCTGCGGCTGATTTCCCTAAGCTCAGCGTTGAGTTCATACCTTGTTTGCTACGCCATCTGCCAGTGCCTTCAGCGCATGAGTTGCTCGTAGAGCTACTCGCCTCTGGTCACTTTTTTGACGGTACACTGGTCGGGTTCGGAATGTCTAGTACCGAACTAGGAAAGCACCCTTCGGTTTATAAGTCTGTTTACGATGCAGCCAAAGCCGCTGGGATTAATAACTTCACGGCTCACTATGGCGAAGAAGGTCCTTCAGAATATGTGAAAGATGCGTTATCACTTCTTAGCGTGAGTCGCATAGATCATGGTCGGCGCTCTGCTGAAGATGCAGATCTTATCGCTCAGCTTGCCGAATCAGCCACTATGTTGACTCTGTGCCCTTTGTCGAACGTCGTGTTGAAAGGGGTGAACAGGATACATGATATACCAATTCGAGAATTCCTAGATGCCGATGTGAGATTCAGCATCAATAGCGATGATCCCGCTTATTTTGGAGGCTATATAATGGAAAATTATTGTGCTGTACAGGAAGCTTTTGGATTGACTGTGGAAGACTGGGAGAAGATTACTCGCGGAGCTGTTGCAGGAAGCTGGTGCTCTTCAGAGAGAAAAGAGCAGCTTTTAAGGGAAGTGGACAGTGTGTTGCAAAATTGGATTTAAAAAAGCGATACCTGCGGGTGCATCTAGACTTACTTCTCTAGCTCTTAGTTGAAGGGACGAGGAAAGTCTGAAAGGAATGTGAGGTAGTTGGTACAATGAAACTATTGATCAAGGGGAAGCTCCCAGCTATAAATGTTTTATACGATAAAGCACCCTTGTTCCAAAAACGAATGCAAGCGCGGCCTATGCATGGGTTTTAAAGTACAATGTCTTTAATAAGCGATTGTTGGCGGCTACTGATAAGCAGCTTTATCATTTGTAAGTCCCAGCAGCGGAAATACAGCACATGGTACTTTTTTTTTTTTTTTTTTTTTGAAACTTACAAAGACGCATTAGCCATGTCTCAGCGGTATTGCATTGCTTCAATTACGGAGGTGTTGAATCAAGTCGCTAGCGTGGATAAATGGTAGCTAACCGTTACCCTGCATCTCTGAACAAAACATTGATTGGCACTTGAAGAGAAATGCATCTATGCAATATAAATCTGTATTAGTGAAGAAAGTTGGGCTAAAATAGAAAAAAAATCGTATAGATCTGAGTAATATTATTATATCTACAACACGATATCTACTTTGCTGACTTGCATACCAAAATCCCGTCCAAGATTGGTGTGTGTTGAAATTGGCAATAGATACATAGAGAAGCATTACCTGAGTACGCACTTGAAAAACGCAATATTCAATATCCATTGAAGTTTTGAATGGAAGTATATATATATATATATAAGTATATATGAAACTATACATGCGTACCTTGGTAGTAGTTGTATGTCTCTCTAAAGTCGGGTTGTGTGGCATTGAAACGGTCAGCACAGCAGCATCTGCGCACATGGTACCGCATTACTAATATGCCGATCCGGGGAATATGCATAAAGCTGAGCCGCGCTGGCGAAAATCTCAGATTGGCGATTCCACAATTGACTTTTGAGGACCAGCACCCGCACCTCAACAATGGGCTTAATGCTAGTCGAGCGTACATAGAGAAAGAGAGAAAGTGGTAACAATGCATAAGCTCGTATCTGGGACTCCTTCTAACCTCTTCTCTGGCTGAATGCCCATTACTCTTTAGTACTTATAGAGGAGCAGGTGCTACATAGAGCTACTAGTACAATTCTGTCTATAGCAAGTTGTTAAAAAAAAAAAATTGGACCAAAACGTGCATATAAACACGATGCGCTTACTGACATACTAACTACTTTCAGGAGCGATCGAGATCTCACAGTCGAGTGGCTCCTTTAAGAAGACGCTTACTCGGCCGCACCAAGCGAGAGTCGCTTAGCTTGTGGCAGGCAGTAGAAGCAGGAGTATTTGTTCCCGCCCTGGTATATTTTGGGAATTAATATGTGTCCTACTAGCCTGGACAGATTTATAAGGCGCCTCGCAAGGTGGGTATAGAATCAAGAGAGTAGAAAATAAAGAAAATGCACAAATGGCAATCTACAAACATGTATACTATTACAAACAGCCCCCATCTCCAAAGCCCAATCCTAGCGTAGATATTCTAGAATATGAAACTCCAGCCCATCGGGCCCGATTCAAGGCACTAAGAAAAAAATGCAAAAATATCTAAAGTAGGACGCTTTGCTCCGCGCGCCCCACCAGCGTCCAGCATTATTGGAATTCCAGGCGGGCGATTCGCCAGATGTCGAGCCGACCAATCTCCGGCGAACCGTCGTAGCGGCTCCGCCTACCTAAATTCCATGCTTTGGCCAGCCCTGTTCCCTGTTTCCAGCGTCTCGGGCGCGTGCCCACTGCCGTGCACCAGCAGCAGCGCTGATCCGTCTGGCCATCGCCCTTGTCTTCCTGCAACTGCATCCGAGGCATGCTGCGCGAGCATTCTGGACGCAATTAAAGCAGCGACACGACTGACTGCTGCTGCGACGGCGACGGCGACGGCGACAGCGACCGGCCAGGACGACCCCCGGAATCGAAGCCAGGCACGGACGCCAGCAGGCCGGGGAAAAGAAAAAAACCGGTTTCCATACAGAGTACATGTAGTCTACTATACTGCTGCTATACTGCTGCTATACTGCTGTAATACTGCTGTAATACCTCCTGCATGCGCCCGTCATCGGCTCGCCTGCAAACCTCACCTCCATCCTCTCCCTGGCCAACGCGCCGGCAAGCATGTTGCGCAGGGAACGATAGTCGCGGTCGCTCCTGAGCAGAATGCCATGCATTGAGCCTGCCTGCCTGCCCCTTCGTTGCCCTCCATCGCTCGCTGAAAATGAGAATCGCCATCCGGGAGCAGCTCGCAGCGCTTGTCCTCTCGGCCGTCCTCGTTGCCCTCGCCATCATCTCCATCCCGACATGGATCTACGTCCACAACTTCGTCGTCGACGTCGAGTCCAGCGGCCTGGCGCTGACGGCGTCGCTCAAGGCCTCCGAGATCGCCTCCGAGCTGCAGCTGGCGCAGACCATCTGCCAGACCGTCGCCACCCGCATTCTGCTGCAGCAGGCCTTTGTCGACTTCTACAACCGCAACTCGTCCGACCCCTTTGCCAATGCCCGCACCGACCTGGAGAGCGCCATGAGCTCTAGCCGCCTCACCGGCCTGCTGCAGGCCCGGCTCTTCTCGCGCAACACGACGGGCGGCGGCCACGAAGGCCTCCTCAGCGTGACCGGCGCCGGCGTGGGCAATGCCACCGACAACATCCTGCTTCCCTACCTCGCGCCAGACGGCTCCAGGGTCAACCTGAGCGACACCGAGTATGGGTACCCCCCATCGCTCTACCCAAACATCACATACACGAACCTCGGGTATCCAAACCCGTACGTCCCGTCGACCCCGGCCTTTGGGGCCTATGCCTTTCCAAACGTCAACCTGAGCACCGGCGGCGGCCTTCTCCTTGGTCCGCTGGTCATCAACGAGACCTTTGCCTTGTTGTCTCTCACCATCCCGGTTAGGTCTCTCACCATCCAGGGCTTCATTCTGGGCTACATGACGCTCATTGTCGCGGCGGGCTCTCTGACCAGCGTCCAAATGTCACCCGAAGGCTTGGGCTCGACGGGTGTCGTCCTCCTCGTCGGGCCGGCCAATCCTTCTAATCGCTTCAATGCATCTTCACCAGCAAGCAACGACACGTACTCTCCCTCGGAAGATGGATTCAAAAACATTCCTGCTCACTTCGTCATCCCCCCCGTCCCAATCCCTGGGCAACCCGATCGGCATTCTGAGCGCAACTACGATGACGGCAAAAATTATGCACGTCCATTTCCGCTCCATTCATTTCCAAGCCTGCAGAAAGTGTATACTCAGAGGCTCTCTTCGACCAATAACTCCACTGTAGCCTTGTCAACAACCAATGAGCAAGGCGTTGCCGTTGCTGTAGGCGTCGCTCGCCCGGCATCCACCCTCGTCGACTGGGCCATCGTCATCGAAAAGTCCAAAGGAGAAGCCTACCAGCCTATTAATCAGCTGAGAGATATCCTTTTGGGGTGTGTTTTTGGGACTGCCGGCCTTGTTGCAATTCTAGTCTTTCCCTGCGCACACATCAGCGTACTATCCATCCGGCGGCTCAAGTCCGCGACAGAGAAATCTATCAACCCCCCAGGATATGATGACGAGTTTGACGATGGGTTTGATGAAGAGCACCCAAGCTCAGGAGCTACGAGTTCCAAGCGATCGGACAGGGGCTTTTTCGGGACCATCTGGCGGAGGATATGGCCGCAGAAGAAGGTTAAGCCGATAAGTGAAGATGACGCTCACCGACACGTCTTCAAAATCCCTGCCAGAGTTGAGGTTGGCAAACACTTCATCACCGACGAGTTAACGGAGCTCTCGCAGACGTTTAATGAAATGTCAGATGAGCTGTTGAAGCAGTATACGTCTCTTGAGGACAAGGTTGCCGAGAGAACGCGAGAATTAGAAATAAGTAAAAGAGCGGCGGAGGCTGCCAACGAGAGCAAGACATTGTTTATCGCCAACATTTCTCACGAACTGAAAACACCGCTGAATGGTATCATGGGCATGTGCGCTGTTTGCATGGAAGAGGATGACATTGTACGGATAAAGCATTCACTCAAGACACTTTATAGATCAGGTAAGCAGCCTCATTCCGTACACTATACCCCCTGGCTCGACTATGGTTCGCTCCATGTATCTCTTGTCTCCCGTCAGTAGAAGATAAAAGGGCAAATAGGGCACATGTGCACATTTGAGCTGCCGGCGTTCACACAGTATGCATGTATGCTAATTTGCTTCTGTTAGGCGACCTCCTGCTGCATCTTTTAGAAGATCTGCTTAGTTTTTCCAAAAACCAAATTGGCCAGCATGTGAGCCTTGAGGAGAGAGAATTTCGCCTAGGCGACATCAAATCACAAATGCTTTTTACTTTCGATAAACAGGCTCGCGAGAGCGACATTACCTTTACCGTCAGCTTTCTTGGGAGCGAGAATATTGAACTGGATGGAATCCTGAATGATAGTGCATTGGAGAAGAGACTGCCTGCCCTAGGCCCCAATGGCATGGGCAGACTGAAGGATGCTTATGTCTGGGGAGATCAGCATCGAATCTTACAAGTCATGATCAATCTGGTCAACAACAGCTTAAAGTTCACACCGGCCGGGGGGAAAGTGCAGCTTAAGATTCGGTGCATTGCCGAGGTCGAGCGGGCCAATAATGATAGCAGGACTTCGTCTTTGTCCAAAAGTGGCTCTGCGAGAGTTGGGCGCAGCCGGCATCGAGGCAGCACGGGATCTACGCGCTCTGCTAACTCTAGAGCTACAAACACCTCTTCAACGGTCAAAGGTGGCACTGCTCTTAGCATTAATCCCATGGACCCCAAGGCTACTCCTCACGTTCAAATCCGAGAGAGGTCGCCAACGCCGCCTCCGCCAAATGCAAAGCCTTATATATTCGAATTTGAAGTAGAAGACACTGGCCCAGGTATTCCCGAACATATGCAAGATAAGATTTTCGAGCCCTTTGTACAAGGCGACCTTGGTCTTAATAGAAAGTTTGGAGGGACAGGCCTTGGATTGAGCATCTGTTCACAGCTTGCTAAATTAATGGGCGGATCGATCGCTCTTAAAAGCACCGTGGGTGTAGGGTCGACTTTTACGATGCAGATCCCTCTCAAATACGTCAAAGATCGTCCGCCAAGTACGGCTTCTAGTAGCACGAATTCGAGGCCGACAAGTGTCAGGTCCACAGCTGCTGCAGACGGTCACCGAAATTCCATGAACGGCTCCGCATCTCCCCTACAAGAGCCAAAATCCAAAAGCACGCCTGCTTTGATAGAAAACAAACTACCGCGTCTTGTGGGCCTTAGTGCCCCCTTTTTCGCTGCCAAGCCCTCGTCACCCAGCAAAGATGATAAAATCGCCACAGCGGTCATTGATAAGGCAATGGCAAATAAAACAGGCAAGGGCAAGTTGCGCGTGTTAGTTGCCGATGATAACGCAACCAATGTCGAAGTCGTCAGCAGGATGCTCAAGCTTGAAGATGTCTACGATGTTGCCATTGCTAAAGACGGCCAAGAAGCTTATGAGCTGGTCAAAGCCAGCATGGAGAAGAATCAGCGTTTCGATGTCATATTCATGGACATCCAGATGCCAAATGTTGACGGCTTACAATCAACGCGACTTATTCGAAAGATGGGCTACGTGGCGCCCATCGTGGCGCTTACTGCTTTTTCAGAAGAGAGTAATGTAAAAGAGTGTATAGAATCAGGGATGGATGAATTTTTGAGCAAGCCCATACGGCGGCCAGCCCTGAAAAAAGTGCTAAAAAAGTTCGTCACGATTCCGGAGGAGCCGGAGACGACTGCTTCGACGAAAGAAAAGGTATCAAATTCACATACAGTAAACGGAATGAATGGGAAATATAAGAAAGAAGCGCATATAGATTAATATAATTTTCATTAATTGGTTATCCGAAAAGAGCCTCGAAGCGCAGTGTCTAATTGCGTGAACACGTGCTGGGAAATTCTTACGTCCTGTATCACGTCGCTAGACTTTCGATAGTTTTAATAATAACAAAAGCAAGTAAACACAGACCCTTAGAAGCCATCGGATTCATTAACATAACATACGGCCGTTGACATGGAGCTATTTTATAACATGGGGTATAATATTCTTTGTGTACCCAGTTGTTCTTACATTGCCACCCTTGGTCTAACCGTCACGTCAAAGTTATCTTGTTTAACAAACCAATAATTTGTTGTCTTCCACTCGTTTTCTTGGTCTTGCAACTCAAAATCAAAATTCCTAATGAGCAGTGGAATCAGCTTAGACATTTCCAGGTAAGAGATATGACGGCCAATGCATGTTCGCGATCCCAAGCCAAACTAGAAGTGTGTCAGCTTAAATAGCTACTTATGTAGAACCTATAAGCGATACTCACTGGGAAATAGTATGCATTCATCCGAGATATCCTATCTCCTCCTTCCTTTTCTGCTTCTAGCCATCTTTCTGGCCGAAACACTGTGGCGTCCTTGCCGAAGACATCTTCGTTGTAATGCGCGGTCCAAGTATTAATGCCAATGGTCGTGCCCTCGGGAAAGAATTGCCCATTTAGATGTAAACCGCCCTCAGTAACATTTCTCCACAGAGGAAGTCCGGTAGCTGGATGGAGGCGAAGTGCCTCCTTCATTACTGCCTGCCAGTACGGCATTTCTAAGCTTTCCTTGAAGCTCAGATGGACATGGCCAACTCCATTTGTCGATTGATCGACTTCGTCTCGCAGTTTGCTCATTACATCTGGATATTTTAAAAGATGATATAAAATTGCCGAAAGGCTGATAGCGGTGGTGTCTGAGCCCGCAATGATGTTCGACATGCTCATCATGAACACATGATAGTCGGTCACCTTAGATGGGGCGTCTTTATTCTTAACCATTATTTTTTCGAGAAAATCCTCAGGCAATCCGTGAGCTTGTCCTCTGTCCTTTTCTTCCTTTATTTCTCTCTCATTCTTCCTCTGTAAAATTCTTTCCTTGACATAGCGTATGAGATATGAGCGCCCGGCTGCTCCTCCTATGCCGAGAAAACTGGTTACACTATAAATGTAAGGATGAAGAGAAGGGTATATGCCAATGAGAGTAGAATAGGCAAAAACCTTATTTAGAGCCCGCATTATGCTCGAAACATCTTCCCCACGGTTGAGGAATCCAAAAGGCTTGGAAAACGTAATATTTCCAATAACGTCGAAGGCGTAGCATTGGAACCAGTGGCCCATATTGATGGGCTCGCGGCTTTTTGAACAGATGGACATGCGATTTAGTAGGATATCTGCACATTCATCCACGTATTTCTCGTAGCTCACTAGGCTAGACATGCTGTAAAGTCCTTGGAATACTCTTCTTGTCTGAGCATGCCTCTTGATATCCTTATCTGGAAACAAGGTCCAGGCATCGGGACTCGGATGCTTCCACCCGTCGTACCATTCTGATTTCGGCAGTTTTGAACCGATGCCATATATTGTGTTTACTGATTCTGGCAAATCGATGCTAAACATGTTTGGCGCGAGCCGTACAATTGGGCCATGTTTTCTATGGAGCACAATGTTCTCTCGCTCGAATCCGCCTAGAGCGACTCGTTTAAAATACCAAAGTCGAGTAAACCGCGCCCAAAATGGACCTGGTAAATGCCGAGTTGATGAAGAGAAGCTCTTGGCAATAATAAAGAGACAACGAGCGAAGATTAGGACAAGTGACGTTAAAACAGCATACTTCAAGGTCAACATGACTGTTCGTTTGCTACCGAGACTTGATACGGAAGATGGGTTGTGAGGAATGCATAGCGGCCGAACGATACTCTCCACAGCCCTTCATATATATATATATACTAACGTATTTTGGATTGCTACCACTGCCATTAATTTACCCCAGATTATGCTCTTAGGTGCCGATTCGGACAATAGCTTGCGGGCCTAGCGGATGCTGTCGGCTTAGTTATGCCCGTTTCTGTTCCGCGATCGCATCTGGCCATTGGCAATCGCTTTATAATACCCTAGACGGCAAGCTGGTTTCTCCCAGCGCCGTATACTAAACTCCAAAGAGTAAGGCATTTAGGAAACAATGATTATCTCATCTTCCTCCTGAAGGGTGCGCTGGATTTCCGTCATTTCGAAGATTGACACCAAGAACCAGCCGCGGCTTTACCCACCTAGCCTAACTTGGAAGAGTAACTATGTGCGGCATACAAAGTTGTACGATTATACGACTTGGCGGTTAATCATCTAGCCGCAGCTTTTGTTACCATTACCTATGTGTCGAGAATAAACTAACGCCTGTTGATTCGCTGTGATAACAGAGAGTTGTAATTCCCCTATTCGCCTGGCTGTCCGGCTGATTGACGCTCGCCGATCTTGTCTGCATCGTTGCCATTGCCCACAATTTTGTTACTGGCCACCTCATTCTCGCCCTCATTCTCGCCCTCGTCGTCGTCATGCCACCCGGGTATTAATTCATTGTCCGCCTCTCCCTCTTGCTCGGAATCCCAGCCTTTCAGCACTCTTGAAGCTGCAGCGCTACCCACTATGGGCAGCTTTTTGATTCCAATCTTCCGAGCTGTCTCGGGTACCACATCGGGATCTAGAGCCCCAATCTGAACCAAAACGCTAGCTTGGTCCCAGTATACATGTTCATGATATAATTTACCCCCTCTGAGAGTAACAATACTAACCACAAGTATTCGGACTATTTTTTGGGTGGCTGGCACTCCGGGGAGAATCCAAGGCATCTCTTGTGTATGCTTGAATCGAACGTGAATCTCGTCAACAATACGGTCGGCCCCGATGGTGCGAGATATCAGAGTCAATTTGAGCGACTTTGGATTGCCAAAATATTGAGAGTAGAATTCTTGCAGTTCCTCAGCACCAATCCCCCCGGTCAAGGTAGGAATATAGGTAACATGCGGGCTCTTATGCGTTGTATAGGTAGACATCGTCGGCTGAAGGCTGTGTGTGAAAAATTTGCCTAATTCATATTTTAATATTGCAAATGAAAATGGTGGATTTGAAGATATTGCGTGAAATTAATCCCAGTGTCAGTGAGAAAAGAGTAACCTGTTCCTTACCTTGCACATTTTCTTCCCAGACATGTTCCAAATCCACCGTCTGTGCAAATGCTCTCCTTGCCGTGGCCAGACTTCGGCTCCATGCCAAGTCCGCGCAAATCATGTTATACTCATCCAAGTCATGCTCTGCAAATCCTGCCTGTGCTTGATAAGTATAACTTGGATAGGCGAGTTGAAGCAGGCCGCCAGTACCGATGCCGGGTTGAATAGTCCTGCGACTTGTGCGTTTTTTCCCTTGGATGCCAATCATTTGCGTCTGTTTCGTGACGCCGACATCTTCACCGGCGATGAAATGCACAAGAGCTGTGATGTTATTCGGGAACCGGCCCTTTGGATCTGGAATTTCGGTTGGATAGTAAGCAACAAGAAGCCTGAGCTTGAAGTCCGGGTTGTTGTCCATGATATGGTAATGCTTGAGACAAATTGCGGCTGCGTCACCATATGCTGTCAGACATCACGGCAGTCAGTCTCGCCTCTCTGTACATGTATTTGGTTTATATCTCGAGATTTACCGATAATCCCAAAAGTTTCAAACGCGCTAATAGTCTGATTCCCTCGCAGCCCTCGAAGCTTCTGCAGGTATTCATCTCCACCATTACCCATTGGGAGGTATTCGACGTCGAACCCTTCGGCCTGCCATTCAGCGAAGGTTACAGCGTCAAACTCGTCACTTTCTGCTGTTATATACAACTTCGGGGGGTTCCGCGGGAAATCACTGGACAGGAAATTAGGATCTCTGTTGTCCGACACATTTTGTGAGATGATGCGCGCATTCCGCCCTTCCGCTTCTGGGACAGTGGCTTTGATCAACTCTGCAGTGTTCAAATTCATTGTGAAAACGGAGTTGCTTTGCGTAAGGCCCGCGTTTCTAAAGCGACAGTTAATTGTCTATCTATCTATTATCGCCATGGTTCGAAAATACAGTTTATATGATAAAAGAAGCATTGACGCAACAATTCGTAATGAGCAGCCCATGACGTCAAGGCCATCATGCGTGTTTTCAGCATAGAGTTGTTAGTCCATACTCTTGGTGTGCAGATCGCATCCTCTTACGCTCAAGCTACGGATAGCAGCAACGGAGCTGACATTGATAGGCTGTAAATTCAAGTGCGATGCGCTACAATCCATTAGCTCGAGCGACCGCTACGTGATGTATTGGGACGAGAGGCGAAGTTTGTATACAGAAGCTATGCTCTGAACGCATGAAATGTAGCTGCATCGATTTTTCTAAAATTTGTATTATTCAATTTCTCATTTGACAATGGAATAACGAGTTTCTAGATACATATTGGCTACTGTGTGTGCTCTCCCGAGTGCCCTGACCCTTTCTAACATTTGCCTCTAGCCATAGGCGCTTACACTAGGACAAACATTCGCTCAGACTTCGTGTTGTCTTCAAAAATCTCGCCGTCCATCAATCCGTCGCAATACGCCTCGCCCAAGTATTGGTACTCGTCAGATCCACACTGAGAATCTAGCTTCTTCAAAATGTGTGGCGTTGTGCCCCCGTGGAATATGACAAGGGAGTTCCCTGTTTCCATTTCTGGCGGCCCTAGACCTACATACCCAGCACTTGTCCGATATAACTTTCTCCTCATATTTTTGAGCATATTGGAGGTGAGAATATTCATATCCGGACTTAGGCTAACATTCGGATCGAGCCCAACCCTTTCAACGCTCTCGCGAGAAGGTCGCAGGTCTAATTTGCTAAAACGGCGACGAAATACGATGTACTTTGATGCAAACCATACCCTTGCTGAGGCGATGAGCAAGCCAGCCATGTCTGTGATAAAGTCCTTGACAGCCTCATAAGCAATTTTGCCTGCTAAAACCGGATTAACTGCGCAGATTTGTAAGCTATCCATCTCAGACATCTGTCTCAAATACCAAGGAACGATTCCTATTGTTTGATAGATACGCGTGATGTGATACGACGCAATTATCTCGTCCGATTTGATGAGTCGTTCTCCAAGTGTGTATATACTACTGTGCAAAGCATGAAGTCTCTCAAGACCACCAGATAGACCGAGAGCTTGAGTAAAATGTCTATAAGAAAGACTGGAGTCGCACAGGCGCATCAACAGTCCAAGTTCCGGTGTGTTCTCAGGGTCGGAGGGATCTTGTTCTTTATTCGCGGCAGCTGCTGCTCTTGCGAATTGAGTGACTTCATCGAAAAACATTTTTGCCGTACGATATTCGACTTGTTCTGCCACTTGCGGACGAAGCTGTGCGCGATATAGCTGTGTTCCCACCTCTGCTATTTCGTCCACAGCGATTCCTTTGATGCGAAGATGGGCATGATTTCCCTGAAATGTAACAGGAGCTTCTTTCGTCGTCAACCCTCCAGAAGCAAAGGTAGGCTGCTTTAAGTTTGAGTATGCTACTGGCATAGTAAGATTCATCGCCCAGTCTGGCACCCACGAGGGCAAATCTGCTGTTTTCTTTGGGTGCTGGTTGAACAGCAAGACGTCGATGCTCTCTTGTAGAAGCAATCCAGCAATTTCAGAATACATTTGAGTGGCATTGGAGTTGTAGTCGACATGAACTTGCGCCCTTAGAACATCATTATTCGCCGCTAGTCCCAGTAAGCCGAAAATTCGGTCTTGTTCTAGCGTTACCCCGATTTTCTTATTATCATCATTAACGTTGTATTTCAGTACAAGGTCATGTAAGCCCAGTCGTATGCCTGATTGGTGAATTGCTTTACGCTCTTGGAATATCCGTCTGAGTCCATCCGTCTTGCCAAAAAGAGCGTCTCGCTGACGAAGTACATGTTGAGGCACTGGGCCGGTTAGTTGTCCTACCCAGTGGGTGTTATATATATTATAAAAGAGTGCACCAGAGCGGAAACAATCGAAGCAAAGAGCTTTTTTGCCGCATACAAAGATTACTGATGGAGCCAGACAAGCCTCTTGGATAACCCACAAGCGGCTGAACCAGTTTCGATCAAGTACATCGGCAAAGCCATCTAGTGGGAACCGGTCGCCGAATCGTTGGATCAAGTCCAGTAAATCATCTCGATCTTCACGCTCTTCTTCATTAACTGGAAAAGATGGATCCATTACGGCATCGAAAACGCGCATGAACTGGCTAAGCCGAGGCCCCATGAGTCTGCTTAGTATCCCCTCTTGAGACATTTCATAAACGAGATCAAAATATTGATCGGACTCTCGAGTTGGGGCACCTAGCCAGACAATTGTGCGAGCACACCGCGCATAAATATCTTGCATAAGCAATACTTGGTGACTCTTCTCGCTGCGATCTCTCTGGTTGATGCTGATTTGGTCGATGAAAAGATACTCCGTCATCTGAATGGAGACGAGATAGCGTAGCGCAATCTCCAATGCTGGGTAAATATACAGCTTATAAGAGCCTTGTTCTGTTTCGACGATGACCTGTCTACTCGGCTCTTGGTAACGCGGTCCCAAATTCCATGCATATGAGAGAGCATCGTAGTGCATGCCGGAATCAACATCGGCCTCTATTAGCCTGATTCGAATTGTGCCATTAGCGCCGGGTATGATAGAAGGCTTTGGCGGGAGAAGTTGGACTAGACGAAATATTCTCTTCAATGGGGATAAAGGAGGGTACTTGAAAGGCTTCAACGATTTGAACTCGAATAGCGACATATCGGTTAGCTTTAGAGGAAGTATTGATGGTGTTGAGCGCGGAAGCTGCCATTTTACTTGCACCATAGCCGAAGCAGCTTTTAAATGCTTTGACGTAGCCCCATGCCATCTATCAGGTGATGCATTTCAGCCGCACGCTGGCTGCCTTATATTCTGCCTTGTGTTGGTAGGCGCACAAGTGAACTCTAGATCAAGCTGATTTGAGTTAAGCTTAATTTAAGCATTTTACCACGTTAATTGCCCACAGAACACGTTACGCGGAACCAAGTTACTGACGCCTGGACGCTTTTATAATAGAGTACCTTTTACTTAGTCAGCCATGTCAATTACGACCTCGGTGACTATTATAAGTCGTTAAACATGACTCTTGGGTTATTTAACATATACATGAAGTTAGTATATGGTCCGTAATTTAGTCAAGCACAGTTTTGGATATGCTAGTACGCTGCATCGTGGTTGGCGCTCTACTGTCAAATGAACATTGCATCTCGTCTTGAGCTAATAAAAAACCAACCCTTCACTTGCACTTACGCTTGTGCCATTCGCTACTAATCAGTATCTAGTACTGCAGTCATGAATGATGGTAAACCTCAAATGTTGGCCAAAACTACAAAGCAGGGATTATACAGCGTTCTTAATCGACGCTCGCTCTCGCATATGAATGAGCTTTAGGTCAAGTTTTATTTATTTATTTATTTTTAATTTAAAGTGGATCCAATGATGTAGTTGTCTTGATAATGTTGATTCCAAGAACCTTTAAATGCGTGCAAGATCATATATCGAATTGATACATCGGACTTTATTGATGTATTTATGTAAATCTCTCATACACTTGCTATGGCTCCCATAAGCTGCCGGTCGCTGCCGCATGACTGTGTTTCTTACTATTTTCCAAGTGCAATCGCTTCCCGACGACTCAAACTCTGAGGGTCAAAGTAAGGCTTCTCACCTAAGCTCACAGACCTTGATCCAGTCCGCTCACCAAGCCCTTGATTGATGTAATCTGGCGTAGCAGCGTGGTACACACTACGGTTATCCCAAATTGCCAGATCATTCACATTTTGCCAACGATTGCGAACTTGTAGATCATGGTTCTCAACGATTAGTCGAACAAACCAGTCGAGGAAATGTTTTGATTCATCTTCTGACAAGCCATGGATACGCTGAACATGGTGGCCCACGGCAAAGACGCTCTTCCACCCAGTAACAGGATTGGTACGGATCACGGGATGAATAGCTTCTAGAACGTCGCCGATGTTTTCGGGAGCTCCCCGAGGGGTGGAAAATAGAGAAAATCCGTTGTGGTCAGCTGCCTCTTTAAACCCCGGCTGTGCGTAGTAGGCAGTTAAACCATCCAGGAACCCCTGCAGCGGCTTAGAGATGCGATCATAGAGCTCATATCCAGATGCCCATAGTGTATCTGGAGAGGGACGACTATTAGCACTTTGTGGCATACTAACAGACTGCTCAAATGGTAAAGACTGCATACCTCCGCCAGTTGTGGGCAACTCTGTTAACCTCAATAGAGCGTAATCACTTGGGATGGGCTCAAATGTGATATCAGAGTGCCATTGAGACTTCTGACTCTGACGCTTATTAGTTTTTAAGAATCGGTCGGCATAAATCTTTTTGGCTTGTTCAGAAGAGATGACACTGATTTCGTTGTCTTCTATACCATGGTCCCGGGCGCCATTGTTAACGGGGTGAATATGCAACCCGGAGGTCGCTGGCTTTCCGGACAGCTCGCCAAGGCGCTGCACAAGTTCTTTTTGGAGGTCGTTTGTAATATTGTCTTGTTTCCGAAAGAAAACAACACCTCTTTGAGATACTTGAGAATTTGTTAGACAATTATTTTAAATAAAAGAAGCGTCAACATCTCCATATAGTCGTACCAGTAATCGCCAGATCTCTAAGCAGCTCGTCTGAGTTAGGCGCTCTCAGCCATTCTGCCAGATCAACGTCCACAAATTCTTTTCCGATAACTGGAGTGACCTCGAATTGTTTGAACTGATCGAGGGCACCGCTCAGCTTCAATGGTTCACGATGTCCGGTCTCCAGATTCGGCTGGACTTGCTCTTTCAAGCTCGCAACGGGCTTTTGCTTGGGATTTTCGGTGACTTGAGCCACGGTTTCTGTGACTGCAGGTGCCATATTTCCCTCTTTTATTTTTCTTGTTAAGTATAACACAAAGAGGGAGCTGAGATAGACTTGGGTATTCTGTAGCATACACCTTCTGCATGTATCTTGTGCTATGGCTAGGGGATATATACCCGGTTTATATATTAGCCAGCAGTGATGGCGTACGATATCCAGTGCTTCTTGATACAGCAATAGCTTTCTCATATACAATTGTGCAACACTGGCTATAATTTCATCATCTTATCTCCAGATATCGCTGTTGCCATATCACGAAAACGATTGGTAAGATTGCAATACACGCTTGTGTTCTCTTCTGGGCAGCGGAAGTCGGCAGCAGATGTGCGCGGGGTATCACCTAATTTTGCTCAATTTAACCCTGTATCATGGTTCAGATTGACGGCTTATCGGCTTTCAGGCGTGAGTCAATGATTGAGGGTGGTGTGTCCCCCGCGATTGCGTGCCGAATGGACGTTTGACGCGATCATAGCGCGAGATCACGAACGCAACGTGCATCGCGCAATTCGACAGAGCATTACGACATGTCTATAAAATTCATTTGAAAGTGATACGAAGAAACGGAAAGGATAACATATACAAGATCTTTCCTATGAGTCGGACTTCGTAAAGTCCATTTGGTTGAATTTTTTGGAGATGGAGCTTAGAGCTGGTAGGGAAAGAAGTGTGATTAGCCGTTCGGTGAAATATCAAAGATCTGACTACAGGAATAGCATAATGAAAGTATATTTCATCGGTCATGTTCGTGATATAGAGAGCGTTTACGATGGCGAGAAATGATGCTGCTTGGAAATCTCGCCCACTCATAATTCTACCGCACTAACACCTATTATGTCCACAAAGTAGGTATTCCCGGCGCTTTCCCGCAAGAGATGTTGTTTAACTGTCACAGCTGTGTGGTTCTTGATTTAGCAACTATTTAATCATTTTCTATCCCTGATTACTGATTTTGCTGGGTTAATTACTTCCATTTTCTAAAATACTACACAGATGCATATTGCTACGCACATCATGTATCCCAGGCGCTAATTTTTGCGGCGCAAGTTCCAGCCTGCCGTCAATAACATGCAATTTCCTCCTTGGCGTTTCATTAATGAACTTCTATCTCTTTCACCTCCGTGAGTGGCCTTCTTGGTAGCGGATTACTACTTAGATTAAATCATGAAGTCAGGTTTTGAAGGAAGTTAAAAGAGAATTTGCGCAAGACTTCAATCTAGCACGGCCGCGGCAGATGCAATGCAGCGATTTGTACGCAGCAGAATTGTTGGGACCTTTGCAACAATAATTGGTATATCTGTGATTATTGGCCTGATGCCTTGCCCTATTTGGCATAACAATAAAACAGACCGTTATAATTAAAATTTGAGAATATTGACACTTGATACAATTGGCATGATAGGCAACTAAGCAGTGGACCTGATTTTAAATCGACGTTCCTATTCTGGAAACAAATGCCAGTATAAAGTCAAATACAACTCCTGTATAGAGTGGTGACGCTACAAGTACGGACGCAGCTAAACCGCGTCCGGAAATATTTCATTATCTTAGATGGTAACTTGATAGAATGTAAAAGCACAAGAACGAGAAAGAGTATGATATTTCCCAGCGCGTTCACCTTTATTCAAAGCCCGCCATTAGTTCGTTAATTATATACGCAGAGTCAAGATCCATACCAAACGGTGGATCATTATTTCTCGGTAGCACAGACATCTCTGCTATTCCACTCAAGTTAGAAGAGCGAAAATTTGCATCAGATGGAAAACTTTCCAAGTTTAGCTCTGCTATTAGTGGTAGTGAATTGATGTCTCCCATCTCATTTATGACCTCTGGTTGTTCTGCCGCCGCGCCCTGGTTTGAGGTAGCCGGGCTATTTATGAGATTTAAGCGTATAGCGAGGCTTTGTACTCTGTTCCAAAGGTGCTTAGATGGACGAGAAAAAATTGCACGATTGCGTAAGAGGTTAAGACAGAGAATAGCGCTTTGTTGAGCGCTTTGAAGTGTCTCTGGAGACAGTGGCCGCTCTGCTACAGAGAGCACTGCATTTTGAGAAATAGCAAGCAGCAGAATCCCTAGCCCAGAGATCAGGAAGTAATTGGATTCCGGTCTCGCAGATTGAAACTGCGGCTGGTCGGCATCTATAGCGGCTAAAATGGATGATATGGAGGCCGCTGCGTCGACGCATGTGGACCAGATATCTGTGGATGGCATTCCTATGACTCCTTTCCCGAAGAGAACGAACCTCGCGACCCCAATTCGAAGGACGTATGCTCTTAGGCGAAGCGTAGCACTAAGATAGCGGTTCCATTGCTCAATTCTCTTGCCTTCGGCTTTGAGCTGGAATTCACAGTCAATGTTTTTGTACCACTCACTAAGGCGGTATTGGAAGTAGCTGTAAACTTCTTGGAACTCCTGAGGCGTTAACTGCGTACTATGCCTGCCAAAAATTATTGTAGTCGTAGGGTTGGCAATTCTAAGATACTGAATCATCGCATCCAGGTAAGGTGCATTAACCTAGGGAGCGTTATTGTTAATTTTGCCACTTCCATGGAAGCTACAGAGATGAACTTACTGGTTTGGGGAACGTTGAATCCAGAGTTAGGTCTTGCGTCATACTCGAAAGTCCCAATCCATGTCTTAGTTGTTGCTCTAATACAAAAACAGACCATATAACGTTAAGTGCTTGTGTACGCGTCTCTATCTGAGGGAATGATCTATCCAGGACCATTTGTCTATTGAGGCCGAGTTCTACCAAGATTCGCGCCACATTGCCCAAGAAACGCCAAGCGAGGCGCCACTTATGGGTATTGTAATAGAATATGCCCTACAATAGTGGCCATTAGCAAAATTCAAGAACTATTTGGCTTAAGCAGCCGCATACCACAAGTACTAGTAGAATTAAGCCATGGAGATCAGTGTTTGTATTCCAGACTATATGTTGGACATCCGGTAACACATCATCGTGGAGGCTTTGGATTAGATCTGAACCATTCTCATTTTCAGCTGTGAGAGCAATGGCAGCCATCATCTGAAGAATGGTTGCTTCGCTTCGTCTTAGAGGGAGAGATCCAGGCGCTGCGTTTAGCCCTTGAAGATGGCCATCGATTTCAACCAAGCGCAGCATCTTCGCTATATCCACTACTGGATACATCATTCCCGCTACATCATCGTATTTTTGAATCAAGCGAACAAGCTCTGCATTCTCTAAGCTGCCTAGCGGATTCGTAGACCTGCTATAAGTCGTGCGGCCAGAACTGGACGAACCCACGCTTATTCCTGCATCCCCCCACTCGCCAATATCAGCTGCAACTTTGTTAACAATCTGACCATGCAAAATGGAGAAAGAAGATGTCAAAGGCGGCTTGCAGCCTCTAGGTTGCAGAGCTCCTAAATCTGGCTCTTCTAATGCCTTGAGATTGTCATCAATGACGTGAATGCAAAATAATGCACTTGTCGAGCTTTGAATCACCGGAAGTGGCTCTTCACAATCTAATGGCGCATTGCTTGAAGGCCCTTTAACTTCATGCTGTTGCAATCTCTGAGTAGCCTCTACGTTGGAGACGCGCTCAAGTATTGCATCAAGTTTATTGTTCTGTTGTTGTAACAGCATCTTGACACTCTCATAGCCTGAGACGCTGATCCCGCTGGCGCCTTCTGCCGGTATACACACAGCACGGGAGTCTTCCTCTTGTATTTGTTGGCCCCGAAATCGTTGTTGTTCTTGCTGATTAGAATCATGTAGGGTACGCGGATTTCGGTAATGGCAAGATGTTGGATCTCTTGCCACGCAGTATGAGCATGGCTGCTTTCCGTTGCATCGCACTTTGGCTGCACGACAGCGATTACACGCGTATGCGATGTAGCGGCCGCGCTTCCGAACACCGCCCCCCTTATTACTGCCTGATGGTAGCATATGGTGATTGAAGTAAGCGGTCTCGAAGCAATTTTGCACCGTGGAGCGGAGACTAGTCTCTCAGGCGAGGTACTCCGTGTCTGGGCTAGGAGAAGAGCTCACGAGCCGAGGGTCAGTTAGGTGGCTAAAGAGTGAGTATCGGAAAGGTGGAATCAGCCCTCGTTTGGTGGTGAAGCAAAAGGTGCCGAGCATTTACAATCCGGCTGCACAATGTAACTCTGCTGCGGGGCGAGTTCTCCATTCTGTCATGGCTCCAGGGCAGATGCACAAGTGGGCTCAGTGCACCATCGGCAATGCTACCTTATAAAAAAGAATAAGAAGCCCGAAGGCAAACAGCTTTACGCGATCTAGAGAGATATCTGGCCGCATATTAGCGGTCTTATAAAACCTATTATATGTAACTTTTTGCAGGATCGAGAAGTCCCTAATGCGTTCTCTAGCAAGTTATAGGATCCGTAGACGTATCTATGGAGTAACTCTTCGATTCAGCGGTTTGTAATAATATGTTAACCATCAACCGTAGTATTGCAATTTTGTACTATTTCTCTCTTTAAATACCCGATTGTCTTAATTTTTGGAACTACGACATAGTCTATATCTCGTTGCGTGCATCGCAGTTCGCTCTACGAACGATCGAACCCACTTATTCTATGGATATTACAAGCCAGAATGCATCATTGTGCTGTGAAACCTCCATCGACAGGAAGCATGGCCCCTGTTATCCATCGCGCTTCGCTGCTCGCAAGAAAAACAGCAGCTCCGGCTACATCATCCGGCATACCGATTCCATGCAACGGGTGGCGCCGTCGAATCTCTTCTGCGTCATGAATTTGGGTCGTATTGACAAAAATGGCTGTAGCAGTATCTATTGAGATGAAGGTATTAGGAACAGCAGAATCTATGACTTGTGTCGAACAGAAATCACTCACATCCAGGGCAGATGGCATTGCAATGAATCCCATCTTCAGCATAGTCCATCGCGACCTGCCTTGTTAAGTTTGCTACTGCTCCTTTAGACGCTGCGTAACACGCTGCTTGCCCCATTAGCCTGTATTTTCTACACCGCAAGTATTCACAATGGCCATACGTATGTATTTACCACCGACCAAACCAAAGATGGAAGAAACATTAATGATCCAGCCGCGGTCTCCCGAAACAAGCTTATCTTGGCGCAGCATTTGACCAACGACGTATTTAGTCGCCAAAAAGACGGACTTCGTGTTCACGGACATAGTCATATCCCACCACTGCTCGGGTGTCTCATGAATTTTGAGAGCCTTCTGTCCTGCCTCAATAGATATGCCGGCGTTATTGACCAACCTATGAGAATTGTTCAGCCAGGTCTTCGATGACCCTTTGTTCGGGAGAAGAGATTTCTGTATTCTTACACGTCGATGCGTCCATAATGAGCAACTGTCGCTTTGACCATGGCCTCAATCTCAACCGCATCGCTTACATCTGCTTTTATAAACATAGCCTGCCCTCCTTTCTGTCGAATCAAGACATCCGTTTCTATTTCCTGTTCGGATTTTATTTCTTGTCGGGCACCTGGCCTCAAATCGACACAGACAACAATCGCGCCCTCTTGAGCATATGCCAGAGAAATAGCCCGCCCGAGACCTGAAGATGATCCAGTCACTATACAAACCTTATTCAACAGGCGCTGGGACGGAATTGCTTCTGACATCTTGCGGTTTGTCGTTTTAAGCATGGAAAGTTTGTAATAAACAAAACGATACTTCGGCTATTTCTCTTCTCTGGGTCGTCCAGTAGTTATAAGCTTAGTACAGGCACAGCAGCTCCTCGCTAAAACCATTGGAGAGGCGGTTTTTGGATTGTACCAATTATAAACTACTTTCGCTCAGCTACATATGCAGGCGCAGCTATTCGGGAGCCATGCCCTTGATGACTCGGCTTACTTTCCACCTTCAGACTTTTAGCGCATTAATCAGACCTATGCTGGCACCTGTGGCTTCCTTCACTTGCTTTCAAATTATACTGGCGATAACTTTTCATTCTATTCAAAAATCCAATCCGGTTCATTATCGCTACTGCGTCTGGCTAGTAAATCTGCAATTCTAGAAGCATGATGGCTTGTTGTCCACCCAAGGTCCCGCTCAATGCCGGATAATAGCTCCAATACAACTTCAAGGTCTCGTGAGTCCGTAAATACTTGACCAGCCACAAAGAGGGCTTGGACAGAATGTACTCGCACAGAATCTGGCGGATTGGTCAGGCTGATGCCACAGATTTCTCTAGCATGGCGGAGGGCCTCGCGCTCGCTTTGTCGATATGAGTCCAGGCGAGCGGAGACAGAGGATCGAACGGCAGTGGACTCCTGAGGCTGGTTCGTTAAGAGTAGAATGCAAGCCATATGATAGCTCTGCATTGTTGCAGCACATATGGACGCCTCGTACCAAATCTTCTCGAAATTCAAGGAACAATGTCCTTCGCTATTATCGAACGTCCCCACCATATCCGTACTACGTGTTCGAGCACTCGGAACGAAGCTCGCTGGGAGGCTGCAACGCCAATCTTGAAGCTCCCGACTAAGCAAATTCCATCTCTCTAGTAGCTGCTCTTGAGTCACGCCAACTAGCGGTCGCTGCCCCGGCGGAAGGGAATAATGTTGTGGGTTTAATGCGTCACCGGCGGCGATGTGATTCGCAATCTTGCCCAGTAGCCAGACAAGCTCATTACTCCGTGCATCCTCTTCGACATCAGCGGCATTAGAGATGTAAAATGGCATCAGAGATCCACGCTCATCTGTAACAAGACCTGCATTTTGCCACAAACGTATATCTTTTAAATCTAGCCGTGTTTGCGTCTCACTGATGACTGTGGAAAATTAGCACAATAAAATATGCCATGGAGCCGGTACAGCCGGGACTTACATGCACAGAGCAAATCTTGTCTGGCGAGGCTCCAAAATATCGGACCTGAGATAGCAGCTCTTGGAATAGAGATGGGAGAGCCCAAAATGGAACTGGAGCTGGGGTTTTGGCTGAACAAGGGCAGTGCGCTAAGATGAGCCCTCCAGGCTGTGCCCGGTGCATCCATAAGCTCGTACGTGCATAATATTGTAATAGAAGCAAACAGCTCTTCCTTATCAGCATCATCAGTTTCAAAAGCTCCATGGTTAATTGCAACTTTAAGGTGCTTTATAGCACTCCCATAGTGTTTAACGGACTGATACTGCCAGTCAACTTTGTTATCAAGTTGTGAAAGTGTGGTGCGTCTCTCGTACGAATTTTCCCCAAATTGGCTATTTTTGTTATGTTGACAGTGACTCAAATGCTTGGCTGCAAGAGCACACACGGCGGATTTCAATAATGGCTTTGTAGCGGCCATGACTGTCACCTTGTGCGAAAAGTAGGCGCCACTATCGAAAGTATCCATCCTAGCACTTGTCAGTGCCGAAAACAAATAAAGGAGCATATTCGTTCTTCACCATTGCCCAGGACCCTCTTTGAAGTGTCTCAGCAGTCGCATGGCCATAAGGCCATTGTGTATAGCCGTATCTGAGCTAAGGACAGACGGTGGTTCATCTTCATCAAAGGCTGTTGGGAAATGTGCAGGGATATTTGGTTCACCATGTGGTGCTTCATGTTCGCCATCATAATGAGACTTCCTTGTCTCATCCTCGACGTACTGGGAGACCGCTTGACTTGCTTCCCCTACATCCCAAGAAAGCACAGTCGGAGAGTCGGACTCATAGGGATCTTCAATATTTATGAATGTTACTAGAGAAAGTGTCAGAATGAGTCGGCTTGCTTGCTTTATAGAGAGCAAATTTGAAGGCTATGATACAATCTTTTGGAATACTTAGCCATATTTGATTATCGTCGAAGAGCTGCCGAGAGTCGGCTCCGTGCTGTATTCTCCCGCTTGCTAGGATGCTCGTATCAAAGGTTCGAAATATGGTCCTTTCTACGTAGCAACATTCACGGGAGCTCTTGATACAGTTTTGGCATACCGGTTTCACTTCGTCGCACTTCAACTTTCGATGCCGACATGTAATACTGCGAGTTTTTCTCAGATGGGTACCTTGTGAAGAGTGTTATGCATACTCACCAGCCACTATATGACCGTATACTCTTTCGGCTCCTGGTCTTGCCCATTTGCGTTGTATTTTTTGTTTTTAATTTTTAAAGAGGAAAAATACACGGGCAGAATGTTTAAGGTATCGATACCGACATGTTACTTGAAAGGGGAAGTTCGTGGCAACCTGAGAACGAGAAAGACATTAGTGGCAATCAAGCCGAAGTGCTGGCTCCACGCCGCCATCATTATTAACGCATGGTCTAGCTTTACAGAGCTACAGTGAGCTAATAGAAGTCAATTTGGTGTTAGTAAAAGCGGATATCGAGGAATTCCAGCGCAACCGCTTTGACTGCCCACATTATCTACTCATTGACGCATTGTCGCAGTATCTGTCGCCCCCAAGACAGGCGCTATTTAATAGTACCGCTCTGCGTTCTGCCCGATTGCTTCGGCTCCCTTGCCAAATCTGACGCTTGCCCCAGGCAGAGTTGCCTAGCTGAAGATGCTGCAGCCGCCTCAAAACTAAGTGTGAGCCAACTGGGGCCACCGTCTCGCACTTCCAGTTTCGGGAATAGGAAAGTGAGGCGGCCCAATTACCAATTACTCCCTACATTTCTACTATGCATTCCGGCTCACCTTCCAAAATCGCTTGTGTTGCCATTATGAGGGATGCCTACTTCATAAGATGTGCCCGCATTTAAGTGAGCAAAGAGACAAGAGTAGTTTCCATTTTCAAGATAGAGAAATTATAATAGAAAACACCATACGAGGCCTTATATGAATATATAGATAGCTACTACCTGCTTAGAATTCTTGCCATCTTTACTTTGTTCTTCAATTGATCTATAGAACATATATTGCAACAGCCTCAACTTAAAATGGCACAGAACTCGGGCGCTCTCCAAAATACTGATGTGCTTATAATTGGCGCAGGCATGTCTGGTATTGGATTCGCCGTGCAGCTACTGAGGCAGTTTGGCACAAGAAATTTTAAAATAATTGAGAAATCGGATAATCTGGGCGGGACATGGTGGGTAAACTCGTATCCGGGCTGTGGTTGCGATGTAAGTCTTCGACCTGGTTCTATTTATTCCTCAACATTGCTAACAAGTGATTGACCCAGGTTCCGTCTCATTTTTTCTCATATTCCTTTGCTTTAAACCCCAACTGGACTCAAAAATTTGCCCTGCAATCAGAAATTCATGAATATTTCTCAGACGTAGCAGCGCAATACGAAATTCATAAACATGTTCAGTTCGCATCTCTTGTCGAGAGAGCTTCATGGAATGAGGCATCCGGGACATGGAGTGTGACAATTCGAGATCTACAGTCATCAGCTATAACCGAACATCACTGCAAAATCCTTATATCTGCTGTTGGAGCACTATCTGTTCCGCGTGAATGCTCCATTCCGGGAGCTTCAAATTTTCGGGGTAGAGTATTTCACACGGCGCAGTGGGACCATACATTCAATTGGAAAGGCAAAGAGCTCGTCGTAGTCGGTAAGTATCCCTCTTGCGTTAATATCTGCTCTCTGTATTTACAGTAAGCAATAGGAAATGGCTGCTCTGCAACACAAATAATTCCTGAAATATGCTCCGGCCCTGGAGCAGCAAAAATGATCACACAATTCTCCCGCCAATCGCATTGGCTAGCTGAGCGCCCAAATCCAAAGTATTCCATGCTGTTCAAGTGGACTATGAAGTGGATTCCTCTGGTCATGCGCATTTACAGAGCAAAGTTGTACTGGGACAAGGAAAAGGATTTTAAGGGATTCGATATAGAAACTGGCGCCGAGATTCGCAACGGTTGGTCGAAGGAAGCAGCTGATTATATTCAAGTCAATGCACCCGCAAAATACCGAGATTTCCTTATCCCGAAGACCGAAATTGGATGCAAGAGGCGTGTCAACGACACCAATTATCTTGCCAGTTTACATCAAGGAAACGTCAATCTCATTTACGATGATCCAATTGATGAGATAATACCCACTGGTGTTCGCACACAATCAGGTAAGATTATCACTGCTGAGGCTATTGTTCTTGCCAACGGCTTCGAGACTCAAAAGCCATTTGAATCGCTGGAAATTTTTGGAGAAAATGGTGTCAGCATCCAAGATCATGTCAGTTAAAACCAACACTTCAAAGCACTAAGACTGTATTGTAACTAACTTGATTCTGTAGTGGAATCTAGTAAGCGAAGGGATGCCTTCTTCATATCTTGGAACATGTCTCTCAGGGTTCCCAAACTTCTTTATGCTGATGGGTCCGAATACTTTGAGCGGTCACCTTTCTGTCATTTATACCACAGAATGCCAGATTAACTTCATAATTCGCATTATTAGGCCAATCTTGAATGCAATAAGGACAGAGCTGCCATGGTTGGCAGTAAGAAGGTCTGATTGGGATATCGTCGCCGTCAAGCCTTCCGCAGAGACGCAAGATATCGAATCAGTTCAAGAAAAAGCTAAGAAGCTCGTATGGGCGACAGGGTGCACATCTTGGTTCATCGACGAAAATACTAAGAGAAACACAATAATGTTCCCTGACTGGCAGTATAAATTCTGGCTTAGAAGCATTTTTGTCTCTTGGGATGACTTTGCTTATCGAACATCAACGACGTTTAGAAAAGAGGTCGAAGGAGCGCCGATGAGGAAGATTACCTCTCTTTTTGCTGCGTTTGGCGTTATCATAGGAATTGGAGCTTACTTGTGTAGTGAATGGATTGTCAGCCACTCTGAACGAGCAACACAATTACTCAAAAGTTGGTTAGTTTGAATTGAATTGAAACAAAGTTACATGGGGGGGGGGGGGGGGGGGGGGTTCAGATTTCAATCAAGGATACCTATTAGATAAGCGACTTGGCTTGAATTAATGACGATGAGATTCTCAAAGTTTTGCCTAGTACATGTGCAATTACTATCCTACTCATTACTTGGGATGCTTATTGGGATCATGGCGGTATTAAGTCATGGAATACCACTTCTGCCTGTTTTTCAGAAAACCAGGCAGTCAAATTGGATCTAGTTGCAGCAGAGTGGAAGCACTAAAGCGGTCAGCGTTTTGTTACATGCTGTGGAGCTGATATTGTACATACGCTGGCCCCATGTGCACAGATGTAAGTGAAGAGAGGTCCAGAGGACTTGGAACAACTTTCCGGTGAAATTCGTTCATTGGGCACATGCGATATAAACTCAAAAGCATTATTTTCTTAATCTGCCATTTTGCCATGCTAACAATGAAGGTTAATTCGCGAATCGCTGCCAGTCTACGTAGTAATTCTAAATGGACATCAAGATGAAGGGCAACTAGACAAAGAGATTGGGGCAGTGTTTTTCACCTGATTATTCAGCTTGTATTTTGGAAACATTGAAACTGGTGCGTCAGTTTGAGATGGCTGCCACTGATTTGAAGATCAGTTGGGAGAAAGTTGAATGGCCATTATTACGAGAGGACATACCCAAAAGAGTATCTGGCAAGAGGGGTCCAAATATTTGTCAGCGCTAGAGTGCGGTGTTTTAAGGTCGGCTTTAGGTAGGTACGACATCTAGTTGGGACCCGGGGTTATTCTTACTACATATACGTGAATATATCTCAAGATTTGATTCCTGGAAAATTCGATGGCCCACCACTGAAAATAAAGAAATTCCTAACCAAGTCGACTTAGCCCGAACTAAGTACTATTATAGCGAGCCTTTGCTCTCTAATACGCTGGAAACTATCATAGCCGGTGAGCTGTTATCTCAGCGACCAGGTCGCAATATTATAGTAATCGTGACGATAAAATACGATGATCATATATTAAAGCAGTATTGGAGACATCGATCTTAGTAGTGAGCGCGAATTTCCCATTACACGTACGAAACAATACTTGTTGTCTCCTACCAAGCTTACCGTTGGTATTGATTCTAAACTTCACCTTCTTGCTTACGTAGCTGGTTCTGATATGGCCGGAACGTGTGAGTAATCTGTAAGCACAGCCAGCCAGACAATAATTCTTCGCCGCCTAGGCCGAGAGAAAAGCGTTCCATGCGATCGCGGTGCGATGAGCACTCGTAGCACAACCTAGTATATAGAGGTACGCATATATGTATATTTATCATGAACGCAGAGCAATGGAACGATACGATATTTATGAGCCCCCTATAACGATAGCGATGATAGAAGTGTAAGCCACGAGTATCCGTGTTAAGCATAGCTACGGTATTACTAATGCAGTTTTCGCATTTCAATGTATTTGGTAAATGTTTCATAATAGTGCTAAAAAGCTTATTCAATATTAGTTATTTAAGGCTCTAAACTAGACACGGTAGTTACAATAGAATCCGTGCTCTGCATTATATGATCCGGTCATTCTCCAACAAGAATGCTTGCGATGAGAAGGATGGGGCCTGTATTACGCCGTAATAATACATTTTCTTTTCCAAAATGCTGTTATAAAAATTAGAAAGCAAAAGTTGAATGCCTACAAAAGGCAGATTAGCTCAACTAAATTGTAATCATCTTCGGCACACCGCTTTTGATTGATCTCGAACCCAATCGGATTGCATCGCGTCGAGTGGCTAGCGGCGCCAAGATCTGCGCACATGCTTATTTCTCCCCCAATTGTCGTATAAATGTTGTGTAATATTGTCTCTTTTGGGTCTCGCGTGCCTTCTGTATTCTATCACCTGAAATAAGCTCGTATAAGCTCTTCGGTAAACAGGCGACCCATGTCCAAGCGAAGCTTCCCCTGTGTAGCAAACACGGCTACTACGTTACAAGTATGTGGCGGCAAATCTTGAGTTGATTTTCCTCCAATCTTATTTATTCATGAGTTCTAAGGACCTTCCTCATCCATGTTTAAAGCATTAAGCTTGAGTTAAAACACCTTATTATGGGCTAGTTTCGCTGCACGCCAGCGTTTCAAAGATTCGGCAGCATGCCGAAATGGTGGAGGGAGTTAAGTTGATCGAGATGTGGAGATTTGGAAGGACATGTCAGGGTGTCAAGCTTAATTGGAAGTTTAATATGTTGCTTAAAAAGAATATAAATTTGGCAATCAATCCTCTAATATGCCGTTCATCATCAATCACAACCCAACAACCTTCTTTTCAATACTTTGTCTTCTACCACAAGCCACCAAAATGTTGCCTAACGTTCTCTTTGGCGTTGCTACATTCGGCGCAGCCGCCTCAGCCTTTTCCCTTCCTGCTAACCTCAAGACAATTTACAACAACCACAAGGTAAATGAAGTGGTATAATGCCCATAACCTGTCTAACTTCTTTTACCTTAGTCGGGAACATGCTCCAACAAACTCTCGGGAACATTTAGCGGTGGAGCAGTCTACTGTGGTGATATTCCAGGAGCGATCTTCCTCAAAGGAAGCTCGGGAAATTACGATAACATGGATATTGATTGCGACGGTGCCAATAGATCGGCCGGAGCCTGTGCTAACGACCCCAGTGGTCAGAGCGAGACTGCTTTCAAGGATACGGTCAAGACGTTTGGTATTCCCGATCTTGATGCCAACATTCACCCATATGTTGTCTTTGGTAATGAGGGAGGTAGCCCCTCTTTCAACCCCCAGCCTAGCATGAAACCTCTTAGTGTCATGGCTGTTGTATGCAATAACCAAGTCGTAAGTTTATACATCTTTCTCCCTCCTAGTCATGATGGTGTCTGATAAAACACTAGTTCTATGGCATTTGGGGCGATACCAACGGCGGTACTTCGACTGGAGAGGCTTCGCTTGCTCTGGGCAAGCTCTGTTTCCCCAATGAAGGTCTGAGCGGTGATAACGGCCACGATCCCAAAGACGTCTTGTTCATCGGTTTTACTGGTTCCGGAGCAGTGCCCGGCAAGAATGGTGCGAACTGGGCGGCCAAGAATACCAATGACTTCGAGAACAGCATCAAGGCTCTAGGAGATAAACTTGTTGCCGGACTCAAGGCTTAAACGAGAACAAAGGAGCCTATAGAGATAAAAAAGAAAAAGATGTATAGGTTATATTTTGCATTAAATGCTGTCAATTCCTGCATATGAACATATATAGTGGCGCTCAATGTATATGGATTTTTTCTCATTGACTGATATGCATTTTCATATCGTCTTAGCTTATCTTGATAATGGAGATTTAACCTGCAACGCATGTACATTAGTCATGGCCAGAGAGGAATATTTTCCCTTTGACCGCTATAATACCCGAGGAGTTTATTTCCGAATGATGATCGCCGTTCTTTTCCCCTCACATATCGAAATCTGGGGATCGCAAGAATGATTGGTGCGGATGAATGTCGTGTCGCAATAGTGGATTTTGCGGAGATCAACTGAAATACTTGGTAGGCAAGCGGTTTGCCTAGAGAGAGTAATGATCAGCACACCGAAATGCGAACTACGCACATACTGGCCGCGATAAACTCTCCGCATTAGTGCTCTTATTACTCTCATGTACGCGCATATTCATTTTGCAGTCTGGGGTCTTTCTCAAACCTCTTGGCAGGCAAGGACCAGCGATTCTACAGCGCCAAGTTGGTTGCCCCATTCTTGACTCAGTCTCAACAGGTCTATTGGCGCACATGACCACTCGGTTGAGAGGGATCGACAGATCATGGATAAGATGATTGCCATTCTAGCGATGAAAGTGGTTAACAATATCTTTTGGTACGATTTAATTACCAGCTTTCTCTACCGCCTACGTAAGATCCAATGATTGTCGTTCAAGACAGATGGCCGATCATCTTGGACCAAGACCGGGTGTCACCGAGAAGGCGTTTAAGCGCTGCCATTGACGAATGAGGATCAGTGCATTCAGATTCGAAACCCATATTTGGGTATTGTTTACTTAACATGGCATTTTGTGCTGCCTAATGCTACATAGAATGCCGATGATCGGATCGTTCAACAGACATATAAGCTTGCATGCCCAGATTTCAGATGCAGCGGATGAGCAACGTCGACGATCCACCCAATATTTTTAGATTCATTGGGCACCATGGCCGTGCTCAATGAAAAGCTGGCCAAATACAATGCAGCCAATAAGCTGTACAAAAGTTCTTTGTTAAATACTGTCTGTCTTGTTGCTGGATTGTCAATTTTCTTCTTTGGCTATGACCAAGGATTAATGGGCGGCGTCAATACGACGCGCGATTATGCCGAACGCATGGGCTTTGGTCATTGGGATGAAGACCAAAACATTGTTGTCGTTGATAAGCCTTTATTGCAGGGAGGCATAGTTGCTGTGTACTATCTTCCTGGTACGCTGTTCGGATGTCTTCTTGGCGGCTGGCTTGGCGATCGCTACGGTCGCATCAAGACTATTGCCGTGGCTTGTATTTGGAGTATCTTTGGAGCTACTCTGCAGTCAGCAGCTATGAACGCAAACTGGATGTTTTGTGGTATGTAATAGCCGTGATTTCCAACATTGCGCCAAGTGCTGTGAAATATTGACTGACCTAAACGGTAAAGCACGCGTATTAAATGGCATTGGGACTGGAATTCTGAATGCCATCACACCAGTTTGGGCAACCGAGACGGCTGCCCATACCTCCCGAGGGCAGTTTGTGTCTATTGAGTTTACCTTGAACATATTTGGTGTTGTTGTAGCATACTGGCTGGAATTGTAAGTTGATGAAGTGATAATGGCTGTTTGGGACGTTTTTAATGCTTTAATAGTGGTACTTCCAAATATCACGACAACACATCGTCATTTATTTGGAGATTTCCCATCGCATTTCAGATTCTGCCTCTCCTGGTCCTTTTCGTCGTTATATGGTTCATGCCAGAATCTCCTCGCTGGCTTGTGAAAGTCGGCCGTGAAGAAGAAGCTCGCTTTATACTAGGCCGCCTTCGAGGAAATGAAGGTGAAGACGCTATTCAAGCAGAGTCAGAGTATCAAGATATCGTAAACATACGAAACCTTGAAAAAGACACATCAACTCAGCAAAGCTATTTCAACATGCTTTTCGGCATCGGTTCTGGGAAGCTGCACACTGGCCGACGCGTTCAGCTTGTCATTTGGCTCCAGATATTGCAAGAATGGATTGGCATTGCAGGCATAACAATTTATGGGCCTGAGATATTCAGCATTGCCGGGATAAGCTCAGAAGACAGACTCTGGGTTAGCGGTATCAACAACATCACATATATGGTAAGACGATTATTCAAGCTTTGCAACATATTCTCTAACAAACATTTAGTTTGCGACGTTAATCTGCGTCTTTACTCTCGATCGCATTGGCCGCCGCTGGACTCTATACTGGGGAGCGATTGGACAAGGGATTTGCATGTTCGTAGCAGGCGGCCTTGCTCGGGCAACGATTAATGCCGAAGGACAAGGCAACCAAAAGCAAATTGGTGGAGCAGCGACATTTTTTGTTTTCCTCTACACCGCGATATTTGGTGCCACCTGGCTCACTGTTCCCTGGCTATACCCTGCAGAAATCTTCCCCTTGCAGGTTAGAGCCAAGGGAAATGCTTGGGGTGTTGTCGGTTGGTCTATTGGCAATGGCTGGACTGTAAGTTCTCTGTTCAAAATTCTCATGTAGCCGCATCTCACACTTACTTCTTAGGTATTACTGCTTCCCACTATTTTCAACCGACTGAACGAGAAGACTCTATACATATTTGGGGCTGTTAATGTGCTATCCATTATTGTCGTTTGGGCGCTGTATCCTGAGTCGAATCAGCGCACATTGGAAGAAATGGATCTTGTCTTTGCCAGCGACAGCATATGGGCTTGGGAGGCCGAGCGCAATTTTGCTAAGCTAAAGGAAGAGAATCCTCAGTTGGTTCAAGGTTCCACCGTGGTTACAGATATAGAACACGCTGCCCCGGCAAAGATGTAATCTATTTAGAAGGGATAAAATCTCGATGCGCTCGCAGCGTACGTTTACGTATAAATATATATAGATTGTGTACTTAACATATGTTAAAGCCAAATCAGTAGGTGGAAAACATACATTTTTTAACTTATCCTCACATTATAAATTTTCTATAGCATTTTATCCATTATCGACCGGATGTATTGAGCACCATGTATGCCCTACCTGGGACTATGCAGTGAGTATACTAGCCGCGCTTTGTATATTGAAGCTGCATCCTAAACACTTCAACTAATATTTTTCTAGCATTTCACTAGCCAAGAATCTCACTATGATTGGAATTTTTTACAATGTACGTCAAGCAACAGCCAAAGCTGAAAGGAAATAAAAAGCAAAGCTGGCAAGTAGCTCTTGTGGCTTCATTTTACTCATTCAAAGTATAGCTCATGTATCATATCTCATCAGTCATCAAGCTCCTGCCCAAAATCGATCCCAAGCATCTTTACAAACCTCTTTCTGCAAGTGATTGAGAAAGTCATCAAACTTAACTGGCTCTTCTCCGTCCAGCCTCAGTATACCGTCTTTTATGCCCCGCCAGCCCTCTACTGGGAGCCTGATGTAATTATGCCCTTTATCGCAAAAACGCATCACGTTAGGCGATCCCACCTTCTCAGGGTGGTGTCTAGCGTTGTAGCATATCTCGCAAATCAGCGTGGTGGAGCATTCCGTGCAGTAATGAACAACCGAGTCTCCCCACCAGGCGTATCCGGCTATGGGGCTGCATATACCTCCATCACAGCTGTATGCAACAATGCCGGGATTACCAAGGTCTCCTTCATCTTTTGGTGCCGACGCCTTTCCGCTTCTGAGGCTAGCTATGGTTTCAAAAGGTGATATCCATTCAAAGGCTACCATTCCTCCCTCGGGTTTTACATCAGCATCATCGCTGGATCCATCTCCTGAGTCCGAGTCTGAGTCCGAGTCGGAACCCGAGTCAGAGTCAGAATCCGATTCGTCTTCCTCATCTTGAACGAAAGTAATTTTTGAAAACATGGCAGATATGACGATTCGCGCATATCGTTGAATATCCTGCCCCTCTGGAATAGCTTTGCTCAAAACCATGAGGGCATGGCCCAACTTTTCCAAATTTTGGCCATCGTTCCACGAAACTTTATCGTTTAGACCAGCGAAGCAGTCATCAAGAATGCTTTGAAGTCGCTCTTGAAATTCGCTACCTTGACCCATCTTTAAGCACATCGACGCAATGACGATTCGGCGATGAACTAGGTCCAAGCTTGTGTACATTGGCACGGCCAAAGAGAGTGGCCTATCCATCAACCCTTTAAGTGCTGCAAGCGCCTCTGCTTTAACGTTCGGATCACGCGAGGCTCGAAATGTTTCATACAAGACGTCAGACATGGCATCCACCGCTCGCTGGAGAGTAGTTTGTGGCTCCTCGTCTGTTATGGCATACGTTTCTCCGTTAGAGGTGCTTGCAAATATCTCGTTTAAGTATTTGCGAGCATTCTCAAGATCACCAACCACTCTAAAATAGGTCAACGAGAGCTCGAGGCGCATAGGAGCACCCGAATTCAGTCGATCTAGGAATTGAATAGCATCCTTATAGGCCTCAATAATAAATTCAGCTTCGCCCTCTTTAATGGCGAGGGCTCGAAGTTCTTCATGGCGATCGTCGCCTTCGTTGCAATAATTCCAGGCCATCCAAGTCAGCCTGTCATTGGAACTCCAGCTCTTCAATGTTCGAAAGTACCCAGCGTGATCAGATGCTTTCTCAAACAAATTGAGTTCACTAACAAGAGCATTGCCTGGAGTTAGCCCCGTAGGATCAATCAATTTTGCTTGAGTGTAAGATTCAGCTGCGGCTTCGCGCATCCCTAGCTTCGTTTCGACCTTTGCCTTTGCCAACAGAGCTAGACGTTTGAGTGAGGTAGGAACATTGACAGTCTCAATGCCCTTGACACACTCCAGAATAGTTTCGAAAGCGATCTCTTTTTTGTGTAGTTTCAGCAGAACATTGCATTGTAGGATTGATATCTTAAATCTTTCCGTATTGTTGTCTCCAGAGTGGAAAGAATTCTTCGCTTTATTGCACATTACTTCTGCAGGTTTATACAGGTTAAAATGGAAGAAAAGCTCTCCCACAGCCCGATATGCAGTACAATCCATTTCAAGGTCGTTGAAGAGGTCAGGCAAGCCTAGTGAGCTCTTCTCTTCGCCAAGCTCTTTCTTGGTCTGAGATTCAGTGTTTTCGTTATCGCTGGGGGCCGGATTCACGGCTTTGGCCACTTGCGCCGAAATTTCTTCTGGGAAGTTTGCTTTGGCTTTGTCGGTAAGAAGATCAAGTCCGCCCTGCATCCCGCATCATTAGTCAAGAAAATGCCAAAAAAAAAAAAAAAATAAATAAATAAATAAATCGAAACTTACAACACCCAAAAGTCCATAGAGAAGTTTATACGCTGCTGATGCCGCTTCAACGTCAGCTGCAGTATATATGAGGCGAAGGTACCCCTTAGCCATCCCCAATCGGCACCTTCGAGGATCAATCGCAACGTCAGCCCACCACGAGGCTGCAGCGGGTGTCAAAATGGACGAAACTTCTGGAATCTTGAGATTCTCGGCCCACAGAGCAACCTTATCGTTCACCATACTCTTTAAACTCCTATTATATACTATCCCAGTGCGACTGAGAGTTTCTGCAAAATCGGTATGTGAAAGCGCCATTGCAAGCCCTTCCATAACTTCCGCCTTCTCTTGGGGTGTGTGCTCGTCCAATTTGATTTCGACAAAGTGAGGAAGTAGCCAATAGGCGGAATATAGTCGCAGGGTTTCTTTGATCGAGTGCCCTGGACCCAGTGGCTTTACAAGATTGACACAATCTAGCAATATTTGACGATAAGCTTCTGATGCTGTAAAGCGCCAGTCTGAGTTTAAAGTGGAAGCATCTCTAAAGAATGCCCTCATTGATCTTTCTTTAAACTTTACAGGCAACGCGCCATCATTATAAGCATCGTCTGGGTTATTCGATGCTGAATCCGCCTTTTCGACATCTTCAATTGAGCTAATGTAGGTGTTTCTGCGACCACTTCGTGACTCTGCATCTAGAGCAGGATCTCCAATTTGGAGAAATTTGGCAGCTACTTCTGGGATTTCTTCGAGGCTGAAGCTGTCATCTTGAGAAAGATACATCAGCAGCGAGGTTACTTCGTCGAGAGTAAGGACCCGGCCAGAAAATGCAAGCCAGTGAAGCAGCTTAAGAGCAATCTGCTGGCGAGCAACGGGCATTCGGCGCTGACATTCATTCAGCATTATCTCGTATACGCCCTGTAGTGTTTCTGGCAGCGGACGTGCGAGCAATTGTAGAGCCGCTCCTTCGCGACCAAGCGCGTCAAGTCTGGCTAAGGTATGCTCAGCATATAGCAGATCTAACGTTAAAAGCTTGTTAAAATCCCCTTTACTTTGTGTTGGCCCAGAATTCCATACTTACTTGGGGATACCTCTTCCACTTTCTCTGCAATTCTTTGTTGGACGTAGCGTGTAAATCTTTTAAGATAGCCGAGGTCGTTTATCCGATGCCATATAAGTGACTTAAAATCTGCCAGCTGCTTCTCTTTTGTTATCTCCATGGTGCTTACTTCGGCTTGCTCTGAGAGCTGCTGCACAAGCTCAGGGCGAGACGTGACGACGATCGATATCCGAAAGTTCTCCCCTTTAACTAGTTTAACAAATTCGAGAAACTGAGGGAAGTTAAATAGCTCGTCGAGGCCATCAAAGAGGATAAATAGATGATTAGGGGAGTCTTTACTGAATGAAGGCCCAAGTATTTTGAGCAGCAGGTCCTTCCATTCCCAGACACTGTAAATAACCTCGTCGCGAACCATCTCTGCATTGATCCTCTCACAGAGCGGCGCACTCTGCTCCACTACTTGGTTGATGACAGTAATTATCCCCTTCAAAAACCAACATAGGTCTCTATGCTGCTCGCGGAAGTAAAAATGAGCCACACAGGTACGTTGACTGGAATCTTCTTTTGCAAAATTGTAGAGCTTGTCGTATACTGTCGCAGCCAAATGACTTTTGCCAGTACCTGGCTGTCCAGCCAAAGCAAGAATTGGCTTCGATAATGTAGCATCTTTTTCATCTTGCTTTATCCACGCCTCCCACTCAGGCTGGGAAAAAACCCATGCGCAGGTATCCGGAACCAGGGTCTCTTTGAGGATTTTGTACTCATGGCCTTCTCCCTCCACGTCGGGCATCGCGTTTCGAACTCGACTGGCTGATGCCGGTTTTGACGCCTCCTGAGATGACGGCTTCCCCTTGTGGTCGTGCTTGGCATTCTGTTCTGTGAATGCCTTGAGGAGCTTGGCAACATCACTCCGAATGTTCTCAGTATCTTGGCTGATTGAGAACATAATTTCTTTTTGCTCTTCGAGCATGCGTGTGTGTTCAACTTGGTTGACCTGCAGCTCACCGTTCATCTTTTTCAGCTCCTCGCTATTGCCAAGAATGGCGAATTCGGTAGCATTTTGCAGCCGGGTAAGATCTTTATCCATTTTCTTTCGAGCACCACTCAAATCGCCATCTTCACCTCCAATCAAATTGGTAATCCATTTTTCTATCAAGATAAATCATGTAAGCATAATCGTTGCATGGTAAGAAAGACTCGATATTTTATAGGTGTCTTACTAAAACGGCCAAGTTCTATATACTTGTGCGCATAGCCAGTTAAAGTTAGAAAAGATGTGAAGACGTCCATGAGACAATTCTGGTATGCTTTATGTGATGGAAGACGAGTCTCCAAGATAGTCACGCGTTCTAAAAAGCTATTCATATCCTCAAAGAACACAACAACAACATCATAGTCGGCTGAAACTTGTTTACAAGCCTTAAAAAGCACGCTTGAAGTCAGTTTATGATGTGATTGCTATGCATTGTGATCGCTGAGATGGGGGTTAATCTCACTGAAAGAAGATATGTGATTGCGGTGCCAATGGCGGCAGCTGGAGGAAAGGCAGGAGTAGCAGCGCTTATCAGCTGCTGAGCGCCTTTCTCAATGTAGTCGATATTAGCGGCGAAGAGGCTACGGAGCTTGTCCACTTTTTTGCTATTGTGACGAAACTTGTGGAAAGCATTCATTTCGCCTGTGCCGAAATCTATCATAGCCTCGACATTATTAAATTTGGGTTGAAGGTCAAATCCAACGATACCCTTATACTGCTTGAGGGCTTCCTTCCACAGGTCAGCAACATCGCGATTATCCTTTTCTATATCTTCGGCAGCTAATTTCTTTTCCTCTTCCTTGGTCGCCATGATACCAAAGATAGGGAATAATAAATTGGGATAAAAGAGAGTAGGAAAGTAAATATGACAGGTATCGCTGGAAGTTCTGTTTACTATAAGTGAATATGAAACAACCACGAAAGACAATTATATGGCCAGGCCCACTGGGGCTCAGCTCATCTTTAAATCATTTAGAAAATTAATACTAGTGAGTAGGAACAGCTGCGGCTGAATGAACTCAGCCCTATAAGAAACTACATAAGACGAATCAAAGAACGGGCCAAGGGCTTGGCAGGCATGCTTATTAGCAGATATCTTTCTGCTAGTATACGGAGTACAAGTACGTCTTATGGCCGCATGACCCTTGTTAGTCGCCGTCGACTGATCATGCAGCTTAGCTACCACTCGATTGTCTAGCGTGTAAGCAACCAGGACGAGATCATATCCCGAGGCAATAGGATACCTAAGGCCTATGTACAAACGTAGTCAATCTACAGTAACCTACCTTTGGGTATTGGTGAGTTATTTTTCATAATCTTGCAATTTGCATAGCCTTTCGTATGTTTTGCAATCACAAAACAGCTGAGCTTGGGTTCCCAGAAAGAATAAACGAAGATAGACCTTGGTGGACTTTTCGAAACTAGGGCATCTAATAGTGTGCTAACCAACAAGAATCAAAACACACTAAAAGCTGGAAACCCCACAGCTACTGATCGTAAGACGAATGATTATTAAACCAAACGACGACAAAGGCACGGCGGTTAGTATTCGAGCATCCATGTCGTCCTGTCTTTGAAGCGACGGAACAGCCTTCGGCGGAGATGGCGCTAAGGCGGAGTTGCACAGTGGAGTGTCTAAAATAAGAGCTGCAGGATTGGTTTCCTGGCAGAAAACGGCCCTAAAAAAATACGGATGTGGCGCATCATGATTAGCCCTTAGCCAGCTAGGACAGAACCCAAGTTAAGCACATGGACAATCGGAGGCTCTGCTGAGTTGCATGTTGACAACGAGCCTATCTTCAAGCAGCTTAGACTAAGCTCTTTCACTACGTCAACTAGTGTTATCAAGGAGTTCAAGTGCTTGATAGGCCGCTTTAATTTAATTATCTCTGGGAGATATTATGTTACAGAACATTTAGTGTCGATATGAGGCAGAAACGTAGATTCAAGCGCGCATGCTGAATACTCAACGAGTTGAGGAAAGGTTGCGCAGCTGGCAGAGTTCCTCTTTGAACGGCAGACACAAAGAGCCGCGTATCGACTAATCAATTAATTCGAAGCAAAGGATCGCTATGTAGTATCGTGTGCCCAATTATTAATCGAGACTTCATGATATGTGGTTGCGTCCTAGTAGTATTATCAACTTACTATTCTACTTCTAGGTATAATTTCCAGATGCGGGATGCAAAATGAGATTCATCCTGCTGCAGCTTGACTAACCAAGCAGATGCACGTACAGTTCAGATGCACGTACAGTTGGATAAACAAGCAAAAAAAGAAAGAAAAGAACAAAAACAAGGACTACCAAAAATGTAGTAAACGAGTAAGATTGGAAGTTTAAGTTTCCCTGCTACTCTAGAAGAAATGCAGTTTCTCACAAAACAGAAACTGATTCTACTTCAGACTCGAAATCCAGTAGTATCAATTGCCTGCACTTTACCCCCCTCAGTCGTGCCGTTGATCGTTCCGCCGCCAGTCGAGACATAAAGAATATACGAATCCGCTCTTGTTCTTCCAAATTTGCAGGCCGTCGCCGTTGCCACTTCAAATGAGTTGGACGCACCAGCAATAACAGCGTATTTGCCATCCGGAGTAGCTGCAAATACTTTGTTTTCCTTGTTCGCCGCTATCCATTTAACATTCCTTTCACCAGGGCCGTATGTAAAGTCATCAATTGCCCCCGATGGTAGAGTGAGAACTTTCTCAGCTGACGCACCATTAGCGGCTCCTCCATTATCGTCAACCTTGATTCGATACATGGATGTTTCGAGAGCACCAGTCACAGGGTTGGCTGTTGCTGTATCGTTTGTGAACCACAAATAACCGTCATGGATATGAATCCCGTTGATACCAATGTTTACAGCTGAGGATGATTCTCTTTCTGGTAAAAATTGAGCCGCCTTGTCCACCCTGCCTTGTTTCATGTCAACACGCCAAATTGCGTTTAATATTGAATCCGCCACAAGTACCAAATGATTTTTTTGAGGAACCGTTGTCGCACCGTTGAGCAGAGCCGCATCGGGAAGGGTAGCGATCAATTCTGGATAGGAGGGCTGGCCGTAAGTGAAATCAACACTCCAAAGACAAGAGGATCCCTTGCCAATTCCAGCTGACTGGCTAAAATTTCCACCAGCCACAGCAAAAACATCTTCAGATGTCTCCGTTATTCCAAAGAAGCTTGTGATTGCGTCTACAGTAAATAGGCGGGTAACTGTTGGCGTCTGACAATCCAAGTCCGACACCTCATATAGAGTGGCATTTGGTAAAAAACTTGTAAGAAGAAGATTGCCATTTGAGCGAACGGCAATATTCTCGATCCAGATACCGGCGGGAAACTGGGCAATTACTCGGTTCGGAAGAAGATGCGTATCAAGGCGGCGTGATTGACGAATTGAAGCCGATGGTGCTGTTAGCGAAACAGCCAACGTTAGGAGCTCGCATGCTATTATAATGAGCGACGATATCATTGTTTTGACTAATGTTGCCGAAAAATATAGTCATTTAATGCTTTTGGCAGTGTAGTTTACCGGCTGCAACAGATTCAATACTTTTTGCAGCTCCCTATATATACACAGAAATATTGCGATTACATCATCTTGAGGCAGCTCAATGACGTCTCAAACAATGAAAGCGATCCCCCTTTCACTATTGCACTCATACTAATTTATGCGGCTAACTATTTGGTTTCCTCATAGGATGAATCCTCCAGTGCTCCCAGGCTCTCTCTGATTGAATAGTTCGGATAGCGGCAGAGGCTCGCCAAATCCTTCGGTGGCTATGTACACCCCGCATGCGTCATACCGAACTACTACAGGAATATATTACTGTAGGTCAGTATGAAGTACAAGCGCCAGTAGCCCAAATTGCAATAGGTTTAATCTTTGAAGCAATTTCCTATACGAAAGGAGCAGGGGAACCTGCGGCGGACTGTGACAGGCTGTGAGTGCCAGGGCCAGCGGGTATCCCATATAAGAGCACAGGGCTGCGCTGCGTGCGCGCGAGTTACATGTACGCAGCCAGTGCAGGGCTCTCCTGCAAGTATTAGCCCCTATATCTACACTCGTAAACCCTCCCGCACAACTTCTTTCCTGACTCACCCTCTTGATATTGCGCCTTGCCGGCACAGCACCATGGCGGAACAGTTAAAAAGTCCACTTTGTACTGCGTGGCCTTGCTAATCTCTTTGATGCCTCGCCCCATACGCCTTGGATGGGCCATCAAAGACTACAGACATCTTTGACACGCAAGAAGCTGCGTCCACTTATACGATCCTCTCTCTCTGCTGCTACCGACTTCACGTTTTCGAACACGGACAGCTCACGTGCCTCTTCATCAAGGACTTTGACACCGTCGACTGCCAGTTCAAGAGCATCAGCACTAAATGAGCGATGAAGTATATGAGTATCATATCTATATAAAGACATAACCCTGCCTTGTCCGCTATTCAAGGACTGTACAGGTTCCAAAATCACTAGTATTGAACATCTAAGATAATACATCCATGTCTATCACATGAAAGACGAGAATAGCACCAAACGTGGATTTTTTTGCACCTAGGCTGGTCGTGGTAAGCGATACAAGGCCTATCAAGGTGCAAGAAGACGCCACATTCTCTGCAATTAGTATGGTCGTGCCAGGGACTTTGGATTACGGCATATGGCGAACATGCGCAAGACGCAAGCGCATCACCACACCCAACGTGAAGGAAAAGAATGTCAACCATAGCACTGCGAAGAACGCGAACAGTCAGTCCATTAGTGAAACAATCACGGGGATTTAGACGGCTACCCTAAGAGACCCCTCGATAGAATGTTACGATCGGGAGTACGGCCGTCAAGAGGCTGCAAGTTCCTTCTATTCTTTCTCTGTTGAAAGACATTGCGGATAGCAGGTTCTCTAGGGGCTCGAAAGGCTCGGGTGCATAGAATGCACCTGGAAAATCACCGGGAGTGAGTTTTCAGGGAATAGTTATGGCGAGGGAGTTTATTAGGAAAACATCGCGATTTGGTGTACGTCCTATCTTCTTTCTCTTGCCGACGGTCAAGGAACGGATTGCGGACATTTGTATAAAAGGCACCCAGAAGCCTGAGACTGTATCACTCACACCTAGGCCCGGCCACTGGATGGCAATCGCGCGGTCCCGATGAGCCATGTCTTGATGACGCGGTTCTGGACGATGAGTTTTCCTCGTCTTCAAAGCAGCTCGTTGAATTTTCCCTCATCGACCGAGTTTATGACGAGCCTCTGATGAATACGACTCTCAAACATTGTGGGAGGCTGAAGCGCACACATCACGTTCCAACGAACCAATGGCCCTGCTTCAACGAAAGATTGGTCAATTGCGGCACAGACAACCTATCTATTCACACTCTCGCTCTTTGGGCATTCAATCAAATGGGTACATGCACTCATATTGTAACTTTGCAGTCTCTCTTTTTCTGTCCCCCGCTTGCTAGGGCTCAGATCATAGATAGAAGTCGGTGAAAACTAGAAGTAACCACTGTCAAGAAAGACCAGTCTCTTGCTTACATAAAGTAGCGGGGACGGGGACCTTGCCAATTGCAAACTCGAGCGCAGCAAAGTGCGTCACTGCCAAGGCTGGGGCTCGACTCCAGCTGGAGGTTTCAATGGTTTCAGTTTCGGTGCCAGAAACTTGACATTGAGGTTTTCTCCATGCGCTAAACTCACTTCAGCCTGCATGTACCTAGGTATACAGTATAGACAGTGCAAAGATCTAGATTAGATGCAGCAAGAGATGCCGAGGACAACCAAGTCTTGTCGCTGACGGCTCTGGAAATCCAGCGAATGGCGCGCTGAAGTTTTAGTGCACGCCAACCGCAAACGAGCAGCTCCCCGCCCAGTTTTAGCAGCAGCTGTCCCCGACAATGCCGTCAGAACACAGTGCGCGTCTTCTGCACACTGCATTTTAGGCTATTCGCGACTCCTGCGAGCCTGGACAAAACTTCTAAAGTGGACCTCTGCAGCGATTGATGCGCTGGAATCGGCGCGCTCGACGCCTCCGGCTGGCTCCGGGGCAGCTGCGGCCGCCAGCTGGAATGACGCACTGTTGCCACTCCCTCGCCCTGAGCCCCCACCAAGGAAAAAATTCGCTAAACCACAGTGACTCACGCTCGCTGCTAATTCGGAGTGCTGGGAAATCTTTTAACGGCATTGAAAACTCGTAAAACTCGTGAAGCGCCCCAGACAAGCCCATCCACGCCGATATCTCAATCTCAATTGCCATTATTCTGTTCCTGCCCAGCACAATCGAATCACCATGTGCCTCACCGACGCCCCCCCCTCTGGCCCCGTGTCGAGCGGCTCACACCCCGTCCAAGACCAGTCCGCCAGCTCGCCGTATCAGAATGTCAACGACTTCATCTCAAATGTCAACCGGTTCAAGATCATCGAGAGCACTCTGCGCGAGGGCGAGCAGTTCGCCAATGCCTTCTTCGACACAGAAACCAAGATCCGCATGCAAGTAGCCCCGTCTTCCGCTGGACAGCGCCATGAAGCAAAATACTGACTCTGCGTGATAGTGCCAAGGCTCTGTAAGACCAATTGCCTTTCATTTCACTTGGTCCTGTTGTTCCTTATTTTATTTCCCCCTTGTCTCATGCCTCCTCGCTCTTGGGCGCCCCAGCTTGGCCATTGCTTGCCGCCCTTGACTCCTTCACTCACTAATCTACACACGCTTTGATAAAAAATCGCGTCTGCTGATACACCGGTTTGTAGCGATGAGTTTGGCGTCGATTATATAGAGCTCACCAGTCCTGTTTCCTCTCCTCAATCATATGAGGATTGTAAGACTATTTGCAGCCTTGGCTTGAAGGTGAGTTTCCATCATAGTTGGTGGTTGGACATGCTGTTGAGACTGACCAATTGCACAGACCAAGGTTCTCACTCGTATGTGCTTGAATATAGAGGCCGACTGCGGGTATTTCATATTCTAACCATGAGCAGACGTACGATGCAACATGGAGGACGCCAAGAAGGCCGTTGAGTGTGGTGTAGATGGTGTCGACCTTGTTATCGGTACTTCCAGTTTCCTACAAAAGTACAGCCACGGAAAGAGCATAGAGATGATTCAGAAGACTGCCCTGGAAGTCATTGAATATGTCAAGAGGTATGTGCCAACACCTTGTTTGGCGTAAGTGCTAGAACTTCACGGCTAATACGAAAATAACAGCCAAGGTGTTGAGGTCCGCTTCTCGTCAGAGGACTCGTTCCGAAGTGACCTTGTCGACCTTCTCACTCTCTACAAGGCCGTCGACAAGGCTGGTGTCAACCGAGTGTGAGTTGTCCGGATTCAAGCGTCTAGTTGGGTGGACTACTGACGCAAAGCAGCGGTGTTGCGGATACTGTTGGAGGAGCTACCCCCCGAATGGTCTACGACCTTATCCGAACGCTTCGAGGTAATTTGAACTTATTAAAAACTGCTTATCAGAAGGCTAACCTTTGAATCAGGCGTCGTGAGCTGTGATATCGGCAAGCCTCCCCAGTTTTACGTTTCTACCCCTTCTTCACTAATACCAAATAGAAACACACTTCCACGACGACACCGGCTGTGCTGTCGCCAATGCTCACTCCGCTCTCGAGGCTGGAGCAACCCACATTGACACTAGTAAGCATTACGGTTGTTCCTGGATTGTGCCCAACGTCTAATCTCATATTTCCAGGTGTTTTGGGCATTGGTGAGCGCAATGGCATTACTCCACTGTAAGTTTCGCTACAATCATGGATGGGAATTTGGCTGACAATGGAGGACAGTGGCGCCCTGATGGCTCGCATGGTTGTGACCGCCCCCGAGTATGTCACCAAGAAGTATAACCTCAAGGCGCTCAAGGAGGTTGAGGAGCTGGTCGCCTCTGCCGTCAACATCAATATTCCAGTAAGGCAATCCTCGCTGAGAAACCAACGTTTCGCAATTTGGTAGTCTAACTGATTGTTTAGTTCAACAACCCCATCACCGGTTTCTGCGCTTTGTAGGTTCAATCTCTTTCTCTTTGTCAACTCTTCAGCTAACCTTGGAACAGCACGCACAAGGCTGGTATCCACGCCAAGGGTAAGTCGGCCTATAATAAGCGTAGCATGCCCAATTCCAATTCTGGCACTAACGAATTCAGCTATTCTGGCAAACCCTTCGACCTACGAGATTATCGACCCCGCCCTGTTCGGATGTAGGCCATTTGCGTCCCCTCAGCTACTCGCCTGCCGATGCTAACTGTCCCATAGTGACTCGATATATCTCAATCAACTCAAGAATTACTGGCTGGAATGCGATCCGCTCGCGTTGCGAGCAATTAGGAATAAAGATGACGGATGACGAGGTCAAGGAAGTGTACGTTTGCCAATCTCACGATGCCCCTTTACATAACCACTTGGCAGAGCGAACAAGGTGCTGACTGCGATAATAGGACTGCCAAGATTAAGCAGATGGCCGACAGTAAGTACCTATCATTCCTAGTCTTCTAATCCCCAATCTATCCATACCAAGTCTTACACTTCCTATTTAGTTCGACCATTGGCTATCGACGATACCGACTCCATCCTCCACTCTTACCACATCGAGCTGCAAAAGAAGCGGGAGCTGCAGGAGCAGCAGGCATAGAGATTGAAAAAAAGGTGTTTGGTTGTGCATTTCAGGCTGAGGATCAAAAAAAAAAAGGAAAACTGCGCCACAATGTAAAAAATGGCCGAAGGAAATTGATTGGGTTGGAACAAAATATTAAGGGCCGATCATCGGCCTAAAACAAGCATTATTCTCTATCATCTGTCTATTTGGTTGTTTTGATGTATCACGTGCGCCTCCGGGCACGGCTTGCAAGATCGGAGAGAACAATCAACACGACCTCGGCAACACTACCCAGGCAGTTCTGTGTAGGCTGTTTCGCGTAATTCGGTTGGTTGTACGGCAGGACGCAAGCTCCAAAAATTGGTGAAAGAGACTTCAGAACCGAGCTATCCTCCCAACCTCCGAAATCCGGCTGCACGCCGAGATCAAGTTCGCGCTAGAAAATAGCTAGCTCTCTGGAGAATCAAGCTGGCTCCAGAAATCGGGCTTGCTCCGCAAATCGAGCTGACTAAAAAAACGCGTTCAGAGCTCAGTGGGGGGTTACTTTTATTCGCCCTGCTATATGCATACCTGACCTTTTAATACAGAATATGTACCATATGTCTGCTAAACTAGGGTTTGAGACTTATATAATAACGAATATTCCCATATGATCCGGCTAGAGCAAAAAGTTGGCAAACTATGGGAGGATAGCAGCTCATATTACATAGCAATTTAAATGTATATGCACCAGAGAGGAAGCATAAAAGAATAAGAACGAAAGCATTGGTAATAGTCGCAACTCATTTATGCCCACCATCATCACCTTGCTGTTTGATAGAGATTATATCGATAGAAAAGTCCAACAGTGGTAAAGATTCCTAAATAGTGCCTGCAAAAGTAGAAACAACTCACAAATCCACACCTATGGAATTATCTTTGCAGCCCTCATCAGATCAAAAGCCTCCACATAATTCTGAAACACATCTGAGCGTTTCTCAAATCCTGCAGCCGTGATTTTGGTCAAATCGTAGTGACGGTCGAATACAGCCAACGAAGTAAGCACGTCCATAAACTCCCAGCTGCTCCGCCCGATGATACCTGATGTCAAGCCATATTTTGTCTCAAAATTTGCCCATTCATCACGATGCTGTGTCATGTAGTTTGCCACGCTTAGGCTGGGAGTTTCTTCAGGAGCAACGCCTTCCAGGCCAAACATATCGCAGATCGATGCCCACTTCTCAGCCCAGCTGCTCCCAGCAGTGACTGGGGAGTCGCCGACATTGTAAACCTCACCGTTTTCAATTCCATCCAAGTTCGAAACAAAGAGATGTGCTCTAGCCAATGTCGTCTGACCAATCTCAGTATAATGACCGTTATATGCAGCAAGAGGGCCAGGGTAGGGAATCGTCTTTTTGGGCTTTGGGGATTGCCTCTCACGGTCTGCATAAAAGCTGAGGAAGATGCCTAGAGCTTGAACGTAGTTCATCGCGTTACCGCCGCCTGGCACAAAACCAATCTAATAATTGTCAGATAAACACAATTCTTGCCAGCAAGGCCAACACCATCTTACCACCAAATCTGGGCGAATCTCAGCAAATCGCCAATTCTTTCCGGCAGAGAGTTTCTGAAGTAAATCATGCTGAGCGTAGTAGAATACTTGATCTTCGTATGGCTGAGGAATTCGTGGGTCAGATTCTTTCGCTGGAACCTTGGGAAATCCCAGCTGATGAACATGCACAAAGCCGTACGACTGAAAAGAAGACTGTTAGTATATGTAGATAGAGATCTAATATCATTACTAGCCACAAGTGACAAACCTTTCCACCTGTCTGTAACGTCCAGAATCTCAAGTTTGAGCTAACACGCTCGACTGCTTTAACTGCCGTTTCAAGAATTCGAACGTTGATCTCCTTGAGTTTATCAAAACCTTCAAAATCTGAAGTTCCAGCGGGCTGCACATATGCTGTAGAGATTATACAATTTAGTATTTTGCCCCCTGGAAAAAAGAGGGGGGGATCATACCAGCAAAGTACACATCGGTTACGTCTTTGATGCCATCGATACCAGCTAGCTTGGCCACCACGTCGTCTACGGCCGCCGTGAGGTCAACGCCATGAACAATCGCAAGACGGCTATCCTCAGGTAAAAAGGCCTTTGATCGATCTAGTGGCCTATTTGTAAGACCAATCACCTTGCTGAATGTTGAGGGCGTGGGATATTTAAGAGCTTCGCGCAATATGGCCCATCCAGTAATTCCAGAGGCTCCAAACACCAAGGCGGTGCGGTTGGCAATAGTAGGAGACATTCTTTTTAAAAATTAGTGTGTGAATGAATATTCGGATTCCGGTGTCTTTGTTTAACACTATGTTAAAGTTAAAAGATGGCTTCAATGTTGTTGTGACTGGCATACCTATATATATATATATGCTCTCCCTTTGAAAGAAAGGGAAAAACCTTAATGTTACTATGTCACCCTATTCTCATCCCTACTCTCGCAGACACGGAAAATGAAGTTATGCCGCCTGACCATTCGTGCGGACTTTACATGACACCAGAATTGAAGCTCATAATGCCCCAAAGAACCTCGAGAGGTTCTATAGCTGGCAACGCCTCCTTGATCTACTGTGGAGAAGATGGGCAGATTGGGGCAAGTCGAGGACAAAAAGGGTCAAGCTGTGAAGTGCATCATGACTAATTAAGCCGCCGCTAGATTTCACTTTTGCGGCCCCAAGCCAATCAAATGCAGCAGAGCCAGGATTGGAGCTGACCAAGTCGGCATCAGAATTCGTCCATGTTAAGAGACATGGGCCCCCAGCTCATCTGCCGCTCCGCCAAAAAAAANAAAAAAAAAAAAAAAAAAAAAAAAAAAAAAAAAAAATTGAACAAATAAATAAATAAAAATTAATCAAATTGACTGCCGCTCCGCACTCCATATTTGTAGAGCTGCGGAGGCAACTCGCTGTATTGGGTAAAATCCATTTTGGTGAGCCGCATGGTTCTGGACACGATATAGACCTACATGTGATGAGCGTGGATTTGCATAGACTGACTCTATACCCGGCGTAAATGCGGAAGATGATGCCTCCGTCGCTCCAAGTACATATTCAGCATTGTGAATCTTGATATGGCCCTCCATCTCTCTGTCACCGTGATAGCCGCGGAAATTTGCTACTGTTATGTATATAAATCAGGCCACACTGTTACATGGCGGAAGTCTAATTGCGTGAATAAGGACAGGGAATCGCACAATTTGTCGAGCTGAAATCAATACAGTAAATAAAGCATTTGGCCGCACTGAAGGCTAGATATCTACATCACGGCTTATCTATATGTACCTATTCTATCTATTCTGTCTCTACGCCTCACTTTACTCACATCTTCCAGTCCTACATAGTAACTTTGTACACCTACTAGTACACTTATTCACAACTCCGATTATGTAATGCCCGTTGAACTCGGGATGGCGTCGGGCCGAGATGCGGCCCCACCCAGCAAAATCTCGGTATAAAATTTCATTTCGCTGGCGAGCTTTTGGAATTTTTTTCTTCTTTTTTCTTTACGTCGACAATACTTCAGTATGTGCCCCCCTACGTTTTGACCCTGTACCTCGTGGCCGTCGTGCTAACAACTTCAACAGGAGAATCATTTCTATAGTATTTGTCTCTTGCTTTGGTTCCCAAAAGAGCCATCGAATCCACCCTGGTTGATGATTGCATATCCTCGACATCCAAGAGTGAATTTTCCGGTCCTCTCGCTCCGTCCGAAAGGATGGCGGTAGACGCCTTGTGCATCTGCTGTATAGAGAGTTGTTTTTCTCTTGATGATCTCGACCCTGTCCGTGGTCATGCCTTCGGGCGCACTGGCAGGGTGGATGTCGATGGACGTCTGACAGGCTTTTTCTTTTCATTGCTATTCGAGGCTTGCCTTGGCTGCGAAGAAGAGTTTAGACTACGGCATACTACGGCGCACCTTTTACTGTAGCTTTCCAATACTTGCAAATGTAGATAAGACGTATTGGATTGGCATTAGTATATAGAGCTGCAACTGCTCGTCGCTATTCCTGCCTAAGCTTGACCTCCTTCCAATAGCTCGTTCGCTTCATTCCACGAAGCTCTTTGCCATAAAATATGACTGGCAAGAAGATTGCGCAGATAGCCAATGCAACAAATGCGACGCTGATGAAGCAGTTTTGCAGTCCCAGGCCGTCTAGCCAAGGAGTGATGCCATAGCCGATGGCAAAGCTCATCGTGTTACGGATAATGATGCATGATGCTAGGCCGTCTCCTGATATCTCTCGGTACGAGTCAACGAGGTAGGCGATGGACAGCGTAATTCCGGCTGTGTTGCAGGCCGCAAGGATACACATCGCGAAAATGAGTCCAAACCAGTGGACGTGATGGGCAGCCTTTGCAGAGTTAGCGTCTCAAACAAGGCATCAAAGCAAGGCTTGAGGACCAGGCTGTTGTCAACTTACACCAACACCCCAAAGGATCTGGCAGGCCGGCACCAAGATTGTGGTCAATGCGAACAGCCAAAGACGCTGCTCCGGTTCGAATACTCCACGGTTGCGTCGCGCTAGCTTGATGATGAACCAGTCTGAGACGATGCCGCTGTATGCAGATCTGTAAAATACACATTAGCCCCCCTCATGAATAACAAAGCACATGCATATGGAACTGGGTCTCAAGGTAAGCCTACCCAATAATAACTCCTACTATGCAGGCAAGATAGCTTAAGCCGACGATACTGGGCTGGAAGTTGTACGGGGCACCACCAAGCACAATGGACGATGTCGCGTTGAGGATATTGAACCAGATGAGGTACGTGCCGTATGAGAAGCCAGAATAGAAAACTACTGGCCAGGCGATCAACCGGAGAATCTGCCATGCTCGTTTGTGCATCGTGAATGGTCGCGACTTGTCGAGCAGGGAAAGCTTCTGCCAATAGGTTTTCTCACTGCCTTGGAGGATGATATTTCTGCTGCTGACACCACCATTATTGACCCAGGAAGAAGCCGCTTCTTCCTCCTTATTCCCAACCGCAGCAGCCGCAGATGGCGACGTCTTTTCACCAACCCCCTCTTGGGAATCTTCAGCATAGATCACTCCTACCGCTTGGCGCTCATAGTTTGTCTCTTCTAAAAAGAAGAAGAGGAAGAGGAAGCAAGCAGCGTCGAATATAGCCATAAAGTAAAAAGGCCATTTGAACCCCATGCTGTCGTTGATGAAACCACAAATGACGGGCGCAAAATAGTTGGACGTGGCCAAAATCCATGCATACCATCCCATGTAGGTGCCTCGCTCGTGAGCAAAATAAATGTCTGTAATTGATGTTTCAGGCAGAGCTTCGATTGGTGCGGCAACGAATCCAGTGACAATATTGCGAGCGATCCACTGGCCTTGGCCTTTGGCATATGGGCTCCAGACGGAGACAGCCTGCGAATGTCAGATATAGCTGGGAGGATGAGAGTATACCAAAAAAAAGTCTACCACTTACTATACAACCGAGCATAGAGAGTAGATACGTCAAACGTTTTCCGTACTGTAAAGCAAAAGGTTGCCAGAAAAGCAGGCCCCAGCCACATAGCAAGAACATGTATCCCGTTCCTTCATTGAGGTCGCTCACTGTATATGCAATCTCATGTTAGAGAAAAGTTTTATGCTTGGTTCATAGATTGCACTGGTACCGACCGCTGACTTCTAAAGCTGTTGATAGAGGCACAAGAAGCGAATACACTACAGATAAACTCATGCCATTAAATAGCGTGTATCTGTGGCGGCACGATTGCGAGGTCAACTTCAGGATTGGCAACTCAGTGGGTGGACTCGAGCAAGACCAAATACTCACGCAATCAGACAAATGAGATGCTGGCGCTTTCTCCATGGCGACCAATTTAGAGGATCATTTATATCATTCGATGGGGTTGGAATAAGGATGATGCTGTCTTTGCTCTGGGAATGCAGAGCCTCGACGGTGTGCTCCACATCAACGAGCAGAACCGTGCCGGGGATCTGAGATTCATCAATGTCCAATTCTGGGCTCCGCATGGTAACAGAAATGATCCTATTTTCTGAGCGTGGCTCTGTGCAAGGTAGAGGATGTCATAGAGGAATTCACTACGACAAGCAAATTTTTGCCCTTTGTACAACATTCATGGAAGTGACTGATAGCGGACTGCCGTGGGAAGCCGAGGGTCTTTATATCGACTACGCCTCCCTATCTAAAACATATGGATTGATAATTGGATCAGCGTTACATCGACGTCACAAGACCGAAGCTAAGTACTAACGACGCAGTGCTTTTGCTAGCAGATGGTTAGTCGCACGGGATTGCGAACCGGGGTGACGATCCCTAAGAGCGAGTCCTGGGCCTGGGGTAACTCGGGGTGTAGCCAGCAACTCCGATAAGCTCCACACCGAATTAACACTCTGAATGCATGTTGGTTATCCCTGCAGTAGCCAGACTGCGGGTTGTCACCGTGTTATTGGCTCTGGATGACTGAAACGGCTGAGACAGCAGCACGAGCAGTCAAGCATCCTTTACTATATAATTTAAATCTGCTGGCAATAGCCTTCCTGTTAGCTCTGAAATGATTAAATAAAATCCTTGGAAATATAGCACTTCCAGACAAATAGCAGTTTTTCTACACAATTTACGTGTACCTGTCGGCTCTATGCTGAGAATATGGAACCAACTTATAGAAGGACCATCAAAATCGCTAGAACGCGGGGAAGGTGGCACAATTGGCTAAATAATCTTGTAATTGTAATAATGATTATAATTCTACACTTTCTAGAATAGACTATTAAGTAATAATAACCATGGCACAACCTGATCTACGGCTCCGGGCCACACAATTGTCACATATATGAAAAGGGAACAGATGCCATTTAAAGCAACCTCAGGCGTATGCTGAGGGGCTGTTCCACACTTTAGTGGCAAGGAAGTTATAAGGAACGACGCTAAAAACAGCCAACCGCGCCTAGAGCCGGTTCTACAGGTCACTATAATATCCGTAGCAATCAGAGCTTTATGTAGGCCGACTCTTCAACCAAGCTTTAGTAAAACCATTCTACCGTTTTTGCAGCTGTTCTTATTTCCTTGGGTTTTAGGTACTACTTTCCATCTATCATGCCAAAACCAGTATTTTAGCCACCTCAAAACTAATCAAACACTTGAAGGTCATGGCCAAGTTGTCAAAGATGGTCTAGATAGCGGGTTCAACACCTAGCACTAACCAAGCTTCCCCGCAAACCCCAGGCAGAGGATTACTCTCACGATCCCTTCATGCCGTTTAACCGCAGCTACGCAGAATCAAGTGGTGCCGCTATTACCATTATGGCAGTTTTTAGAGTAAACGGATCAGCAGTACAGCACGAGGTAGTCTATTCTAGGCTGTAAAGTAGAGAGGTTGAGGGGTCCAGCATCGGCTTATTACACACACGAGTCGCCGTGTGCGGCTGCTTTCGCGTCTGGCTTCTCGCTCCTTGCACGTAGCTTATCTGTAACATGGAAGATAGGGACAGGATTCAGATAGCTACCCATTAAATCGATGAAGAGGTGGTGGAGATTTCCGGGCCTCATTGCCTGTAGCGTTCTTCATGTTTACCCACATCTTATCTGTGCCTTCATACACCTTGTTGATAGCGGCCACAGGGATTGTCGGAGATGGCTGTTATCTTTTCTGGAACCCTATCCTACCTGTGGCGTCTGCCAGACAACATGTGCAGGACTCTTTTAATTGTCCGATGAGCTGAGATAACGGCTAATCAAATAACCTTGCCTGTGCCTTGCGTAGTGGCCCCTGGTAAATTATCTCGACACCTTCATTCGCGATGTGCCTGAGACTCACGGGTAGGCTCATGGCCTAGATCCTTTTTGTTCATGCTAGAAGCTTAGCTCAAACCCCCCCACTCTTCACTGTAACCACTCCTTTCCATTCAGTGAGCTCTACTACCTGTATCTTGCAGATATATTGTATGCCCAGTCCTTTTATGTACCACAGTAACAGCTATACTTTGTACATCTCTTACGAACAGCGGGATGGCACGACCGAAACAGCAGCCGGCAGTGTCCGGTACTGCTCGGCAAGCTCCGGCGCTATTGCGGGGAAGAAGAGCTAGGTCTGGAGAAGGCGGGGCATTTGAGATGCTTATCGTTGGGTCGGAATTGGGAGAGGGAAAGCATTAAACATTGCCGCGTGTTACTGTGATGAGACTTGCTTCTTTATACAATTGCTTCAAGTGTTGCACATAGCTTAGAGAATCAAAATGGCGACTGATCTTGCCTCTGATATCGAATATCTGAAAAGCCTCCAGGCAGTCCGAGAGCGCTCGCGAATCGTCCTTGAACGGGCCCGAAATGGGAGCCTCAATAACTTTATCTATGATGAGAGCCGGATGAAGGAGACGGCGGAGTTTGTGGCTGGTGTGATCTCTGTGAGTAATTCTCTGTTTACCTTTTATTCTCCTTGAAGCTTCTTATATCATGATATGGTCCAGAAATGGGTGAACAACAATTAACGCAGTGAATGCAGCGAGACTTTGGCCCCGACCGATATTCAGAGATTCCTCCTCATGGAAGGTGGGAGCATTTCAGCATCGGAGGCGTGCCGCGATTGGAAAATCTTGTAGAAAAATGGCAAGATGGTGGAGTGGAAGACGTAGAAATCACTCGACGCCTCATTGATCTATTCTTTGTGTCTGTCCTGCTCGACGCTGGAGCGGGAGACACTTGGTCGTTCCGCGAGCCTGGAAGCGACAAGTCTTACGGCCGCAGCGAGGGCATTGCTGTAGCCTCACTGTATATGTTCAACGACGGAGCTTTCAACTCAGCTACGGATGGAAATAAGGCTGCTGTAGATGGTAAGGGTTTCTTTCTTCCTCTGAGAGGGTTACAGAGGGATCGATTTCGGGAGTGGACTAACCATGCATAGGACGTGCCCTCAGTCAGCTCACAGAAGACACTTTCATTCACCACTTTCAAGTTGGACCCCAGAACCCAATCGTGGGCTCTGCATCCAGAATTGAATTACTGAATAATTTTGGAAAGTCTCTTCTTGCTCTCCCAGACGTTTTTGGCGAAACTGGTAGACCTGGTCTGCTTGTTGGTAAGTTTTTTTATTTTTTTCACGGCGCGGAGCATTTCTTTTCCTTTCTAAGGACATTGCTTACGTACTATCATAGATTTTCTTCTCAAAGATGGCAAAGACAAAGATCTCAACTACGAAACTCTCTGGGACATTCTTCAGCGTCTTCTACTCCCTGCGTGGCCATCAAACCGCCCGCGGATCAACGGCCAGCCCATTGGAGACGCATGGCCTCTCCGAGTGCTACAAGACGAAGACAGCGATAACGGAAATCCAACGACTGGATTCCACCCGTTCCATAAACTGACTCAGTGGCTGGGATACTCCCTCACCGTGCCTTTCATGAAAGTGCTGAAGCTTAAGTGGATCAACATTGAGAAGGGAACTGGTCTGCCCGAGTACCGCAACGGAGGGCTATTCATCGATATGGGCGTCCTCAAATTGAAGCCTGAAGTTCTCAGCCAAGGAGCCAAGGCTTCAGGACAAGCTTTGCCACTGTTCTCGTCTACTGGCGATGTGATTGTGGAATGGCGGGGCATGACGGTGGCTCTCTTGGATGAGCTGCACAAACTTGTCAACGACACATTGGCGCCGCAAGGAGTCTCTCTCTCGCTCCCGCAGTTGCTGGAGGCTGGGTCTTGGAAGAGCGGCAGAGAGCTGGCGGCGAAGTATCGACCAGAGACTAGATCCAGCCCGATATTGATTGATGGGGATGGAACTCTCTTTTAGAAGGCTATTTTAAGAAAGACGAATATAGAGTATAGTCTTGGTTTAATGTGGTTAATCGGATGATTCTGGCTACCTATTATATTCATACTTTTAACAACCACCTATCTGTACACTGATAGCATGTGCCTGAGCGGTCATTCTTATTCACAGCTTGGCCTGATTAAATAGCAATAACAAATTTCCTTCTACCACTATAAATAAATTGCCTCGAATTCAATCTCTCAGCAAGGGAGCAGATAAGCATATCTCAAGCTGAGCTTCTATAGCTGCTCACATTCAGGACACGGCCGTACAAAAAAAAAATATGCCTCACGCGGAATAGCCCAGAATGGCTCAGAATAGTAAGAAGGACGAATCTGACATGGACAAGCAACGTATGCCACCTTGGCGCGGGGCTCCATCAGAGTGCATTACAAGTGGCCACTTACATCGTCACACTGGGTAGCAGCAGCAACAGTAATCCTTCGCTGGTAAGACGAATCCATCCATAGGTGCATATGACATATAAAGTCGGTGGTGCCTGGCCGACCTCAGGCGAATCCAGCCAGCCAGCCGAGTTCCTTTGCATCACCATCACCAGCAGCGACTGCGAGGATGAGCGGCGAAGACCTCAGCCTCCCGCGCATTCTTTGCCTCCATGGCGCCAGCGTCAATGCCCAAGTCTTCCGCATCCAATGCCGGGCCATCATCGCCAGCCTGAAGGACAAGTTCCGGTTTGTCTTTGCTGATGCCCCTGCCGAAGCCCCGGCCGACGAAACCGTCGTGGCCGTCTTTGGCGAGTTTGCGCCATTTTACCGGTGGCTGCGCTGGAAGCCAGAGCACCAGGAGATGGACGCTGAAACCGCGTCCCGGAACATTGTCAACCAGCTCAAGAAGGCCATGGACGAGGATCGAGGCACAGGCGAGTGGGTGGGTTTGCTGGCCTTCTCACAGGGCGGCGTAGTCGCCGCCAGCCTGCTCTGGTCGCAGGAGCACATCGAGGAAGAGGCCAAGAGGCCGCTGCCCGGCGTCCATTTTCGCTTCGCCGTCGTCATCGCCAGCCCCGGGCCGGTCTTCTTCATCGACGAGAGCGGCACCTTGCCCAAGCCACGCCATCTGCCATCTGCCAATGAGAGGGTGGACCTCTTCCTCGACTGGCCCGAAGAGGGCGCCACAGACGAGAGCCATATCATCAAGACGCCGATGCTGCACGTGCATGGCCTGCAGGACCCGGCTCTGCTCAGCCACAGACGCCTGTATAAGCTGTACAGCAAAAACGGCACTGCAAAGCTGATGGAGTGGGATGGAGGCCACAGGTTGCCGATTAAGACGAACGACGTGGAGCGGCTGGTGAGTGGGATAAGAGCATTGGCCGAGCAAGTCGGCCTGGAGGCTTACGATGATGATGTTTGGTGCTAGAAGTGTTGATGTTTAGATGCTGCATTGTGCGAGTTTGAGGACCTTGGGCTGGCGTATGGAAATAGAATGGCGGAGAAAAGGAATAAGCTCGACTTCACCAAAATAGATCTTCTTTTTTTTTCTTCTTTTTGGTGCTCAAGCCCATGATTGCCTTTTTTGTTTGATGCCCAGATAGGGTGTGTTGCATGTTATCCTAGCACTTACATGGAGCACGCTATAATACAGTATTAAGTGTTTGCCATATCCCGGTGCGAGAAACCACACATTCTACAGAATGTTGCAACGAAAGGCGCAGAACGAGGGCTGATGGAAATACATTGTGCAAATTCATCTACTCTACTCAACCCGGAAACCAGACGGAAGCCCACATGTATATCGCGAATCCATCTTGGCCAATTAGGCAGGCGTCTGTTCTTATCTATCCGCTCGACTTACATGCATCATGCATCATGCGGCCAGCTTGCCGATTGCCACAGTAATCGGCCCCTTGTAGGCCTTAATCGCAAACTTTGGGCTTTACCCAAGCCCGTGCGCGCTCTGTGATTCCATCGATGAGCACAAGATCAGCATCGGACGAGCAGAATTCACCAGCCAAACAGCTTGTTATTGATCCTAGGCCTATTAGCGGGATGGATTCGAGCATTGGGCTTAGTCACCATGGGACGCTCCAGACGCTAAGCTTGATGCTGTCAACAATTCCCCGCTGAAGCTGATCGTGACGCTGGTGGTGGTGAGGCCTCCCCGCAGCAGACTTGATCTACATACAACAGCCTCGTCAATTATAAACCGTTTCATAGAATTGACCGTCTACGACAAGAGAGACTTCACGATAGCTTGTTTCGAGAATTGCATCTACAGACCACGCCGACAGCCTGCTACAACACATAATGTCTAGTTCCGAGAACCAGAGTCAAGCTCTAGGCGGGCAGTATTTCCCGCCTCCTCCTCCTGGTCCTCCTCCTCCCCAGCAGCAACAGTCACAACAGCCATACCCAACGTTTCCTCCTCCTCCTCAGCAACAACAACATCAGCCATACCCAACTTTCCCTCCACCTCCACAGCAGCCCGGATCGCAATCGCCGCAGCCTCCTCACGATCCCCACCAACAGCATCAACAGACTGAGCAGCAGCAGCAGTTTCCACCGCCACCACCTCTGCCTCAACATCCCCCTCACCAAGAGCAGCAGCAGCAGCAGCAACATCCAGACTTCTCACAGCAACATAACCAACAACAGCAAAACCAAACATACAATCCCCAGACCTACCAGCCGCAGCCGCAGCCGCAGCAGCCCTCGGCCTATTCCATCCCCGCCTACAACCCTGCGAATCCCGTCTTTGCGCCACCGCCATCGAACGCCTTCAACGAACCTGCCAGTCCCTCAGCCTATCAGCCCCCAGTAGAAGGACAGCAACAGCAACAGCATCAATATCAACAACAACAGCACAGCCCGTCTCCAGATTCGCATCTCGCATATGGCGATGATCACGGAAATCACAAGAGTGGCTGGAGCGAGCGCCTCTCTGCGCTGGGGATGAAGGCCGCTGCGCCCATCAACAGCATTGCGCACAAGCTTGGCAGCCAGAGCTTCCTCCCCGAGACGTTGGACAAGGAGTGCGAAAAGGCCGCAACGATACTCAGGGCCTTCTGTAGTAAGTCCACACATACACGCCTATGCGTCAAAACAGCGCCTGCTTGTTTCCCAAGGCAGCAAGAGAATCTCATGAGCTCACCATGTCCGCAGAAAAGGGGGTTTATGCCGACCCTGCTGGGTCTTCGCTTCCCACCTCGACCGACCCCAACGCCGCCGAGTCGACAGACAGAGTCATCGATCCTACAAGAGAGAAGCCCAAGAACCGTGTCATTGTCACGATCCCTCCCAAGGTCATCTCCAAGGCGGTTGGCCTGGCCATCTTCACTACGCTTCGCGCCGGCTTCCAAGTATCTGGTGCGACGGGCTCCGGCATCCTCATTGCACGGCTGCCCGATGGATCTTGGAGCCCCCCTTCGGGCATTCAGCTGCACTCTGTCGGCGGTGGCTTTCAGATCGGCCTAGACATATACGACTGCGTGTGTGTAATCAATAATCGGGAGGCCCTTGCCGCCTTTACAAACACTCGCGTTAGTCTCGGCAGCGATCTGGCCGTGGTGGCTGGCCCTTATGGCGCTGGCGCGGCGGTTGAGTTTGGCACATCCCTAGATCCCAGAGGGAGCAGCAGTAGAGGCAACAGCCGTCCTTCATCGCCTCATGGAGGAGACTCACACACACAGCAGCAGCAGTCACAGCAGAACCTGCAACCAAACGACTCGGCAGACAAAAAGAGCCACAGACGTAGTCTCAGCGCCAGCGCAGTCAAGCCCGTCTTCTCGTATGTCAAATCACGAGGCTTTTATGCCGGTATCCGCATCGATGGCACCGTCGTAGCTGAGCGCAAAGACGCAAACGCTGCCTTTTACGGCCACAGCGTCTCAGTAGATCAAATCCTAAAAGGCCAAGTCCCGCCACAAGGCCCTCCAGGAATGTGGCCAGCTGGAGCCCAGACGCTGTTTGGCGTTCTAAAGGGAGCCGAGGCCGGTGCCTTGCAAGCATCATCCCACGAGCACGAGCAGCGTCCCACAAGCCCAGGGCACCACCAGCAGCAGCCGCCGCCAGCTTCACCAAGCCACTTTCAACAGGGACAAGGCCATGGCCAAAGTCAAGGACGGCCGGCACGCGAGCAGTCATACACGGATGCTCCCAATCCTCCTTCGTACGCTGAGAGTGGGCCTCGTCCATACGATGGCGACATCAAATACGCTTGAAGACGATGAGATGATAAAGACCAGAGGGAGAAGGCGCTTTAACGAATGATGGATGAATCAACGACTTGGTCCAGCTTTGAAATGAATACATTAATTATCCCGATACTCGTATTCCTCTATGACGGCTTGATTATTGTGTAGTCCTTCATCTTTGTGTAAAAGTAAGAGGCGTCGCGCCTCGGCGTCCGTGAGACTCCCTTTGCCGTCCGACACAGAGCTGCTATTGGTCCTTGAGAGGCCTCTATTGTTTTCCCAGCCTCTTTTTGGCGTATTGGCCCGAAACACAATAATTGAACGAGGCAAGAAACTTTAATTGTCCCGTCCCCATTTGAAATTTTGCCCTTTTGACATCATTGTGCAGAATATCTGCCATCGACTCCACTTCAACTTTCTTCAAATCCCATTTAGCCATGGCAAAGAGCCTGTCTGGCCGAATCCCACCATAGTCACACCATCCAGGAGGGAGCTGCGTGCAGGGTCCTTGTCAAGTTTGACAGCATGTCTCAGCCGTTTTGAGTTCGCCAAGACCTGCAGCTCAGCTCGTCAGGGAAAACATGCATTGCCTCTCACACCCACACCCGCGCTCCAACCACTCCAACAAGCACTCTGACAACGGTTCTCGCCCGTTGAACCGTTTCCCAACCCGTAGTGATCGTCAGGACAAGCAGCTAATAGCCCGCAGCTCAAAGGATTTCAAGGGAGGGGGATCAACACGACCCGGGACTTTCGGGCTGGCGTGGCTGCGCCAAGGATCCAAACTTAAAGTTCGAATGTGGCATCCTTCAGCTTCAAGCTTGGCGACGCCAAAATTAAGGCCCCCGGAGAACAATCGAGCTGAATTGCCCGCTATTTACGCAATTGATACTCGCTAAGACGCGGGTTGCAGTTTGTTTTGTGGGTAGCTAAAGAGACTAGGATCAAGGTTCGCTCTATATGATATCGCGAAGTCTTCATTGGGGGCGTTTGGTGTAAGCCGCAGTTTGCTGCAACGACGATTTTAAGAGGCCAGCAATGTGAGTGTTACAAGATAAAGCGAACTAGCTGTATATTGGAACATGTAATTTAGCCCATATTATATCGGAGGCTTATCTTGCCTTGTTAATACATGTATCTATGAATTGTGAGATGCGGCAGCTAAAAGGGGCATCACACCCTTTCTTAACGTCCTTACATGACAATTATCCGCCAAGATATCATCCAAGTTATCCAAGTTACTCATAGGCATTTTACAGAGAGAAACCTGTCCAAAAATGCGTCAACCTTCTATTTCCCGCGACTCGATGCGCAACGAGCTCGTCGTTGTCTTTGGCGAGTTCTGTGGCACTTTCATGTTCCTTCTCATGTCTTATATTGGCACCCAAGCCGCCATTGATAATAACTCACCAGGGAATCCTGACGCACCTCTTTTTCCCTTTTCTCTAATGTACATTGCTGCTTCTTTTGGAACTGCTTTGGCTGTTAACGTATGGGTGTTTTATCGAGTTACAGGCGGAATGTTTAATCCGGCTGTAAGTTTTCCCTCCACTGGCTGTCTTGAGATAAAATCAAATGACTGACTCACAGCCTTAGGTTACTCTTGGGCTTGTTCTCGTCGGCGCAGTCAAGCCGCTCCGTGGCCTCTTAATCCTTCCTACACAAATTGTTGCTGGCATTGCCGCCGCTGCAGTTACCGACGCCCTGCTGCCAGGCCCTCTCCTTGTAGCCAACAAGCTTTCTTCCGGCACCAGCATCTCTCGCGGTCTTTTCATCGAGATGTTCCTCACATCACAGCTCGTCATCACGGTATACTTCCTTGCTGTAGAGAAGCACCGAGCTACCTTCTTGGCCCCCCTGGGCATCGGTCTCTCCGTCTTCATCGCGCACCTTTGCGGCACAAACTTCACCGGAACGGGCATCAACCCAGCTCGATCATTTGGTCCTTGTGTTGTCACCAGCTTCACGGGCTACCAGTGGATTTATTGGGCCGGACCGTTCATGGGCGCCTTGCTCGCCTTTGCGGTCTATAGCATTCTCAAGTGGATGGAGTACCACAACGCCAATCCAGGCCAAGACGATGATAGCAACGTGAAGAAGAATCCAGCGGGTATGGCTATCCCCTCAAATGACCGGCAGTATAGCAACACCAGCGACGGATCAAAGCCTCGGACGCCAAGTGGACATAACCCGCGAGACAGCGGGATTGGCGGGACCAATTCAATTCCACAGGGATTCCAAGCTGTGTAATAACTAATAATGCATTGATCTTTTGGGAGGGGGGGTGCACTGGAAAAATTGTCACCTTGAAAGGTAGAGAGAGTGCGCCCAAACTCGCCAGAGGGATGAGTACCGTACCTAAAATGAACAGCATATGGAGGGTATATTCGCCGTGTACAAATTCTGGGAAGAAGCTCATCGTGGTTTGAAATCACAAAAAGCCCGCTTTGTATTCTTATGCCATGTTAAATATGTATACACTTGTAATTTATTAAAAGGAAATGTGTTAGTCACGTTTTGTCTTGTCAGTACAGTCAAGCAAACAGCAGCTTACCAGTCTATAGCCACAACTGTGGTAATGAAGCTCACATTACTCTTCTTCCTCCAGTTCCTCAGGAAACCATCCGTATACTTCCAAATCAATAGTAAACTCCCCCATGGCGGTCCGCGTCACTTCAACTCCCTCTTTCCGTAGCGCGGCGGCCTGGTTTGTGGCGCCTGAAGGTTGTGATCTAAAGATTCACGGTTATTAGAAACTGTGTCTTTGGCACTTCACAGACGACTTAATATTGCGTTTCATATGCACAAGCAATCATACCCATGCATACAAAATGAGAAAAAACTTGCTCACCTCGGAGATACTGCGCCCTTGGAATTAATCACCCTCTGCCACGGCACATTCGTGCTATTAAACACGGCGTCTTCATCATGAGGCAAATGCTTCATGCATACGCCCACCTGTCTTGGTCTCTGTGCTGTTTCACACCTCGCATCGACATTAGCATCTCGCTTATTCAATTCGTCAAGTTAATCGTCTCAGAAATCGAAACTGAAATACAATAAACCACCGCCAAGTAGAAACGTACGCGTGCCGACCAAGTAAGCAAGGTGTGCATAAGTAGTCACTTTTCCATACGGAATCTGCTGCGCAGCCGAGTAAACAGCGTGAAAGAAGGCCTGTGCTTCGTCTGATCGCGCCATTGTTTACAGTTCAAAAACAGTGAACGGGGAGAAATCGCGGTTAGAACATAGATAAATAGTCGTATAGATAGAAAGGTTTACGAAGAGAGAAAAAGAGAAATGGCTACATGCAGAGGAATGTCAATCAAGTAAACGGAAGGGGGTTTGGAGAAGGGAAGACGAAGCATTTTTTTGGTGGGCCCTTGGAGCTTTTAGAGCTTTTTGACAGGTACTGGTTGCATGACAGCTACTGAATCGCACTGTAAGTCTACCGTAAACATGAAACAGACAGCCGAAGGTATCTTTGCCACCAGTGTTACGCAACGCTCTCTATTGTTTGGCGTCTAAATAGCTTCACAGGAAATGAACAATCTATGTAAAAGTTCAACCGGCGAGTTATAATCAACTACTAATCTTTGGATCTCTGGTCATTCTAATACTTAGATCCTCTATCCAGCTCCTATGATCTTATACAACCACACGTGCTATTATTATTATTACATGTACAATGTCTCAGCTCCATACTCCAAACGGATATTTGATTAGGAATCTTAACCGTCTTTTCCTCTTTATCCCACACTGCATTATAAATCCACTCGATGAAATGCCATCAATCAGCGCAACAGAATCCAGACAGGTCTAATGCCAATGGAGAATAAACAATTGACAATAAACATTTGCAATAATAGGTAATATGGTAAACCAAAAAAAAAAGGGCCGCGCCGCAATGCGTATTCACATTCAGCACTCCAAACAAAAAGAAAAAGCCATTTACAAAAGTACAAATAATCTACAGGTTCCATGTCCATCACATCAACTCCAAGCCTTTCATAACATGGCCGTCTGGTCCACGTAGTCTCCTCGTTTGTTTTTTTTAACAGTTCCTCCAACGTCAAGCTCCACCTCACGCCCCTTCTGCATCATCAGAGTAAAATAATAATAACCACCTCCCACTGCAATATACAGTAGAACGGCCCAAAGGGAGAAAATAAAAAAGTGAACTAAACATAAATATATGGGTAAAATAAAAGCAACGCGCATCATGACATACAACAGTCATCTAGCATTGAGCAGATAATGTAGTATATTTTTGCTCGCCTCTAGGGGAAAAATACGGGGATCATTTCGAGTAAGAAAAAAAATAGGTGTGAATGAGGATCGAAAACTCCCGGCAGTGCTGAACGAACCCAAAGAAACAAGGGAAGAAGAAGAAGAATGAGCAGGAAACCAACACCAAGGCGGAAGATATCAATAATCTGTTTCCTCTCCAAACCAGAAACACCGACAAAACAATCATCAAGAGCTCATAGAAGGGGAATAAAAAAGAGTTCAGAAGAGCGGGCTTTCATCGTAACCAAAGAGTATTAGAAGAGATTCGATGCGAATTGCCACAGCAGGCAGTGAGTTCCTGCGAGGCGCAGATAAATTGGGGGGTATAGTCCTGCAGTTCCCACGCCCATGGCTGCGTCTCTTCACGGACGTCGCTTAGAAGCAATTCAGGCTGCCCTTCTTCTTCTTGCCCTTGTTGATAGCCTGCATCCTCTCTTCCAGCTGCCTTCGAGCAGCCTCTGCCGCCTGTCTCTTCTTGCGCTCCTCTTCGATTGCTTGCATACTCCAACGGTTGTCCTGTGATTGGTCGACTGGTCGCTCCTTGAGCTCCTTTACCTCAGCTTCAAGCTCTTGAGCGCGCTTCTTCCAGGCGTCACAGTCTGCCTTGACCTTCTTGGACTGTTTTTCCAAATCACCTAGAGCCTCTTCCAACGTCTGTGTGAGTTTACGCTCAGCAGAAAGATGCTTCTCGATGGCTCTAATACGAGCCTCTTGATCCTCCGTAACCTGAGAAATATTGAAGTTGTTGCTTGGTGGGCGTGTAGATGTGGGGGAGCTAGGCACTCCGTTTGCGGGGGCACCATTGGGCAGAGGCGGCAGAGGAACGGAGGGAGGAGGCGATGGCAGAGAGTTGTGTGAAGAACTTTTGCGGATTGTAGAATTGGAGTTGGATCGCTTGACATCTCCGTTGACGATTTCGTTGTATTTCATCTGTTCATTAACAGTTAGTCAGATTCGTCCAAATATATGTATATATGTACTAGAGCAGAGAGAGATGGAGAAAGGGGAGCGGAAATTTACCTGGAGAGCAGCATATTCCTCGCGAACTGCTTCTAGTTCGGACTGGAGCTTCAGTCTTGAATTCAGCGCTTCGTCAAGCTGAGCATTACGCTCAGACTGTAACGAGCTCAAGCGGTTGTTGGTTACCTGTACCTCGTCAAAGTTGTGCTGCAGCTGTTCCTCAAGCTCCTCAATGAGACGAGAATTCTTCTTGTTGCGGCCATCAAGGTCATCCACCTTGGCCTTGACCGCGGCGAGCTGATCCGTTAGGGGACCAGATGTGGCCTCTGCGTTACCAGGTAACATGCCCGCAATAATAGTCTTCACGCCCTCTAGATCCCGAACAAGGGAATCGTTAATGGTAGAAAGCTCCGTCACATGGGACGTGAGCTCTCCCATCTTCTTTCGCTCCGCTTCGAGAGACTTTTGGTCAGCGACAAGAGCCCTAATCCGCTCGCCTAACTTCTCCAAGGGCAACTCTGCACCAAAGACAGCAGCGATCTGGGTGGCAACGTTTGTCAGTTGATCTCTCGACTGAGCAAGATCTGCCTCTAGTTTGAGCACAGCTTCGGAATGCTCAGTCAAAAGGACCTCCACTTGCTTCTCGTAGCCGGTCTGCTCGTTGTGCTTCAGCTCGGCCAGCTCTTGAGCGTGATTTTCCTTCAGAGCCTCCATTTCTTCTTGGTGTGCCTTTGTGGCATCCTCGTGGCTAGCAATCAACTGTTCTAGCTTAGTAGACAGTTCTTGGTGCCGAGCGGTCGTCTCCGCAGTGACCTCACTGTGCATCTTGGACATATCATCCATTGCTGCCCGGGCAGAGCGATGGAGAGCCTCGAGCTCAGTTACCTTGGTAGCGTTACTGCTGATGACGGCCTTGTACTCGTCAATCTCTCCGCGTAGGAACTCGATGAGGTCTTGCTGCTTGCGAACCTCCTTCTTGGCTTCCTCGGCATCTCTTCCAGCTGCAACAAGAGATTGTGATTCGGCTAGCTGGGCGTTGGCAGCCTCAACCTGAGCCTCCAACTGCTGAATTGTCTCTTGCATCTCCCTCTCTGTGCTTCGCATAGATACCAAAGCATTGTGGTGCTTGTTTTCCCAGCCAGCCAGCTCCGCCTGCAGCGTAGAGACTCTTTCGTTGTAAGGAATATCAGTCTCTTCTTCGTCACTTGGCGTGAACTCTCTGGTAGGTGTGGATGCTACTGATTTGCGGAGGATCTCGACTTCGCTTGTGAGGTCACGTTCGCGGGCAGCGTGCGCCGAACGCAGATCAGACAGCTGCCTCTCACTCTGCTCAAGTTGGCCACGTAGAGTAGCAACCATTGACATATCTACGGGGGAAGCCTTCAAGCTGGAGCGTTCACGCGCTAAGCCTGAGATGATGGCCATTTTGCTCTCCATTTCTTTCTTAGCTGCTGCAACGTCTGATTCGAGCTCTTGGATTCGCTCGCTTCGAGACTGAAGTTCATGGATAGCTGAGTTGAGACTCAATTCGAATGACTGCATGGTTTCGGGCTTTCCTTCGAAGTTTTCGGCAGCAAGATTCCTCAGGGAGGCGAAAGATCGCTGTGCGCGATCCACGCCTAGAAGATTTTGGCTCGACTTGCGGCGAATAACGCGAGGACCAGCTTCGACAGTTCTAGCTTTGGAGACTTCCGTCTTGAGCTCTTCAACCATGTCAAGCGTTTCATGGTGCTTCAGCTCAAGTTGGGCGTATTTCAGAGCGAGTTCCTGTTCGGCAGTTTCTTTTTCTTCCGCCAAGACCCTGAGTCTCTCAAGCTCCGCAATAAGACGCTCATTCTGTTCACTGTGCTCGTTCTGCTCAGACTTGGCATTTTGCTCAACCGCCTTAACCGGCTCGACTTCCACTTGTTCAGCGTGCTGCTCGACCTCTTGCTGCTCAACCTCTTGTTGCTCAACCTCTTGCTGCTCAACCTCTTGCTGCTCAAATTCTCGTGGCTCAACATCGTAGTGCTCAACTTCTTGCTGCTCAATGGGTTCAGCTAGCTCAACATGCTCCACGTGCTCATGCTTCTCCTTCAATTCGTCCTGCTCATGCAGCTCAACATGCTCGACCAATTCCCGTGTAAGATCCTCAACAGATGTCGCGGGTTTGGCAGTAGCAGTGTCGTCTTCGGATTCAAGATCCATATGGGTGGTATCTGCAGTGATAGGCGAGTCAATAACAGAAGAGAGCTCGGACGACAGGGACCGAGGGACCGAAGAGCGAACGTCATCTTTGACGTCGCTTGTCGCTGCAGACTGGAATGATTCGGGGCGGGTTTCAGTGGCGGCATCTACGGAAATGATGGAATGACGTGCACGGCTAGGGTAGCGAGCCTCGTCAATGGTATCCTGAAGCTCTGAGAGCTTCTTCATGGCTTCTTCGTACTTGGCATGCAGCCTACCGTAGTCATGGACGGTGCTCTCGTGCTCAGTTCGGAGGTCAAAAAGCTCACGAGTCACCAATTCCAGCTTATCAGAGACGAACTTGGTCTGGGCGGTAGCCTGATTTTGGGCAACATCACCATTAGACTGCTCTTCGGCCGCCTTGGATACCGGTTTCGCAGCATTGGCGGCATCTTCATCGTTTTCCACAACAGGCGCGAGTGTTGGTGTCGCATTTTCGTCGTCATCGTATCCCTGAGCCTTGGAATCCACAGATTGATTGCTTTGGCGCTCTGCCGTCTCATCGTTTGTTCCACCTTCAAAGTCGCTTGTTTTAGACTCATCGACATGGTCAAGTTCGTGAAGAAGAGCATCCAATTTTCCCAAGCTCCTCTGCCTCTCGATGACCTGCTCAAGACGCTCAATCTCTCGCTGCATGAGCTCAGCATCCTGATCCGCTTCAGCAAGTCGTTCTTCCAGTGTGGAAATGTAGTCCTCGGACGCAGATTCATTCTCGCGAATACGGGAAATTTCTTTGCGCAGTTCAACGATAATGGTTGCATTCTTTTCCTCGCCGTTGGTGTGCCCATCCAGCTTAGTCTCCAAGTCGTGGAGGTAGTTTGCGGTGTGGGCTTCGCGATCCGTGAGCTTTTGAAGGCGTGACTGCAGCTGGGAATTGATGGTCTCGACGTAGGCACACTTAGTCTCCTTTTCAAGCAGATTTGTCTCCGTGTTCGACAGGGTAGTTCGGGTACTTGACAGGGATTGTTCGAGCGTCTGGATAGTTTTTTCATATTCAAGAACGACTTGCTCAACTGCCTTGGCAAATGAATTGGACCGATTCAGCCGATCTGTTGCATTCTCGCCCTGGAGTTCATCAAGCTGGCGATGGTGCTCAGACTCGCTCTCCTGGGCTTTGGCCATTTCGGAAATCAGGTGAGCATGGCGTTGGCTCAAGGTGTTGTAGTTCTCTTGCGAATCCAGAAGCTGATTCTGAAGCTCCAATTCCCGTTCATTCTGTCTCTCCGATCTCTCGCTGGACCTATTAGCACTGCGCGGCTGTTCGGTAAGCCCAGTGTTGGCGCTACGTATTTGTTCGCGCAAAAACGCTACTTCGGCCTTTAGTCGCTCAATAATGGCATTCTTATCTCCCTCCTCGATCTGCTGAATTCGAGGCTTTGACTGGATGGCGCGAGCTCGCTGGGCATACTGAACAGTGTTTAATGTCTCGCTGAGATGGAATTCCGGCGGAGTGACGCAAGCAATCATGTAGGTGATGGCGTTGCCACCGAGTGAGTCTTGTAGGAGTCGAGTCAGCTTGGAATCGCGATATGAGACGTGGGCGCCCGAGTTTCGCGATGAAAGTTGACTGATGACTTTCCCTAGCGCAGCCAATCCGGCATTGATAGATATTCCTTCCTTGGCACGCTCTCCCTGAGCACCCGTGTTCTTCAGTCTCTCACTACCGGCCAAATCAACAAAGTGCAGCTTGCTATCGGTTGTCACGGAGACATCTTGGCCACTCATGGCCTCCAGAGGCATCGAGTGGCGCTTATCGGAATTCGAGTACTTGCTCTTCCGCTGAACCAAATTAAGCGAAAAGACGGCGTGGGAGCGGGATGATTTGGCGTTGATGGCAGTAGCATCGGTCTGACGAATGGAGGAACCAAAGTCGAGGGCGTTGAGAATGTCGTCCACGCAGGTGATGTCGACTTGATGCAGGCCGGTGAGGATGATGTTGCCTTTTACGTCCTCGCGGATTGCGACTGATGTTCGGTCATTGAACCCTGTAGAGTCTGCAACCAAAAGATCTCGGAGCGTTTCGTTATAGATTTCGACGTACGTGGCCGTCATCGCCCAATTCCGATCACCCAGGTTATTCTGCTGTCCATATCCACGAGGTGACCTGAAGCTACTCGCGCTCTTCATCGTGCTGCCATTATTATTTGCTCCTCCTCTCTGAACGTCTAGATGCTCGAAAAGGGCGGCTGCCGCTCGAGGAATGACACCTAAAAACAAGGCGTGGTTAGCGAGGCGAAATTGTACGGACTGCGCAGAAATACGGTTGCGCAGCCACGGAAAGTAGGCAATCAGAATTTGAAATGGCAGATGAAAGTGAAAAGCTCATACCCATGTCTTCAGGATTTGACTGCGCGTCGGGGCTCGACGTGCCCATGGTATGTGATTTACCAGCACCAGACTGGCCATAGGCAAGAAGGGAAACATTGTATCCTTGAGTAAAGGCGTTGATGCTGTCGGACAGATAGTCCCAGATGCCACTCTGCGTGACCTCTGGGCCAAAGACACGGTCGAAAACGAAAAGCTTGCGGCCCTGGGGGGAATCGATGGACAGGCTCGTGTTGGATGTGACGTGCACCATAGGGCGCTGGAAGCGCTGCGGGATCAAGTCATATCCAGGATCCTCCGGTCTCAATTGCGGTCGTACTCGGACAGCTGCGAAGAGAGGCGGTCATTGTCAGCTCACTCTTGATCAGGCACCAAATGCGCATTTATGAGCCCCAGGCAGAAGGGAGAGGGAATGCTTACCGACGCGGACAGCTGTCCGGTTGTCCTCGTCAGAGGCTCTGCTCTCGCCGCCTTGCTTGCTGTTCATACTCAACCGACTGGTGCTCCGTGGTTGAGGACGAGTAGCAATCGCGCTCAGGGGACGCTGAAGCTTATGCGCTGGCGATGGTGAGCCCGGCGGAGAAGAAGCCATGGCGGAAGATGCGAAGCGAAGCGGACCCAGCAGATGTCACCCAGGGAGCGAAGCTCCGTAATAGCTCGAGAGCTGGTCCAAGGCCTTGGGGACCCGTTATCGACGGCGCGCACAAGCCAGCGGGACTGCACGGCGCAGACGCGCACAAGCGACTGAGTAGCAGAGAATTGTGGCCAGCAAAGGCGCAAACACTAGCGACAATAGTCAGGGACTGCGGCAGTGCTTTAGCGGCAAAGCGGAAAAGAGGAAAAAATAAAAATAAAAATAAAAACGAGCGAATACAGGAACGAGGGAAGGGGGGGGAGAAGAGAGCGCGACGGTGTTGCCCCCAGAAGAAAAAGAGCGACGATGGTGAGAGAGAGAAAGAGTTGAAGAGAGAAGATCGTCAACTAACGGCTGGCGTGTGTATCGCGCCGATCGTTTGTTGCTGCTAGCAGTAGTACAGTAGCAGGATTTTTGAAATTTTTCTAATAATATTTCTTGACTCTTCCTCTTCGTCTCTTCGATTCTCGTCCGCAGCGCCCCCCTTGTCGTCTTCCTATGATCCAATCTGCGCACCCGTTGGCTGGTGGGGACAAGATGCTGGTGCATGAACTCGTACCGGTAGACGATGCGTGGCGTCTGCGATGCGTCTGTATGGAGCAGCACTGTATGTACCTGTATATACTGTATGTCTGTATGTGTGTAGCACACGTGTATGTATGTATGTCTGCATATGTCGGGCAGAGCTACGGCGAATAGCGTCTGGGCAGGCTCTGGATTCGACGGTTTCTTCGGTCGGACGGTCGCGTGTGGATATGGCGACTGCTCGTTCCTGGTGATGATTGCAGTTCCAGGTCGCTGGTCGGGGTCTGGCGGTCCTCGTTCGCCTATCAAAATGGACAGGTCTAGGTAAGCCGGCAGCTCGATGGAGACGGCGTCCAGGGCCCTTGGACGGGTGGATTTGCTATCCGTACCTAATTAAACAAGCGCCAGGCCTGGCCAGCCCACCACGGGGTGGAAGTGGAAGTGGAAGAGAAGGTCGTGCTTGAGGCCTGCCGGCTCGTACGAGCAGAGACGCAGCAATGGGCTCTGCAGGCCTGTTTTGGCCAGTCGATCTGGCCAGAGACAGCGAGGAGAGTCCGCGCTCGCACGAGGTGGAGAGAAGCAGGACTGGCCGTACGGCGGTGGTGTTTTGGACCCGAGAGGAAAAGGGGGAGAGGCTTCAGTGCCACCACCAGCAGCTGTTAGTAGGCAGTAGTGGTGCTGCCGGTTAATCTTGGCTATTACCTGGCAGGCCTAGGTCGGCATCAGACGAAGAAGAAAATCGATAGACCCGGAGAGGGAAAACAAATCACGGGCATTGATAGCCAGCCGTTACAGAGAATTACAGAGCACAGAGCACTACCCTCTGCCCGTAAAGGGGCCCCGTATAACAGGACAGCCAATTTTAGCACCACGGGCGTGTACCTGGCTTCTGTCACCGAGGCGTCTACTAAAGAACTTGTTCAATAAAGACAAGACACCGCTTAGCTTCAAAATCAAGAGTGCATATGTTATTGATCCTCTGAGCAGTCAGTGGCAGCACGCATATTTCACGCAAATTCCCCCCCAAAGACCAAAGCCCAGCAGAGCAATTGATGCTCTCATCAGGCTGCACTGCATGCTCTCCCAATCCATTAGCATCATCCATGCTCCCTCCAATCCGGTGCCCCAAAAACCCCTGAAACTCCCAGCGCTTGCCAGTGCCTAAACGGGTCAAGACCCAGGGGATGCCAGCGCCAAAATGGTCGCCCAGCATGCGCGCGCTAGGCTGCTTGGGGATCCTGGCCCGCACTAGCCACAGCAAGTCCCCTGTCCAGCCACCGCGAGGCCCTGGCTGAGGCTTGAGAAAAAGAGGCTGGCCTCGACGTTTTTGTGGCTTTTTGGCCTGACGCACCATCGATCCGTTTTGCACGACACGAAGCATCTTTTCCTCTCGCTTGTTCCTGGATTTCCCTCTCTCCGGCTAGTCCGCAGACGCAGGACCCTCCCCTGCCAGTTACTGGCTCCATGCTCCATGCTCCGCCAAAATTTGAAACCGCAGTGTCTGCAGCATCTGTCGTTGTTCTCCTCCACCCCTGTCAGGCTGCTGTGGTGCCAAAACTGACCCTTGGATGTCTGGAAATTAGCAGCAAGACGATAGCCGAAGAGAATGCACAAAACAAAGTGCCCGTCCTCTATTCTCCACGATATTGCCACATGCGTGCCGCGATTTGCAAAAAGTGTCGAACGAGGCTGATTTGCTGAAAGCTGAGCCCACTGTGGGACACGGTGGCACGTCCTAGCGTGTGTGACAAAATCGGTGGTGGGAACGCGAGAGGAGAGCATCCTTTTTTTTTTTTTTCTTTTTTTTTCTCTCATTGTTTGAAAGCCTCGATCGTTGGCAGAGGCACTCATGCTTGGTCCCCACGCCCCATACTTGTACATACATACAAGTACCTAACTAGGTATCCGGCCGAGACTCACGGACTGGACAAGGTCCACCAGTCCAGTCTATCGCGGGTGGCTTTCACGGTCTCCGGGCCAGTTGCATGCACCAGCAAATCGGATTCACTATCTACAGCAGACATGTGAAATGCTGTCTTGCCAAAGGCTGCGGGCTACGGCAAAAGTCTCCCATCGCTACGAGCATCGTATCGTAGTACGAGACTCCAGACATGGTGTTGAATTAAGATGAAGACAGCGCCCAAAGACCAGGGTTGGCAGCCAGTCCAATCTGCCGTCTTAATTTGCTGCAGCTCCGCCCCCAGCCGTCGTCGCCGTTGCCGTCATTTTCACGCTGGTCCGCTCACATCGAACACTTTGTTGGCGTTTTGCCGGTTTCACCTATCGCCCTTCATTATGCAAGTCGCGCCTCGTGCCGTCATATAAAGAGGCAAACATTGGACAATGGTAGGTTCATACACAATGGCACGCAACTACGAGTATCAGCCACATCATGCAGATCAATCAATGCATGAAGCCAATTCATAGACTGCCTGCACGACGCTCATTAGCACGACGGAGTACCTATTTGTTGCAGTACTGGTTCTGCGCGTACATGTACCCTTGATGGCCTTGCGCTCGGATCCGTCACATCGTCAACGGCAGACGGTCAGTGTTTGCGAGCAATTAAACGCACATGCCTGTGCGGCCGACAACCTGTCGATCTTCTTCCACTAATAGCGCTATCGCCTAAGCTGGGCCGACATGTGGTGGACAAGCATGCCAGGGCCAGGGATGGGCATCGCGATGCCTGCTCGCCCATTATATTCTACGAGTACCGTATATTGTATAACATATGTACATGGCCCTGTTGCTTGGTAACAACGAGTGCCTCGCGGCCTACCCGCTGCAATCCCAGCTCTCAGCTCCAGCTTTAAATTTAGTTTTTTCCCCCAACTAGGACCAATCCACCTGACAAATCATTACCAGTCAAGAGCCACAAGACGTAGATTCACAATCATCGTACATGCGAGACGTACATGTAGTAATCAGTGCTACAGTGTCGATTGGACGGCTCTATTGGTAAATTGCACATACCTAATACAGCCGCTTGTCTCTGTGCTATGTCAACCCAACGATTTGTAATTTTTTGCTTGATAATAACACTACTAGATACTTCGTACAACCCCCCTAAAAATGGTAGGCCATATCATTTTGTGTCCCAGCTGCATCGTACTAGCAATACTAGCACATTTCGACGGCAAATGTAATTTTCCTTGTCAAGAGATCAATCTTAGAACGAGGCTCTGGGCAAATGAAGATCGGTGCATCAGACACCAAAAACGGATTTCACCAGAAACTAGGACAGGTCCAGCACATAACTCTTCAGGCAGAGCTGATCCCAGTACCCAACCGCGAGCAGGTTTCGATATGGTCTAGTTGCGGAGAAGCTGGCTATTTTTGGCGTTGCTATGCGAATAAACACTGCAGACTACCAAGTATGAACTAACGTAAGCAGCGCCAGGCGATATTGCGATGGGGAGTAGCTCGAGAGGTGGGCCAATAACACAACAATATATCGTGCAATGTCAGCCTGTGCAGCAATATGAGGATGGTCGAGCTTGAACAATACGGGGCCATCCGATCCGTATCTCTTGGTAATGTCGATGTGTAATTTATAAAAAAATAAATCATTCATACTTCCATCAGTAGTCACCCTTACATCATCGAGATACCCCTACATCATCGAGATAAGAACACCGTTTTCCATCTATGGCCGCAGATTTGATCAAGCTGTTGATATATTCATGCATTATTATTCTCAGATGAGGTAATATATTCTTCAATATTGTGATATCAAGTTACCAGCACCGCCCGTGAGTAAGCAAAGCATAAATGTTGTAATCACACTACAACATTTCTCCTGTACAATGAGTGACGCCATTCTTCTGCCGTATCGTCGGAAATGGGTGTTTTTGCCTATAAAGAGAACTTATTCCACAGGAGATAAGCAGTAGACATAAGAACAGAATATTGTAAATTTAAAAAAAAAAAAAAAAAAAAAAAAAAATTAGCTATTTGCTCCTCTTCGTTTCTGCTTCTTTTATATTCTCTTCTTCACTACCACTCTCACCCCCACATTCTTTGACAACCTCACCGAGCAGAGCTACTCGCACCACCCTTTCCAACATCTCATTCAACCATTTACACGCAAGCTTATTCGAATAAAGGCAACGTCCGATTACCACATCATTGTCCGCAAAATACGCGGTAGCCTCGGACTCGGCCGCCCGGCGCGGACGGACGTCATCACTTACCCTCATCGGGAGCGCGAAAGCCGCCGATCTCGAATCCAACGGCAGATCCAATCATCAGTGGTGTCATCTGCCGCGCAGCTTAAATTCCACCTTTGGCTATTCACGCAATTGTCTTGCTCGCCATTCAAACTGCCAACAATTCACTGTGGCGCTCCGCTAGCACCCAATTCCGGAAGTATGCACACAGTGTCTCCGTCAATAGGACGCCCAAGCGGAAACTCTATCGTCATACTCTCGCCATTACTCGGTGGAATCGGACTCTTAAAGCCCATTGTCGGACTTCTGAAGTGTCCGACAGCGCTGGAAATAAAGTCAAGGCGAATTCCAAGTTGGTCAAGTGATTTGCTGGTGGACAAGCTGATGAAGTTGATGCGATATCTCGAGAAGCTCTCTCTGTTGAATATTGGAACATGTTGCATCCAAGCCTGTCCTCTTATAACGGCCTTTCTTTTATTCCTAGCACATAATGAGTGAAAGTCCTAGTCCATCCGATCTCAAGGAGCTTCACGCCTCCTCGGACGACACAAGCACCACGCTCCACAATGAGAATCGCCAAGGAGCAGATCACATAGATCAAGATGCCTCATCTCTGACCGGCGGTGATATTTTATCAAGTACAAATAGCTCATCAACAACGAGTCTTCATGCGCCACCTACACCAAGCCGTCCTGTAAATAGCCAGACACAGGGCACAGCCCAAGGTGAGGATGATATCTTTCGAGCCCTGTCTCGACGCCGAACAACCGGCACTACTGGTTCTGGCGCAGGTCAAGATGAGGAACCAGCAGAGATAGAACGGCTCATGTCGCGCATGTTTGGCCATGCTAGGCAAGAACATGGCCAAGAGGAGCGTATGCGGCACAGCGGCGTAATCTTCCGCGATCTAACCGTCAAAGGCGTTGGACTCGGTGCAAGTCTTCAACCCACGGTGGGAGACATATTCTTAGGTCTCCCTAGGACCATCAGGAATTTCATCAAGGGAGGTCGCAAGGCCGCCCAAGCTAAGCCACCGGTGAGAGAGCTGATTAGCCATTTCAATGGCTGTGTCCGGCCCGGTGAGCTTCTGCTCGTTCTGGGGCGACCTGGCGCGGGATGCTCGACGTTTCTCAAGGCGTTTTGTAACCAGCGATACGGCTTCAAAGCTGTAGAAGGAAACGTCACATATGGCGGGACGCCTGCTAAGGATATTGCCAAGCACTTTCGCGGCGAAGTCATTTATAACCCTGAAGATGATCTGCATTACCCGACTCTAACGGTGAAGCGAACTCTATCATTTGCCCTTCAGACGCGCACTCCTGGAAAGGAGGATCGCCTTGAAGGTGAAAGTCGTCAGTCCTATGTCAAGGAATTCCTTCGTGTTGTAACGAAGCTCTTCTGGATAGAACATACCTTGGGGACCAAAGTCGGCAACGAATTCATTCGCGGCGTTTCAGGCGGCGAGAGAAAGCGTGTCAGCATCGCAGAGGCCATGATCACTCGAGCCTCCGTACAAGGGTGGGACAACTCGAGCAAAGGCCTTGACGCAAGTACAGCACTGGAATATGTCAAGGCCATACGAGCCATGACAAACATGGGCAAGATTTCGACTTCAGTTTCGCTATACCAAGCGGGAGAGTCCCTGTACGAGCTGGTGGACAAGGTTCTCCTCATCGATGGCGGCAAGTGTCTCTACTTTGGCCCGGCAGAAAGGGCAAAACAATACTTTCTGGATTTGGGATTTGACTGCCCCGATCGATGGACCACGGCCGATTTCTTGACATCCGTCAGTGACCAGCACGAACGAAGCATTCGCCCTGGATGGGAGCATCGCATCCCACGATCCGCAGACGAATTCTTTGATTCCTACCGCCAAAGTGATGTATATAGAGAGAACCTTGCAGACATGGACAGCTTTGAGGAAGAGGTGCGCCGCAAGGCTGAAGAGCGAGAGGCTGCTACTGCACAATCCAAGAAGCCAGTGGAAAACAACTACACCTTGGCCTTCCACCAGCAAGTCATTGCTCTCACAAAGCGCCAATTCCACATCATGATAGGCGACAAAACATCGATAGTGGGTAAATGGGGTGGCCTCATCTTTCAAGGGTTAATTGTGGGAAGTCTTTTCTTCTCCCTCCCATCAACAACACTGGGGGCATTTCCTCGTGGAGGTGCCATCTTCTTCCTTCTCTTGTTTAATGCTCTCCTTGCGTTGAGCGAAATGACTGCGGCATTCTCCTCAAAGCCCATCATGCTCAAGCAAAAGTCGTTTTCGTTCTATCGACCTGCTGCTTATGCCATTGCCCAGACTGTCATGGATGTGCCTCTTGTTCTCATCCAGATTGTTTTGTTCAACACCATTATATATTTCATGGCAGATCTGGCCCGTACAGCGTCGCAGTACTTCATCGCCACCCTCATCTTGTGGCAGGTCACCATGGCCACATATGCCTTTTTTCGATGCCTGGCAGCCTGGTGCCCTACTCTCGACGAAGCAACACGGTTTACGGGCGTATCTCTACAGATTCTGATCGTGTACACCGGGTACTTGATTCCTCCCTCGTCCATGAGAGTATGGTTCTCCTGGCTTCGCCGCATCAACTGGATACAATACGGCTTCGAGAGCTTAATGGCAAATGAGTTTACAGGCCTACGACTCGTTTGCGTCAGCCCAAACCTCGTACCCGAGGGTCCTGGCACGTCGCCTCAATTCCAGTCCTGCACTCTGGCGGGCAGCCAACCGGGGCAGACAGTTGTTGAGGGCGCAGCTTACATACAAACCGCCTTTCAGTACTCTAGATCGCATCTTTGGCGCAACTTTGGCATTCTCTGGGTCTTCTTCGCCTTCTTTGTTGCTTTGGCGGCGCTTGGAATGGAGCTCATGAAGCCAAACGCTGGCGGAGGAGCAATCACCATGTTCAAAAGAGGCCAAGTGCCCAAGGCTGTGGAAGCGTCTATAGAGACTGGCGGCAGGGGCCTGGACAAGAAGTTGGACGAAGAGTCTGGTGGAGTGACCCCCCATATAACGCCAGCCATGATTGAAGAGAAGGACCCGGAGAAGAGCGATCCAAACGGCGACGGCCCGAAAATTGCCAAGAACGAGACTGTTTTTACGTTTCGAAACATCAATTACACCATTCCGTATGAGAAGGGACATAGGGAACTGCTTCAAGATGTCCAAGGATATGTTCGGCCAGGAAGGCTTACAGCGCTCATGGGGGCCTCAGGGGCGGGAAAGACGACGTTGCTCAATGCCCTGGCACAGCGCATACGTTTCGGGACGCTGAGTGGCGAGTTTCTCGTCGACGGCCGGCCCCTGCCCAAATCTTTCCAAAGGGCCACGGGCTTCGCCGAGCAGATGGACATCCATGAGCGCACTGCAACTGTGCGCGAGGCTCTGCAGTTTTCTGCTCTCCTGAGACAGCCAAAGGAAGTCCCCAAAGAGGAGAAGCTCGCGTACTGCGAGACAATCATTGATCTTCTCGAGATGAGAGACATTGCTGGCGCAACTATCGGAAGGGTTGGCCAGGGCCTCAACCAGGAACAGCGCAAAAGGCTAACTATTGGCGTTGAGCTGGCGTCCAAGCCAGAGCTGCTCATGTTCCTCGACGAGCCAACGTCTGGTCTCGATTCGGGAGCCGCATTCAACATCGTCCGCTTCTTACGAAAACTGGCCGATGCTGGCCAGGCAGTCTTGTGCACCATCCACCAGCCATCAGCCGTGCTCTTTGAACACTTTGACGAGCTGCTGCTGCTGAAATCCGGCGGAAGAGTCGTCTATCACGGACCTCTGGGTCAGGACAGCCAAACGCTCATCAGGTACTTTGAATCAAACGGCGCCGCCAAGTGCCCGCCCAATGCCAATCCGGCAGAGTACATGCTGGAGGCCATTGGCGCGGGAGACCCCAGCTATCACGGCCAGGACTGGGCCGACGTATGGGCGTCATCCTCGAATCACGAGGAGCGCTCCAAGGAAATCCAGAGCATGATCGACACGCGGCAGGGGGTCGAGCCGTCAAAGAGCCTCAAGGACGACCGCGAATACGCCGCGCCGCTGTCGCTGCAGACGGCGCTGGTGGTCAGGCGCGCATTCGTCTCGTACTGGCGATCGCCCAACTACATCGTGGGCAAGTTCATGCTGCACATCCTGACGGGCCTCTTCAACTGCTTCACGTTCTGGCGCCTCGGCTACTCGACCATTGCCTACCAGAGCCGGCTCTTCTCCATCTTCATGACGCTGACCATCTCGCCGCCGCTGATCCAGCAGCTGCAGCCCGTGTTCCTCGAGTCGCGCAACCTGTTCCAGTCGCGCGAGAACAGCGCCAAGATATACTCGTGGGTTGCCTGGGTGACGTCGGCCGTGGTCGTCGAGATCCCGTACGGCATCGTGGCCGGCGCCATCTACTTCAACTGCTGGTGGTGGGGGATCTTTGGCACGCGCGTGTCGGGCTTCACGTCGGGCTTCAGCTTCCTGCTGGTCATTGTGTTTGAGCTGTACTACATCAGCTTCGGCCAGGCCATTGCGTCGTTTGCGCCCAACGAGCTGATGGCGAGCCTGCTGGTGCCCGTCTTCTTCCTCTTCGTCGTCAGCTTCTGCGGCGTCGTCGTGCCCCCGAACCAGCTGCCCACGTTTTGGCGCAGCTGGATGTACTGGCTCAGCCCGTTCCACTATCTCATGGAGCCCTTCCTCGGCGCCGCCATCCACGACCATCCCGTGCAGTGCAGCAGCACCGAGTTTGCGCGGTTCAGCGCTCCGCCGGGCGAGACGTGCGAAAGCTATGCGGGCCCGTTTATCAGCCAGAACGGCGGCTACGTCCAGACGGCGGCAGACGGTCTCTGCGAGCTCTGCCAGTACGCCACGGGCGACCAGTTTGGCAAGGGGTTCAGCGTCGAGTACAGCCACATCTGGCGAGACTTTGGCATCTTTTGCGGCTTCATCGTTTTCAACCTGGGGATTGTGTACTTTTGCACGTTTTTGAAGTTTAAGGGCAGGAACCCATTCAAGCGCCACCACGGCCACTGAGAGCCGTGTATGCACATGCACTAGCAAGAGAAACAGCAAAAAAACAGCTGCGTAGACACTTGTTTAATTTTTTACAGATAAATAGAAGCTCCTCCTCTCACCCATATCAACAGCTGCTGATATGTGCTCATCTCAAAGGACTTAAAACACACGTCTTATACAGATCAGGTACAGGGTAGGCCGACCTATGGGAGGATGCGATGCTCTGCCCAACTGCGCGCTATATCGGGGTTGGCGGGGTGCCCAGCTGCGCGCCCCCATTACCGCATATTCCCAGCAATATGCACATAGGCAGCGCCAACCCCCCCACCATGTATGCCCTAATCAGAAGCCCCAATTCCCGTACTATGAAAGGAAAACTTTTCGCCCTCTCTTCTCTCTTCCAATCCATCCTCCTCCGTGCTCTCCTCGGCAAGCACAACCTCTCCTGGGCCTTCCCACATGGCACTCGCAGCACCGTCTTCGCCTCCATGACGCGGAGCTGGTCGCTCCAACGCTGCTCGTTGCTTGTGTGCGCTCAAAGATGCTCCTCTTCCTGATCCGCCATGGCGAGACGGTCGACAACGTTGCCGGCATCTACGCCGGATCTCGGGACTCGGGGCTGACCTCGCACGGCGTGCTGCAGATCCGACGGCTGGCCACGCACCTCGCCGAAAGGCAGGAATCGACGCTCAAGTTCATCTATTCGTCCGACCTCCAGCGCGCCGTGAAGACGGCCGAGGCGATTGCGGCCGAGCAGAGGCGTGTCTGCTCGCGAGACATCCCCGTCGTCGAGTTCCCCGAGCTTCGTGAAAAGGACTTTGGGAGCGACGAGGGCCTGAAGTTTGGCGACTCGCGAGGACGGGCGCCGGATTCTGAGACGGCCGAGTCGATGAAGGCGAGGGTCGACGCCTTTCTCGACCAGCGCCTGCTCCCGCTTCTCAGCTCCCAGCCAGATGATGCCTCGTCAGCGTGCGCCATCGTTTCCCACGGCATCATCCTCGGCGTCCTCTACCGCGAGCTTTGCGCCCGCGTCAGCCGAGGCGGCATCACTGTCGACCCCAATCCCAGTGCCGCCAGCTCGCTCATATCCCCTCCTTTCTGGGACAACACCGGCTTTCTCGAATGCACGGTTTCCATGAACAGTGCAGGGGCTGACGAGGACAAGTCGCTGCCGCTGAAGTTGCACGTTCAGCGGGTCAATTGCACCGTCCACCTCAAGGACTTGAAAAAGACTAGAGGAGGCATTGGCAGCGCTGCGTATGACGAAAAGCAGCGCACCTTGACGTCTTTTTTTGTGCCGGGGTCCAAGAAGCGAAAAAGTCACGATATGAGTGCTGGCTGAACGACTCTTGCCAGGCATTCTGTTTTCAAAAGGTACGTTTTTTTTTTTGCTTTTTTTTTTCTTTCTTCAATGATGATACAACAAATAACTCACAGACCTGTTCTGAACACACAATGTGGAAAATATTTTGTCCAACCGCTGTCTGACATTGCACTCTTACAATTCGTTTTTGTTTGCACACATGTTGTCAATGGTCATTGCTAACTGCGACAATCAGATTCTAGATGCCCGCCTTATGATTACGATATAGATGGAAAATATAACATGATACCCTTTTGATTATTCCAATATTTTTACCAAGTCTCTGTGCCCTGCATTGTGATCGTGACCTTGACCTTGTAACATAAAAGATATGCCCTCAATCGTACGCATTCCAATCATTCGTTCCTAGGCTTTGCAGAGTGACTGTATTTATCCTATACGTTTATTCTATATTTATAGCATTTCCCTGAGATTGCTCTCTCCCTTTCCATTTTACATGAAGAGATAAAGAAAAAAAAAAAAAAAAAATTGCCGCTCATTCATTATACATCCGTACTCATCTCATCCTTTCCGGTAAACACTCTGTGAATCCTCCTGCTCACAGCCTGTCCCACGGTCCTGTCCGAAACTGCCCCATCTTTGTTTGCACTTTTCCGCACGCTCTCCAATCTGAGAGGTCCGCCTTGCTCAAGCCCCATTACGAGCTTGCTCACGGTGTCAAACTCCGAGACGATGCCGTAAGCTATCGGAGCCGTGACGCGCGCAATCTCCTGTAGCATACGGACGTATGTATCGCGAGCATCATCACCAGTGCGGACTTGTCCACTTTCCATGCAGAAACCTGCCGAGGAAGTCAATTTTTCGCGCAGTTTCTTGTACGGAATGGTTGAAATGTGTTGAGTGAAGGCGACAATCCACTGCGCAGTTTCGAGCGGGGCAGCAGTGTGGTGAATCAATACTTCGTGCTCGACCTGTAGCTGGAGCATTGCGTCTTCGATGATGCTTTCCGAAATGTACTCCTCGGCGGTAGCATTGTTACGGCGTCTGCGGGAGGAGGCCGAGGCAGCTTCCGGAGCGGCAGCTTGGTCCTGTGCACGAACTCCAGCTGCGAATCTGCGGTTTCGGAGGTTGCGATTCTTCCTCATCCAAGGCGTTATGCCCTCGAGGATGTATATGAGTTCGTGGCCGGGGAAGTGCCTCTTCGTCTCAGAAACGCTGGAATCCACAGCATCGCTGACAGCGAGCCCGACAAACTCTTCTGCCGTGAGAAGAACCAAGGCATGATTCTCAGGCATAATGCGCGGCGGGATAGGCTCCCAGCGCCCCGCCTCTTCATCAAATCGACTGTTTACTTTTCTCCGCCACTTGAAGGCGTTGGCGACAGGACTATTCCATGTAGTATGCTCTACACTGAGTCCGTCTAGCAAGGTACCCAGCTGAACTCTTAGCCCCTCGGCCACGCCCGACGGCATGACGAGGATCATTTCAGGCGTCGAGACTTTTTTGTCTGTGCGAACTTTGTTGACCTCGGCCAATGCAGCAGCGCGCTCCTTTTCCAAAGCTTTGGCTTCTTTGAGCTGCTCCTTCTCCTGTCTCTTTCGCTCCTTTTCGGCAGCCTTGGCAGCAGCTTGGGCATCTCTATCACGCGCCCTCTGCTCAGCCGTCTTTGCCGTAGCTGTAGCTGCCGATCCGGGCCTCCTGCTTCTTGAAGAGATTATATCGCTTTGAGAGCGACGGATGGGGGAGCGAGGGCGGGGTCTGGCGCGAGACAAATTAAAGTCGGCAATGTCTGGAAATTCATCTCCGGATGTGTCTGCTGAATCCGAGTCTATACTTATGACAGTAGGTCTGGCGCTCTTTGATTCAGCAAGGGTTTTCTTCGGAGGTGACACTCGTAGAGTCTCTTCTGGAGCTGAGCTTGAAATGGGATCCCAATGCTTGCGTTTGCGAGAATGGTCCACCACCTCTACAGACACTGCTCTGCGCGGGGTGGGGACTTTGGTGGGCGGATGCAGATTAACATCCTGAGAGCTAACAAATGGATCCGAGAATTCATCCACGTCCACTATCGTATGTACAGCCGTGGCTTGCTCTTGTGGTTTGTGTGATTCGCGTGAGGGGGGTGGTAGCGGAGGAAGTGGTGAGCTTGCGAAGGCGTCGGCGAATTCGTCGTGTATGGTCCTTGCACAATTTTCTGGCTTCTCTGACCTCTTTGGCCTCTCTTTTGCATTGGTAATAGGCGCCAGGGGTGGAGAGCTGGCAAAAGGATCAGAGCTCAGGGAGATGTGTAGAGGAGCCTGGGCTGTCTGTTTCGTCACATGAGGCCGTGCAGCCGCAGCACCTGTGGCAGAATGGCTGATTGTGTTTTGCTGGGCTTTCGGCGTATCAGGATCTATAGAGCTTGTAAATTCAATAGGATCGAATTCTAGGTGGTTTGGCCTGTTGGACACGGTGCTGAGAAAGGGAGGCTGGGCCGTCCGAGGAGGGTCTGCAGCTGGTCGAGGCGGCGGTGACGTCGATATGCGCAGTCGCTTGGCGTTTATTGTGCTTTGGCCAAGCAATTCATCGTCAAGCACATCGAAGTCTGATGAGATAAAGAGCTCTGGTGAACGGGACAGCCGGTGCTTGTTTCGCCCTTGATCGGTGGCAGTGGAAGATGCCGCTGGTTCTGCCGGGCGACTCAACGGCGGTAGAGGCGGACTGGATGAAACGAGATCAATCACATGGGGAGCCATGGCAGTGGGCAGTCTGATGTTTCCAGCGGCGGTCGTTCAGGGCCGAGGCCAGCGAGGCTGCCATGCCATGCCGTGTCTTGTCGCTTTGCAATCGGCCCCGCGGAAGCTCTCCGTTGCGTGCGTGATTCGCTGCTCAGTTCTCACATCACATCGCGAGATTGGGCGGGAGACGCGATCAGAGCTTCGCGCAGAGCTTCGCGCAGAGTCGCCAAATCACGTGATAGAAAGCATCTACGTCACCAGTGCTGGCGCCAGCACCGATTTTTATAGCAGGCAGAGTTGAAGCTGAAGCTGAAGCCGAAATCTCGCTCGGAATACAACATCATTCCTTTTCCAATCAGGTATATTTGCTGCCCTGGATGAAAACTGTGGCGATTGTTTTGACTGCTGTGCGGCTCCCACAGACGTCGATGCACCACTCAGCGCCAAATAGGCTGCGTTCGTCTTGAGCTGCTCCACAGCTCGTAATTCCGCCCGGCCCTCCGGAGCAGATCTGCGCTGTAACTGCTCGGGCTTCAGCGCCTTTCTTGTAGCTTTAGCGACTGGACCTGCTTCCGGAGGGCAGTCCGCTGCGGACCCCACCCCGAGAATCGATCCCAAAGCGGCAGTTGTTCATCGAGGTTCAGGTATTCTAGAAAATTATATATAACCGATCGATGCGCCATTGTGTGAAAAATATGTATTCTGTAATGTTCAACTCCGAATAAATTATATATATCAATTTTTTTTTTTCGTTGAATGAGTCGATCTTCGTCACTCTTTTTTTCCTCGCTGGTAGATACAAACGCAGCTGCTCCATCATGGGTTCAATAACTACATGTAACAACAATGGCAATGTTGCTGCTGATGTATACTCTGTTCCTTTGGCCGCAAACAAAGTATATGATGAGGCAATCATATCAAATCCTCTCATAGCCAAAGACCTCCCGCCAGAGGTAATGGATAAGAAGACTAAAATTACCTTTACTGGATCCAAGAGTCCATCCCTGCCCGTCAACTGGAGACTTGCAGAAGCTGTGTCTTCTCTCAAGGCACTAGAAGCAACTTTGGTGGACGTGATATTGCAGCGCCGTTACGCCCTAGAGCCTCATCAAATCACCATAAACACTGACCATGCGAGCCTGTTTATCTTTTCTACCCTTCTCTGGACCATCGATCCTGTTGATGGAGGCGAAAACATCAGCCCCAACAGCCTCCGTGAAGCAAACAAGAATCTCTTCAAATATTTCCCCAGCTGCGACAAGCACCGCATGAACGCTTCCACGCATCGGAATCTGGCCACAAACATCTACAAATGCGCAGACGGCCGCTACTTTCAATCTCATGGGTCTCTCAACCCGACGCCTACGCTCCTCAATGTTGGCCTCCCGGCAGAAGCAGACGCAGATAAAGACACAAATGCTTATGAGGATGCTGTGAAGCCGTTTAATGAAGCTTTTGGAAATATCGACAGCGAATCCTTGCAGCGAATTACAGATGAGACGCGGCAAGCAGGCACCATCTGCTATACTGTAGAGGAATTCTTAAACTCAGAGCACGGAAAAGCTAATGCACACGTTGGGCTTTGGGAAATTCGTGAGACTGCAAACGAGTTGCAGCGTCCGTGCTGGTGGGAAACACCAGTGTCTCAGTCAGGCATATCTCGACCCCTTGCTGGCATCAAAATTGTCGATCTGACTCGCATCATCGCCGGCCCAAGCATCACTCGAAGCTTGGCCGAGTTGGGAGCCAGCGTGATGCGCTGTACCGCACCCCATTTACCTGACGTTGTCTCTCTCCAAGCGGATCTGAACTGGGGGAAATGGAACTGCAGTATTGATCTCCGAGAGGAGAGAGATCGGGAAAAGCTGAGGTTGCTCATCCAGGAAGCCGATGTGGTCGTGCAAGGATATCGTCCCGGTGTTCTTGACAAATATGGTTTTGGCGAGGAAGACATTATCAAAATGGTTGAACAGCGATCAAAGGGCATAATATATGTGAGAGAGAACTCGTACGGCTGGCATGGCCCATGGAAAGATCGAAGTGGATGGCAGCAAGTTGCTGATGCGGTTAGTTTATGGACCCCTCCCCCCCTTACATTTTCTCGCGATACCCCAAGTCTAATCATTTCTTAGAATACCGGTCTTAGCTGCTCCTTTGGGCAAGCCATGGGCCATGACGAGCCCGTCACCCCCATCTTCCCGCACAGCGATTACTGTACCGGCGTTGCTGGCTCTTGTGCAGTTCTCCTCGCACTACTGCGTCGCGCCGAGAAGGGCGGTTCATATAGCATTGACCTCTCACTCAATTATTACAGCGCATGGCTTATCCGATCCGTGGGAACATACTCTCCCGAGGTTTTTGACAAAATATGGGCTGAGCACGGCCGACCCGTCTATCGCCACTGGCACAATAACGGCGTCTCAGCGCCTGAAACCCTAAAGAGACTCAAGAGTGGCCCGGCGAGAGAGAGGATACTTCGACCGGAATTTTTTGAGGATAGGCGCTCGCCGAGTGTTCTTGGGGAAAAGGTGTTCCGCGCAGTGAAAGGAGTTGCGGATTGGGGAGGAGTAGTTGACTTGCGATACAATGTTGGAACACGAGGCAATGGGCTGGACGCGGCGAGATGGCCAGACGACCTGACACAAGAGGTGGTGCAAGAGTTGGCTTGAACTGGATTCAATTGGCATCTGGATACGAATAGATGATGCGTGATTGGTAGATGACGAGTTGTGTCTAACAAATGAAAGAGTCATTATGAATATTATTGATAGTAGAGCTGTAGAGCTGCTGACAATATTTGATCTCCTAACGCCCCAGCAAATCTTCAAGTAATCCTTCTCAAGAACTATGAATCCTCACCCGCATGATGATTCCCCACCCAGTTCTAGTCTCCCAGATCCCAAACTCATTCTCCTTTCTAAATGTGACTTCCTCTGCTCTCGTAGTCATCGTCACTCTTTCCACCGGCCTCTCTTCCTTCGAAGCAACATGCTGCGGTACGTTTTCAGATCTTTTAAATAGCCCCCGGAGACCAGACTTTTTGCTGCTGCTGCTGCTGCTGCTGTCTTTGGCGGCTTGTCCATCTGTTGAAGAAGAGGCGGCAGGACGCTGAGGCTGTAAGTGCTTAGCGAGTCGAAGCGCCGTGCTTTCGCTCTCCCACCACAGAGCTGGGCTGGTCTCGTCGTTGGTTTCGCTGGTCAAAAGACTGCTGCCAGCGCCCTTTTCAGACGGCCACTGCTTCTTCTCGTCATTGCCATCTTTCTTCTTAGCCTCGCAAACGCGAATCAGCGTCTTGTATTCTCCCTCTCGCTTATCATCCTCGTCGTTGAACCTCCAGCCATTGCTGACCGCTGCGTCGGGGACCAGAATTGCCTCTGCAAGTCTCGGCGTTGGATAGATTTCAGAAATAGACGATATGAATTCTTCCACATAGGGGAAGATGATGGATAGAATGTAGCTGTCGCGATCATCTGTGACTGAGGCTCGGTAAGCCTGCGAAGCGGAGATTTGGGTCCGAAGATTGACTACGTGCGACGAGAAGAGCGATGCATAGGAGCGAGGGTCTGGATGCTCGGCTGAAGTGCCGCCGGATGGATTTGCGCTTGCAGAGTATGGAGGCGGAAGTTCGCCGTCATCTTCGAGATACGTGCCGTTGTCCATGACGAACAGGTACAAGAAAGAAAGCGCCTATTAGACGCAGGTCTAGATGGCTACAGTGACGATGAAATACAGACTTATGAAATGTTTATTTCGTCTTGGGAAAAACAAAAACAAAAACAGCCCTGCTTCTGGTGCCAAGATTCGTTCAGGTGAGGCAATTAGCGCTGGGGAAATCTGCCTTTTTGAGAAATCCGCCTCGAAATAAATCGCTAGCCAACACCCATCATTGAGTCTCTCTGAGCCATTTTGCCTTGCACCAAGTACACCATCCATGCATTCAGCCTAGCGAGGCGTAGCGTGGCTACGGCCAAGCGGGAGAAATCGCCCTGTAATCTACGGCTTGAGCACGAGACAATGCCGACATGTTCATGTTCTTTTTGAGTTTCGGCTTTTTCGAGGGATCCGCATGTTTTTCATAAAGAATGTACATATCAATGATCCATTTCATGCTTTATTGGATACATGAAGCTACATCACGCCTGTGTGGAGCGTAGAAGGTAAACACTTCAAATGAGCCCCCGTAAGGGTAAGTAGTAAGTTTATCACGTCTAAGCCACATCTATGCAAAACTTTGCCTATGAAAATCGAATACGAGGAGTCCATCTTTACTCCACAAAACTAGCCGCAGTATAACTATATCTTACGGCATTCTTCTAGAACATTTCTTTAAGTAGAGCTCACAAGCTTCGATGCGCTTGGCGTAGCTTCATCGGGGTAGTAATCAGCCTTCTACAGGTAGCTCTAAATGACATGTATTAATGGCACATGTATATATGCGATTTGCATGCATCTTTGCCTACTGCATTGGAGAACTTGAAATAGATCACCTGAGCTTCGCCATTAATGCCTCAGCTTTGTCTTATATACAAGTCCTAATAATCACAAAAAGTATGCGCGTTATTACGGTCTTGGTCCAGAAGCCTTTTCATAGGTGCAGTCCGCCCTGGCTTGAATGTGCTGACGAATACCTGGAATGGATGTGTTGTACTCTAGACCAGCCTATTATTTTTACTCGTTAATTCTACAATACCAGAATAGGAACATAATTCTATCGCTTCTTTCGCTTTTCTTCTGTAGCAATATATATCTTTGTGTAACAGAGGCTTTACAAACCGTAAATACAGGTGATACGAACAAATATACTCTCATCTCTTAACCATTTCTTGGGGATTTTACCTAGCGAGAGTCATTGCTCATGGTATTAAGACGCTTAGTGTAGCATTGCTAGCTAGGTAGTTGCCCTGATGTTCTAGAACCTGGATTTTACAAAGTTGCAGCAAGACATCGTCTACATAAGCAGTTCATGTGATTAATTTTAATGCTTCCAACACTGGCCTTTGTCTAAGGCTTAAGGAATGAGCTGATGGAAATGCCGGGATATTCAGCCTCTCGGCTAGATTTGCGCATCCAACACCGAACATCGACGTGTGCTTTCTTGTCAAAAGTATGTCAGGTAACTTACACAAAGGTAACATGACAGGATACAAGCCCCAGATATCTTATCAAATACATCTAGGTACTGAGAATGAGTTGAGCTACTGTTACATGTGACTCAAAAATAATTGTGGTAGGCTCTATTTCAATCGTATAAAATTTCTGGGAATACTAAATCTCTGCCGGGTTATACAAAACTTCTCCTGGGTGCCATGTCGAGCTAGGGTGATACAGTCTAAGACAAAACGCTCCATATCAAGCAGGTGTCTATCATTTGGAAGATGCCATCTGAGTCTCCCTACAAACATCAAAGCTGAGGACGTATTTAATTGGGTGAACTTTGTAGTATTCACTGCTGATAGCAGTGAGCGTTTCTAAAATTTGAGCTCTCCTCGAGTTAAAGAACTCTTCATAACTTCAATACTGGTTTTCCCACATCATTTATGAGCTACACAACTTTTCCTCTTCACAAATCTACAGCATATTAGAAATAGAAAATTCCTTAGGACCAACCGATTTGCTGGGCCCAGGCGTGGGATGTGGAATGTGATCGCATAGCGTGGCAAAGCAAAATGTGTCAGATTGTATTCGGGTGTCGCCGTGTCTCACATGGGAATAATTTGCTGGACTGCACGCACTATCAGAGTCGAGATATTAAATTATCCCTCTGCATATTAGACGATTCGCCAAATTAACATTGCTGCACCGCAGTCTTGACAATAAATATCCACAACTCTAGAGCTAATTGTCTGAGATAGGATCGACATGTCTTAGAAGCAGATAGAATTAGCTTACCGTGAGACTAATTGCCAAATTGCATTTCTTGCATGTTAATCTGAAGAAATAACCGACGATGCATCGCATTTGTACTTGCGATGCAAAGTATAAAAAGCGTCTGTGCCACCCGTCTCCTCTCCAACTCATCAGCCATCACTGCGTCTTCATTATCTATTCCACGATATCAAGAGTATTCACTTTCGTCAAAATGAAAACTGGCGCCATCATTCTCTCTCTTTTCGCGGCCCTTGGTCTTGCGGCTCCTATGGTAAGTCTTTCTGTCCAAATGTATCTACCACGCTCCACAGCCATGCTAACATCCCTCAAGGAGCAAGCCCAACAAGCCAACGATGCTCAGATGATGCAGCAAGTTGAAATGGCCGCCAAGAGCTTATTTGACCCCCCTCGCAACGGCAACGGAAACATTATTGCCGACATCTTCGATACTGCTGCTTGCATCTTAGGTAGCTTCATTGGAGCTCGCACTTGTCCAAGCAGCACTATCATTCAAGTTCCTGGTGACGACCACCATAATGACAATAGCAACTCGAGCGTCAGCACGAGCACCTCTTACCAGTATACATACTCTACCGACAGCGATGGCAATTATCACATCCAGATCATCCCCGGCGGCAGCAAGTCCAGCTGCACCTATACTGTATCCAAGAATGATGTTGGGGCTTTGGCCAACACCATCAACCAGCTTGCCGCCAAGTGCATCAACAATTAAAAGGCTTTGATAACATGGCACCCTTACTCAGCGTTAGTGGTGGCGACAGATACTTTGCTTCAGGGGAACCATTTTAGGTAGTCAATAAAATTGAGCTCGAGTCATATTTTGATGCCGTTATCCTACATCTCTCTTACTAGCCACTGCCATAAATTCCTCTGATATGATGCCATGCATATAGCCCTTCCTAACCACGCGAAGCATTTCCTTTTCATGGAAGAATAGGGCACCTAAGAACTACCACGGCACAGTCTCCAGTTACCGTTGATTTTGTCAAAAGTCCCAAACCTCCCTCCCATGTCAGTAACCAAGTCATTTCGTCAAGCAATTAACCATGAAATACAATATAAAAATTTCCAGATAGATATGAACACAATAAAGCTATTACAATACAATTCAGCACAACTTTACTCCACCTTACGAGGAGTCAAATAGACATTCACTGCGCCCTTTTCCCATAGTGTATACGACTTGGTTCTTTTATCCCAGCCCTTGGTGCCTTCAGCAAGCGTAATATCGTACTCCAAAATCACGCGAGCCAAGATGAGACGCATTTCAGCGTAGGCAAGACTTTTTGTCACAAGTTAGCATAATGCCATCTGGGGTATAGAGGTGTGTTTCTCCACAGCGGATACTTACTTTTTACCAATACAATTGCGAGGCCCTGCAGAAAATGGCTGAAAACCATCTCGCTTGTCATCCTTAAATTTAGGGTCACCTAGCCAACGCTCCGGAATAAAATCTTCAACCTGTGTCCAGTAGTTTGGATTGTGGTATAGCGGCCATTGCCAAACGTCGACATGGGTCTAATAAATAGGATTAGATTGTTTGTTTCCCAGAGATATAAAACAAACAAATAGATGAATAGTGAGATAATGAAACGACGTACGTTTTCTGGGACAAATTCACCAGCAATCATACCACCTCCCTTTGCTGTATATCGTGGCAGGCCCCCAGGAACAGGAGGGAACACACGCATGGACTCGTCTAGTACTGCCAACATGTAGGATAGATGCTGTACACTGGTGATGGTAATCTCTTCCGGTCTGTTAAAGTTTGACCGCACTTCTTGGGCAAGTTTGGCTTGGATTTCCGGATACAGGCCGAGGTAATAGGCTGCTGCGGATAGCGCCGTGGCTGTAGTTTCTGAGCCCGCAATAATGAGGATGACGGCGTTCGACGTGAGCTCTTCAAAAGAGAGGGCCTAGAAATTCTGATTCAGTCTTGATAGTTCTGCTATTAAGCATCCACTTATACTTACTGATCCATTGCGCTTGGCTGTCATTGAAGCCATAAAATCAGGGCGATCTGAGCCGCTGTCGAGACGCTTCTGGACTTTCATAGCAGATAATCGGAAATTTTCAGCGAATCTACCAGCAATGTCGCTGGGCAGGGCAAACTTGTTGAGGAAAGTAGTGATGAATTTTGGTGAAAGCTGAAAGTATCTTATCGCTGCCATGAAGACGAGGTTCTTGATGGACTGGAAGATGAGCTGAACCCAAGGGTGATAGTTGGAATTGTTGAGGCAGTCGAATGACTCGCCAAAAGACAAATCGCCAATGATATCGAATGTTGTAAAGTTGAACCAACGGACCATGTCAATTTGCTGTGTTCCATTGCCACAGTCCCGTTTCAGGCGATCCATCAGTTGGTCGACATACGCGCCAATGATGGGCTCCTGGTCCAGCATTGCCTGATGAGAAAATCCATGGGCCAGGCTCCTTCGATAACGCGTATGGTCCTCGCGATTCGCCCCAATAATGTTATGGACGTTTGGCATCCGGCGTATTGGGTCTTTCCCGTGCTCAGGCTGCCCAAACTTGCGGTGGCCGCGAATATCGTTGACGGCGTCTGGGTGGCTGAAGAGAAGGAAATTGGGCGCCACACGAACGATAGGGCCATATTTGAGATGCAAATCCAAAACCTTATGGTGGCCATCGCCGCCAGTCAAAATGAGAGAGTACGGGATGAATGACATGGCCGACAACTTGGGTCCAGGAAACCTGCGAAGTGGGTGGAAATAGAGATTATAAATGCACAGCCAGGCAGTGTAGCCAAGTCCCTAGGTTATACGTGGTAAGACAATGGACAAGACTCGCTTTAGTTGGACAATTGACAATGTGTTGATGCCAACTTACCAGCGCCAGAGCGGCGAGTGGGAGACCCCAAGCCAGCTGGCTTAGGGAGACGGCGTTGAAACCGCCATGGTCGATGAGAATACCCATCGCAAAATGGCCTCGATATTAGACTCTTTTCACAAATAGCCTAGATATACAGTAAGAAGAGGGGTAATGCAAGATTTAATGGGTTTGTATGTTTAGTTTATTGAGCGGCCACCAGCTTTTATATGTTATGGAGCAGGATGTTACATCGTGCGGCCCCATATGTCGTTGGTTGATCACAGAGAGAGACATAAAATGAGCAATCCATTCACTACCCCTCGGCTTAAACAATGCATTTTCCGATCTATTATCCGGAAGAGAGTCTTCCGCTCGAATTCTTTTGATCCCTAAGCTTGATTTCACCCTTTCTCTGAGATCTTGGTAGCTGATACCATGTCATGTCCCTCGGCAGCTGAACTAGTGATGATGGAGGCCCTTCAAAGGGGAAATAATATCGAGGTTCCGTCTATCCATGGAAACTCCTCGGAATTTGAGCTACATCGTTTTCTTGTCTTTTTTTTTATAAAACAAAAAGAGCTACTCCGTACATCAAACCCCCTTTATGCTCCATGTAATGCAACCCCTCCATGGAGCTGATAGGCAGGCTTTAGCTGCTATGGGGGAGAAGCACATGGGGCTCATGCTGCGGCGTGCAATTATCGAATCATAATTGTACAGTCATTGGCGGAGTCCCAGCCACTAGTACCCCAGACCTATCTGCCATGTCCGCAAACTTGTTGCTTGTGTGGCATTGCTACTCCATACCGCGAAAGGAGATTCGCGCGGCGGACTCGGAGAATAGGACAACTAGGTACCGATGGGATAATTAAGTCGCAGAGTACCAAGTATACATAGTTACAGGGACTAAAGACGGACACTATAAGCGATACGCGTGTTCTAGAGCCATCTTGGAAATGGCACGTCCCGCTAATGGGGGATATATCTCCAATACAACTACCTGCTTTATTTTCGAGTAGCCAACTTGTTATAGAGATCAGGAGTTATTCGCGCATTTCTTCATCTCGTTGAGCACTCTGACATCATTCAACATGGATATGTGCATTCTGTGTGAGCAGCCAAAAAGCGCAGTAGCATTGCATTGTTCCAAGAACGGCAAACTGTACCCGAGAATACATGTTCGCCCCTTGCAGTGCATTAATTATGGCGGAGGTAACAGTCGAATACTACCAATCAGGCTATTTGAGATTCAAAGCCCTGAATTCTCCACATAAAAAACGTCCATAGCCGAGGCTTCTGATTCAGGTAGGGACGGGAGAAAAATATCGATGCCGTATACTATGTTTAGGCTTCTTCATAATCCCGTCGGACTTCATTAGTACAATACATTACTTATATCTGGGCGTGAAAAAAAAAATTAGGGAGCGCAAAATGAAAATACACATCAAGTTGAGAATATGAGCACTATTGGACTAGTTAAATAGTGGTTACTAGTGTCATTGCTGTGCGCGAAGTTGGGAATTGTGTGCCGATCGTTTGCTAATTCCCTATTTTTCTTCACATCCCTTGCTGGGGTCAGTGAGGAACCCTTGATTTGATCGCAAAACTGGGGCGGATATCTCTGTTCCGATACGAGGGTGGGGAGCTACATTGTATGCAACGGTGATAAGCAGCAGCGTAGGCTATGGATATGAACGTGAAATATGACGCCAAGAGATGGAATTTTCAGGTTATCAAAGGACTTATGTATTATTATTACAATGATCTGAGATATCATAGGAGAAATATGCTAAAAATAGGTCGGTATAAGAAGAGAATGACTTGCCACACAAGCCAGTATCCAATAGTCAGTCTCCTATTCCATCACAGGGCACCTAATCCATCTAGTAATGGCCGTGTTAGCAAACATGAAGTTCGTTGGAGCGTTTGCCTCATTATAAATGAAATTCCGCTGTTGTAGAACCTTAGGATGCGGTCAAAGTATAACCTATTACTTTATTTTGTTCTAACGCAAACTCCACAGTTGACTCATCTGTGCTAAGCGGCGTCTAATATGTTGCAATCATCGCACAAAATATCAACGCTTATAGCCTTCTTATGCCACGCGGGTATTCAGCTTTCTCCAAAGGTAAAATACAAATTCAACATTGTATGAATACGCCTACATGTATCCGTATATAAGGTTATATAGGGCTATATATGTCTATGCATGTCTATAATCGTGTCTCGATTCACTGCTATTTTCCTTGATGCCACATATACCCTTGCGGCTCCTAAGTATCTGATACGCAAATTTAACCAACGGTATCAACTACTTGACTGAAATAATCACTTTGCGATGCTTATTTCTTCAATTTCTTCAATTTCTTCAATTTATTCCATGTCTTCAAACAAATCGTACAACATAGAGATGTCGGTGGCTTATATATTCCTGACAGAAATACTGCAAAAAAAAAAAAAAAAAAAAAAAACTGTCCTGCAATGCGCTCCCAAGGCGCTCCCAAAAGCTGGAGCTGCATCGCGGCATATGCCCAAGCCTAGTGCTTTTGGGAAATCAAACGCAACGACAAGCTGGACAAGTGCACTCGGAAAGGCAACAAGTGCAAAGACGAGATGAAGGAATGTACCTATGAGAAGGTGGCGGACTGCGCCAAAAAGTATTCCAAGTGCATTCAGAAGGGGGAATTATGCTAGGGCCAAGTAGGCACTCTCCAGGAGATGGGCCAAGGGGTTGTCGTATCGGAAGGGACCGAGTTTGGCAAGAGACGAGTCGTCTGTCGGATACTTCGAGATGATATCAAATTAGGAAAAGAAAGGGGAGCGGCTTTGTCTCCTTAACCGGGGCGTGGAGAAATATAGACCAAGAGTGTACACCTATATAATATATATACATGCATCGAGGTTCTGTCATGACGACTTTGAGACAAAATAATGAATAAATGACAGGTATCCAGGCTCGTGTATTCGTAACTGCATTTACTCCGTGTATATAGAGTAGTATTCTAGAATATTTTGTTGCGCCCTGCTCCTCTATGCCGTAATGCGGACGCCATCAAAGCTCCCGCTCCCTCCTCTCAAATTTTTTTTGTTGCAAATGCCAATCATCCCATATTTACATTCTATCTTTTTCTGCTTCTCTCTTTTTCTTTAGACCTCGCTGACTGCCTCTTTCAGGTCCTTGACGTTGATGGTCTCTGCTGCCTTTCCAGGATGGCGAGTACCCTTGTCCTTGACCTTCTTCTCCTTCTTCGCGGGAGGAGGGTAGGCCTTCAGGGCAATCTCCTGCCATTCTTTTGACGCTGCGAACTCGGCGTTGATCGGGGCTAGGAGCTCGTTTAATGATTTCGTGACTGCCGCCTTCAGCAGCTGTGGTGATAGCTGGATATCATTGGTAAGCATCTGGGCATCATATGGAAAGGGTGACGAGCCAGTCAAATTGGCCATTAAAAAAAAAGAAGAACATACCACATCATTTCTGTAGTCCTCGTGCATCTGCTGAATGGTTGAGTAAACCAAGGGCTCGAGGCCGTCTCTCTCGCGCTCAACGACAAACTTTCGCTCTCCCTTCAAGGCTGCTGCCGGCAGAAGGACGTATTCGACAAAAGCCAAGACACCGTTTTCCTCAACAACCTTGGGGGTGGCCACAGCCTTGCGAATCTTCTTGGAGACGACGTCCGGGGAATCCAGCAGATCGATTTTGCTGTCTGTATTTTATGAATCAGCGCAAAGTCTTCCTGGAACAGATTTATAGTATGGAATTGCTCTTACCTTCGTCACTGGAGCTCATCTTGGCGCCCTTGAGACCAGGCACCATGGGGTTCATAAGATGCGCACGCTGGAACGTGGTGGGTTAGCCAAGTGGCGACATGAAGATGCAGGATTGGCAGTCGGGGGTTCTTGTTACCTCCTTGTATCCGAGCTTGGGCAGCCATTCCTTGGCAGCAATGAAGAGCTTGCGCTGGTCAAGGCCTCCGAACTGCGCATCGACGTCCAGGTACTGCTCGTCCAAGACCTGGAGAATGGGGTAGAGCAGGCCAGACAGCGGCGCATTGTCGGTCTGCTTGACAACCTCGGCACCGGCCCTCTTGGCGTCGTGCTCTGAGATGACGGACGACAGCTTGTAGACGTCCATGATGTACTCGGGGCTCTTCTGGTACGAGCTGCCCTGCACAAACTTGAGCTTCTCGGTGGACACGCCGACGGCCTTGAAGATGGCGGTGATGACGTAGCGGTAGTACTCGACGCGCAGCTCGACCAGCTCGATGGGGGCCTTCAGGTTGTCGAGGAAGCCGTGGATATCGGCGAGCAGGATGGTGACATGGCAGCCGGCGGCCAAGTACTGGGCGATTTTGATGGCGGGGACGAAGTAGCCGCAGTGAGGCCGGCCCGTGGTAGCGGTGCCTGGTCATTGTCAGTGTCTTGCGCGTTTGGAGAGACGAGGCCATATCGTCATCGTCGTCGTCGTCGACATCGACATACCCCAGTAGATCTTGGGATGGCGGCCCTCGGCCAGGATTTTCTCGATGATTTCAGGGTTGAGGATCTCGGTCAGGTTCTCGCTGATGAGCGCGAGCTTCTCGGATGCGTCTGCGGCCGCCATTGTGGTTCGCTGGTTGATTCAGTCACAACCCAATAAAGAAAGAAAAAGAAGAAAAAGAAGAAGAAAAAGCGTTGAAATCTCCCTGGTGCTGGGGGCGATGCGATGCGATGCGATGCGATGCGATATCGATGTGATGTGATGCGCTGCGATTTCAATCCGATACGGATGGGGGGGCAATAATTAGTGCCTAGATTGGACTTTTTTCGGGCTTATCAATGCCAGTGGCGTTAGGCGCTGCCGAGGGGCGTTACAAGGCATATGTACTCGGTAGCGCCCACTGTTTAGCACGCAAAGGCGCCTGAGGGATCGCTTACGTGAGACTGACGGCGGAACAACAATCTTCCATTTGCAATGCGACTCTGATTCTCTATGACTCAGAGTTGATTGGAGGGGCTGATTCGGCGATTTATCGGACTTGGAGGGGCATGATGCAGAAATGCCTGTGCCTGTAAGTAAGACATGGACTCGAGAAAAGCTGAACACCGCCAGTTGTCTCAACTCATATCATAGACCTGTAATCAGTTAGTTGAGCTCATTATTCATCTCTTTTGTATAACAATCCGCAAGATTTTCAAAAA